AATAATAAAATATAATATAATTTTCACGTTATAAAAAATAAATTAATATATTTTATTAAAACTTATTAATTTATAAAAACCTTAATAAAATTAAATTAAATAACGGTTAATTTTAAAGAAAACATTAAATTTTTTTAAAATATAATTAAATAAAAAATTAAAATAATTTAAATATTTAAAAATAATTAAAATAAAAATAAAATAATAATAATATATTTTTTTAAAATTAACGGTTTTAATTTAAAATTATAATATATTAAAAATAAAAAGATTTTATATTAAAATAATAAAAAACGTTATAATATATAAAGTTATTATATAATTTATATTTAACGAAAATAAACATATAAAAAAAATAATAAAAAAACTTTATAATATTTAATTAATTTATTTTTAAAAAATAAATAAAACGTATAAAATTATATTTATAATATAATTTAAATTAAAAATAAAATATTTATTATTTAACTTATAATTAAATATAAAATTAATAAAATTCGAAAATAAAATTAAACGTTTAAAATTTAATAAATTAATTAAAAAAATTAATAATAAAATCGTAAAATAAATTTTAAAATAAAAATAATAATAAAAATAATAAAATCGCGGCTTTTTTTTTCCACGGGTAAATTTTAAACATGATTATATAATTAAAAAAAATAATTAAAAAAATAATTATTTAACTTAAATTTAAAAAATAATTTTATAAATTTTTTTTTAAGAAATAATATAAAAAAACCGCATTATACCGGTTTCGTAAATTTTTTCGAAAAAAACTATTTTTAATATAAATATATTTAAATATATTTATAATAATTAAAAAATTATATATTATATAATTATAAAATATTAATAATTTATAATAAAAAAAACGTTATAAAAATAAATCGCTTTTAAATAATTATTAATAAAAAATTATTTACGGGTTATAATTAAATTAAAAAAAAATAAAAATAATCGTAAAATAATTTTTAAAAAAGTTTTTTTTTTAATATATAAAATTACATTATTATTAATATTAAAAAATATAATATAAATAAATAAAAATTAAATAACTTATATATAATTAAAAAAAATAAAAAAAATATATTATTATTATAATAAAATTTATAAAAAATAATTAAAATTAATATTAAAATTTAAATAAAAATAAACCTTAAAATTAATAAATAAATTTTTAATTAAAAAAATATAATTATTAAAATAAAATAATAAATTATTAAATATTAATATATTTACATCGTATTTATATCGTTACCGTTAATATTTATTATAATTTTTTATTAAAAAATATTTTTTTAAAATAATATAATTTTATATAACTTTTAATTTAAATATTAATAATTTTTCGAATTTTTTATAAAATTTATTTTTATATATTTTTAATAAAAATATTTTATATTTTTAAAAAATATACGATAATATAAAACGTTAATTAATAATTTTTAATTTTTAATTATTTAAATATAAATTATTAATAATTAATTAATAATAAAACATTTTTTTATAAAAAACGAATTAAAAAAAACTTATATTAAAATATAAGTTTTAAAAATAATATTATTAAAATAAATTTTTTTATATTTAAATTTATTTAAAATAATAAATTAAAATATTTACCGTATTAATTTTAAAAAATTTAAACGTTTTTTAATATTAAATTTTTATTTTTATAAAATTAATTTTTAACCGGTATATAATTTTAATAAATTTAATTTAAAAATAAATAAAATATTAATAAATATATAAAATTTAAAAGTTTATAAATTAAGAAAATTTTTTTTAATAAAAAGTTTATTCCTTTTTAAAATATATAATAAAATTATTATATAATAAGCGATAAAAGTAACGGTTATATAAAAAACACGTGTGTTATATACGGGAAATTAAATAAAATATTAAAATTAACGTTTAAAAATAATTTTTTTTTAAATTTTTAAGTTTTAATTTTAAATAATTATAAACTTATTATTTATTATTTAATTTTATTTATTTTATTTTTATAAAATATTATTAAAATTATTAATTAAATTATATATATATATTTTAATTTTTACGAATTTTTTTTTATAAAATTTAAAAATTAAATAAAAATAAAAAATATTTTTATTATATTAATAATAATTTAATAAAATAATTAATAAAAAATAATAAAACGATATTAAAACGGTATTATATTATTTAAAAATTATTTATTTAAACGTATTTATTTTTTATTTTTTTATAATAAAAATAAATTTTTATTAAAAACCGGAAATATTAATATAAATAATTTAATTTAATCCCGTTAATAAATATATAATTTATAAATTTAAAATAAAAACATTTTATATAAAAAATTTTCGATTTAATAATATAAAAAAAATTAAAATATTTATAATTAATTTTTCGTTAATATTATTAATAATATAATTAAAATTAATTAATTATAAAAATAAAAAAAATTTATTTATAATAAATTTATAATATAAATTTTTTTTATATAAATTTTAATTAATAAAAAAAATAATTATATAATTTTTTTAAATTTAATATTATAAAAAAATAATTATTATTATAATAAAAAATTTTATATTTAAACCGCGGGCGTAATATTAACGAAATAAAAAAAAATTTATTTAATAATAAAAATAATAATTATTATATAATAATTTTATATAATAATTTTATTTAAAATTTTTTTATTTTATTTATTATATAAAAATATTTATATTATATATATAATTTTTTTTATTATTTTTATTATTTTTATTAAAAAAATAATATATTATATTAAAGCAATGTTATCTCAGCTAGCTCAGACTAGATTTTAAGCCACACCCAGCCACGGGCTGGATGGCCCGTGCCATTGTATCTGTGGGGCGGGCGTGGCGTTCCTCAAAATCTAGTCTGAGTCAACTTGGTTTAAAAACGGCTCCATTGGTATAAAATCAGCCTATTCTCGAATATAAAATATTATATTGCTTAACAACCACGTATAAGGTCTCCTATAAATTATATCTCGGGGCTAGCAAAATGGCTTCTGAAGCTTTCTAGCTATTTCAAGTCCCGTTTGAACGTGACTTGAAGATATCCCAAGCCTAAACGAAAAAAAATCCACGTGTAAATCGGTGGCAAAAACCACACCTGTTTGCTCCAAAGCCACGATATCACAACCAACGGTCGGATCAATTTGAAACTTGACAGCAGGCTAGATAATCGATAGCACTACGTCCGAGGCCTTTTATATATCCATTATCTCGAACCGTTGTTGTGTGAAGGCCTTGCCGAGGCTTACTTGGTAAGTATTGACTTAGGGTGGCTTTGACAGCTTTGGAGGCAGGTCTAGAAGCAAGTTAGTAACTATTACTTGTATAGAGAGGTTTACTTACTTAAATCCTTATTCTTGAATAGTATATCTAAGTATTGGCTAGATAAACGCGCTTGCGCGTTTGCGCGTTTTAATTATTAGGAAAGTTCGGCTGCACCGCGATTTAAGCGCACCGATTAAACTAGTTATACCTTATTAATATAAGTGATAGAGCCTGTATATTTAAATCGCAGTGTACCTGAACTTTCCTAATAGTTAGAATGCTTGAATGTGTGGTAATTTTAAAGAATAAGAATAAGAATAAGAATGAGGGTTTACTGGTGGAGGGAAAAAACGACCAAGTTGACTCAGACTAGTGGCACGTTTTTGGTGTTTTTGGGGAATCCTGTGATTTGATTGGCTAAAACTTGTTGTGGCTAAAAGGGTACAACCAAAAACGGGCCCACTAGTCTGAGCTCGCTGAGATAAGAGCAATGCTAGCCGCGCAGTATGATGTTGCTTATCTCCGCCGCGCAGTACCGCTAAAATGGCGCTAGCGCGTTCGAACGGTGTGTAGAACACCCTCTAACGCTATACCCACGTTCAATCAATTGTTCCACGCTTAATCCGGGTCCAAATTTCTTGTAATTATACTAATTCAAAAGCTCTCAATTCGGAGACTCTATAGCTCCAATATTCAAGGTTGCAGCCTTAGAATGGTTGAGATATCGAGGATTGAAAACATTGGTCAAATTGATGTACTTCCAACGCTTTGCGACCGCGACCTAGCCACTTCTCCATTTTTGACTTGTAATATCTCTCCAGAACCTTCGTTTCAGGTCCTGCAAATTGGTGATTGTGTAGCTTGGATCAAGCGCTGTTATTTCAATATAATTATTAGACGTTTGGAATATTGTTGAGCGAGTAATAATTGATTAAAGTTGATTGAAAAATGGTTGTGTGTAGGTGCTACAAAGGTACATTCAATTGTATGACGGCTTGTAGGGCAGCAAAGGTACCCGACCTATACCTCTTTCGGACGCACTTTTTTAGCTCTACTGCGCGGCGGAGATAAACAACATCATACTGCGCGGCTAGCATTGCTCTTATATTATTACGTAACGTAAATAATAAATAATCGAAACGGGTTAAATTTTTTTTAACGTATAATTTTTATTTAAAAATTTATTTCGTTATAATATTATATATTTTTTATATAATATATATTATATAATTATATAAAATAATAAATATTTAAAATAAATAATAATAATAATAATAATATATATTTAATTTATTTTATTAATATTAATTACGTGTTTTTTTATATTTAATTTAATAATTTTTTTATAATTTTATTATTTTTATATTTAATTTAATTAATTTAAAATTTTATATTATATTTTTTTATTTAATAATAAAATTTTTTTCATTTTTTTCATTTTTTTATTAACGTAATATAATTTTTTTTTTAACGTTAAACGTATTTTTCCGTTAAATTATAAAACCATTATTAATATGCATATAAATGATCTTATTACTTTAACAATACTTACCCCTCTACATTTTTGCCCCTCGCTCGCAGGAAGAAAAAAAGTATGACTCTAAACTTTCTGCGTCGCTAAATAACACTACTATTTCTCTTAACACATTTGTCAACCCTACAACCAAGAGCGTCTGACAGCGGCACTGGGCATTGGGTACGACCACTATGGCCAATCCTGTTAAGACCATGGAGGGTCTTCAAAATACAGCCCTCAAAGACCTTAAAGGTAAAGTACCGTATCACCGTCCTATTCTTGCCCTCTCGCGCGTTCCGTCTAACTGTAGTTTGGAGGCACCGAGAAGCGAGATTCTCTGATCGCTCTCGAGAAGAAATATCAACAGGAATGGGAGCAGCAGGGTCTCTTCGATGCCAACCCACCGTCAACCGCCGAAATACCTCTTCATTCCATCACCGCTGCTGAGCTGCGAGAGAAGTTTCCAAAGTTTTTCGGAACCATCGCTTTTCCGTACACAAATGGGCGCCTCCACGTCGGCCACGCATTCTCCTTCAGCAAGGTCGAGTTCCATGTCGGCTTTCTTCGCATGAAGGGTATCAATGTCCTATGGCCGCAGGGTTATCATTGCACAGGTCTTCCAATCAAGGCATGCGCTGATAAGCTGTGCAAAGAGGTTGAGATGTTTGGCCAGGAGTTCGAGAAATATAGGGAGGACGAAGAGCCCGTCGCTGAAGCCGCAGCCATCCCAGCCCAGAGAGAGAGAGAGGATGTTACCAAGTTCACTGCCAAAAAGGGCAAGGCTGCTGCCAAGTCAGTCAAGATGAAGTACCAGTTCCAGATCATGCAAGCCATGGGCATTCCGCTACAACAAATACATCTCTTCGCTGATCCAGCGTACTGGCTCGAGTACTTCCCCCCTCTCTGCAAACTTGACCTTAGCAACTTCGGCAGTAGAATCGATTGGAGGAGACAATTCGTCACCACAGATGCCAACCCATACTTCGACGCATTTGTTCGCTGGCAGATGATTCGGCTGAAGGAACTTAATAAGATCAAGTACGGGAAGCGCCACACAATTTACTCCATCAAGGACGGCCAGCCATGCATGGACCATGATAGAAGCGAAGGTGAAGGCGTCAATCCACAACTCTACGTGGCAATCAAGATGCAGGTTCTCGAATTCGCCTCGAAGGCCCAGGAGACGCTTCAAGGGAAATTGCCCGAAAACGCCAAAGTCTTCCTTGTTCCGGCAACCCTGCGAGCAGAGACAATGTATGGACAAGTTGCTTGCTTCGTTTCCCCCAAGGTCACCTACGGCGTCTACGAAGCAGCCCCTAATGAGTACTACGTTATGACCGAAAGGGCCGCCAAGAACATGGCTTACCAAGAGATATTCGCCAAAGAAGGTGTTATCAAAAAGATATCTGATATCCAGGGATCAGATCTCATTGGCTCTTTAGTGAATGCCCCCCTGAGCTTCCACAAAGATGGCGTCCGGGTTCTACCCATGGAGTCAATTCTCGAGACCAAAGGGACGGGCGTGGTGACGTGCGTACCATCAGATTCCCCCGACGATTACGCCACAATCTCGGATTTGGCTAAGAAGGCAGAGTATTATAAGATCAACAAGGAGTGGGCAGAATTAGAAATTAAACCCATTATCAGGACACCCACTTCTGATTTGCTCGCCGTCGAACTAGTCAAGAAATTAAAGATCGCATCTCCAAAGGATGCCAAGCAACTGAAGGAGGCCAAGGAATTAGCATACAAGGAGGGCTTCTATCAGGGCCATATGCTTGTAGGAGACTTCAAAGGCGAAAAGGTGGCGGATGCGAAGCCTAAAGTCCGGGCGCAACTGATTGAGGCCGGCCTCGCCTTCGAATATGCAGAGCCCGAAAACAAGGTCGTCAGCAGAAGTGGTGACGAGTGTACGGTGGCTCTCATGGAGCAGTATTATATCGACTACGGAGAAGAATCATGGCGCGCCACTGCCACCGAATACGTCGAGAACAAAGACGGAAATGGTCTTAACACCTATTCGAGCGATGCTCGTAATGCGTTCTTGGGCGTGCTTGACTGGCTCAAGCAGTGGGCGTGCGCAAGGACATATGGCCTAGGCTCACGACTCCCCTGGGCACCGGAGTTTCTAGTAGAAAGCTTGAGCGACTCAACGATCTACATGAGTTACTATACGGTAGCTCATTACCTCCATAGTGATATATTCGGACGAGAAAAGGGTATTGGCGACATCACACCAGATCAAATGATCGACGAGGTTTGGGATTATATCTTTAGCCGCACCGAGCTCGCAGACGATATCCTAGCCAAGTCAAAAATTCCCAGAGAGACTCTTGAGGCGATGCGTCGTGAATTTGAATACTTTTACCCCCTAGACTTGCGGGTGAGCGGTAAGGACCTTATCAACAACCACCTTACCTTCGCTCTTTACAACCACATCGCACTCTTCCCTCGGGAATATTGGCCCAAGTCTATCCGAGTGAACGGCCACCTCCAGCTCAATGGAGAGAAGATGTCTAAGAGTACCGGCAACTTTATGACTCTCGACGATGGTAAATAGACCTTCATGTTCCTCACTACACAGCCGCTGCTAACCCATACGTAGTCGTGAAGAAGTTCGGTGCCGATGCTTCCCGAATCGCTCTAGCAGACGCTGGTGACACGATCTCGGATTCCAATTTCGTCGAGGATGTTGCCGACAGCACCATGTAAGCCATCCATGCACGGTCACGGCCGAGGAACTACCTAACTAATAAATCCTTTTTTCTTTATAGCCTCCGACTGCACTCCCTTAGGGAATGGTGTGAGGAGGTCGCCCAGAACCAAGACCTCCGGACCGAGAAGAATGATTTCGAAGATGCACTATTCGACAACGAAATGAACACGCTAGTGCAGGAAGCTAGGCGACACTACGAGGACACAAACTACAAAATGGCTCTGAAGTCGTGCTTCTACGATCTCATCAACGCCAAGGACATCTACAGGGCAACTTGTGTAGCGGCAGGAATCCCGATGAACAAGGACTTGGTCTTTAAATATATCAGGCTACAAGCCCTGTCCCTCACACCTATCGCACCGCACTGGGCCGAGTACATTTGGCTCGAGATACTCCACGAAGCCCGAACAGTACAACTAGCTCGATGGCCCGAGGTGCCGGAAGCTAACGCCAGCCTTGCGGCGGCCCGCGCCTACGTGCTCGCGACGCAGTCCAACGTCACGTCGGCGGAATCGGCGCAGGTAAAGAAGATGGCCAAGGGAAAGCAGATGAGCTTCGACCCGAAGAAACCCAAGAGACTGACGATCTACATAACCAAAGAGTTCCCCAAGTGGCAGAATGAGTGCATCGAGCTAGTAAAGGAGACGTGGGATCCGACGACCATGACGCAGAAGTGCACCGATAAGGAGCTTAGCGGCCGGGTAGCCAAGATAGGTAAGGTGAAGGAGGCTATGCCGTTTGTGCAGCGTCTGAAGAAGCGCCTCCGCGACGGGGAGCCGGCCAGCGATGTGATGGAACGCAAATTAGCTTTCGACGAGTCCAAGACAGTCGTGGCTATGGTACCTAGCCTGAAGCGGGTAGCAGGGCTATCAGCCGTCAATGTCTTGTTAGTAACCGAAGGCAGTAAGACGGCCCCTGATCTCATTCACGGAGGTGAGGTAGACGTCAAGTCTCCTTTTGCCGAACAAGCCGTACCGGGCCAGCCGTCTTTCTTGTTCGAGAATATCGAGACGTAGTAGGTCGAGGAATAGACGGGTAATTGTCGCCCCCCCGAGTAGGGATCACCGGTAACCCTTGCCGGGTTATTATACTTGCAGCCACCCAAGTGCATGTGTTTTTTATTTATTTACATTCGCAACGTGGTTAGGCGTGTTTTGCCAGATGGCAATATTCTTTTCCACCTCCATAACCCAACACTCTTTCCACCGGCAAGATCCGGGAAAAGGAATCCGAAGAAAAATATCCGATAACGGACATTTAAATATTTTCTTCCTCCTCCTCCTCTTCCTCTCCTAGGGGTTCCAATTCTTTTAATTCCCCCTCACTACCCACTACCGCTAAATCTACGTTGACCCCAAGATCGATTCCAGAAACGGCCCGGCCCCGCGAATGAACATGGCTAACAATACATTAAAGATTGCCGTCATCCCCGGCGACGGCATAGGACTCGAGGTCATGCCATATGGCGTCCGTTGTCTAGAGGCGGCCGCTAAAGTGTTTGGCATTCCGCTAACGTTCGAGACGTTCGACTTTGCCAGCTGTACTTTCTACCAGAAGCACGGGGACATGCTTCCGCCAGACTGGAAGGAGAAGCTTCTCGGGTTTGATGCCATCTATTTTGGCGCCGTTGGTATGCCAGAATTGGTTCCGGACGAGGTATCGTTATGGGGAAGCCTGTTGAAGTTTAGGCGTGAATTTGATCAATATATCAACTTACGCCCATGTCGGCTGATGGCCGGGGTCAAGTCTCCTCGTTCGTATACCCTTACTCAACGTTCTCCCTTCTCTTCCTTACTTCTTCCTTTCTCTCTTCATATATATGTGACTATCTTGACTTGCTGATAACCTGTGCCAAAAGTGGCCGACAGAAAACCTGGAGATATTGACTTCTGGATCGTCCGTGAAAACACTGAAGGTGAATATAGTAGTATAGGTGGTAAGATATTCGAAGGGACCGATAGGGAGACGGTGATCCAGGAGACCGTCATGACGCGAACTGGCATCGACAGAGTGCTTCGTTATGCCTTCGACCTCGCGCAGAGCCGGCCGCGCAAGCGACTCACCAGTGCTACAAAGAGTAACGGAATAAGTATCACGATGCCGTACTGGGATTCTCGAGTTCGCGAAATGTCTCTCAGCTACCCAGATGTAAACGTGGACAAGTACCATATCGATATCCTTACCGCTCACTTTGTTCAAAGACCCAATATATTTGACGTGGTTGTCGGGAGCAACCTATTTGGCGATATCCTGTCTGACTTAGGCCCTGCCTGCACCGGTACAATCGGAATCGCGCCATCCGGGAACATCAACCCGGACCGACGCTTCCCCAGCCTTTTCGAGCCGGTCCACGGGAGCGCGCCCGACATCGCCGGCAAGGGTATCGCAAACCCGATCGGTATGATATGGGCCGGTCAGATGATGATGCTGCATTTCGGCTACCAAGATGCTGCCGCCGCCATGCTTCGAGCGATTGAGAAGGTTCTGGCTGGCGGGGATACAAATGTTATCACGGCTGATTTAGGTGGTAAGGGGACAACAAAGAGTCTAGGAGAAGCCATCGAGATCGAGATCCTTGCGGCAAAGAAATAGAGCCTTTACGCTTACCTACATCATGCCTATGTGAATAGCTGTGGTATGTGTCAAATCTGATGAATTGAAAAAATTGCCTAACTGACGACATTGCGCAAACAAAGTTCCCAAACGTCATAACCATCACTTGGTCTATTCACAGCGCCCCGTTCGTAGTATCTCGAGATATCAAAGGCCATGTATGTAGAATAGCCTGTATCACAACGTGCTAGGTCTCTGATGCTATAGAGCGGATTCTTGTTCACCATGACGTGAATCTGGAAGAAAAAAAATACCCGGATTAAAAGGGGCCCTTTTCTGTCTTGTTACCAATATGGTTGAAACAGCCGAGGATGCCGTCGTGATTCCAGATCACACGGTCTAAATATCAAGTCAGCGTCACCGTTTGGCAGTCAATAGGAAATCGAATGAATAAACTTACTGAGATCGTAGGTAGCAGGAGAAAACTGGCCGTTTCCGTTAAGGCAGTTACAATTGAGAAGGAAATTCACATTGCTTCCATGGACTGTGCAGTTGTCACAGGTTGACCAATAATTACCGCTGCGACAAGTTTGTGTTAATACTCATGAAATGGGTCTGATGAAAATAAAGAGCTATTCACTTGCCTGCCGTAAGGATAGAGGTTTCCACCGGAGTTGGCCAAGCAGGCATTGGTGTCAAGCCTTGAGAGTGAGATCAAGTTAGCAGGTGTACTCTATAAGGTTGCCGTTCGTAGTAGTTTACCAAGTCCAGTCGTAGCTGTATCTCGCCCAGTCGTCGTTATTGCAGTACATTCCAAGGAAGCTGTCTACCATCAGGCCAGTCTGCCAAGTACAGTTGGTGACGAGACCCTGAGCATTAGCTAGTTGACTAGCAACACCAAGGGCCACCGTGACAATGGTTTTCATCGACATTATTCTGCTGGAAGCGGATATCTGATAGTGTACTTCTTGACTCTTCTCTCGACGCTCTCTGAGAGTATGAGAAGGGGGTTTTCCGATGGGAGTTAAGTAGTACTGTCACCGTAAATAAATACTCCTCATCAAAATTTGGGAAGAAAACATACCGGGATGAATCGGCCGAAGGCCAAGTTGATGTTTGCTAAGAGAGGGGAAAAGGTTTTTTATGATCTCCCAGGAGAGAGGGGGAAGAGAAAGGATGGAGAGTAGGATGGGAAAGATCGAGAGGAAAGTTTAAAGTCTAGTTGCTTCCGCGTTTATTCTGGTCGGTTACCAGGGTCGGTCACGATACTTCCGCAGGAAACGTCGAAAACGTTAGGCGTGGTTCAGAAAGTATTCCAGCAGGAATGAGTCATATACAGAATCGTTAAGTGTGGGATGTCTACTTCCTCCTCCTTCACTCCTTTCGAGTAACGCCTTCCTTGCCTTGGGAATGAGTTACAGTCTAAAGGGAGGCAATGCACCTACCAAAACAGCCTCCTACTCCTATATCTACCCCCCCTTAAACGCTTCCGGGGTTTCTCATAATACGAGGTGATTATGCTAGCTACGTTTCATACAAATTTACCAGTGGACTGGAACCATATTAATTTGTACCCCTATAAAATATCTATAGCGGATGATTAGGTATGCTTTGCCCGCCACCTTTTTCTTATGAAATTTTGGCATAGACCTTGGTATCATTGTTCGAACTGAATACAGTAAAGGCCCATTCCCAGCGAAGCATATTCGATCAACATTGGACTGCCCATGTTTATGATATGAAGACCATCTTATTAGATTGGTTGCTGGATCTGGACAAAGGTGAACGAACCCGGCAACTGCTTTACAACCACAAACATGCCACCTAGATCGCCATCATATACTTGACGAATATGGCTCGAGGGCTATGGACGCTGCCGGTTGGTACGGTAGATATCCATTCAGAATAGTTTGCTATTTGCTATGGATCCGTATTGCGGTGTTACCTTGCAGGGTAATAATCTTTAAAGCCGGCGGTGGGGCCGTCTCGGTCTAACAGATATGAGAATTTGTCGGGGCGTCCTAGCAATGCCGAGGGTATGTCATCATTATCCTCTATCCTTTCGTATTCTTCTCCTTCGCGATCCCAGAGGTCTTTTCCGTTCCTCACGCGATCGGCTATGCGATCACGGTCGCGGAATGCCTCTTGGTTGAGCCATATGTGGGAGAAAGAGGAGAGCTTAGTCAGAACCTCATCTACCGTGGAGAAGCAGGTAGAGCAGTGCCACTTGAATGATGAAGTTAGTACGCTCTTGGTTGGAGAAGAATTCAATAATTGTATGCTTGTCTCGGGAACAGAAACTCCCCAATCAGCTGGACCGGGATGTCCTCGCTTCCGAGATAGGCCAAAGCGAGTAAAGGCAAAGAAAAGGAGGGAAGAGAAAAAGATAGAATTGTTGATATTGCTTACCCCGGCACTCCATAGGTCCCCCTTTTCCATGCTGATCAAAGGTTGTAGGCCGCCGTCCGAGTTCCGTAGATTGACGGGGAGGATGGTCCTCCAACCTTGATAGTATGTTGCTTGTGGGTGCGCCCATTGAGTACCCCTGTGTAGATACTGAAAACTATAATAGTAGAAGTGGCTCCGAAGCGTGAGGCGGCGTGGGAAATGACATGCTTTGAGCACTACCAGCGTCTCCGGGCGAACGATTTCATCAACGTCGGCTACGACGATCACGTCACCCAATACAGGTGCTTGCTCTCCCGCTAGCCTCGGAAACACCTGCGTATACATGGCATCTCTCTGCAGGTCCTCGAATGCCCAGGAAGCTGGGTCCAAGGGAGGCGTATCAGTATTCTTGCTGTATACTCGATTACGTAGTATATAAGATTGTTTCACTCACTACCGCAAGATTAGCTTCTACCTTTCGAGACGACGCGTTCTTATACGCACCGATTAGAGCGGTCCGAATGGAAGCCGTCGGGGATCTCAAGCTCATGGTATATGAGCTTGTCACGGTAGGCGGAGAAGTGATCCAAGTTGTTCTTGATGACCAAGGGCTTCTCATGATTGGTGAAGGTCTTCTTAGATTCGACAATGATGAAATAGTCGACGTAAGGATAAGTAGTATTCAGACGAATCTCCAACCAGTCCAACTCGGTATTGATCATTATCAGATCATACACCTTTCTCTTCCCCGGGTTCTCGAAGGGGGCCCACCCATGCTGCTGACATAAGCCTCGTGTCTCGACATCGTTCGATAGATCGAGCTTTCTTGGATCGAAGCGGAGAGTTTGATGGACGGATCGATCGGACCAATTGGGATTCAGGCAGAGCAACAGCACGCAGACAAATACGACGGCGAAGGCCAATCGGGTTGCCAGCCTCCGTCTCTCTGTATAGAGAACCCCCATAATTCCTGCTGTGCCTGTGCCACCGTTACACGCATGCATCCGATGTTGTTGTGAGAAGGGAGAGCGTCCAGAGCGTGCAAAGCGTGCAAAAGCGTGTTGGGCCAAATACGGTAATCTGCTTTGGTCACGATCCTAAATAGGGTTAGCCTGGTCACTCTAATAACCTAGATCCTAGGTACCTAGGTATTGAATGATAGGCTAATGAATTTGTGCAACAGTGGATATCCTGATACGCGAATAGTTTAAAAACATCTGCGAAGTACATAACTTATCTTAGTTAGGTACATATATCATATAGATACATATATATGTAGGTTTGTTATATATAACATGGATAACCTCTAGTTACTGACTAGTCACCATTGTAATTAATTACATATCTACTATGTAGAGCACGTATAAGCTATGAACTCCTTCGGAATTCCTCTATCTGGTATAGCCATCGCTGAAGTTTTACGAGTCGGCCACCCTATGCGGCGACATCGGACTATAAAGAAGCTGGGAACCCCGCTGTTACCATCAATATCAATCCATCGTCTGTCTCAGTCTTTCAACCGCGAGAGACTTCTTCATATCCCATCCGCTACCATGTCTACTTTCGACACACCAGACGGTAAACCAGCCAGCAGTTGGCTCGGTCACCAGGGCGCTGCGGCTTTTGACCTTAGAAGTAAACAAACCACAAGCGAACCCCTTCACCCGCCCCTTTTCTTCAAGTTCGACTCATATTCGACTTGGAAACTAAGTAGCTTTCGTTTTGCTAATACCTTTCATAGGCGATACCATGACTACTCCAACTCAGAATATGCTGTTTGCTATCCAACATACCACCTTGCTGGACGATGTCTTCGAAGAAGACCCGACCACCATAGACCTCGAGACTCATGTGGCCTCTTTGACGGGTAAAGAGGCCGCTCTTTTCGTCCTTTCCGGCACCATGGGCAACCAAATAGCCTTACGCTCGTTGCTCACGCGGCCACCACACGGTGTGCTGGCAGATCATCGTTCGCACATTATCAAGTACGAGGCTGGAGGGTAAACCACCACCCTTTGCCACTCTGCATTGATTATCCGGAACTGACCATTCGAAACATAGCGTCACATCCTTGACTGGCGCCATGGTAAGAATTGTTAAATTCGCACTTGCCAAGTTTTGAATACTTATAATTCAAGCTTAGACTACACCCATAGCGCCTAGAAACGGCCTTTATCTAACTCTGGAGGATATCGAGTCCAATGTCGTCCTTGGGGAGGAGATACACTCCTGTCCGACACGCGTCATCAGCCTTGAGAACTCGCTCAACGGATTAATCATGCCCCTGGACGAGGTGAAGAGGATCTCCGAATTTGCCCGAGAGCACGGCATCCTCATGCATTGCGACGGTGCGAGGCTGTGGGAAGTGGTCGCCTCCGGGGCTGGGTCGCTACCGGACTTCTGTCAGTATTTTGATACTATCTCCCTCTGCTTCTCCAAAGGGCTAGGTGCCCCGATCGGAAGTATCATCGTCGGCAACAAATCACTCATAAAGCATGCGAGATGGGTGCGTAAGTCGATCGGTGGTGGCCTGCGCCAGTCCGGCGTTGTCACAGCCGCCGCTCGGGTGGCGGTTGACGTGACTTTCGGCAAAGGCCCAAATGGCGAAAGTGGCCTTCTTCGGGACACGCACCTCACCGCAAAGCGCGTCGAGAAGCTGTGGACAAGTCTGGGCGGCCGGATGGAATATCCCGTCCAAACAAATATGGTTTGGTTAGACCTTCAGTCGTTAAACTGCAGCCCTTCTAGATTTGCTCAGCTGGGTCGCCAGGTTGGCTTAAAGGTTTCCGGTAACCGAATTATTACGCATTACCAGATTGGCGAGGAAGCCATCAAGAGGCTGGCTAGTATCTTTGAGAAAGTAGCTTCGGAAAGGGGGGCGAGTAACCATGACAAAGACCACGAGACACTCCAACGTGACTTTTACGGTAGCAAGGTTTAGGTTATGACCTGATCAAGAGCTGCTCGAGCACAGAAATATTAATACGGCAAGGAGATAAGAAGCTCAAAGTTACCCCTTAGGAAACTTAGGGTTATAGGGTTATGTGGCTTTGATTTGTTGGAAATGTTGTGCTGTTGTTCTATGATACATCCCACTTGATATGTCCATCTTAGGTATATTCGGTACTTAGCAACAACTACAGATTCTTGAAAACACTTTTTACAGTAGAAATTTAAGAGACGCACTACTCTTTAGTATCCACACGTTTCGGGTCAAATATGGAAATAGTCACGAACATCATGGCCAGGTTTTACTATACTGTAGATAACTGAACCTGCCACAGGGCTTTATTGTACGAAATCTTTTGAAATTTCCGAGGCTCTGCAACGAGCCATACAACCGTAGATGACCGCTCTCCCTTTCTCGGAATCTCAAGACCACACTTTCTCATTTGAAATGACTAGGCTCTCTTGCTTTTCACATTTAGTCTTCGACGATTCCTGTGCCTTGCGTACAGGGGACGCAATTATATACATTGCACGTGCACGGCCCCAAGAGCCTACTCGTCTTTCGAGTACCCTTCATATACACGGGTTGTCCAAATATTGACACGGTTCTCCTGCACCCTTGTGCCTCCCTGATCTCAAGCTTTTCCAGCACGAGGCACTGTTCCTCATGATATTTCCTCATGCCGGGGGTATTTTGCGTAAAGTGGTTGATGTAAACAATAAAATGCAACCAAGCCCCCAATCGTTATGCTGGAATATAATTTTGCTGCTTTTGTGGATAGATGCTGCAACCAAACGCCAAAGAAGTTAGAGTGATATGAATCCCAACCGTACAGCACGCGTCTTCGACTGAAATTTTTCTTGTTTTTTTGCTGTCCCCTTACTAAGTCTTTTTCCCGAATATCCCTCTACTCCTCGACTTGCTTCGGGCACGCTTCGACTTTACGCTACTAGCATCGTCGGTATATTTTGCCTTGTGTATCCTGCAATGGTATATATTAGCCGTCGAGAATACATCGTGTGAAACCAATAGGAATAAACTTACCAGCTATTTCCCGGCATACTCATGCCTTTGGCCTCGGCCATACGGTAGAACTTAGCGCTCTTCTTGAGATCTTTCTTGCACCCGACGCCTTTGGCATAGCAAAAGCCGGCCTCGGCCAAAGCGTCAACATCCCCCCAACCTGGCGTCCCCCGTTAGAGCAGTCCTCAAATAATTTCATCGATGAATTAACTTACTTCCTGCAATCTCGAAACACCGTAGAGCAAGTGCTTTATCCTGCTCAATCCCCCAACCGTTCATGTGACTGACACCTAATTCGTAGATGCTCAAAGCGAATTGCGCCTTACGCGTTTTGCGATCCATGAAATCCACCGATTTCCCCTCTTTGACATGGTCTTCATCGTCCGCAATTTCGGCACTGACAACGTCAGCGGCTTTCCGTAACCACTCGACGCCTTCTCGTTGGTTCGGCCGCATGCCCCACCCGTGTCGACAAGCTAGCGCGTATAATAACATCCCTGTCGGATCGCCTGCGCGCGCAGCAAGTCGCAGGTGGTAGGTAGACTCCTTTACGGAGCCTTCTTCGTGGCACTTGATGCCTTTAGCCAAATGCTCCTCTGCGCTTATTTCAGAGGCCGAGGGGGCGTGCGAATGCTGTGATTTGGGTGGTCTAATGGTACTAGCAGAATCGCTTGTGGACACAGACATCGGCGTCCGTCCTCGAGCTTGATCGTGAAGGGGCGATGTGAGTGTTCGCCCCCTAGGAACGTCCTCCGAAGGTCTGCTTCCACAGGTTGATGGGCGGCTTGGGTCGGGCGACGGTTGTCGTCCGTCCAAGGACATTTCGTTAGAAAGTTTGCTACGTTCCATAGACGGACGGGCCAGGAGAGAATCAGCCGCATGAGTGCCTTCCTGGACTCTCGATGAAGAGCTCGAAGGCCGAGTGGGCGGCGAAGGTGGCGCCTGACCACCCCTAGGAAAAGTTTGGACATTGCTTGGAGCAGTGATTGGCTGTTCCCATACGAAAGAAGCCGATGGTTCATTGTCGCGAAAAATAGCCGAGTTACGCTGCAACGATTTTCCTCTGGGTAATGAATACTTCGAGTAAATATACGAAGGAGCGCCTCTCCCATCATCTTCCAGAAAAGCTTCGCTGTGCATACTGACTGGAGTGTGCGCCGTCTCATCGGCGAGCACGAAAGAAGGTTGACTATCGGACGATGCCTGCCGGGATGGTGGCTCTAGACCTGGAGTGCCTGATCGACTAAGTGGGCGAGAGAAGTTGAAAGAGGGGCGTGGTAATGGGGCAGAAGCCTCAGAACTGATTGACGGCGATCTTTGATAATGAGCAATAGGAGATGCGAGGCCCGGCCCTGAGAAGGCACTGCTCGAAGAAAGCTTTCGCCCTGGCTGCGAGTGAAAAGAAGCACTCAAGACATCGTCATTATTCGCTTCTAGAGGTGCCGACATTATACTTGAAGATCGTTTAGGAAATAAAGGTCTCGGAGGGACCAGGCCAGCAGACTCATGAGAGGACACCTTGGTTAGCTTCTCTGGTGATGGCGGAAAGCGGTTTCGAGTAGGCGAAATTTCCCTAGTATCACGGTCATGGCCATGCTCCGTTAACTTGTGTTCTGTCCCTCTATCACCTATGCTCTCCAGGTCACTGGGCGACTGTTCCCTGCGCGCACCATAAAATCCACTATTTTCATCGAGCTTTTCGAGCTGACGGCCGCGCGTGTTCTCGATGAAAGGATTGGGAGGGAGAGGTACCGAGTGGTCTGGAGTAGGTGGTATGCGACTCATCCGAGGGTGCATCGAAACGGGGCGCTCAGTCGGCGATTCCACTTCTGTTGTCAACCCAAGCCCAGTGTTTTGATGGGGTGTTTCTGGTTGGTCTTCAGAGGAGTCGTAGGACATGGAGCGAAAGTAATCGGAACGGCCCTGGACAACTAATGGGCTCTCAGTTGTCAACGGAGGCAGGCGACTCATTCGCCTTCCGGCTTTGGCGCTCTCCTCGAGCTGCTTCGCTAACAAGCGACTCTGAGCCGCAAAGGCATCGAGGGGGGATAAAGCGGGAGGAACCTCCCCTGCGACGTGTAACCGTGGCGACCTGAGAGGACGGGAGACAGCGCTGCTGGCAACCGAGGTTGAGGAATTCGCCCTCAAATCGATAAAATTGGGTCGGTTCGACATCTTGAGGTGAAGCTATTGAGATTGAGATTAGGATTGGAATAGGGCGTTGAGTGCTGTATTAACCCTATAGTGAACGTGATGGTCCTTTCTTGATACGCCTAGGAGTCGCGCAATTCAAATCGACGTTACGAAAATCCGACTAATATTTGTAGGGCGGGGGAGATTTTGTCGTAGGCAATATCTGGAAAGCGCATGAAACATGAAGTCGGTTTTGTAGGTCAGCCGTAGAGAAGGATGGGATGCGACAGGAATGTAGGATCAACGTGATCAGAAAATGATTACGACTGGTATAAAAGGGTGTCTAGTATTCGAGTCGCTTCGAATGCGATACACTACAGATATACTGGCGAAAAAAGATCGAGAATGGTCTTGTTCATCAAATGCCGAAATATCACGTATTCTTAGGAGGTGGAGTGAGGAAGGATATAATCAGATTCGAAGTTCAAGGGTTGAAGGAAGAGACAATACAGGAAAAAAAGGACTTGGTAATGATAAAGTGGTTTACGCATAGAAGCAAAGAACGGACGATGATTTATCACCAAAAGGAATATTCACCTAGCCTTCACGGCAGGATGACGGAGAAGAAAGATGAATATAATGTGACTTTGTGATTTCTGTCGTCGCGAATGTGTGTGCGATGAGAGGAAGAGCAATCAAGGTCGATTGAATTGCCCCGGGGGTTCATCGTCAGAAACATTGAAGGAGAGGGTCGAGGAGCCAGCCAAATTGCTTCAAAGTTCTCGGTACAGTGTAATAATAACCTAGCGCAACTTTTAACGCTACCATTCAGGTTAGTTAAGATTACATGTGTCTGGGTACCCCGTACTGTCCGTACACAGTTTCCCGAAATTGAACGTAACCGGGGCAGCCTTTTCTCCATTGGGCGAGCTTGGGAGCTTAGCTAATAAAGTTTCTCCACCTAGCACGGCACGATACCTACTACCTAGGTATCGCATATGTGGGTACATAGGTAGGTATCGATTCACCATAAATCTGATCTGGGAATATAGGTAAGATTTAATCACATAGATATGTATGGAGTCGAAGTCCAGATGTCTCTCTCTATACTAACCCGGCTACCTGGGTACATAAGTATCTTGCTTAAGTTAGGTGCATAGCCTACGTAGTCCTCCGCAAAAACGTTAGAAGTAAACACAAATCAAATTCATTTATGGATAGCTTTGAAGGTACATTGATGGATCCCTACGTTATAAATGGCAACCGTGCTTAACTCCATTCATGCCTAGCCTGGTCTGGTGGAACGTCAAAGTCACCTAGATGGGAACAGACCCTATCAAAACACAGTATAATTGTGAGGGAATTGGCATCTTTCTCTAAATAGAGCTTAGCGCATAAGGGGCGTGAGAGTATTGACCAATCATCCAAATTCGTGTACATAAAAAAATACGAGAACACGCAGGCTTGTAAGTCGGCCGTACTTACTTTAAATACATGATCTACCTAGCATCTACTACGTAGTATTAATATGAGCAGCCTGTCTATGTATGTACACACATGCACACATGGGTTACTAAATAATTAGTAGTAAAAATACATATATAATACATATAACTGATAAGTACTAAGAAAAAAAGGTCTTATATCTCTCTCGAATTTGTTGTTGTGAAGTCGGAATGCGATTGGCATGCAAGCTGATTCTTAAAACTCGGACCTACATGTGGCTGAGACAAGTTGATAGTCCCAAGGTTCCTTGACTGCATCAACCAACCAGCTGATGAGCTCAGCACTTTGAAGTATTCTTCGAAAGATTGACGTCAAAGGTACTTGAGCCCGCCCAGCAAATAACAGCTGCGTACGCAACACACGGTGTTTTCGCCATCATATAATAATAGACATCCAATGGTCGACCGGATTATTACCACACGAAAGGACAAGTAAATGGGCAAGTAGGCTGTCTGGCTGTGTACCTAGGCAAGTAGTGAGCTAAACCAATATTATTGGAAACAAAGCTGAAAAGAACGATATAAATGTTTTAAGAAAATACATCATACGGAACATCACGAATATTAGAGCGATTGCCAATCTTCAAGTGACCATTGTATGTCTCACCTCTCAGTTCTTTCTACTAACAAACCTCAATCGGATTCGTAGATAAACTACTCTAAGATCTCCAAGAACAAGACACTGTTTTTTCCCCCCAAGATTAGCCGGCAAACGCCATTCCCAGTGCATGCGATCAAACAAAGAACTTGAGATGATCGGGCATTAATTTACAGTCGAGGTGACGCCCAATGAAACCCTCTCTAAAGATTTTTCGATTGAAGCTTCTTTAACCTCGTCGCGCCCTCGTACACGCCCCTATCGACAGCAGCAGCCACCGTCAATGTACCGCCAATCACAGCACACAGACCTGTTAAAAACCCGGTGAAGGTTTTGGCACGTTCTTCGCGGTTGATAACCTTCATAGGTGAAATATCCTGCCTCTTGTTAGCGATTATAGGATCTGACAAGTCGAGGGAAATACTCACATATGAAAAGAACACCCCCGGAATACCGCCTCTCGCGTGCATTCGTTCTTGATGTCCTTCGGCTGCATCATCACCTCCAGCTAGGCTTCGCTTGTGACTAGTGACCGAGTATTGGTGCGTCTCCATGCTGCCATCAACCGCGCTACCTAAGTTTCCTAGCCAAATCTCGTCATCGGCTTGGCCGTCGTGCCCGCTCGGCTTTGACCAGCTGAGGGGGAGGTACGCAGTCGGGACAACCTTCACGAAGTACATGAAGTTAAAGTTGGGGTCGTCAGTGGTTTGCTTAACTTGGTCCAGGGGATTTATGTGGTGGTTAGTCCAAGGACTATTTTTAGCATGCTTCCGAGTTACGTCCTCGGGGAGCTGAGGTCCAAAGCGAAGCTGGTGAATTTCGTGCTCGAACGAATGGTGCACCGGACTATCCCAGTAATTCTTGAGGTCATGAACGTGCATGTTTCCATTGCTGAAACTTCGGCCCGGCGCAAAGTGAAAGTTGCCAATGACTTTGTTAACCCGGATTGCGCCTTCGATCCGGCAACCTTCATGCCTTTGTTCATCTAGCTTCTCGGCGTAATGCTCCCGTAAGCACTGTTCGACGCCGTCGCCTCTACCAAAAGCCCAAGATGCCTGCGCGTACGCTTCTCGAACCTCGTCGCAAGTGTTGCAGCAGCCGGGTTTCGTAGCGCTAGCAGGAGCGGGAGCACCGTAGCAAGGGCCGCAGTAGTTGGGATCTAAATGCTCGGCCGTCTCGTCCTTACCATGACTAGTTCGGTTAATTAGAGAAATTACAGATAGCAGAGTTGTGAGGAGATCCGACTCACAGAGACAGCGCAGTCACATCGATGACTCCTCCACCCTGGGTAGCGGGCTGCAGCCTGACTTTCTTCACGCCATGCAGTACGCCATGCTGCTGCTCACCGGAGACGTCCATCACATCGAGGGTCAAAAGCTCGCAAGGGAGTCTAGGGAATGTGATGTTCATATGAATTTCCATTCGCTCTCCTGCAATCGGCGGGTGAGAAATTTGGATAATAAACGGGGTACTTTCGCAGTATCAAAACACACCTCTGCCCTTGTCGACGATAAGTTCTGGGTGGATGACTATCCTCCTATAATCAGACCATTCTCCCCAGGCAAGATAGAGAACGACAATCAAGGATACGATGGTGACGATTCCACCAGAAGTGGTCCGTATCCGCGCATCCTCGACGGTCTTGGTGAAGGCATCGAGCCTTGTGAATCTCGATTTCGCAGGCATCTCAATGTGTCGTGCGGCTCGAGGTCATTCGAATTCTGCGCGATGGGAACGAAACCTAGGTCCGAAATACTGACAATGGGTGGAGAAATCGATGAAGAGGACCGGTAGAAAGAATTGCAAAGGAAATAGAATCACCGTAGACGCCGCATTGGAATATGGAATATCCAGGCTCGGCGTGAAGTAAGGAATGCGAATCACGCTATGTACAAGCCAGAGATAGGAAAAGGTTAAAAAGTTGAGATATACGTGGACTGGAGTGAACAGTCGAAAGGCCACCTTCACCTTTTCCGACGCCAATTGGACCGAGACTGCGACTTCTCCGTTGAACTAACTATTCCATGCCTAGGTAGCTCTTGCAGATACCGGGGTCACTTGTACATACCTGGGTACATATTTCCACAGGCTAACCTGGAACTGTGTGCGGGTACCAGGTAACGCACATATACATGTATGTACCCAGGGTTCAGCGGCTCTTGCTTATAAGAGATATACTAGATGCATTAGGGAACCCATGGATCTACCCGTAGCGCAAAACTATAAAAGACTGTAAATTCTACATAGGTAACTTGGAACCCGCAACCGCTATCGATATTTAGGTAATTCAATCCCTTCTCAACTTTCTAGGTACCTACGTATGTAGATGGTATTATCACATTGAATGACCGAATAGGCGACCAAGTTACGAAACCTTACCTTTCGAACCAACAAAACACATAAACTCATAACAACTTCTGTTATACCTACCTACACCGAGATGGATGGCCCCCTTTTTTCCGATGCGCCCCTCCCCCTCCCGAGCAAATGAGCTGATAGTTATTGTCGTCCTTAGTCTGCCCTTGACTCTTCAAAGAGTCCTCATTGCCTCCAGAAGGCACAGTTCATCATAAAGGACGCAATTGTCTAGCGCCCAATTGTGAACGAGAACTGTGTTTTTACCATGTTAGTATTATATAAAATTCGGGAACTTCATGAGACAAGACGACAACTCACTATCGGATTTATAATTCGATGCGTGTATTCAATTTATCGCTCGCACTATTCCGAATCTCAAGCTGGGTTCATTCCTGGTCGATATAGACTTGCTCGAGAGTTTTCGTTGTGATTGTGTCGCAATTTCTAGATGCGGTTCAGCTCCCGTCATTGCTCAAACATCCGACTATTTGTTCCTGGCTCCAGCTATAGACGCGAACATGGCCGCTCTCAGTACTGGCAGTAGCTACGGTCGATAAGACAATACCGGAATTCAGGAAAGTAACCACTATGATACAATGTGAACTAACTAGTTGGAGGCTTTGGTATTTTAGATAAGTAACCGGGCCTTTTATAGACATTATCTAATATCCATCTTATGGAATAGATACACGTTCTTACGAAGTATAATTATCCTATTACACAATGGTTCATCCGTCATTCCAATGGATATTTCTGCCGAGTCTTCCTATTCGGACCCTGCGAACCAGACGTTCGGCGGGATCGATCAAAAAGCCCCTAACCGTAGCCGCAGCCCAGTTATAAACTGCCTCACTAGGTTCAGAACCTGGACCCCGGATCCATTTCTAGCGATGCTTTCGCCAAACGCATTGCCTAAGAAAGCCAGTTGCTGCCTCGGTATTTGCTAGAGGTATAACTATACCTAGTGAATTAGTTTCTCCAGATATTTATTGAGATATTACGTTTTACTAATTAAATTCACGAGAATTTGGTTAGATATTACGGTCCTCAATATTTGGTAGTGGATGATTGTAATGCCACGATCGATACCTGCATAATTTACCAAGTTACAGTTAATATATAAAGTATCAAGCTTGATGTGCTAGGAAAGGGCGGTGCGCAACACAGGCTCCTCAGGGGGCAAAAGGGGCTTCAGAGGCGTGGATGGCGTGTTGGATGGGTAATTTATAACCCATATCCGAATACCTAGTAGGCAGTGTGACTAGATACTATCTTCTCACAATATACCTAGTATCCCCGGTTGTGACTGTCACATGGCATTTCTTCGTATGTGGACTTACTCTACGACCAGATCTCGTTTCGCGCGGAGCTTCAGCATTGAGTTACACTCACAAGACGTACTACAAGTGCTGATTTGATATCCTGAAGCCCTTGACATACCTAAGTATCCAGGCAGGGCTTGAATCGACGAAATGTATCAGACGAGATATATAGAAGAGATGAACAAGCATCATACAAGTGATTGACGCTCATTAATGTCCATGATCAAAGAGATTAGTATCCACCTCAGCAATAATCTCTTAGACGAAAGCATAATTAGTATATTGTTATTATACGATATACTACTATGTACTGAGGATAATATGATGCGGCTCAGGAAATCGCAGAATTAAAGGGGAAGTTACTCTATCCCAGTCCCAAAATATAGATACTAGGACTTCCTAACCCCTTTGTGATGTCCGTCCATATTTAGTTATCCACCGAGCGTCATGAATGGTCAACTCAACAGCTCGCCGGCCGAAGATATCTCTTTTCTTGTCCTGTTGGCTAGTATTCGCTGCCGTCAAATTTCCGCAATCCGGCCTCTTTAACTTATTAGCGAATGTATCAGCCGCCCAGATGAGCACGCCATTTGTCCAGCCGAATCCCTCAACAACTTCATATTCGCCGCCTCCTCCGGCGACATTCGTCGAGTTGTCAGCATCTGCATAGTGTTAACATTCCTTGGAACACAAAATGTGTTATCCTACTACAACGCCCCGGACTAAAATACGAAGTAGAGAAAGGCAAGAGTATTTGTAATGGAAAATATCTTAACGTACTGTATCCGTGTTAGCCTGAATTGAGAATAAAAAGCCACATTAGGTCACGGAGATGGGGGACACAACAGTCCTGCCCAGGAGGTTCTAATACATACCATTTTTCGAACATAATTCCGGTATCTCCAGGGCCGAACCCCTGTAGTTGGGGTGTTTCGTCCGTAGAGCCACCGGTTGCAAGCCACGTACAGAACGTGCTGTCTAGGTATCGTTGCGCTAACTTGAGGGATAAGTCTTGCGTCGCGATGTAGGAGGGATCTTCCGGACCAAATGTTGCTGGCGTTTCGAGAAGACCTTTTATAAGTACATACATCAGCGGTGGCCAGACATTCGGTTGATCCCACTGCTGGCCGGTCCTGTAGTTCGTCGCAGCAACGGCGCCTGCCTTCTCGGAAATAAGATCAGATACACGCTGAAAGATGAGTTTCACAGCTAGAGGATTTTCCCTAAGTTGCGCAGGAGCTGCACCTAGCCAGAAAGGATAAAATTGTGCAATATGGAAAAAGACTTGGTATCCTTCAGGGGCATCTGCCTTTTGCGCTGGTGTGGTATCCGAATCTGACGGCACGTATATATTTTGCGATCTGGAGGTCAGGTTGTAATCGAAATAACTCATGTACTTGTCATTCCACATTAGCGAATACATGGCGGCCGAACGATTCTGAGCCATCTCCTCGAACTCTGTGGCTAATGAACCATTCCCAGCCTGTTTTAGGTAAGTAGAAATAGTCATCTCGTTAGCATATAATATCGAATTTAGGTCGACACCTATTACGTTCGCGGTGTTGAGGGACCGCAGGGGGAAGTACACATCATTGGCAGCATCAGATGGCGTGGCAATCCAACGGGAGTTGTAATCCCACCCTGATTCAGCGCCGGAAGCAAGGTTGGCGTAGAGTTCAGCTTTCTCGCTATCATTCAAAGCGTGCGTCTCAGGGTAAATAATACCGGAGTTTGAGTAATAGGAGTTGTTATTAGCCGTAATATAATCTTCGCTGTATGACTATGTTTCTAGGTCAGTCTTTTACATGTAAGTAGGCGTTGATAAAGGCTTCGACCGCCTAGCCTAGTAATAGATTACTTGTTGTAGATATATGAAAAAAAAAAAGAGAGTGATGATACTGGAATGTGCATACCTCTGGTCGTGGTTCGGTATTCTGGACTCCGTAACTATTTGGTTTCGTTTTTAATTATAAGATCCTACCAAGTAAGGCGGAAAAGGCGTTGTTTGAAGAGTACTCACTGCGTCAGATGGAAGGTCCTGTCGCCCGACTGAATCGCTATCGTACGATTCTGTATCCAGAAATCATGCTCTTTGATCAGTAGAGGTAACGCACGCTCGAGAAGGCTCGTATCGTTAGTATAGTCAACATAAGTCTTGACCATCTGTGTTAGGAGCGGCGGCTGGGAACGATTCAAATAATCTGTCATGCGTCAATGCCTCTGCCAAAGCTACAGTCTTGCGTCTTACGCAAGTCTGCTTAGGACCGACGATTTGAGATTACAAGGAGTAGAGACAACGTAAAAAAAGCATCTTTACATACTATAGAGGAATTAGAACTCATACACGACGATATCTTTCTACCGTACATACCATACACGTGCACCGTTGGGTACAAATCCGAATTGGTCGACGAAGTCCAAGAAATTCTCGATTATATTCCTGAAAGCAAATCAGCGCATCCGGTCTGATCTAGGCCATGGCGATTAGGTCGAGATAATAACGAACCTGGAAATTCGAGTGAAGCTGCCACCAGTTCTCAGCAAACCCTCGATGATCCAGTAAGAGTCCCAATAATAGGGCTCTCTAAACCGACCTCCAGCAACAACAAATGTGCGGTTCATTGGAATAAAGCTGTCAACACATCCTGTGCAATTAGCAGCACCCACGTCTATAAATCTTAGTGTCGGTTTATCTAGCGCCTGGTATCGTACAAGAGACTGCTTACACGTCCGGGTCAAATCGGGCCAGATGTCGATGACCTTCTGTACGAATTGTTTTATCACGGAATCATCGATTTTGTCCAAGAAAGCAGGGTTGGTCTCTAATTGGTCCCGGGGAACCTGGGCTAGCTCAGACCCAGCCTCGCCAAAGTAAGTCGATAGGAAGTCGTTAAGTTCGGTGTTGTTGCTGAGTGGCTTAGCAAGTTTATCGAACGCGGCAAGAACGTCGTCTAAAGATGCTCTTGTTGGTCTGCTTGTCCGTTAGTAAATTCAAACACTGCCTATGTGGGTTGACGAATATTTATAATTACAAGTCTACGAATGTCTTAGAGTCAGAGAAGGGTTGAGCAAGCTCGATCTGCTTTAGAACATCGCCCTGGCAGTACAAGGGTGAGTCGCAGGGTGAGGCAATCGATCCATTTTGGTAGAGGCCATAGACTAAGGCAGGCGAGGCGAAGGCCAACACTGCCGTTATGTGTCGAAAGCTTGTCATATTGCACCTTTTTGTTACGTCAAAATCCCAATTGGTGGTGAATGGGGAATGAGGAACTATAAGACGAATGTGAGAGATCACCTAGGTACTTGGCGCAAAGCCGACGGTATATCCACGAAGGAAGAAATATCGCGGCATCTTTCGCCGTACCGCACAACCGCCGGGGTACCAGGTATAATGACACCTACATGTATGTAGGTATGCAAGCATGTACTCAAGAAGCTACCGAAAGCTTTAGGAAGCTGAAGCTGCTTGCGGGGTACCTAATGGCCTAACCGCTTCCAATTCCTGGTAGGATCGGTGGCTGGGCACGGCCATCCATCAAGTCACCTCCGCCGTTCCGGCTCTGTAGGAACAGTTGGTATAAGAAAACAAGAGAAAACGGCTTAGCTGATTGGGGAGATGTTAAGGCGTAATAAAAGTTGCTCAGTACCTGCCTAAGCATATACCGAGCATATCCCCTTACATACCTTTATGTACGTCTGTAGCGAGTTTTAACAAGTTTTTAGCCAATGGTATTAATCGTTTATATGGTCTTTACAGGTACATAATCATAGAATAACTACCTTGGTGGGTTTTCCGGGGTTTTTGAACCGTATACATTCGGTATATATACGGCTCCGAATTTGAGCGGCTCAATAAAGTATATGGAACGGTTCGGGCAAATATTTTAGAGCCGCTCAGCCAATTAAACGGCTCCATAATGGCTCATTAAACCCTGAACGCTCTAGTTCGGAGCGGTTCAAAGTTTAAGCGTTCCAATAATATTGAGTGGTATATATACGTACTGAACGGTTCAATTTTTTGAACCGCTCATATTTTGAGCCGCTAAGCATTTAAGCGCATATATAAAAAAATAGATATTCCTAAGGTCCTAAGTACTACTCCTATACTAATTATATAGGAATAGTACTTAGAACCTTGGAATGACACAGTTCAATTATACAGTTTTTGCAAATACTCACACTCGAACTATAGATTCTACAAGTTTTAATTGGATGAGCTACGGTCGCTTTGCCACTTGACTACGATTACAAAGCTTACGTTGCGCGTAAGTGCATAAGGTTTTGTTTTAGTATATAAAGCGGGGACTCTTCGGCTAAAAATGGGGGCTTTATCGCATTAAACAATTCAATATTCGAGCGTTCAAAATATTTGAGCGGTTCAAAAGTTTTTGAACGGCTAAACTCTATAGAGCGGTATAATAATGGCACATATACGGCTCAATTGCTTGAACGGGAATATTATGGTTCAATTGGGTTAGCGCTCCTTAATTTTCGAGCGCACGAGGAAAGAGCCGTATAAGTACGGCTTAAATCTTGAGCCAATCAATCGCGAGAACGCCCGAATAAGGAACTGCTCATTGCATTGAGCGGGGTATATGCAGTTAAAATAATGAACGGAAAATATACGGTTGAAATATACCCCCATGCGGCGGTAAGGTATGCAGGTAGGTAGGTATACGTAAGTAGGTACCTAGTAGTTCTTACAACTTGGTACATGGTCGTTTCCCTCCGCTTTCGTAGAACTCACTCCCCACATTTCAGGTGTATAAATACGTTGAAACTCTTAGGTTCTATTGCTGGCATGTTACATGCCCACCTACCCGTATACACATGTATAGGAGAGATTGATGATTTCTGGTTCTCTTTGAATTCTAGTACCCACATAAAACAATGGGTTAGAGAGACGTAGGCATATTTTATTGGAAACGACATATAGGTAACTTGTAATGCCGAAACTCGATTTGATTTGGACATAAGAACCTCACGAAATTCTCGCTGCTAAGTCAAATGCCTAAGTGATGGTTCGGCGAATGTGTTAAAAATGCTGCGTTAATAAACGACGTCGTAAGTACCAAGCTCACTATTGCTTTTTTTTTATAAAGAGGATATCTATTTCATTGATGGAACTAGATAGTAGAGCTGAACCAGTAGAGCCGGCATGACCACTGAATTTTCATTACCCATCCTGTTTGGAAGGGATAATGTCCTTCTATCATCACATCATATCGGTACAGAAGCTCAGCGTAACGTTGTCTTTTCCGTGATTTGTGTATCCCTCACGAGTCGACGTCCATCTTTTCTCCTTCGGCCGACTCTAACTCTTGTACACTGACGTATTTTCCGATTTCGTCCTTGGTAATGATCTTCTCGTTCAGCACTGCTGTGGTGCCACGCTTGAACTTGTAATTCTTCAGTTTCTGGCTGCGCTCATTCGGCTTGATGAAGCCGCGGTGCAAGGTCGTCTTGTCCGCTGTAATGACGGCCACATCGACGTTAGATCCCGAACCCAGATCGTTGAAGATACCTGCCTGAATAGCCTGAGAGCAGAGCTCCATGGCATCCTCCTTGGTGCAGTTCGGCTTCCATTGTGATTCGAAGACGGACATGGCCGCTAGAGAACCTGAGCCCATAGTCACGTAAGGAAGCTTGTCCGTGCTCCCGTGGGCATGCACGGTAAAGAGGTGGGTCCCTGTGGGATCAACACCGGCAACGACGAGATACGCTCCAATATGACCCTGGTACCGGAAGAGATGTTGTTTGAGGAGGGTCATACAAGTCACGACGCGGGGCTTTCGACCGGTTGAGAGGGAATGTAGCTCGAGCTGAGAAGAGATGAGGGCCGTGGTAAACTCAGTGTCGGCAGCGGTGCCGGCACCAGCACACCAGATTTGGGGTGAGATGTAATGCAATTTCTCGCAGTTCTTGTCGGCGACGATGGGACCACTAGTGGCTCGAGTATCGGCGGCGATCTATCGGCTTTGTTTTAGCGGAACAGTTATTGGATAATCAACGACTAAGTCAGGATTGGCCTACCACGACACCGCCATCAAATATACACCCGACGATGGTGGTACCTGTACTGGTCGCCTTTGGCAAAGGAACACCTCGTGCGTGTAGAGCCGCATTGCGGTTGTAGTTCGAGAAGTCGAAGCCAGGCATACTGGCTGATGCGATGTGATGGATAATCCTTTTCGTCGGGGGAAAGGGCTTGGTTGAGAATAAGAAACTTAAAGCGATCCACAGTCGGACACTTTGGTGTTGGTATCGTGCTCTGATATCGCAGAAAGTGAATGAGTTGTCGACAACGTAGTTGTTCGAGATGGTGCAGAAATATTGGTAGAGGTGGTAGGTACTATGTTGTTTGCTGGAATCGGATATGATAGAGCTCTAGGGCTGGATGACGACCGGGACCTAGCTGCCTGTTGGACCTTTACAGGTAGGCAGGTACCTAGTGTACACATGCAGCACGTCCCTGCTATGTACCTAGACGATGTTACTATGGCTCTATAGATATATGTCAAGGTACTTCCTAGACTCTAGTCTACTACTACTAGTACCTAGGTACCAATTAGTATGCACTGTATGTATAAGGTACTGTAATTGTATTACATAATGACTCATGGTGGGTACCTCTCCGATGCAGTGGCAGGGGTACGCGAACTCTTTAGGTACAATACATCCCTACATGCAGGTAAGCGCATCTCGCTCTAAAAAGTTGAGCTTAAGTTCCATTGCGCGCCGCTGTGAATCAAAGCTTCGTTCCTATCCATATTTCCCTTCCCAAAGTTTCTCGTCGCATCCTTTTTCTTTTTCCTATGAAGATATGCCCGTCTGTCTAGACAATTTCTCTTGACTCGTGAGTCACTCAGAGTTCCGAATACCGAATTGCGCAACCCGACTCATTCTATCTGAGACGTCCTGCCCGAAGTCAACTGAAGCTCTCAATACAAACAAGTCCATCAACGTATCTATGTCATAACTACTATTCCATGATCGCTTCTTCGTGGAAAAAAAATCCTCTTCTGCCAGAATAATGGCTTTCGGTTTCGGAAACGCAGGTGGCGGTGGCGGTGGCGGTAGCGGTGGAAATGTCTCCCAAGGTCCTGACCTTGGGGAGGTCCAAACTGAAGCTCTCGGCTTCCTGTCACTGTCCGGAGACGCCAAACTGCGGTTAACATCGCCATGGTCTCCACTCCCTACAGACAATGCTTCCCTTATTAGCATCGCTCCGCGGCGCGGCCTTGTTGCTGCCGCTGGTCCTGATGCTGTTATCCTAGCCTCTACAGAGGCCGTTCGACAGGCATTCAATAGCCCTAAAGATGGCGACAACGACATTAGATCATTCGAACCCCAACTGAAGCTTCCATTACCTATACGAATATGTCAAGTCGCCTTTACAGCCGATGAAGCCTATTTGATACTTTCGGCAGAGCAGGGTGGAGGACTGGCGGTATATGATGTCCAGTCTCTCCAGCAAGGCTCGACCCAGACAGCTTTCGAGATACCCACAAATGGAGAGTCGCTTAGAGTTTTGGCGCCGAACCCTCGTCCGGAGAAGGGCGAGCTGTGCGCTGTTGTGACCACCGAAGGCAAGCTTCTGATGGCGAATATGAAGGAGCGTAACTTCCAATCTGGAACCAACGGCCAAATCTTGAAGGACCAAGTGAGCTGCGTGGCTTGGAGCAACAGGGGTAAGCAGCTGATAGCTGGCCTTGGTGATGGTACCATCCAACAGATGACTCCTGAGGGTACCATCAAGGCCGAAATTCCCCGTCCACCGAGTTTAAACCCAACGTATTTTGGTAAGCTTCCAGTTCATTTTCAATTGGCGACTCTCTAGGCTAATGACTATGTAGTGTCTTCTCTGGCATGGCTCGAAAATGACGTATTCTTGGCCTTTCATATTTCGGCCCCAGAGCAGCCTCTCCAGGCTACTTGCCATCTCATCACAAGACAGGGCCAAGACTTTCAATTCCAGAAGTTGAATGACCCTGTGGATGCTTTTAACAACGATAGGGCCCCACACCACACGATCATGCGGTTAAAGGACTTTCCGCCCAATCTCCAGGACCTTCTAATCTTTTCGTCAACTGCCAGCCCTGATATTGGCCTTCTCGCACGATCAAAGACTCCATTAGGCCCGGGAGGTCCGTCGAATGTCTTCGCTACCGTCGAATTGGCTGATGATTCTAAGCGCGCCACTTTACCAATGGACGAAAACATGGGAACCCCAGCACCGATTGGTACGACACTGGATCTCTCCAGCCGAGAGAAGGTCTATAAACCCATACCTACCGATGAGCTGGACCAATCTCCTGGTCCGTTACCAGGTTACTGGGTTCTCAATGCCGAAGGGGTACTTTCTATTTGGTGGGTGGTGTATTCCGAGTCGATCAGAGGAGGAACAACATATCCGGGATTGGCCGCTATGGAAGGCAACGGTGCAACTTCTGTCGAGATGACGACCGCTAAGGCGGCTCAAACAAACTCATTCGCAGCCTCAGCCTCAGCCTCATCACCACTTGGGGCCCCGCCAGCGGCGACGGGGGCGGCGTTTGGTAGCACTTCAATGTTAGGCTCGAAGAACTCGCCCTGGGGGGCTCAACCTTCGTCTCCTGGTGGCGCCGGTGGTGCCAGGCCTACATTTGGCTCTAGCGCTTTTGGCACATCAGCAGCTTCCTCGGCGCCAAAGTTTGGCCAACCGTCTTTCGGTGCCCCTAGTCTCGCCGCCGCCGCCGTACCCGCTTTCGGTCAATCTACGGGGCTTGGTTCGAGGTCGTCGCCTTGGGCCTCCGGATCCGCCTCGTCCAGCACCCCTGTTTTCGGCCAAGCAAGCTTCAGTAATGATGCAAACAGCACGGATAGATCCGGGGGAGCCTTTGGAGGCTCTAGTCTCAGCTCTGCGAACACGAGTAGCGGGTTCGCCACTTTTGCAAACAAGGGTGGCTTTGCGTCCCTTGGATCGAATAACAACGTGGCCGGGCCAAGCATCTTTGCGTCTACAAAATCGGAAGCCCCTGAAGTCTCTATGGATACGGACACTACGTCTGTATTTCGAGTTCCGGGTTCTAAGCCAAGTACGAGTGTCGGCGACGTCTTCGGTTCACAGCCGTTCAAGTTAACTTCTAGTTTCCAACGTGATCCGAACGCAAAAGACGAAGATGCTGATGTGAAGGGTTCCGGCACTGAGACGTCCATGTTCGGCACAAATTTTACTACTACAATAGATGAGACGATGAAGCCGACAGCTTCGAACCCGTTCGCAACTGGAACGCAAAGTACTTTTGGGCAGCTAACGGCCTCTTCCACGAGTGTAGAATCAACTACGCCAACATCAACGCCCGCACCCTCTAAAGTCTTGTCTCCGACCTCTTCGGCGCCGCAGGGCAAAGGCCTCTTCGATTTTCATCCGAAAACCCCCAGTGGCCTAAGCAGCACCTTTGAATCTTCTACCTCCCAAACACCTACTGCTGAAACTCCTCAGGCGAAGGCAGAGTCAGAAACTCCTAAGCCATTGAGAAGTCTTGCTGATGCACCTCTGCCTCCAGAATCTACCAGTAAGGCTACCTACTCATTAGGCGACTCATCGTCTTCGTCGGCTGCTACTATGGACGCCGCGGACCTCGCGGGAACGCCACTCAGGGCCGTAAATGCACCTCTTCCACCTGACTTCGCCGACTCGACTCCTAAGAGCACAGATCGGGAGATCCTACGTAAGGAGTCTCCCGCCGTTGATGACGCGCCCTTGCCCCCGGATCCAGTGAAGAATAAAAAGGCGTACGACGCACCCTTGCCCCCCTTACCCGGTGCTATGCCTAAGTCCAAGCCTGTGGACGATTCACCACTACCACCTGATCCAGTCAAGCAGCCGAAAGCTTATGCAACCAAGTTGCCTGCCCTTCCCATCGCTAAACCGCCCTCTGAAGTTGTTGGACCTGGGTTCAAATTCCCCACAAACCCGCCTCCTGTCCCGTCGGATACCGATGATGATGATTTATCCGAAGTGGAAGAAGGTACCGAAGCCGTTAGTGAGGGTAGCGGTGTCGATGTTGCGAAGGATCTTAGTCCGTCCAGTATCGGTATAAGCAAGACCCCTGGATTTACTCCCCAAAGCTCATTTGATGGTTTGGCGGGGAGCTACTCTACCATATCCCGACCGGATCAAGAAAGGCGAAGCTTCTTTGGTGACTTGGGCCGGGATGCCCCCGTTTTCCCCCGACCCAATCCTATCAGTCCTCGTTCTCCAAGTCCTGTTCGAGGTGCGGTGCCGCCAAGAATGCTCAGTAAGGACCAGTCGCGGTCGTTTAGTGCACCAGGAATGGCATCTCATATCCTTGGTGGTTCCAGACGGCAGCAAAGTCACTTTGGATCTTCGATTGTTAGTAAAGATACTTATGCTGAAGATGCGATGGTTGAGCAGCAACGAAGAGCTAAGGCAAGGAAAGAGGCCGAGGAAAATCAACTGCTTCTCGATGAAGAGGATGATACTGTCCAGAGTCTGCTGAGAACGGAGGTTAAGCCGACATTAGAGCTTGATGAATTTATCGCACACTCAGGTGTAGCACCACCAGCTGGTGATAGTGTTCCGGCACAGGTCGAGGCTGTTTACCGTGATATCAATTCTATGATTGATACTCTTGGACTCAATGCACGATCCCTCGCAGGCTTTATTAAGGGCCACAAGGAACTCCGTACCGACGAATATATGAGGCAAGATTTAGCCAGCCCAGATGGTTGGACCCTAGCCGGACTCGAAAGCTTGGCCCAAGTTATCGATCGAGATCTCAGTCATGCTCTCAGCGAGTCAAGAGTCACGAATCTAGCAGAAAAACTTGTAGAATGTGAGGATATCCAGCGTGAGCTTGTCCGCGATCGCAACAAGCAGGCGGATCTCAAGAAGATCATTGCCTCCCGCGCCGATCCTGAACAGACTGTCGCAAATCGTGCCCTGCCTCTCAGCGCAGAGCAGGCCTCGCAGCAGAGCGACTTGCGGCGGGAGTATGCCAAATTCACAAAGCTTTTGGCAGAGGCTGAGGAGAACTTGACCTTACTTAAGGCTAAGATCGTCTCTGCCAGCAGCGCCACCGGAAAAGGCGGCTCGGCGCCAACCATTGAGGCGGTTGTGCGCACCATTACTAAACTAACGAGTATGATCGAAAAACGTAGCGGCGACATCGACGTACTCGAAAACCAAATGAGGAAGCTACGAGTTGGCTCGCACGGTCCCAGCAGTCGTGAAGGTTCGCCTTTTGCCACGCCCAATGCGAAGAGATTGAACGCATCGTCGGTTTTCTCTCCTGACCGCTCAGCACGGGAGAGCACGCCGCAGCGTAGCAGTGTTTTACGCCACTCAGTGTCCGGCTCCATAACGAGCCTTGGTGGTAGTTTGTTTCAAACACCGCCACGCAAGAAGCTGAGCGGTTTCGGAGACTTGGAGAGGAAGGCTGCGAAGGAAAAGCGGGAGCGCAGGACAGCCGTTCTCGGGAAGCTCAAGAGCAGCCTCGAGAAAAAGGGCGTCGGCGTGTGGGCCGTGGATGATAATGAGTAGGGGTTGCTTCACGTCAATAAGTGCCACGTACACGATTGAGGATTATGAAGGTCTCTGTTCAATTGGTATGTAGATAGTATTACACGCGGATCCATCCTTTTTTTATAAAAAAAGGGGAGGGTTTTCAAGAAGAATGCGCATTACTACGATCAATGAAATATCATCAAAAGACATGACACATTTCTTTCACAAGGTGAAGTAAGTAAATACTAGTACGTTCTCAACGTCTAGTCAAGAAGTGTCTCGGTATCCTAGTCCCTAGCTGGGAGAGCCAAACACCATGCCCGCCATCTCATCTCATCGTTTGACAAATGCCATCCTCGGGCTGGGTATAATACATAGACGCATGTCAAGGTAGCCCACTGACGACTCCTGACACGATATTTACAACCAGAAGCAAACCTGATATCAAGAACGGACCGAAAAAAATAAAGTTCATCCAAGTCGTCTTATACGAAGCTAATAACACCTCCGTTCACAGCTTCGAGCCTTGCTACTAGCTTCTTGACGTTCGTCCACTCTTCGCTCCGAACTGACTCTTTACCACCCAAGTCGGGACCGACTTCGAAGACGCTGACTACCGCATCGATACCACCCGTAGCAAGTCGCTTCCCCTCGCTACTCTCCCAGGCGATCTTGTTCAAGCTCTTACTGAGTAGTTGACGACCGTCTTTACGAGGCGTAGGACTAATCTTAGCCACGGGGATCTCGGTTTCGACGGTGACGTCCCAGAGTTCGAGCGAGCCTGCTCCGTCAACGAGAGCGAAGACGCCAGGACGTACGGGCGACCATGCTGCGTCGTAGACGACGTCCTCGCGCACAAACTCGAGTAGTGGATGGACGGCAGTACCCGCGCTCTCAACGATGGTGCTCGTGGCAGCAGGAGCGCGCACTTTCCATAGTTTGACGGACCAATCAAGGGACGAGGAGAGCACCAAGTCGCCTAGATCTACAGGGCCGCGGGCGGGGTGGAAATCGACGCTCATGACGGGGGCAGCATGGCCTTTGTAAGAAACGCGCGAATCGACGCCCGCCTTAGCGCCGGCACGATCGTACCGGTGACATGGGTAAATAGAACCTTCTTCTGAACCGACCAGGAAATAGGTTGGATCTGCTTGGGGGAAAGCCATGGTAGTCGGTGCGAGGTCCTCGAACTTGTTGGGAGGCGGCGTGGTAAGGGTTAGCGATTCTTGCGGCTGAGACAGCATGTCGACGCTCCACACGCAGAAAGCGCCGTCGGTGGAAATCGAGATGATATTATTCGCATTCTGAGTACCGACAATGTCGACAGAGTAGACAGGATGGGAATGGCCGGAACCCGTAAGGGGTGTCTTCTGCACCGGAGCAGATTTAGCCCGGGTGTCCCAGAGGAGAACCTGGCCGGAATATGTGCCGCCGATGATTAGATTGGGGTGGAAAGGAGAGAATTTGGCAGTGAGGATATCGGACGGGGCATGGAAGAGGAACTCGGGTCGATCATGGAGATGCTGGTTCCAAACCTGTACAATACCATCGGGATCGTGAGGTGCAGATGGGTTTTTGGTATAAGAGGCGAGCAAAAGCTCGGGGAACTTAGGCGAGAAATCAATGCTGCTAATCATGCGCTTCTTGGACCACCTTTCATCGTAGAACTGTACAACTTCCTTGACCCGACGGCGGCCTTTGCCACCGGTATTGCCGGCCTGCTCATCTTCGTCTTCAATATCGTGGGCCTGGAGCGAGTAATCGGTCAAGATGTCGTATTCGTTGCTAATATCGAGCGCTCGTTCGATCACCTTGGTAGAACGCTCGACAAAATCGACAAAGTCGTCGGATGCTACGACGGCGGCTAGCTCCTCATTACTTAACGCCCTAGCTGGGAAATTCGAGGTAACAACAGAACCAGTCTGCAATGGACCATCAGTGATGAGCTCACGAGCAGCCTTCAGCTCTTCTTCGATCTCCAGTCGCAAGTTCTGGCGTAATTCTTCTTCCCTGTCACGCTTCCATCTGCTCAGCCGTTTGCTAGGGGTAGATGTTGTGGCGGGCAGGTCCTCGTCATCAAGGTCCGAAAAGGCTCTGGGTCGGGTAGCAGGGGGCGTCCAGTCATCTGTAGTCTGCACGCCTTTGCTGTAGGAAAACACCTCCTTGACCGGCGACGGCGGGCACTCAAAGATGGTTTGGAGAGGGACGGTAGTCAAGATTTGGGGTTGAGAAGAGGCAAACTGGCCGTTCAGCTGCGAAGCGTATTCCGAGTGCTCACCGCTCAGGTCGTCGCCACTTAGGACACTATTGGGTCGGCTTCCACGTAGACCGGGAGAGGCTACGCCCGTGGTAGAAGATGCAGGTCTACTTTCGCCGACTAGACTGTTAATCAGGGACTCGATGACCTTCCTATTGTCACGGCCGGGTGTGGGAGAGATGAGCTGCGATTCCAAATTAGCGAGAGAAAGGGGAATCTAGAAAAGGAAGAGTAACCAACATCGCTAGGTCCGCCTACGCTAGTTCTAGCAACAGTGGCCGCCTGGTTCGCTCTTAACTCTCTTTGTCGCTTGAGCTCTGCAAGCTTTGCCTTTTTTGCTAGAATCTCATCTCTTCGTTGTTGCATCTTGTCCTCCAGCAAGACCCATGCCGGGTCTCCTTCCCTGCTGCTAAAAGTCCTGAGAGTAAAAGGGGGGGGAGTAGATTTACGTTGAGTCGCGGAGGTGAGTCGCTTGTTGTACGCGAGATGGGATGGTTGGATAGTATTGGCTGGGTTCGTCGTTTACCAAGGTATTTAGGGTAAGCTGGCGCAATTATTCGGATCGTGAGTGGTAATGATAAAGGTAAACGACTTGTGATACGAAGTAATGGAATAATCTCTAACTCGCAGCTACACCTGTACTTTAACGATGCGCGTTTCCTTTGTCGGGAAATCGCGACACCGGTAGCGTCTGTGCGCGGGTATTGTATACCTATGTACTTATCGTAGGGTACCTGAAAGTGCAGATAGAAAAGGCTGCTGATTGGTTGATATCTGATTCAAACTGGTTATTGGTTCTCCACTAATCTAGCCCAGCAAGTACATACGTACATTGGACACCCTTACCTAGTCGTGGCAGCCGCCATAATAGTAGATGCAAATGCTAAATGCTGGGAAAAAAATTAAGGAAATAAAGTCTGCGAAATTTCCCGACGCTGTCCATACTTTCGTGACACGCTCTTACTATCCCACCTCCCAACCTTGAACCACAACCCTCGACCAACTTCCTCCCCTCGGAATAGGGCCAATTGGCAACCGATCGCCAAACCGTGCATCGCTAATTGATTGCTTGCTCTCTCTCAATAGCGTTCGCGCCATAAACCGGCCCAATGTCTACTACTACTTCGGGAGTCAACGTATGTTCTCACTGCCGTACGCCCGAATTTTACTACCAGCACGACGAGCATAACGAGGCACGACAAGCACAATAGGAATATAGCTGATAGGATTTTTATAGGTGCTCCGGTACTCGGCTCTTGCCTTGGGTGTTTTCTACGGGTTCACGCACCAGAGATCAATCAGCGCAGCGCAAAGGGCCACCGCGGCACAGAAGGAATATGAACACAAGCAACACTTAATAGAGCAAGCCAAGGCCGAATATGCAAAGTCTAAGAACCCAGCTCTCCAAACAGCCGAGAAAAGCGCTTGTATGTTCTCCGGCTTTTTTTTTCGAATTATTCTCAAGCACCTAGCTAGGGGGTAGTTGAATGCTAATGAATATATTACCTAGTGGACCAAGATCCTATGGACCCCAAATTCGATCTAGAAGCTTACTTCAACGCCCTTGCGAAGCAAAATCCCTAGGGATGTAATAATAATATTGGATCAACTACGTGCGGATTACAATAGAGTCTGTGGACAGAGAGGGCTGGGTTTGAGCACGATGCCGAAAGTCGTATCAAGGCCCGTTCTTCTGACGACGGCTTCGTAGGGCCTGTGTATAATTGCGATGCGGTCCAGAAAAACCACCTCATAGATTTCATTGGGTTTCACGCTGTACATGTGTACAATACCAAGACTTATGCTCACCTAGACAATTGGGAAGGCCGGATCTCGCATGGCATTCATGGAACGGCCTTAACGGTTCAGTTCGGTTCCCTTCAGGCCTTTGAGTGATTTTCTATCCTTCTCTGTTGATGTTTATATCTCGCATGTTTCATTCACATTTCCGTGCGTATAAGATAATGGTGAACAGAGAAACACCAGGGGAGAAACTCGCAGCATTTTCATGAAGTGTCTCATGAGTGTAGGCTCGCGAGAAGGGTCTTGGATGATAGTTAAGACTGGCTAGGCAGGTAAGTGTGTTAGTATATTAACGGCTAGGAGGATATGTGGACATCCTAACAAAGCCTATTTCAGTACTTAATTCCGTCAAACTACATTTACATGTATATGGTATACCCAGTATCCTTTAGTAGAGGCATCTATCTAGCTACATAATCGAAGGAGTTCTAATATTCTATATGTTGCGGTACGTAATAGCAGTATATGGCTCAGTGCTACGGATTAGGTACTTGGTATATTATTATTTTTACATGCATGTGTTGAAATACCTCGGGTGTTGTGTGTTTAATGTACACGAGTACATAAGCATGTACCTATGTATATTTATGCGTATATCTATGTACGTAGCTGATACGTTATTCTTTGGTCGTCTCTTTTCAATTGGTTAGCCTTGCTACCCTTCAAAAGTCATCCCCAACTTATTAGTACATAGGTACCTAGAAACATTGAAGCTGCAAATACTAGTAGTACTGTGGTACCTATATACCCCCACTAAATTTTGAATTCGAACACACCCCTGTAATCGTGGAGCTCTTTCTGCAGGGTGCGACGCGCGGATTGAAAGCTCCAGCTGTCCTCACCATCATACTTTGTTTTATCCATCACGACCTGCACAATCAAACTTATACAAATTCCCTTTTCTTCCTCACACAACTTTTTTTTTCCCTACGCAAATGTTGACGCCGTCCACCACCTAGTTGCATTGTCCTGAGGCAACACTCACCATGCCCGTCGCAACCGACGCGAGTTCTACTCCCGTCGACTTGCTCGTCAGCGTCGGCAAAAATCAGAGCACCAAGACCTTATTAAGGGTCATTATTCTCTGCTTCATTGCCGCTGCTGCTGTTGCAAGTCGTCTGTTTTCGGTCATTCGTATGCTTGTATCTTGACTCTCTAATTTTATTGGACCTGTCCACTAATAATTATTTATTATTATAGGTTTCGAGAGTATTATCCACGAGTGTAAGTCAAGTCCCACGTCCCTCTTTCACCTCTAAACCTCATGTCTCATATCGTCTTGTATCTTGTGTGTTGTGACTTACGTTATGTTCCGCAGTCGACCCATGGTTCAACTTCAGAGCAACTAAGTACCTTGTCGCCCATGGATTCTACGATTTCTGGGATTGGTTCGACGATCGAACATGGCATCCCCTCGGCCGAGTTACCGGAGGTACACTCTATCCCGGTCTGATGGTCACAAGCGGCGTTATCTACCACCTCCTACGGGCTCTGACTGTTCCCGTCGACATCAGAAACATTTGTGTCCTCCTAGCACCGGCATTCTCCGGCTTGACTGCCTTTGCCGCCTACCTCCTTACCAATGAGATGACTACTTCGCCGTCTGCTGGTCTTCTCGCCGCCGTTTTCATGGGCATTACCCCAGGTTATATCTCGAGATCTGTGGCTGGTTCCTATGATAACGAGGCAATCGCAATCTTCCTCCTTGTATTCACGTTCTATCTCTGGATCAAGGCGTTGAAGTTGGGTTCCGTCTTATGGGGTGCTCTGTGCGCTCTCTTCTACGGCTACATGGTGGCCTCGTGGGGTGGGTATGCCTTCATTACCTGTCTGGTTCCTCTACACGCATTCGTCCTCGTTTGCATGGGAAGGTTCAGTATGCGCCTCTATACCTCATACACGACTTGGTATGCCCTCGGTACCTTAGCCAGCATGCAGATCCCCTTCGTCGGTTTCTCGCCCGTTCGCACCAGTGAACACATGCCCGCCCTAGGTATATTTGGCTTCCTTCAGCTTGTAGCCTTCATTGAATATGTTCGATCGGCTATCCCAAGCCGCCAGTTCCAGTCATTCCTCTACATGGGCCTTGGTAGCATATTCGGTCTTCTACTACTCCTGTTAGTTGGCCTTACCACCCTTGGATACATTGCTCCTTGGTCCGGTCGATTCTACTCTCTTTGGGATACCGGCTACGCCAAGATTCACATCCCGATCATTGCGTCCGTATCTGAACATCAACCGACCGCTTGGCCAGCCTTCTTTTTCGATCTCAATATGCTGATCTGGCTCTTCCCTGCTGGAGTCTACCTCTGTTTCCAGAAGTTAGAGGATGAGCACGTCTTTATCATCGTATACGCTCTGTTTGGAAGTTACTTCGCCGGCGTCATGGTGCGATTGATGTTGACTTTGACTCCCGTGGTATGCGTAGCCGCTGCCATCGCCGCCTCCCAACTTCTTGACACCTACCTTGTCGTCAGATCGCCCGAGCCTGTCAAGTCCGAAGAAGAGGGCTCCGATGCGACTGCGAAGAAGGCATCCAAGCATGGCGTGTTACGAACCGCGTCCCAACCGGTGGTGGGCATTTATGGTTTGTTGTCTAAAGGCTTCGTAGCTACCTTCATGATCATATTCTTGCTCATTTTCGTGCAACATTGCACATGGGTAACCTCGAATGCCTATTCATCTCCATCCGTCGTCTTAGCAAGCAGGATGCCCGATGGTAGTCAACATATCATCGACGACTACCGCGAGGCCTATCAGTGGCTCCGCCAGAATACCAAAGAAGACGCCAAGATCATGTCGTGGTGGGACTACGGCTACCAAATTGGTGGAATGGCTGACCGTCCTACCCTCGTAGATAACAATACTTGGAACAATACACACATTGCCACGGTTGGCAAAGCCATGAGCTCTCGCGAGGAGGTAAGCTACCCAATTATGCGTCAACACGAAGTTGACTACGTCCTTGTCGTCTTCGGTGGTCTCCTTGGTTATTCAGGTGACGACATAAACAAGTTCCTCTGGATGGTGAGAATCGCCGAGGGTATCTGGCCCGACGAGGTGAAGGAGCGAGATTTCTTCACGGCGCGGGGCGAGTATAGAGTCGATGGCGAAGCCTCTGACACCATGAAGAACAGCCTAATGTGAGTATCCTTCTTAGCAAAGTGTAATGCAGATGTTTAGCTAACGTGTTCCACCTAAAATAAAGGTACAAGATGTCATACTACAATTACGGCGCCCTTTTCCCGCCCGGTCAGGCTCAAGACCGTGTCCGAGGTGCTCGGCTTCCCGATCAGGGCCCGGTTCTTAACACGCTGGAAGAAGCCTACACTAGTGAGAACTGGATCATCCGAATCTACAAGGTCAAGGACCTCGACAACGTAGGCCGAGATCATGCTTCGGCAGCCTCGTTTGAGAGAGGCCACAAGAAGAAGAAGGCAACCAAGAAGCGCGGACCCAGGGTTCTAAGAGTGGAGTGATGAAGTCAGGGAATATGATCATAAAAGACATGTGATATACCGAGCGTGCCATCACCTTGACTTCTACAACTTGCTGGTTAGGGAAAGGAAAAGTCGGCCTCGATGGTTGGCCATGTACAGATATCAAAGTCCAAGGCAGGGAATAAAAAAAAAATAGGGAGGGCATTCCCTAATTTCGTATAAATGACATCTCGTCACATTGGCCTTGGATGCCTGAGAGTAATGATTCGGTAAAAAGAGAAGCAAACACCTAAATTGTTACGTGACTAGGTTAAGTGTCGTTCGTGTATTGATTGATATTGTCTACTATATAAACTAGCCTGGGATCTAAGATATTATGGTAAGAATAAAGCAAGGGAAGTAAAAGCGAATCTAATGCTATTGAGGATTACGGAAAGGTAACCACATGTGCAGAAGAAACTAATAACAAGCAAGGTAGGTGAGCTACTTATTTATCTATTTACCTTTGTTTTCCTTACAAAGTTGAAACGGAATAGGGCTATGAAAATAAAAATTTAAAACCGAAACTACGAATTCGTAGAGAGGATAGAATTGCCCACTACTGGAATCGAACCAGTGATCTCATCATAACACTAGGATTGAAGATACTTCGGTACTAGTGATGCGCTTTACCACTAAGCCAAGCGGGCTAGCTCAAGGAAGGAACCAGTGTGCCGACCAATAGTCATGCTGCTGAGGAGAAGTTGCGGTAATGGTGTTTATATACTTCGTATAGGAATATCAAACACACAAGATACACCGACACTCCGATTCACCCTTCCTCAATGACCACGCTTTTCAACAGATATAATCTACGTAAGTCCTGTCACAATCCAACAGGGTAAAACTTATTCGAAGAGCGGATATAATTTGCAGAGTTTTTGTAAGCTAATCATAGTTACATTTAATAGCAAGTGTACTTCAATTCACCCACCGACTCCGTATTAACTCATCTCCATCCAAGTGCGAAAGTGCATTGAAGATATATGTTGTTGAAAGTCGGGGGCCGATGGTAGAGGTTGATCATGAATGTCTGAAACGTGGGCCCAGACGAGTACAAACAGGTGATACAAAAAGGGAAAGGGGTAGTATTATAGTCCCAACAACTGACGGACACGTCTGCGTTTACCGATGACAGCTAGTTTGGCGTGATCGCTCAAGTCCGGCAGCAAGCCTTCCAGTGAATGGCCTGTATGGGCAATCGTAGAGGATGCAGGGTCCCGAGGCGACAGGTCCAGAGAGCTACCCGTCTCTCTCTCGTCAGAATAGCAAGGGTTCTCCTCACGCAGCTTCAGCGAAGACTCGGATTGTCTTTCTCGAGGCTTTTGCCGATGATAGTACGTCGAAGAGGCTCCGCTGCCAGTTCGTCTAGCGGTCTTCTCGTCTCGGTCGACTTTGCTAGAAAATTCTGCATGCCTAATTAGCTAACTGAGCTCGTTTACGAGAGGCACAATTCGATGCAGAAATCTTACCAAGGGTTTTGGCCTGGCTTTCCTCCTTGTCAGCCGTCGAGTCTAATTCTGATGACTCATACAGTTCGTAAGCAGCAGGAGGAAGGGTGGAACCATCGGCCCCTCTGCGAGAATAACACGACTCTATCGAGATCTCAGTGCGCGTCATAGATTTCGGCATGGGGAACGAGGAAGTCCCGGAGTCGCAGAAAGGACCCGTCATGTCGTCAAAGAATTTGGCAGCCGAGATCAAGTCTTCCTCGGCCATGAACTCATAACCCTGTCCAAGCTCTTCCTCGCCCCCCTGATTGGCATCCCAGGTCTCGCCCATAAAATATGGGTCAGTGGTTTGGTAAGCATGCGATAGATCTATAGGCGTCGGCGGCAAATCCCATCCGGAAACATAGTCAGGATCACATGGGGTCTCCGGTCCCATGGCGTTTTCCATGTGTCCTTCTCCATGTTCATGGCGATACGCTCGACCGCCATCTTGGTGTCGCCGAACTCGTCTTCGATGAGAACGCTCCCGCTGAGAAACTTCTGATTCTACAGCAGGTTGCTCATACCTAGGCGTTGCGTATGCACGTGCCTGCGGCTCGTAGACGTGAGAGTTTTTCATGCTCTCACAAGGATGGTTGTATTCGTGAACCGACTTACAAAATCCGTTGGTTGGCTGCTTGTTGCGAGAATTGCGATAGTGGTCATCGGAATACGTAGCTTGAGGCGCCTGAGTTTCTCTGTCAATAGAGCGGTGGTAGTGGTCTGTATACATGGACGTATTCATCTCATCGTGGCCATCGTAATACAGAGGAGTAACTTCCGGACGATCCGAAACGCTCTGTGGGGAAATCTTGGGTCTCGTTTTAGGAAGTACTTCTGGAGAGGGTTGCTGTGAGAATCTAGAATGATTTTCAAAAGGAGTCTTGGAAGGAGCACAAGCGCTGTTGGCGTATATGTTCGGTTCGTCCCCCTCTGTATTAGCCGCCGGGTTAGAATTCTCCATACGAGTATCGTTGTTCAGAATCGCTTCCTTATTCTCTCGGGACGCATCGGGGCTTAACGGAGGCACGCTGCTATCGACTTTCTGGGCGGTTTCTCCAACAAGCGACTTTGAACGCCTACACTTATGCTGTCCCGTCTTCGGACCTCGGGCGGATGCTGTAACTCCAACATCTGACTCTCCTGCTGAAGATACTGACGGAGGTAGCATAGTATAACCCTCTGCAACAGTCGAATCGGTCAGGATGCTTGAGGAGGAACTAAAACATCCCGACTTGTTTTTTTTACGTGATCCACAAGCTTTCTTGCCATATCGCTCCTTACTACAATCAGTACAAGACACATTCGTGGTAACCGTGGGGGTTTGATGGTATTCAGTAGCATTCTGCACACGGTGGTCAGCTTCTAAGATATCCGCACGAGTTTCATTATGGCTTACGTTGACGTCAGTGTCATCAGCGTCATCGCTCTCCGCGAGGACAGCTTCACGCTGACATTTAGTGCAATAATCTCGATCCGGTATCTGGCCCCTTTTTAGAGGATGTTCCTTCTGGTATCTCTTGGATCGCACTCTTCCACAGCCTGCGCAAAAATGGACGTGTTGGATGTGTTTGCCAATATCTCGCCCAGCCCCTTTCATTTTCTTCGTTTTCCTGTCCCCTTGCTTATCCGTTCCTTTTGTGGTGGCTTTCCTAGTTGCAATATAGTGCTCCTCGCACATTTTAGCTTCGCTGGGGCTGTACCTGAGAGGCAGCGAACTGTTCAATGCTGCTGTGCGCGAGTCGTCGCGTGGTTGCTTCGCTGACAACGGCATCGCTGCGAGTAGGGATGGAGGCGGCGGCGCTTGAGTTATCAAGGGCCCGGCAATGGGATAAATGGGAGGTCTAACTTCCCGACAAGGAGAAATGGCCTGGCTGTGGTGATGGAAAAGGGGTGTGGCGATCGAATGGGAAAGCGGGTGAATTGGAGCTTGTACGTAATGAGGACTCGGTACTACAATAGGCTGTGACTGTGAGAAGCTACTGGCAGTTGGGAGCTGAAGAGCAAATGCTTGAGGGTTAGCAGTCGACGTCATTGGGAAACCGCGGTTGGGCGACATAGCCATACTACTGCCAAAGTCCCACATAGGAGACGGCACTGGGCTCGGGTTTGCTGGTGGACAGAGGTTATTTGACGTCAAAGTCGAATCTTCACTTCCGGTCCCGCGATGGATGCGAACAGGAGTAGAAGTAGAAGCAGATCGAAGCCCTTTCTTGTTTACAGTAATGGGATGGCTTTCACGTTTGAAAATGTTGTGATGCTTAGTAGAACCCCCACGCGGTGTAAAAGGAGGCGTTGGGCTTTGGACTGTGAACGCCTGGCGGCGACGGACTTCTCGCTCTGCTTCACGTTCAAAGTCGACGCGAGAAGGGATACCAAATGCTTGGCCGAGGATGTCGAAACCATAATCTTCTAGCAACCTGTCCTTCTTCTTGCGACCAAAGGCTGGTTTTCCGTTCTTAGCCGTGGTGACATAGATGCCTCTGCTGCTAGGGAGGCAAAACTCGCCGTCAGTCTTGCAATGATCCTGATGCAACATATTCTGCTCTGATTGGGAGCTGTTGCACCTATTGGCTCGTCAGTAAGATAGCATGGAGAAAGAAGCGATGAGACAGCTGAGAGGCTGCTAGAATGTTAGGTTAGGGGTAATAGTGCTAGGAAAGCATCTAAAGTTGACTTGAGGGATAAGAAGCGAGTAGGAAAAGTTTAGTTTGGTACTGACTTGTAGTGACCTCTACCCTTTGGCTGGCTCATCATGGAAAGATATCACAAGTGCTCTGTGAATTATCAAGTATCAAAGTGTGATCGATTTAAGGTTAATAAAAACCGGGAAGAGGTGCAATCAAAGAGAGTAGTAGAGCGGTAAGTGGCGATGGGATGCACGTATACACGTGTAGAGCAAAGAAGATATGAAAAAGGAAAAAAGGAAAGGAAAAGGGAATGTTCAGGAAGCTTGATAGAGCTATAAGGTAGCTGTGATGCAGTGTGGTGTGGTGCGGTGTGGGTTAGGAGAGGTGGAAAAGTGTGAAGATGAGAAGGGAAAATATTGGAAAGGAAGCAGCATTTAGGAATATTCTTAGGAGAATAGATAAGGTGTACATACCCATGGGTCTTTTTATTCCTTAAAAAGGAGAGAAAGAACATTCTAATTCATCACTACGAGAATATGCACTTACCTAGGTATATACGTCGGTCTACATAAGTTCTCGAGTAAATCGTGAACGGGTTTCTGCACCCCTATCTAGTACTGTGATGTATCACACCCTGTCTACTGTTACGGCAACCTGGATAGATCATGAACCTACCTAAAGCCTATATAAAGGGTAAACCAAGACCACCAATAAGGACCGTGGCTATAAGACGTTCGATTGGCTTTCCAATAAATGGTACTTGTTCTCTTATTATTATAACGTCGTCTGATCGACTCCCCTGTGTAGAGACCTATATAATATATAATGTAATTTACGAAGGGGATATTCCCCTAAAACTTCTCAAAAGACATCCGTCGACGTGGAGTATGACACATTATGTCCCGTCTTTCTCTGGGATCATCTATAAAGCCTGGTACTATTGACTATTCTTCTAATTCTAGACAACCGTTACCTAGGCATCGGCTTGAGAACTCATTACTCGGTTTCTTCTTATATTTTTACTTTGCCTTGGCAAGGTGTGTAAATTTAGTAGTCCTCATATTCGAATAAAGCCTTTGTAAGATAAGAGAACATTGGGATGCTAAAATATGATTCATATCAGAGCATATAAGGTGAAGTCGAAACTCAACTCTCATCTTCTGGGAGTGGTGCATCGTGAGGAATATTGGAAGGCCTGTCTGGTTAATCAACTACTTTGAATGTGAGGCGATGCTAAGTTATGATGGAACTGAGGGACTGTTCTTCTCGAAATTGGGGGCGCGCTAGCCGGCGAAGCTCGGCGAGAAGCAAGAGAAGCGAGCATCCTAACTGCTTTAGCCCGCTTCTCTTCGAAAATTCGACTGCGCTCTAATTCTTCGCCCATGCGTTGCATCCTCGCTTGCTGGTCACGCTGCGCCTCGGCCTTGATTTTATCGTAGTGAAGCGTAGTTAGAACCTTGGGCCAGAGGCGGTCAAGCTTGCGAGCCTGCGCCTCGGATACGTAGGATGGAGGCTCATCTTGTGGCCTGGCTATTGAAGATCCGCCCCAGTAACACTCAAACGTCAATGTTGCCCGGTTGTGCGCATTTTCTGTTCCCCAAAAGACTATTGTGTCTCCGTGATATAGCTTCACCCAGTACTTGCAGGCTGCCGTGCTGTTCTTTGGCTCATTGGCCTGTAGGGGAGTGTTGTTGATTCTTATCCCAACAGTGGCCTTGGTTGATATATAGAACGCATATGAACTCGGTGCTGGTTCGGCTCGCATCGTGCGGCTGGCTGTAGACCGAGTAGGCTCCCATGGTCGGAATTCGTTGAAAGATGCAGTATAGCCATCTCTCCACAGCATGACCCTGAATGCGTTTTTAGGAACCCTGGATTCAATGACCGGCTCATAAACGACGGTGTTATTAGGATCCCGTCCCCACGAAATTATGGGATCGTTAACGTGGATGGATATTCCTGGTACTAATGACCCCTGGCCCGAGTAAAAGGCTGCAACCATCTTCGGCCGCTCAGTGGCTTGTGTAAATTGCTGGGTTTCAGGTGGCAGAGTATCCGGGATCGATTCAGACTCGTCTTCGATGGCAGGCGAAACCTCATTGGCGAAATCATGGGCCTCATTGACTACCCGATTATCACGTTTGAGCAAGGCTGGTCGCAGTGCGAGCGCCTTCCCTATTTCCTTGGGTGGATGCCGATTCCGTGTAGGCGGGAAATTCTTCATCGCTAGGTCCCAAAGATGTGATTTTCCCGGACCGAATTCCTCCTTCCTTTTCTCGGCAGCTTGCTCAAATGCATTGTACTGAAGATGGGTCATTTCGGGGTAATCTAGGTGCCATGTATCCTTGTTTGAACTGTCCCAAAAGGTCGTTTTGGGAAGAGGATAATCGATTTGACGACCCGACTCGTTCTTTACCACCTGAGGAACACTGGCGAGCAAACGGTTCTCTTCTTCCTCGGCGTTGAAATCATCGAAGTCACTCTGCGATTTGAGTCGTTTGAATGACGGTTTGGCCTTAGTCTGACCCGATTCGTATTCATCACTGGTATCATAAGCCGGCTTTCTTTTACTCGTGTTGAGCTCGCTGGTCCTAGATTGAAGGTTCGGGCCACCATTGGCAAGCGACTTGACGTTCAGATTCCCAAGGATCGACGAGGCACCGCCAAGGCTCTGCGAACGCGCCCCTAGCACCACACTCTGCGAACCACCCCGCGAAAAGTCTCCGTCGGCCGACAGGATGCCGTTGCCTGCACGAGGCTTCTGCCTTGGCGTAGAAAGGTCATCCGATTCACCGAAACTATCAAGGATTTCAGTTTCCAAGACATCAGTCTCTCCTAAGCTGGTATCCGAGACCGGGAGGTTCAGGCGGTCCTCTGGAATGGCGCCGGAGCTACCGACTGCCGACACCTCTCCAAATAGTCTGTTCGGCGGAGGTTGCCCAAAAGTATAATTCTCCTTCTCGGATTCGAAATCAATGGAAAAGTCTGGCTCCGGCTCTTGAAGAGAACTCGCACCTTCGTCGGTGAATTGAGCTGGTTGCCTATCATCGAGACTCAGTTGCGAGGCCCTTTGTCCTAGGTCCTTGTCGTCAGATGCCTCTAAAGAATCTGCTTCACCCGTCAACCACGGATGAGTCAGGAGTTCGGAGACGGACGCTCTAGTCTCCGGTCGAACATTAATCATCCTCAATATGAAGTGAATGCCATTACTCGACACGTTGTATCGCGATAAAGGTGAGATGTTTACCGGCGTCTTGATGATATGGTCGAGCAGCTCCGTATACGTAACCCCATTCTTAACGGGGAACGGCGGGCTGCCAGTCAGAGAATAAAACAAAACACCGCCAAGCGACCAGATGTCCACCGCATGATCATACCTCTCCCTATCCGCCGGTCTCTGCCCATACCTCTGCGTTCTCTTACCATTGTAATCGTACGACGAATACTCGCTGTAGACCTCCGGCGCACAATACAGAAGAGTCCCGCAGAACGTCTTGAGAAAGGTTTGCTCGGTGTCGATCATTTTAGACAAGCCAAAATCCGTTAATTTGACCACGAGCGGGCTCGTCGACTGTATTAGGATATTGTCGGGTTTCACGTCGCGGTGGGTGATCTTGTTTTCATGTAGATACTTGAGCGCATCAAGTAGCTGCCCGGCCATAATCTTAACGTAGGGCTCAGCTATTGGGCCGTGTTCTTGAATGAGTTTGCCAAGATCGCCACCGGGGACGTATTCCATGATAATGAAGAACTGGTGTAAATCCCAATCGAAGTGCTCGATGTATTGAACAATGTTGGGCTTGGTTGGAGTTAGAACTAGAGCATCTCGAGACGACCAAAACGGGACATGAAAATTTAACTTACGTGTTGGACTTTTTGCATAATCCTCATCTCATTTTCGACTTTTTGATCTAGAACACCATTCTTCATGAACTTGCGCTTATCTAGTTCTTTGGCCGCGTATGGTGAACCGTCGAATTTTGAGGTGACCTTGTGAACTGTCGCGAAAGCCCCTTTCCCGATCACACTTACGCGCGCATACTTTTCGCCTCCGCGCCACTCTCGAGGTAACCGCTCAGGGGCTTCTTGCGTGATTTCCCAGAGATCGCCGTGAGGTTGGCGCTGTGGAGGATGAAAGAGGTTAACCTACTCCGAGTTAGCAGTTGCATAAGCGATTTTGTGTGATAGGGACCATCTTACATGGCCGCTTGGTCCAGGGCCAATAGTCTTGTTAACATCGTCATGCCCTTGGGTTCGTCGTAGATAGGCACCGAGCTTTCTCCTATACGCAGTTTCGTGATCGCCATCGCGACGAGGTATCCGAACAAGGAAGATAAGATCGCTCATGCTGTCATGCATAACAATTTTGATTGTAGAGCCACTCTCCAACGTCCTCCTGGTCGCAGAGCATTGGCCCTTTTGGGGATCACTCCTCTTTCGCAGCAATTTGTCGTCAACGACGGTGCCATTCGTCGACTGATCTTCTAACATGACGATACCGTACTTATTGACGAATATGCGAAAGTGAATATTGCTAAGCCTCCTGCCTGGGTCGTTCTCAAAACAGAGATCACAACGGGCACGATTGCGACCAAAGGTGAAGCCTAGGCGCGGGTTCTTCAGGCTGGACGACAATTTAATCACTAGAGCATGGTCGCCAATCCCTCGAGTTAGGCCAAAATGCTTAGGGTCGTCTTCGCGAGTTCGATCCGAATCAATGGCGTTGGCGGTATATCTTTTAGTAGTATGGTGGGCATATTCGGGTGAAGATGCGATATTCTGGATTTCGTGACTGGCGCTGTCAGAGTTGGCATACAGTAGGCAGACTATATCGGAAATGTCTTCGTCAGAGAAGCCTGAGTTTTGCTTCCCAAATCTCCTAGGATCCAAAGCATTTTGAGTAGCTACGCGAATGGCAAAGGTGTCAGTGGATGTGACCTGTGAAGTAACACAATAGTCTTGGTCTGGGTGCTAACCTTGTTGAGTCGGCTGCGAGTCAGATTGCGAGTCTCCAGTCGAGTCCATTAGTAGCTGCCGAGGGTGCGCAAGGCCACCGCTAGCCTAGAGAAGTAGGGTTATAGTGAAGACCTGCTCACACCGACTGCGAGAAACGCCGTTCAGGCAGCCGGCTGGTTGTTCCTTATTGTCAAGACTTCCGGCCCGACCAGCTAGCTCGGAAGCCTTCGTATATGGCAGGTTGCGGTCATTCAAGAGACTTCGGTCTGTCTTATTCGACGACAAGTTTAAGCGGGTATTGCTATGGTTGCAAGAATTGCCGTCACAAATTGACAGTTGTGAACCAAAATGGTCGACCGTTCTATTTTCAAATTAAAAGATCTGGTTGCTCGAGTATGTACAGAGTGGTATGGATCAATAAAAGTATGCCGGATGAATTGCCGGGCACGAAGACTTGGAAGAAGGTCTCGGGACGGGTTCGACACGGGTTCGAGCGTAATTTATTACAAAAACTCGACGGGAAGTTTCCAGATGAAAGTTCAAAAGTGCACGAAAGACTCATGCGAAAGCACGCGGCAGCTTGCATCAAGTGCGCCTGCGGCTGCCCTCTCAACCAGATAGGTAACCCACCCTCCTGCCACCCGTGCCCACCTCCCGCCTACCTAGGTATGTACCTAACAGTCTATCTTAGCCTAGCTAGGTACTTACCCCACAAGGGATTCTTTGGTGCGCGGTTGCTTAATTTGATAGATACCGTACTACTTTAAGGCAGGTACGAAATACACACATACCTACATACAATACTTATTTATGTACAGCCAATCATTATAAGGTCAGGTACCTAGGTCCGTCAGCGATGCATCCCACGCCTAGCGAACCGTACTGCTGGTATAGGCACAACATAAATAGGTAGGTATGTAGCATTTTAACTCGCAATATCATAACTCGATAGTAATACAACCTTAAAAGTTGAAAAGCTCGACCCACATGGATACTTAGGTACATGCTAGGGATATCAATAATGTAAGTACATATACTATGTATTCATGTAGCAGTGTAGTCGGGTAGATATAAACTTCCCGTTTCGAACACGTTCCACCCCTGTGTCCGCCATCTAAAGTTTAGAGCAAATTGACATAGTAAGGTAGGTACCTAGTAGGTGTAGGTGGTGTAGGTACAGGCACTAGTACCTGAATAGCCAACAGTAGCACCAAATCGATATCTGAACAGAAGACCAAAGTCACCCCATACGTCACCTGGCAACATTCTTTCAGATGACTTTCACCAACGTAGATGGATTACAACTCCTATTCAGGAATAATCCACTTATGATGTTATGCTTATTGACTACATATAAGTATCGTCTAGTTGACGAGAAATTACGGTATGTATGTATTTTAAATCAACCATGAATCCGTTTTATGCAAGTGCTACTGTGTATGATTTTCCCGACGTCCTTTATATGCCCACTATAATTCGTAGACCATGCATACCTCAACCCATTCAAAACCCAGTCTCCCAAGGGAAAACATAGCAAAAAGAAATTCAGATAAGGGACGAAATCGTAAGTCGTGAATGCAATTATTAGAAGAAACCTCTCTTCTTCTTCGGCTTCTGATCCATATCTTTCAAAATGTCGTCAAACGTGCTCCCACCGACGGAATCTTGCCGTGAACTATTCCGCGACTCGGCATGTGGGTAAACCGGAGAATCTGGGAGACCAGTTAGGTTACCTGAGGACCTACTACGATTCATCATGGCACTGATTGGTCGTTGGACCGGTGACACGCCTCTAGCACTGACAATCCGCGACCCCGGCACGCCATCCGTAGGAAGCGGGACAGGCTCGAGCCCGAAAGCTATACTGCTTCGGTAAGACTGCCTAGTGCCCGGAGACGCCGTTCTTTGCCTCAGCGCTACTCCTGGGGGGCCTGCCTGAGGGGATTCGCTTCGATTGATGGGAGCCGGACTCGTCGAAACGCCGGGATCCATATCCGTAAAAACAGACTGTGGCGCTTGTAGTGGTGAAAGACTCTCTTGCGGCGGCGGAGGCGCGGTGTCGTCCCCAAGCTCCCAGCGCTTAGCCGCCAACCAGCAGTGACTCCGGTGGTAGATGCCCTCGATACTGAATTCCACGGCGTCGGTCGAAAGCTCCACCAAACCACCGCCGCCGGCCACTTCGTACCATCTCTTCTGTACCGAGGGTGCGTCTTCTATCCATGGCGGTTGGCCTCTCGGTGGTTGACACAGAAAGTACTCCACACCTTCCGTGAATTGTAGGCCAGGAGCATCTACTACTAACATGGGGAGCGACTGAATGACGACGTAGAGGAACAACCAATAGCCCATGCGCTGATCCGCCATCTCCGCAGCTGTCCTCCCTTTAGCCTCTTTATGTTCGAATTCCTTGAATTCCGTAAGGAATGGAATCTGGAGTTTGTATGTTTCGAAATCGTAGGCCTTGTTTAGAATCAAGAGCATCTGATATTCTTGCAGATTCTTGTCTAGGCGCGCTCGGTCCCTGTGGGAAAGTTCGTAATAGTTCTCTTGAACGCTGGTCATGTCGGGTAGCTTGGGAAGATCAAATGGGATCGGAGGAAGCACAGGAGGCGAAGACTGGTCGAACTCTCCGAGAACTTTACGCAAAGCCGAGAGGTGGGGATTCTTATGCTCGCTGGCCGTCTCCTGGTCAATCACCCGTGTCGTTATCGACTCGCGGTCGACGAGCAGATCGTACAGCGCACAAAAATCCGAGTAGAGTATTTTAAGGACCTGTCTATTCAGACCACTCTCGGTGAACGGGTTCTTCTTGCTGCGGGCCTTCGGGGGCCAGCTCCCGAAATTTGACTTGTAATAGCCGAGAACAAACTGTCTCATCCTGCCGAAAGACCTCTTCCAAGTGTGGAACTTGACGTCCTTGTAATCTGGATTCGACGTGGAGTTGGCGACGCCGGAGAATAGGGCAGGGAATTCAAACGACTCCAACCTGTTATTGACGCCGTTCTGGCGGGTCACTAGTTCGAAATATGCGCGTTCTAATCGCTCGCGAGTAGTACGAGACACCTGGTTCCATAAAGGAGAGTTCAGGTCTCGAATTGCCGAATATTTTCCCACGGCGTGAGCAAACGCTTCATTGTATAGGGTCATCGACCGCATCCGCTCGCCTAGAATGAGCGACTCTAATGTCTTCTCCCTACTATGTCTCACATCCGCAAGAGCCATCTGGTCCATGAAAAAGCCGAAGCTCATCTCGACGGCATCGCCGAAAGTTGAGCCGTCGGCGTTCGTAAACTCGAACTCTTTCAACAAGGCGGAGATATGGAGGAACACGTTGAATAGGGTGGGCTGCTCCTTAGTGCATACTAATGGCTGGCCGGTCAGAAACGCGAACATATTCCGAATCGATATCAACCGCTCCATGTCGGCTTGTGACCTATGGCCTGGGGTGGACATGGACACAGGGAGATAGAGGCGCGACTCCCCGTTCCAATCGGACTCGGGTAAGGGAGGTGATTGAACCCTTCGGGTCGCGTCTTCGATAGAAAGGCTGTCTCGGCCAAGGAAGCTGCGAGCGCGACTCCTCCCTGAGCTGGTTGGAGATACCATCTCCGCTTCGATGAGCTCAGCAAAAACCAGCGAATAATCCACAACAAATGAAGGGACCTTGAACGATGGTCCCGCGCCAACCCCTTTGGGATCCAGGTAGATTAATACATTTCCACTCTCATTCCACAACTCTGGCACCTTTTCGCCGTTGGAAAGGAAAGACGTGTTGTAATCTGCATTCTGGCCGAGAATCCATGCCGCCGAACTATGAACATTTGTATGACCCTGGGAGTGTGATCTCGATCTTCCTCCCGGAAGCCAACTTCTCCGTAAACGCCCACGTCGTTCGGCATCCCGGGTTGGGCTTTGACTTCCATTGCTCGACCCTGGGCGGGAAACAGCTGCGGTAGCTCCTGTGGAGACGGCTAGATTCCCTGACGGTGGAGTCGATCGAGTAGCAGGCGGTTGCGCAGATACACTTCGGGTTCTTGACTCGGGCGTTGGCGAGGCTTGTCGAGGCGCTAGGCCTGATTGAGAATTTGATGGTTTGTGACTACTGCTAGTGACAGAGCTACTTCGCCGCCTCTGCTCTTTCTTAAGCTTAGGAGACGAATGAGTCTCTGTGAAATGAAAGGTTGATACCCTTTGGGGTGCGTCGAAGCTTTCGACTGGAGGTATCTTCTCCAGTACCGGAGCACTTTTGTGCAGTTTACCCACGGAAGGGCTTGTCCTCTCGCCCCCAGACGGATTCCTGCTGTGGTCTGCGGTGGCCCGGACAGTAGCGGAGTTGTCGGAAGGTTCATTCGAAATCGAAGTTCCATGTCCTTCATTCTGCTCGGATGACACTGACGGTAGGCTCGGGAGACTCGGTAGACTCGGTGGTCTGTCTTGAACGGGAGACTCGTCGGATACCGGCTTGCGGTGAAGGCCGCCTGCGGGATTACCTGCATGGTGAGTACTGATTAGTGACGGGAAGAAGGATGACAAGCGGTCAAACCGCGATCTTGCGGAAAACATTGAACCGAGTCCTTTATTGCTCTTTGGGACGTCTGGTGAATCTCTGTTTGCTTCGATTTTGTTTTGGGGAGGAATATTGTCATCAGGAACCTTCGGCTCTCCACCACTCTCATGAGAGCAATCGGTAGTTTCAAGGGAGGGAAGGGAAGTAGTATAAATGGAGGCTTGGCTCGCCGACTCACTTGAAGAAGCCATGTTTTTTTTTTGGTCTAGGAATGAGCAAGCAAGCACAGCCTTTCTTTTTTCCCTTCTTCTTCTGCGGACAGGGTGTGCAAGCCAGGTACCTAGGTAAGTATCCGTATATTCGATGGAAACGGTGCACGTGTAGTTCGATGTCTTAGTTTTAGGTATCTCGGTACAAACAGGTACGGCTCCACTAGCTAATATTAACGAGAGTTCCCGTCCAGCAACGGTGATCCTTGAGGGGAGGTGGGCGCGGTGGCTCTGAGCGTGACGAGTCCCAGATGCGTGGACTCGATAGTGCGGAACGCCCTGGTGGGTAAGCGATTTTCTTATGAGCAGGAGGATGGGAGGATGGCTGGCTGTTTCACTCGGAAGAAGGGGGAAAGCTCTGTGCCAATTCTAATAATTCCAAGACAATACACAAAAGAAGGGCGAACCCAAACTGCCCGGAGGAAAATGGTGAAATAATCTAGGTACTGAAACGCCTGCACTTTTGAGACGTAAAATAGGCTTGTTGGGTATTATATTGTTATAACTTTGAAGTACTACGTACAGATGTATTTTTTTTTTCGTTAAGATAATATGTACGGATACGTTTTGGGGAGGGGTGACGTCGGCTGTTTGTGGAGCTGAGCAGGAAAGGCAGGAAAGGCAGGAAAAGGGTCCCCTCAAATGCCTAATGACATGAATGTACCTTGAGTCGCTACTTACGAGTATACAAGTAGATACATGTACATACCTGGGGTACGTACCTTGACCTATACGGGGTTTTAGGTAAAATAATAAAAGGAAAAGCACGCCAGCATATTACTAGATGGCTTAACGCTTAACGGCTTGGAGGAAATTTCCACATTTCATTGGAGGTACTTACGTATGCCATTGCAAATAACTGCACATCTAAATTTTCTTATTTTCTTATTCGTACCGACTTTTATACTTCCGTAGTACGCGTTGGCCGGATGTACATTCTTAAGCTGACTTGGCCAGGTACTTTACGACTTTACCCAGCTTCCATTACAAGTCCTACATCTACTGTAGGAAAGTAATCCCGGTCCAGCGTAGCTACCTAGCGATACCTAGTATCGAAATTATTCCTACGCCTCCATGTGTTGTCAAGCACCCGCAGAACCATACATTCAGCCGCAGCATCGAACCTTCCCTCGGTCTCCTTCCGAACCCCGTCGCGGTTTACCTTCTAAGGTTAAATAACATAAGTTTTCGGCGCAAAGAGTCACAGTTCGAACAGACTCTCTCTTAGGCTGGCGCATAAACACGAATAACTCGGCAGACTTTACGTTGCCTATGTACATAGTAAATGCTCGATGACGTACGCTCGCCAACGAGCTGCAGGGACAGATTCAATCCTGGAAATCAAAGCCCGCAAGCTGACGTGAGACTTCAAAAGGAGGGACTAACATGTACATAGATGAGAAACGACGGCGATACAATAAAAGGCAATAATAGGCAAGCCTTATTTGGCGCATAAAAACACAACGATCAACAATGACACATTAAGGTTAACTAATAATTACCTACCTAGGTATCTCATATTCATCTCACCTGCCTAGTGAATTCTTGCAGCTACTGTGGAATGGTGGAATGCTTGTTTCGGCCTAAGATCTTTCAGGATCACACACAAGAACGGGAGGGCAATGGGCGTCAGAAACAAAAAAAATATATACGTCCATGGATATATAGATTTTAAAAACAACCAAACTGTCTTTAGATTACAAAAGCACAACGATATTCATATGGATACCTAGGCACCTACCAATTTACGTAAGAAGGGCAGGCACATATATTTAGGTTTCCAAAGTTTTTTAAGTTTTGGTTCCGGGTAAGGCTGCATCTCGGATTTAACTTCAGGCCGTTAAACATGGTACATGTACAAAGTTTCGGGTCGGAGCGAAAACTTACCTACTATTATTACTATGAGTTTAAGAGTACGGTACCTAATCTATTCTTAGTATCAAACAATATTCCTATGGTAGGACTGAAGTACTGCACACCAAAATATACAACAACTCCGGTCAAATGAGCAGACGTATAATGCGCTTTTATACGCAGGGAGCAGGTATAAAGACTTGGTGGTACTCAAAGGATTGCATCCCAAATCGAAGTTACATACCTAGGTAGGTACCTGGATATTTAATCAAAACTGCTATTCATTTGCTTAGCTGTCTAGGTATTACTTGAGTTTCACCGGGGTGACACAGCGCTACATGCAGATCTAGATATGTATTCGTTCGTATTGTGGTTCTAGAATTCTACATGTCCACCTAGTAGATCTAGTATCGAATGATAACTCCAGAAAACCCGCCGGTGGCGAAACTGCCAGAATTCGTTCGTGATATTTAGCTTGCGCGAAATGCATCGAGCGACATCCATAGACTCGACTTACTGGATAGGCACCTATCCTTAGTCATCTACATATACACTATACTATGTAAGCTTCTCGGACTGTCGGAGAGCTTGTAGTGGATCAGATGTGGAGGTAAGGGATTGTGGAAATGATGGAAATGTTTATTTTCCATGTGGCTTCGATTATTATGTACGTAGTAGATATCGGATTAGATAAGATTAGATTACTAAAAGTTTCGCGGGACCACATGTACCTAATTCCACATACCTATTCAATCCTCACTTGGAACACTCTATGACAAGCCTAGCTACTTTCTCCCCGACTCTTTGACATGTCATGGTTTCGTCACTTAATAAGAGGTATCATGGCGTCCGAACCGAAGAGGGTCCCAATTCCCCGCAACGGTGTTGATTACAGAGGCAAAATTGTCCTCGCGCCTATGGTTCGTTCTGGAGAGCTACCATCGCGGCTGCTGGCTCTACATTATGGTGCCGACTTAGTATGGGGTGCGTCTCCTTTTCTCTCTTGCGCTCTCCTTTTTTCCTTTTTTTCTTTCCGTTCATAAGAGGTCACTCATCGTTGATTAGGACCCGAAACTGTGGATAGGTCCATGATCGGAACGACGAGACAGTTCAACCCAGACACCAAGACAATTGAATGGACAAGGAAACCATCTCTAGGTACCAGGAACCCACCGGTCGATGTGAAAGACAGTGTAATATACAGGTTGCACCCCGAGAAAGAAGGACGAAAACTCATCTTCCAGATCGGTACCTCGAATCCCGATTATGCGGTACAGGCAGCTAGACAAGTCGCCGCCGACGTCGCAGGTATCGACGTGAATGCCGGGTGCCCCAAGCCCTTCAGCACGCACGATGGCATGGGAGCCGCTCTACTTCGGACTCCCGATAAATTATGTTCCATCCTAGAAGCGCTAGTCCAGAAAATAACGCCCGAATTCGAGATCGGGATAAGCGTCAAGATTAGGATTCTCGAGACCGCGCAAGAGACCGAAGCGTTGGTTAGGAGGCTTGTTGCTACTGGTATAACAGGCCTGACGGTCCACTGCCGAACAACCCCTATGCGGCCGAGAGAGCGAGCTATTCGGGGTCAACTCCGTATGATAGCAAACCTGTGTCGAGAAGCAGGTGTTGCATGTCTCATGAATGGTGACATTGAGAATAGAGACCAAGCGCTCGAGCTTATGAAAGAATATGGTGTCGATGGTGCCATGATAGCAACCCAGGCCGAAAAGAACCCTAGTTGCTTCAGGAGCAAGGCTGACGGGGGTTTCCTGCCGTGGAACCAAGTCGTAGAACAATATATCCGCTACGCCATGGAGGTCGAAAACAAATTCGGAAACACCAAATTCTTACTTTGCCAACTCATACCGGGGAAGCAGTATGTGTACCGCTCCCTCAGCAGCTGCAAGAGTTACACACAGATGTGCCAATTACTTGGCCTTGATCATCTGTTGGAGCGGGCTCGTGAGGTTGACATTAGCCGCGACATCGATCCGGATACCGCAAGGAAGAAAGATAAGAAGACCAACGACAGCGCTCTCGCCGCAGGGGGGGACGCTGCAGAGTCGCGGTCGAAACCTCAGGCTAAGAAAAACTTGTCGGAACGAGGGGCTCGCGCCCAGGCAAAAACACCACCCGCCGAAACTATGGCAATCCCTGCCTGAGAATGGGTTATAGCTTACATCATAGGGATTCGGGATAGGGAGGTTGGCATCTAAAGGCGTTGAGCAGGCATATATCCCCTTTTAGGTTTTAGGGTGAGTTGGTGAATGAAGGCATTTACATGGACATATACAAGGGGGTAAAAAAAGGGGTTTGCTAATATTTGTGGCCGCCAAGGGCGGGCTGTGCGCGTATGGGATGATGATCACGATATTATACCTCTTACTAGAGAAGAATGGCTCTTTAGTCAATGCAGCATATGCGAGAACTACTCTAACCCAGTTGTATTCAGCCGACAAACTACTAAACCTTCTTGCCTTGTTTAAGAAGATCAGACACTTTAGGGGGTAGTACTAAAGCGCTTCTATCATTACGCTTGTGAAAGTCCACGAGGGATATTGCTGTCTTCTCCGGCAAATCTTCGTGTATGAAATGCCCTGCTTCCGGGAATATTTGTAAGGAGTATTTTCCTGGCGCAGCAGATAAGTCAATACTCTAAAACCAATCAAATTCAATATAGTGGGATGGTACGAACCTTGCATTTGGCCGATTGTCAATTCCGTGTCTAATCTGTCCGTCCCTGCGAGAAGCAATAGTTTCCCACCCTTTGCCCCCAGGAATTTTTTACTTAGTCCCACGAACCAGTTCTCCCAGAAGGGTTGCGTGGCACCAAGGTCCGTCCTCCACTTCCACGGCCTCGCATCCCCTGGGCTCTCTCTGAGCGTGAGTAAGGCAGGGACGCTAGTGCGTGCAGAAAGCGAATTGCGGACCGTCCTTGTTCGTATATGCCAATCGATCCCTGCTTCTAGGGTAGGGAAACCGGCTGGGCGCGTTGAAAGGTAAGTGTGCATGCTCTGCAGGGCATCAATGGCCGACCCTTCAACCACATCAAGAACGACGTAACCCAGGACAGCATTACCAAGCTTTCCCGTCTTTGCGACCTCGGTGACTACTGCACCTCCGAGCGAATGACCAACTAAAATGATGGGTGGCAGCTCTGGCCACTTCATCTCTCTTCGAGTCAGTAAGATCACAGAGAGGAGATCTGAAGCAAGGGTTTCGAGACTGAGATCGATTTTTTGACTATCACAAGTAGTGGTTGAGCCGTGGCCCCTTGCATCGAGCGATAGGATGCCAGCAAACGGGAGGCGTTTTCGAATCTCATGTCCGACCACGGCGAAAGACAAGCCTGACGAGCCCGCACCATGGTGCATGACGAATAGAGGACCCTTTCCGACAGGAGAGGTCAGGTAAGCATGGATTGTTGGATTTGTAGGACGACTTGGGTCATGTAGGAATAATTCCCTCTCGAAGTAGGTAGTCCAGGGGATCTGCTGTAGGGACCGTCCTCTCGGCGCGCTGTATACCAAAATCAGCTGCCGTGGAAGTGAGCGCATCTAGGTTGAGAGGGACTACCCCTGGGGTCTGGCAAATAGATTCTGGCTCGGAGACGGGATGACGGTTCCCGTAGAAGAAGCTGACGAGGCCGAAGACGAATCGTCGTCAAAATGTTCCGGAAGTTCAGACACATGGCCGAGCTCCTCTTCTTCCCTCTCATCGAAACTCTCAGCAGGTAAAGCGCTTAAGCGATTCTTAGCCCAGGCCTTCTGAAGGTCACTCATTATGGTAAACTAGTTACGAGCGCCTGCGGACGTGAGGAATATTTATTTTGCGGATAGCTGCCCAATCGTCGCGTCAACGAAAGACGTAGGTAAGATACGCAATGGTACGGCTGATCAATAACCACGTAAAATGTATACAAGTCATAACTCGACTAACTGTAGTACATTTCAGAAAACTGGCCTAGTCCCTTCCAAATAAACGGGTATGCGACAAAAGGCGACGTCTACATGAAGTACCTATGTATTTGGTAGAGAATGTTGGATGAAGAAGATTGGAAGAACAAAGGATGAGACTTCCGTTTCTCCTTGGTGGGGAAAGGTCAAACCACTAATAGGTGCTTTCCTAGGTAGCACCACTTTGACATCACTCATACATCCATGGATGCGACTTCCAAGCTTGTTAAGTTTGTCTCTTCCCAGATAACCCCACTATCAACATACATGTTGGTGTATATAGATATTTAATTAGTACTATGTATGTAGGTAATAGGTATCTGACGCATTTCTGTGTTTAATTAAACCTTATGATAATTGTATAACTTTATAACTTTATAACCCAAACCACTACATACTGTTAATCATTTCCCCTGAAAACTCTCGTAAGAGAACCTACACATAGATAACTCCTTCCCCCACCCCAACGAAAATACAGTGTTGGCCATAGCCTTGACGATAGAAAGTATCGCACTTTCAATGGCCTTCCACTGACGTGTCCGCCTCAGATATATCTATTCCTGTCTGCAATCTTACCTCAAGATTGAACCCATACTGGATGCCGCCGCAACGGCCTTGATATTATCGGGATTGCCTTGCAGATTTTTCCTAAGTCTTGGGACGATAGGCCCAGTTCTTACTGGATATAGACTCGGGTCTGGAGAAGGCCGTGGCGAGCCTTGTCCATCGCTAGCATTACCGGTTCTTCAAAATGGATCGGTATCGTCTTTATGTCCCGGCCCCCTCTCCTCTTAGCATCGGTGCTCCCCGCCTCCTGTGGCGCCTTCTTCGGCAAAGATAAGTCCCTGTCGATATACACGCCATTTCAACTTATCATAAGACGATAGTTGACTGGACTTCATAGGACGCAATGGGGCATCGAGAAGCAATGCCACGAGGCCTGGTGGCAGCTCTTAGTCTTCCACCTCACTAAATGTATTAAGATAGGGCAAACAGGTATAGGGCGAACTGGGCATGAGCTCATTTTTGGCTTCATATTATCTCTGCTGATCCCGAGCTAACCAACTTCTTCGCGTCGGCCCACCTTAGAATGACAACATCGCCGTTCTTGCCATTCATTTCGCCATCGGCGTCGGTTCCGCGGCCTTCGACAAGCGTATCTCTAAGCAGACGAATAAACACGGCCGTATCTAGATCCGGAGCATCGACCATGCTGATGTTCCCAGCAGTGTCGTTGAGGTTCTGAAGAGGCGCCGGGAAGGATGACAAGAAAGAAGATAGGTAATGGTTGTGGAGTAAGGCTTGATGTCGTGTCGCGTATGCTAGCTCCGGCGGTGAGAGGCGTGCCTGGAGCACGGGGCTAGATAGATAATGTAGGGTGTGCTTGTCGATCTAACAGGAATTGCAGTATTTTTTAACACCAGTAACTTATAGGTAGAGTGGCGTATGATCCTACCTTAGCTATGCGGGCCCTCAGATAGCTCCGTACCAGGTACTTATAACGCTCGAGTTCGGTTTGTATAACGATCAGGGCAAAGTTGGTCTTTGGATCCATATCACCAGTCATATCTTCGACCTTTTCAATCTGTTGCTTGATGCGCTCGTTAATACGCTCGAAGAGGCCGTCGGTTGGCCAGCTGGAAGGTACGAAAACTTATTAGTATCGGGTCATTAAGAATAGGATAGATAAATATGCACGGCGCCGCATACTCGAGTAGTTCGGGCGAGGATCTTTCTGCCATCCAAGCACGTGTTAGCGCCTGGAGGTCGCGCGTCTCCTCTGGAATTGAGTCGAACGTAGGATCGACTTCTCGCAAGATGTCGTCAATATCCATAATTGATTATAATTTACTGTTCCTTTCATGCGACCCAGGGGAGTTGATTGTTGCCAATGATTGATCGAATCGCACAAATTGAACACGCTGATGATAAATTGTAACGCGTCCAAGCTTTAACTTTTAGACAAGTCGTGGTCGTTGAGATAATGGTGGGGTAATCGAAGACCCCGCTACATATATGCGTCAAGTAATGAGGTAGGTAGGAGGTACCTAAGTGTAACCTGCCCGAGATCTCAATGCCAAGAGCATTGAATAGCGGGACGCTACTTCGTACCTGGCCGCCAAGCAAAGTTGCGTCCCTTCCGAGCTTGCTACTCTTGTGGATACCCGGGTATAAATTCTACATCGTGACCAGGCACGTGAATACCTCATGGACATGTAGATGCCTTTCAATATATGTGTGACCCAAAAACGTCTACCTCATACATGCCTAGGTAGGTATTCAAGTGCTTTCAAAGGATCACGCTCAACTGATATCATTCTTTCTTCCCATACAACTAACTGTATTGTTATGCAATTCGACAACGATTTGAAAACGTCACATGCTCATCCATCTCGATCAATATCTCTCATAACGTATAAACCACAGTTTGTGGTTGCGATGATCCGTGTCGTTGGTATCAACCATAAGGGCCTAAGCCACCTAGAAAACATTATATCGTAGACATTATGCCCCATTATCCCAGTTACCGAATCCATTATCCAATGAATTCCGTGCTAACCAACGTTTCCCAAGGTTTGTGCGTCTCCCACACCTTTTGCATTAGCCGGCGTGCATTATGGATCTATGTTCTGTTAGAAGTAATAACCTAGAAGGTGGACTCACCCGACTTACCTGCGTCATTCCGTGATTCTCGGCCGTTACGAATCTTCGAAGAATCAAGTCTCTCTGACCTTCGTCCCTCGCGTCACATCCCGCAGTGAACATTGGAAATAGGAGGCACGATTCCGCCGTCCCACCCGGTCGAATGCGACCAAAACATTCAATGATCTTTCGTACCGCCATTTGAACCGTCCTATCCTCGGATGGCTTCCCCATAATCCTACGGTATAGATGGACAAGCCCAGCCCAATGAAATGCCTCATTTGTTGCTTCCATTTCGCGCCTATCCCATTTTTCGACGTCGCCTTTCTTATGTATGTGCTTGCAAGGTACTGGCGACTGGACCATACTCTCTGTAACCGCCGCTTCGATCTTCGAGGCCTGTTCGAATACTTCTTCACTAGGTTCCCAGTCATGTCGCATATTAAGATCATCTCCAATGCGGTCGCTATCGCACTTACGAGCAAGATCAGCGATCTTGGCGAGAAGATAGATGCATCGTGTAGTGAAACCCATTATGCAGTCTATCTCATCGTAGCCGTCGTCGATGTCATCCAACTCGTAGTCGAATATCCAGGCTGACGAGGAGCCTTTGGGGCCTCCACTAAGACTACCGATGACATCGAGATATGCAGCCCAACTCCATAGAAAAGAGCAGACCGGATCGTGGCGGAAGTTTGACTGTAGGCCACGGAGACCACCTGGACGCGCAGTTATAAGTTCCCTCGCGAGACCCAGATGCCTCTGCCACGAGATGTCATATCCAAATACTTTGGGCGAAATTATTTCAAGGGACGCTAACATAATAGCCGTTGCTAGGTTCGCATTCGAGAAATTCCTGTTCGGGTCATCCAGAGCCTGCCGGAGGGCAGGGAACACGTCGTCCACCCAATAAGCGATCCGGATTGTAGGTTCTGGGTGGTTCAAGACTCGTGCCCTATGTGAAGCTATCCAATTGATTTAGGTCATCGTTCGGACACTAACATGATTGGTTTTCTTACCTGAATAGGCCAGCAGAAGAGCTAGCAGGTTATCATCCTTCACAGCCATTTGCGGGAGAATTGTCCGAAAAGGGTTGGCGTGTGGATCATCGTAAGGGACGAGGACTCAACATATATTTAGTATGGAATCGAGCATATGTCAGAAGGCGAACTTACCTCGGGCTGTATGGTTCAAGAAATGATGCTGATTGACGATACGTAAGTAAAATTCGCCGGCCTCATTTCAATGGGACAACTTACGAAATACTATTAGATGTTAGATGCGACTTGAAAATTTTTTATTTTTTTATTTTTTAGGATGAAGCTACTCACAAGAAGGTTCATAGGATTATCCACCAGCCTAGGAGAATGTCAGTATTTGCTTTATAGTAGTATACACAATTTCCCGAATGAGTCTCACTTACTTCGATGGAAGGGGTTCGAGATTTCGAGGTATGTATATTGACACCGGCTTTGAATAGTACCCGCCCTCCTCGTCGTTAAACTCGTTAGTTTCTACTCCGAATCCGAATTCGGTCCAAACAAGATCATCGCCTTGTTCAATGAAAGGGGCGTCCATGAACTCGCGTTGTAGTAGTGGCGAAGACCCGCTAATAGCAATCATATCGTCGTTCTTACCCAGGTCATGATCCGGAAAACCTCGATCAATGCCATGATAAGTGGTTTCTGTCGAGATGCGCGCCCGAGTGTCTATCGGCGGAAGGCCAGTCCTTATGCGGCTAGCGTTCTCATCTTGAAAAGCTTGTGGGCCAGGAGGTGCCGACAAAAGCGAGTTTACGGAAAGCCTGCGACTCGCGTGTCGTTGGTCGTCGTCGCTATATGTAGATGACGTAGTAGGAGTTAGTGGAGAACCAGCCGACAAACCAGAGCCAACTGCGAACCGGAAAGAGGCCACGCTCGAATCCAAAGTTGAGCTCGCCGCGGAATTATGCCTATGCTCAATTAGTCGCGCCGATTGGAGGTCAGGCGACTGATGATCCGACGTCAGCTTCGCGCGCTTACTTCTTGGCACGGAGGAGGAGTCCGTATCGTCGACACTCGCGGATGGCGAATTCTCCAAAGGAATTACGGGCTGGGGAAGTACTTTATTACGTTCAGCCTTTGGCTGAGTTGCCGGCCCGGAAAGGGGTTCAAGTCTTCGCGTTCCTGGAGCGTCAGATAGAGGATACTGGTGGACCAGCTTGAACCCTCTGGCGGGCAATGGCGGCGATAGAACTTCTCGGCCAAAGTCTACGACGCCGGGCTCTGGTCGCTTCCCCCTTCGACCTTCCCAGTTCAAACGGATGCTATAGTCACATGTTTCGCCCGTCCTCTGACAACTTTTAAACGACAGTTTAGTTAACCACGGCCGAGTCTCCCGAAATTATGAATTTAGAGTAAAGGAAATAGAGGTGACATACTTTAAGCAATTGGGCCGTTCCTCGCCGCATTTGATTTTGCGGTTTTTACACGGCCTTATGATTAAGTTAGTAGAGCAACCAACAAAGCACAACACGACATCGCAACGCAACGCAACGGGACGGGACGGGCGAGGAGATGGATAAGAGAAGAGAAGGTCAAACGGGTAAAATGAGACCTACCAGCATCCATTTCGACTTCGCCGTTTCGGTTCAGGTGCGCCGGGTCTTTTCGGACGTGGCATTATACGCCGACGAGTCCTACCTAGAGAGACAACGAATGGCCTAAGTGTGGGAACTTGCACGAGCACAATATCCCTCGTTCCAGCGGCGACTGTGGCGCATATTCGACATGCAGGACTCTCTGCGTGAGAGGCAGTTTTTTTTTTTTCTTTTCTTGGGAAGGATTGTTACACGGCTCGCTGACCAATGCAGGAGGAGAAGCGAAACTGAAGGATGGGATGAGATGGTACAGTTGCAGTCCCGAGGAGTCGGTTGCGAGAAGTATGGGTTGTATGTATGGTGTGAGGGCGATTTTATGGATGGGATTGGGATTGGGATTGGGAATGGGATTGTGATTGATATATAGCTCTGCGCCTTAAACCCTTCCTCTCACGCGTGAGGAGTTTACAACAAGAACTTGTTGGACCGACTATCTTTGGTCTAGCAATGCGAGAAGATAAGGTCGAGGACCAGGACCAGGACCAGGGGACGTGGACGGGGACGTGGACGTGGTAGTAGTAGTGGTAGTGGTTGTGATTGTGGTAGTGGTAAGCGCACATTCTGCAAGAAACCCCAACCACATGCGATGCCTGGAATTGGTCAAGCTCCTTTCTGCATTGGAACCGAGGGATGCCTAGGATGTCTGGGGGATGGTTACGCGGGCTACGAAGTCGTAGTAGTGGTCCACGGGTAGGATTAATTATGAGTGGTGGTGGTAGTGGTGGTAGTAGTGGTAATGGTCATAATGGTCGCAATGCCATTTGTAGTTGGTCTGCTCTTGGTCCCGATGACTAGGGACTCATGCGAGAAAGCGAGGGAAAAGAAGGAAGAAGAAAAGCAGGCTAGCGCATAGTTGCTACGCAGCTATGATACAGTTTACGCGATATCCAAGCCACACTGTGACTATAGTAGCGCCCTGTACTATGTATACACGTGCTACCCCGCTTTCCGCTTCGCGCAAGAGGGAGCCCTCACTGGCTGAAGTGCTTAGGTCGTATGCTGTTATATCCGATCAACACCCGTAGCTTGACTTGGTGCTGGTACAATGGTATTACTACGCTAATAGTAATTTGATCAGGTTTAGCGATTTCATCCATTACGTACACATAGCCCTGGTACAATATGTACTTCTTGTAGTACGATATAGTACAATGTATGGTACAGTACATATAGTACAGTACAGTATGCTCATTTATCATCTTTTTGAATCGTGGGGTTCCAGGGCTGCGATACCGCCAGACTGTTAAGGTTTCGGAAGCGGATGCGGCAGCTCTGCGGTAAGGAACGGTTCACAAGGGTTTTGTTAGTCATTTCGGTTCCTTCAGCTGGTAAGGATTTGGTACGTATGTGGGGCAGCTTGTGTCGCCAGTAGGTAACATCATGTGATACGCAAGTATATAGGTACCTGATAGGTAGATAGGTAGGTAACCTTGAACTGATTGAAGCGGCTTGTTGGATGTCTCAAACACCGACGATCTTAAAAGTTTACCTAACCCAAATGTTTAATGCGCGACGCGCGACTGTTAAACCTCAAAAAATTTGGAGCTATATCTTACTAGCTTCTATTTTCAATAACCACCTACTATCATTAACAGACAAGCAATATGACAAAACGTCCTTTCTCTTACAATTTGGTGCACTCCTGATTGTCAATTAAACACTAATCTTTCAATTCTGTTCCATCACGACAGCGCAACACAATCTTACCTACGAAATGGCTGAAGCAGGTAATAAGAGAAGCCATTCAGACTTCGTGGAAAATAACAGCGATGGTACGAAACATGAAACCTCTTTTTCGGGGGAATCAATCAACTAACAGCTAGCTTCAGATGGCTCCTCGGATGACGATATGGGACCCCAGTTGCCCTCTTCAGCATCGGCACCCAAGAAGAAACGACGAAGACTACCGCACGAAAAGTTATACATCGAAGCACTTCCAAAATCAGCGCGCTACTCTAGGTCCCTAATGCACAAAGAGCAACTATCGTTCGTGAATGTCACCCGATCCGATTTTCTAATCACCACTTCTGTCGATGGGGTAGTTAAATTTTGGAAAAAGGTTGCGCAAGGGATTGAATTCGTCAAGGAGTTCAAAGCCCATCAAGGAGATGTACAATCCGTCTCTGTTAGTCAGGATGGCCGAAGCTTTGCAACAGCTGGAACCGACAAGACTATCAAGATCTTTGATGTTGTCACCTTCGATCTCCTTGCGATGTTACCTCTCGACTATGCGCCTAAATGTGTTTGTTGGGTACATAAGCTTGGCGCATCTCTACCACTTCTGGCTGTTTCGGACGACGCAAAACCCTTGATTTACATCTATGATGGTAGAGGAGAAAATCAAACTCCCATACACACAATACAGAGCTTGCATAGGAGTCCTGTATCAATAATGGCTTTCAATGATGCCTACGACTGCGTGGTCTCTGCCGATGACAACGGTATGCTCGAATACTGGTCTCCGAGTACCAATTACGAGAAACCAGAAAATGTATTCCAGTACAAAAGCTCTACCAACCTTTTCGATTTCAAGAAGGCGAAGTCGGCCCCCGTTTCTCTGAACATGTCGCCTTCAGGTCACCAGTTTGTCACATTCTCCATGCCCGATCGAAAAATTCGAGTTTTCGAATTTGCGTCCGCCAAACTATATCGGACGTATGATGAGTCGTTGCAAGTCATTGAAGAGATGCAGCGAGCTGGAACAGCTATGCAAAAGTTAGATGATGTTGATTTCGGAAGAAGACTGGCGGCGGAGCGCGATATCGAATCCACTTCACTTCAGAATAAGGTCAATGTAATCTTTGACGAGTCAGGCCATTTCATTCTGTACGGCTCTATGTTTGGTGTCAAAGTCCTGAACACCTTTACCAATCAGGTCGTGAAGGTATACGGGAAAGATGAACACCTCCGCCCAGTCAACCTAGCTCTGTATCAAGGACAGCCCCAGAAAAAGGGCGTTACAACCGTGGCGATGGCGGCTTCAAGCAATCCTCTTCTACAAGAATCAGAGGCGAGAGACCCCATCCTCTTCGCGACAGCCGTTGGGAAAGTTCGGTTTTATATGTTTACAAATGACGAAGAAATATCTAGATCTGAGAGAGATGTTCACAACGAGAAACCGACGATGTTGAATCCTAAGAAGACGGTCGAAAAGAAGACTAGCGAGACTGGCACGGCAGCTGTCCTCCATACGACGTATGGAGACATCCACATCCGGCTCTTCCCGGATGCCGCGCCGAAGGCAGTCGAGAATTTCGTGACCCATTCAAAACGTGGCTATTACAACAACACCATATTCCATAGAGTAATACGCAAATTCATGATCCAGGGAGGCGACCCCTTGGGTGACGGGACAGGGGGCGAGAGTATTTGGGGAAAGGAGTTTGAGGATGAGTTTAGTACTCTCAGACACGACAAACCCTACACTGTCAGCATGGCGAATGCCGGTCCGAACACGAATGGAAGCCAGTTCTTCATTACCACGGAAAAGACCACATGGCTGGATAACAAGCACACGGTGTTCGGAAGAGCGGTACAGGGGTTAGACGTTATCCACAGGATAGAGAATGTACGGACCTATAAGGAGAAGCCGGAGGAAGATATTAAGATACTCAGTGTCGATATAGTATAAGTACTTCATCGCAGTTCGGTAATACATGCTGGTATCGAAGGCTTGACTTTGGTCCCGGAGTTATGAATCCGGAAGCTGAACCACGAACAACAAATGACGAATGCCTGGCGTATTAGGCATGTGTGTAGGCATACAGATAATTATTGTATGGAATAGGCCAGAGTCCGATTATTCGCATCGCTATCTTAATGCTCTCCGAAGCGCCCGAGATGCCAAGTATCGGCGAAAACGTTAGAAGGTAAAAGGGGGTGGGCTCTGCTACTGCTCGATGAAGGTATACATACATTTCTGTACCTGTACTTACATACTGCCGGGGCTGTGCTGGGCAAAAGTCATTCATTTAGTCCCACAATTCATGCTGAAGCGGATTTAACGGCCTCGGGGCTGTCAAGCTTTACAAGTTTTAGCGAACGTGGCAGCGTCATTGGTACAGATATGTACCTAGTAGGTAGATGCCGGACGTACCGGATAGTACATCCATATGTACCTAACACCACGCATATGTATGTGGATACGACGGTGCTTGAACTGATCCGAGAATTTGGGTAGCATCCATTGTACGTATCTGCCTAGGTAAATTCCAACCTTACACCAATCTCACTTACCTCCTTCCTAGTATTGGCTTCCACCTAGTAGGTCAAGTGCTCTGTTTTGCTTACCTATATCAAATATTCTGAGAAAAATTAAAAAAATAAAAAAAATTAAAAAAAATTGCAAAGCCTATTTGCGTCCATCGAATCGTCGTTCATTTCGCTGCCAAAAATGGCTCCTCGTCATCCGCTTCAGAGGATTGCCTCTCCGTCTAGACAAATTTCTATACTACTTCATTTAGGGGGAATCTTGTCCTTCATAGCCTCTTTCAGGTTTCTTTTCGGATGGGAAACTCCAATGTCGGCGGCATTTGGCGGGCACTTCCAGTTTCTTACGATCATCGGCCTGACCCTTGCGCTATGCACATACGTTGTCGGTTTCCTGGCTGATGTCACCCTGTCCTCGCGGCTATTTAAGCTCAAGAATGTACTCTCCGTATGTTCGACGCCGTTGGAGGTACTAATTAGCATCCTGTACTGGGGGCTCTGTGCAATCGACAAGAGTCTTGTTTTTCCACCCGAGTTTCAGCTCGACTTCCTTCCAGATTTCGGTTTCCACGCGGCGCCCGCCCTGTTTCTGACGATAGATCTGCTGCTCCTGAGCCCGCCGTGGACCATACGTGGCTATTCGGCGTTAGCTCTAAGCGAATGCTTAGCGTTCCTATATTGGTTTTGGGTCGAGTATTGCTTTTATCACAACGGCTGGTAAGATTCTTTGTTGTTTTATGTCTTTTAAAAGAGAGCTTTGTCGATCCCTGACCGCCTCAAAGGTATCCTTATCCCATCTTTGACATCCTGAGCACATGGCAGCGCGCAATTCTCTTTACGTTTTCTGCATCCCTAATGACCGGAAGCACGATACTGTTGAAGTGGACGTATGGGAGAATCAATGGAATCGAGAAATTTGAGAAAGAAGCAGTGGCCATTCCTTCGGGAATTCGAGCCAAAAATGAATAATCTATCTTCATACACAGTGGATTAATATCAATGTTCCGCTTGATATTCAAATTATGTACATAGATCGCAAGGTTTAATAATTACCTACATATCGGTCCCGGTATACCGGACCGGCCGAGGCTTGAAAGAGGATTAAGATAATGAATCAGACGTATTGGAATAGGTTTGACAAAGTTTCTTTGATTATGCACAATAAAGTTGGAACAAGGGATCGGCTTGACATAACTATCGTATGTTTATCAGTGACTCGATCCTATCAACTTGCATGTGTTTCTCTGTATTGCAGAAGGCGCGAGATGTCAAATCGAGTACCTTGCATTGGATCAAACTACATGTAGTTACTAGGGTATGTAAATCCTACCGAGTCATTGATTACGGTGTGACCCCGCCATCGGAGTGGGTACCCCTCGGAGTTTCGCTAAGGATTCATCAATCCATTGAATTTCACTATAATTGACCCACCCCCACTATGACTCTTGAATGGGCTAACATTTTTCTAGAATCGAAAAGGTAGATCCGTTTTTTTTTGCGATCCCTTTGCGACAGAAGACACTGGATCGCGTTGTCTTTAGTTGACCAATTGCCTGCCAACCGTTGGCCTTCTTCGAATTAACGATTTATACTAGACAGGAGATAAAAACCCCTTTGATAAGTCGCCCATCATGTCTGTAAGTGCGCCCGGATTTAACAACATGGGAGATGGATGAGCTTGAACCATTGACTAACTTTTCTTTTTTACTCCCTTCATTAGAGCTTCTACATCGAGAATAAGAATATGGGCAACAAACTCGACAGCGAGGATTGGAGAAGTAGGCATCGGTCCTTTGAATAAGAAAGACAATCGCGGGGCTAATCGGTCTCCCAGTTCGCGGTTACAATCCTCTAACCCCTCCCGACCTCCTTCAGCATGAGATCCCCCAGACGGCCAGATCAAAGAAAACGGTACTCTCAAGCCGCGAAGAGGTGGTAGCTGTAGTCAATGGCACCGATGATAAACAGAGACTCCTAGTTATCATTGGTCCTTGCTCCATTCACGATCCAAAGTCTGCCCTCGAATACTGCGATATGCTGTTAAAGGAAAAAGAGAAGCATCAAAACGAGTTGCTTATCGTTATGCGAGCTTACCTCGAAAAACCAAGGACGACGGTGGGTTGGAAAGGTCTAATAAACGACCCGGATATTGACAACAGCTTCAACATCAATAAGGGGTTGCGTATGTCGAGACAACTTTTTGTTGACCTCACCGACAAGGGGATGCCGATTGCTAGCGAGATGTTGGATACCATTTCGCCACAGTTCCTGGCAGATGTCCTCTCGGCCGGTGCGGTAGGTGCGAGGACGACTGAGAGTCAACTGCACCGAGAGTTGGCGAGCGGCCTCTCGTTCCCAGTAGGATTCAAGAATGGTACAGACGGTACATTGAGAGTCGCAATTGACGCAATTGGCGCCGTTAGACACCCTCATCACTTCCTCTCTGTCACCAAACCGGGAGTTGTAGCCATCGTTGGCACCGTCGGAAACGAGGACTGCTACGTAATCCTACGCGGTGGAAGTCGTGGTACCAATTTTGACTCGAAGAGCATCGCAGAGGCTAAGGCAGCCCTGGCGAAGTCTGGTCTGCGGCAGCGACTTATGGTGGATTGCAGTCACGGAAACTCGTTGAAGAACCACAAGAACCAACCCTTGGTTGCTGCTGATTTAGCAGAGCAGATTTCCAAGGGAGAGACCGGCATCATGGGTGTCATGATTGAGAGCAATATTAACGAAGGTCAGTCAATTTAACAGGCTTAAATACGTGGACTAGGTCGCTAATTACGTCCCCTACAGGCAGCCAGAAGGTGCCGCAAGAAGGGAAGGCCGGCCTGCAGTACGGTGTCAGTATTACCGATGCTTGCATCGGATGGCAAGATACAGTCGCGGTTCTCGATGGTCTTGCCAATGCCGTTAAGGAGCGAAGAAGGGTTACCGGTGTAAATGGGTTCCAGTGAATTTGGGGGTCACCATTCCTAAAAAACAAGGAGTAATTATGGTCATTTGTAACAAAAAGGGATATAAAATTTGAAGATATCCAAATAGTCTGCAAGGGAAAAGAGATGGAAAGGAAAAGGCTATTTCGGTGTTAGAATTATATAATTTTCAAAAGCGAGGAAAATGGACCTGACTCGGCAATAGCAAAACCACACCGAGATGGATTGTTTCCTTTTATCCACTGCCTTGTGTAGTACCTAGGTACCTAGTAAGTGCGTAAATTGCTTAGGTAAGTTGAACGGAACTTCTGTGAAACTACCCGTGATATCATGGGTGGATGCCCGTATGATTTCAAAGTTAAAGTTTATTAGTGGTCTATGTCACGTGAACAATGGGCCGGTTCAACGAAGCTAACCTCGGCCAATAGGACGCACCTATTTCCAATTGCTTCGAGGCCTGAGCACTTTTTCATATTCAACCTTGTGCTGCTTGTGTAAATTGGATCGACCTCTTCCAACCCCAACGATCAAAAGCCTCAATTGACTTGTCAACCTACCCGTCGCACCTCCCACGAACGGGTAGAACATCGCCCTCCATGTTGGCAAGGTCTTGCCTGCGCTCCACGCGCATTCTCAACGGTGCCAGAAATGGCGCGACCGCTTTCACCAAGGTATCCTCCAACCGCCACCATCCGCTACCCCGAGTTCCGTCTGGTGACTTTATATACGATGGCTATAACTATTATATGTAGTTGGAGAGATAGGGACTTGGCTAATCATTGGAATTCTCCAGCGATCTATCTCGTCGTCGAGCTCCGGAGCCTCTACCGAATCTCCGATGAAACTGAACGTAGCCGCGGCGGCTTCAACAGCTCTCGCAATCGGATCCGTAGCGTGGTACTATCATCTCTATGGTTCTACCGCCCATGCAATGACGCCTGCCGAAGAAGGGTGAGTTTGTTCATCTATACCATTAGGAGAGGTCATCTGCATCGTCTTTGATTGGGCGTCGAAAGGCAGATCGGAGTTGTCCGCTTTCCCACGTCCTAGGCCTATGAATTTAATACGTCAAATTTAGTTTACACCCGACAGCCTACCCGTGGGTTCATGAACAGTGGTTAAAGACTTTCGATCACCAAGCGTAAGTCCCGAGCCCGCCTGTTTCTAGTTTTCTTACTCCTAACAGGTTATCAGGCTCCGTCGAGGTTTCCAGGTATACCGTGAAGTCTGCGCGGCGTGTCACTCACTTAGCCGAGTTCCTTACCGAGCGCTCGTCGGAACCGTTTTGACGGTAGATGAAGCGAAAGCATTGGCCGAGGAAAATGAATATGACACCGAACCCAACGACGAGGGCGAGATCGAGAAGCGTCCCGGAAAGTTATCGGACTATATCCCCGCCCCGTATAAAAATGATGAGGCGGCCCGAGCTGCCAACAACGGTGCCCTTCCTCCCGATCTAAGCTTGATTATCAAGGGGCGCCACGGCGGATGCAACTACATCTTCAGCTTGTTGACCGGATATCCCGAGGAGCCTCCTGCAGGTGCTCAGGTGGGCGCTGGTCTAAATTTCAACCCTTACTTCCCGGGTACAGGTATCGCTATGGCCCGTGTTTTATACGATGGGCTAGTGGAGTACGAGGATGAGACCCCGGCGTCTACATCGCAGATGGCCAAGGATGTGGTAGAGTTTCTCAACTGGGCGGCGGAACCTGAGATGGACGACCGAAAGCGAATGGGATTGAAAGTGCTGACTGTCACTTCTGTCCTCTTCGCTCTAAGCGTGTGGGTTAAGCGATACAAGTGGGCGACTCTCAAGTCCAGGAAGATTGTCTACGACCCTCCTAAAGCATCTAATAATATCCGTACATAAAGGCGTATGTTGCTGTATGTACTACTAAGTTACCCTGCCGCACCGCTCCTTTGTCATGGCAAGAGGGAGAGAGGAAAAAAGACGTGAGGTCGCCAGGGGTCGGAGTAATCCTGAGTCGCGACTCTAGAGTGTATATCAAGTCCCTAAATTTTAGACATTCACAGAAGATTACTTGAAAGTACACGATGCGGCTTAATACCGGATATTTGAGAGGATGTTTTCTCCCCCCTAACCTTGGATCTCGTCCGATCTTCTCACTAACTACGTGGGTCTGGGAACACCTAGTATGTTTTTAACGGTGTTATAGGAGTCGAGAGTTGAAGTAGCCATGACCAAGCATGTACCTAGTATGTACATAGGTATACCTGCATACATGCATGTGTAGTGGGAGCTGAACAAATTTTTTTTCGAAGAGTAGGAAGCTGGAAGGCACGACAGGGTACCTACCTCATAGGATTGTGTCAGGGGCGACGCTTTGACCACCTTCATCCTGTCACCTATTACCTATTACCTACTAACCTCCAAGGCTGTAGGTACCTACTAGCGTACGTACAGCATCTTCAGTACCGCTATCGATCGACTCTACACCTAGGTTAAGGTTCATTTTTTAGCAACAACAATGAACACTGAACCTACGAGGTCGGTAAATCTCACTACCATGTGTGTCATAATACACAAAACCTTTACATTCCTTCCTCCACGCCAATTCAATTTTCACCTCTGAAGCCCGACAAAACTGTACAAGTACTCGCAACTAGTGCTTGAACCAGTTTACATACCCAACCAACCCTGCATCGCTGACATCGCTGACTTCGTTCTCATATGAATAAGGCTGCAGGCACGTCAAGTCACATTTACGGCAATCATGGATTGGATGTGGCAGGAGTATCAAGCTAATGTGGCTAAGATGCCTCACAATCAACTAGCTGATGACCACCTATTCGGCTTCGAGGCCGGTAATGATTTCCAACGATGGTATATCGCAGACCTGATCACGAACGGCTATGTACCCGAGGAAGACATGAAAACTCTCTTTCGCCACAGCTTGGCACGTGGTTTCGAACAGTTCAACCAGTTAGTCTCCAGTGCGAATGCAATGAGAGAGAAGGCATCCTACAACAATCCCCTTGACGGACGAGACACTCTCACTTTTATTTCCAAGATTCTCCAACCCATTAGCTCCTTGGGCGAGCATTCTAAAGACGAAGCGCAGACATCTCACCAGCATCGCAAAGTTTCCAGGCAGATGTCAAATAACTGTCATGACGAGCTAGATCCAGGCCAAGTCGTCATGAAGAGCGGAAACGACAAGCAGTCGCCATTTTGGTCTACCCCTCAGGCAAAGTCGTCTAAGAAACAGATGGCACAACCGGCAAATGACATAAAGCAACGAGAGAAGCAGAAGAGAAAGAAGGACAGAAAGTCGAAGAAGGAGAAAGTTAGAAAAGAAGCGAAGGCTCAGAAGGCGGGTGAGCATGAGGAGAATGACATTACCTCTCACGCCCTACCTATGCGTCCGGTTCTTGGTGAAGCAATTTACCATCAAGACAATAAAACACTCAAGGACCCCGGCATTCCTTTAAAACGTCACCACTCACAGACGGCCAGGCGTCTGTGAGTGGTCCTAGTGTCCTGCGCGAAATCTCCTCGCCATTCGTCTCTGCAATTACAGAAGCAAAGGGGTCATTGCAGCTCCAACAGTCCTCATCGACAAGTTTGAGCAATATTGGTACGGGTTTGGACATGACTGAATCGAGCTTAGGCGCGTCAGATAAGGGTGACAACTCAGAGGAAATTAGAGCAGCATCAGAAAATGAAGAAAAGATAGATCACCTGTCCCAAGCCCGGACCCAAGCCCAAATCCAACCCCTAAAACGCACAGCGAAGTCACGATACTTCGATAACGAAGACTCATGTCCACCCAAAGCAAAGGTTCCTCGTCCCCCTCGCGGAATAGTCCCATGCATTCCCTTTCCGCGCCTGGACGCCCCAAAGTTCGGTTTAATTCAAGAAGACCTCGCGAGTGATCCCTTCCGCCTTCTCATCGCTGTCACATTCCTCATTCGAGTCAAGGGAAAACACGCATTGCCGGTGTTCCACGAGCTCATGAGTATATATCCAACGCCAGAAGCCCTGGCAAAGGCGGATACGGACGACATTGTAGCGATGATCAAGCACCTCGGGCTAGCAACTGTTAGAGCTGCCGCAATCCAAAAGTATGCGCGCATCTGGATAGATAATCCACCTAAAGCCGGGGTCCGGTATGACGTGAAGAACTATCCCGCACCTGATAACAGGGACGATACCCAGATGGGCGAGGGCGACTTATTTAATTCTAGCAGCACAAGGCCCTCGGCTTGGGAGATCGGTCACATGACGCAGGGTAGATACGCTATCGACAGCTGGAGAATATTTTGCAGGGACGTCCTTCTTGAGCGAGCGGAGGATTGGAGAGGCAAAGGGCGAGAGGGTGAGTTTCAGCCCGAGTGGATGCGAGTGCTGCCGGAGGACAAGGAACTCCGGGCTTGCCTTAGATGGCTCTGGATGCAGGAGGGCTGGGAGTGGAATCCGAGAACCGGGGATCGAGAGATTCTACCGGAAGCTCTGCGGAAGGCAGTCGATGAGGGCAGGGTTGGATATGACGATGCAGGAGAACTAAAGATCGTCAAGGAGGGTTTATCTTTGTCCAACCATTCTTAGCCTAATGCACGGCCATACGTAAGTGATGGATACTGCACAAGATAGGCCAATACCATATGTAAAACCCTGGATTCTAACCCATTTAGATCATGCTGTAGATAAAAGTGCAGTGTATTACGCTGATTAATACGTCCCTGTAGCCGGCATGATTCTGTCTGCATAACGTAGAAAATCTACCGATCTAATCCTCCTTCTCCTCGATCGATCCCTTAGACGCCTCCTTTTTAACGATAGCTTCGAGGATCAGCGCCGTCTTGCGATCGTGAATCTCGTCGAGGGCAGCTGAAGCACTCATCCAGGCGGCAATCAGGTTTCCCTGGCGCGCAAACGAGGTCCTCCACCACTGCTTGGAACGTAGCTGGCTCTTCCGCAGGTGCTGATAGCCCTGCCAGGGGAAGTTGTAGGCCAGGTGCAGTTGCATCAGGCTCGGGTGCTCATCCAGGGAAGCTAAAGCCTGGCGTAGACACTGCTGGTAGTAGTGTATCGAGCCACCCACGAAGCCGACACATGACCCTAGGAGGAAGCCTAGGCCACCGCCTCCGGTGAGGATACCCGATGCTGCGGCGGTGGCTAAGCCAAGTAGTGCCTACGTCTAAGTTAGCAAAGCAAGAAATCTGAAGTGATTTACAACACAGGATCCTATAGGGGAAAAGGGGCTCCAGGGGAGACAGACCGCTGTTGAGGATGCTACAAACATGGAGCGGAACATGTAGAGACCGTGACCACTTCCAGTAGAAGACCATGTTAGTCTCTTCCAATAGATACCATCGAATATTTCCACCTTACCTGGGTCTACTCCAATTTCCAATAGTCCGCAATAGCTGACTAACATGGCTACCGACGTGGGTTGCCGTGCCGACTTCGTAGTCTACCTGAAGAAAAGTAAATTGCCATTCCAGTACCTGTTCCCCTAATCGGGTCTTAGGGATGTTTATACCATATCTGAGAAAGTGAACTATTTTCCTTTTTTCGTCTTTTTTTTCTTTTCTCACTTGTCTATTTCGAATTGTATTTATTGTACTTGTAGGGTCTTGAAAAATGCCACCACACCTGCATATGTAGTTATACGGTTTTATCTCTTACTAAGGCCCATTGCATAGACGCCGTAATACCTTAGGTAGGTAGGTACCTATCATACAGGCGCTATGACGCACTACAGACAGCACCAACTGTAACTGGTAACACAAAGTTACCCCTATTATGGATAGGCCAACGCCTTTAACGTAGTAGAAACCTAGTGTATTAATCAACTTCAACCCTACATCATTAGCTCTTCATTCAATAATTCCGATCCATGCCTCTGAATTTTACCGTGTCCGACGCTGTAGTATACTGCGAAATTATGCGACAGGATCACTAATAAATACCGCGGCCGAAAACGGCAGCCTCTCACGTTAGCTGTACTCAATTTTATAGAGGTTCTAGTATCGACAAAGACCGGGGTAATCTGCAACCTCCAACACAACAAAAGCACAGTCATTTCCAATGATACCTTAGGCGCCCTGAATACTGGACCATTTCAGCCTAACGTCAGATAGATTAGTAGGTCGATATGGGTCCTTAACCGGGGGTCGGGCATTACATATACATATACCACCCACATAAGTCATACAGACCACGAGACAGTCACGAGCTGTCTCTCTCGAACTGAAGACGAAAACGTCCGATGTACCTCAACGAGAGGGCCAGTTTGCCCCTCCAATAATCTATAATAGAAGCCCCGCCACCTTCAAGATCTATATACACCATAGCTAGTATACACCATATATACCATATACACCGTGTACGCCATACCCGCTTAGTACCTATTTAGTTTAGCAATAGCTACACTTGATCATTTTTGCCTCTCTTTTTCTTATTCCAGCGTCTTTTCTGACCCAGTCGGTTATCTGTACACCCGATGCGCCGTCCATAGGCGAGCGATGGGTTCTCTTGACGCTTCCAAGGATGGGTTGACCGTGCTGGTCACCGGCTTCGGGGTACGTTACCCACAACATGCCACCGCGCGGTATTCGGTATTCTCGTCCTTCTCGGATGTCTCAGCTAATTTTGCATAGCCTTTCAAGGTGCAGTATCCTGTAAATCCGGCTTGGGAGATCACCGCATCTTTGCCGGATTACCTGCCACCCGACCGGGTAAAGGATCCCGCCCGCCAAGCCGCTTCAAGCCTGCCTCCGGTCAGGATTTTGAAGGAGGGGCCGGTCCGCGTCAACTATGAAGTCGCCAGGGAGTTGGTGCCCACGCTTTGGGACGATCCTGCACAGAAAATCGATTATGTCATTCATATAGGAATGGCAGGCCCGCAACCGGTCTATTCTATCGAGAGGCGTGGGCACCGCGATGGATACGACAAGCCTGATGTCGACGGCCAGCTTCTCGGGGATGAACAGAGACGCAAGCGTGAGGGCGACAAATGGATATGGCAGTCAGTAAAGCCGACTTATATGACGCCCAGGACATGACGACCACTAACCCTACTTGCCATAGCGATGTTCCCCCCGAGCTTCTAACTGACTTAGATATCGAAGAGATATATGAGAGATGGATTGAGCGTAGTCCGGTAGGGGTTTTTTATTCTTACACTCTCGTCCAAGATAGCTGGGTACTAACAAATACTGCACAAAGGACAATATCAGGCTACAGCTTTCCGAGGATGCTGGGCATTATCTATGCGACTTCATTTACTTTTCAAGTTTGGCCCACCTGTACAAGCAGCAAAGGCCTAGGAAGGTAATATTCTTCCACGTTCCCTTGAATCCCGACGAGGAGTCCCTCGGGCGCGGAAAGGAGCTTGCCTTGCAATTGATTAGGTCCATATGTGAAGTTGGGCTCAAAAAGGAGCCCCTCGGTTAGAATAATGTTTCCGGTGAGAAAACCTTGGCCTATCATATAAGATGGCATATGTGTGTACCTAACAACAGATATATATATACCTATTTATAAGTCGATAAATGATTTGTTTTGGTCGTCGCTTCATGTAGATATCTTTCATCGATAAGAAATTGCCGGTCTCCATGTTCCGGTAGTGATGGTGGTATGAGAATCATTCGAGGTCGTTTCTTGAGAACACAACAAATTGGAAGTTATGCCGCTGTATAGATTAAGGCTCAAGCAAAGCTATCCACGCTTCCTTAAACATACAACTCTGTCCTTCGCTCTTCCTTAACTATATATCTTAATCCTTAGCCCACGTACTCTTCTTGCGGAGCTCAAGCTTGCTTATCTGATCTAGGAAACTATGTGGCAATTGTTGAGTTTTCCTGTCTTCGTATTGCAGGATAAAGTTTGAAGTCTCGATATATTGGTTGCGAAAATTTTCCCAGACGCGTTTCTCGATTGGACCTCGTGAATAACGCCTGGGAAGAAAAGCATCGCCGAACACTGCAGCGTCAACTGCCTGAGAAACGCCCGCAGCATCCATCGTGATGGGTTGGACTTGGTCGAAATTGAGCATCCATAGCATGGTCCTCCCGCGGAAAAAGTGCTCGATAACTCGAGATTTTGGGCCCGTATAGGTAGAAGGCTCCATCTCCTCGACCTCTAGATAACTCGGGGGTAAGGGCTCATTCGAACTACCCAAGACGAACTGCACACCCCAGCCATCAACGTTCGCGGCCCAATGCATGACAGCTAATGCTTGGCCAACTGAGGAGGCCATACGGTCCACATCCAACTTAATCTCTACCATCTGATTGAGGTGCAGCTCGAGGTTTCTGAGAGAGAATGGCGTTTCTCCGGTTTTCCCCTCCATGGAGCCAAGGTAGATTTTTACGAGACAGTCGTCGTTCTTAGGGTCAGCTAATGCTTTCAGCCTAAGTCTTGGGGCACAATATTCGTTGATGAGAGCAGCCCTTGTCGGTTCGTCCAAGGGCGGGATTCGCTCGCAGACAAGGATATCCGTCGGGATATCGCAGACACCTCGAGCGGCTTCAACCAGAGCCGGGTTCTTGTCGAAGAATTTCTCGTCGTTTGCCGGTACGAAGAAGTAACATTTTGGCACCAATACGTCAACGTCGTGACGTTTGATCTCTTCGTAGATGAGGGTTTGCATCACATAGTCGTTCCATTGACCGAATTTTGATTTCTTGGAAACCTTTATTGCAAGGGACCTTCCATTTCGTGTGAACACGGCGCTACATCCTCCCTCTCCGATCTTCTTGAACGTTTGGGTACCTGGGGTGATTTGTTCTTTGGTCCGCGACGAGGATGATGGCTTGGCGTTGTCGATTGAGAGGTCACGTACCCTTTTCACGATACTTTTAAGCTCTAGATCTCGGTCGTGGTCGATTTCCGTAGGGGTAGTGGGTGAAGTCATTTTGTAGCGTCTTAGATATCCAGTACTTTCGTTAAGATATGAAGTTATCAAAAAATAAAATGAACGATTGTGGTCACATAGAATGATAGGTAGATAGGAAACATGTTTAATGGATGTTGTAGAATTTACATCGACATGGCCTTTAGCGATACCTTACTCTAGTTTCTATGTAGCGTTCTTACCACTTCCTTTGGGTGTTCCTTCTTCTATTCAAAAAAAGATATACTTACTTGGTCAAGGAGAGCAGTTGCGAAGGTTATCCATTTTAGTATGTTCCTCTTGCACTTAATACTAGGTACGTCGCGACATCTCATACAATATTAAAATACTCGACTCGCAGGCGCGACCAGTTGTGGGTACGCAATGGTGAGTTTCAAGTTCTTTCCCCCATTTTCCCATTACAAGATGATCAATCATGTGGTTTCTATTGAGGTAGGTGCACTTAGTTATGAGTGTCCAAGATGTTCAAGACTAGGTACCTATGTATGTTCTATACATATGTGTGACTTTGCAACATGAGGATAGTATAAAAGTCATATATTATAAATCACATATTCTGAAATTCGAATAATGATGGTTAAATAAAACTCTAATTATGGATTCATTCGGAGTCAAGAGGATTATACAGATGATATGACATTGGTTATATGAGAATATATAAGAATGCAACTCTAAAAACACAGGTATAGAGATGGGAGTTTATATAATTCCCCTATTCAAACGTATACATACCTGGTATCCACCTATGTAGGTAGGTAGGTAATACTAGGCAAGCATCACGCTAGCGAAAAGCTGTACTACCGTACCGTACATCTTAGATAGATAAGTATACGGGTACCTGTTATTCGCCGACCAGTCGGCCTCTTACGCCGTCCGTCCGCCTTTCGCCGATTCCTCAAACAGTGCCACTCGGCGATACCAACCCCACGCCTTCGCTATATAACTCGAGATAAACCGATGCCTCCTTAACTAATGCTTTTGATCACGTCCATCAAATTTCCATCTCTATAACTTTATAGTCACTAATAACGACCCCCCACTCAAAAGTCACCATCTCGACCCCTCAAAAGGCCGCTCAAGATGTGCATGAAAGCAACTTGTGGCGCTTGCGGTACGCTGAGAACGCCGCCGGATATGTACTAATCTCAACCACGTCTGACATTTCGCTTTTCAGGTAAAACCACATGGTTTGGCTGCGGAAACCACATATCCTCCGTCCTGGACAACATCTCACCGCAAGATTGGTGCACCTGCGAACCCAAGGTCTCCGTTAATGGCAAGGAATACCCTCCGAAGGGCCAAGTCTAAAAATGAGATGATGACCTGATGTTGATAGAGGAATGGATCAAAGGTGGACGATGAATTGACAGCACCTGGGAACTCACAAATTGCCTCTCATCAGAATTAGCTGTATCGCTCAAGATTTAGTGAAAAACGCTGTCGGCCTAACAATTTTACTTCTATTCTCTATCCCGTTTCGACCATCTATTGAACCTATCGTAACCTATCAAGACCATCAATAACCAGGTTATCACATCGCCGTATCATATCCTGCCATCACTCGTAAGCTCTGTCTATATATGGGTATATACCACCACACGTTCCCGTCTAAATTTTCTGGCCCTTAGGCCACGCTGCCCTGTGGTACTGATTAGGCCATTTGACCTCCACCCCCAGCTCCTGCGCCGCGCGCAGAACAAACTCCGGCTCACGCAAGAGCTGGCGGCCGATAAACACAAGATCTGCCTGTGGCGCCTCGCCCTCCTGGACGATGCGCCGGGCCACCCCCGAGTTCGTGATCAGTCCGACGGCGCCGATGAGCAAATTGATGCCGTTCTTCTTCAGCTCGTCGCGGATCCGGCCTGCGAAGTTGATCTGCGTGTACGGGTGTATGACGAGCCTCTGCGCCGGGTTGTTGCCGGCGGAGCTGACGTCGAGCAGGTCGATGCCAGCAGCCGGGAGCAGCTTGGCCAGCTGGAAGCTCTGCTCCATCGTCCAACTGGGCTCGCCGGCCCACTCCATCCACTCGGTCGCGGAGATCCGCAGGAATAGGGCCATCGACTCGGGAATCGCGCCGCGGACCGCCTTGATGACCTCGAAGAGTAGGCGCGTGCGATTTTCAAAGCTGCCGCCGTACTGGTCTGTCCGCTTGTTGCTGGCCGGCGACAAGAACTCGGTGATCAGGTATCCGTGAGCGCCGTGGATCTCGATCACGTCGAACCCGGCCGCGACGGCTCTCCTGGCGGCATCCTCAAACGCCTGCACGAGGACCTTGATGTCCTCGGTCGTCATGGCCTTGGGCTCGGCATAGCCCTCGTGGAACTTGATGGCGCTAGGTGCCCACACGTTGTCTGGCCAGCCACCGCTCTCAGCGGCGACGGTGCGACTCCCATCCTCGAGAGTAAGCCACGAGGCGAGGGTGCTGGCCTTGCGGCCGGCATGGGCGAGTTGGATGCCGACCTTTTGGCCCTGCGAGTGCGCGAAGTCGACGATGCGCTTCAAACCTGAGATCTGACTGTCCTTCCAGATCCCGAGGTCCTCGGGCGAAATGCGACCGTTGGGAGTGACGGCGGTAGCTTCGACGATAGTCAGAGCGGTTCCGCGTAGGATAAACTGCGATAAGTGGGCGAAGTGCCAGTCGGTGACGTGTCCATCGTCGGCGCTGTACATGCACATGGGGGAGACGACGAAGCGGTTCTGCAGCTCGACGCCCCGGATCTTCAACGGCTTGAACAGGGTTGGGGCTGTGGCCTGATCCAGCGCAGTTCCGGCGGGCGGGCCCTGGACAGGTGTGTAGAAGGGGGCATTAGGGACGCCCTTGTTCACGATGGATGACATGATAAGATTGTGGGGGATCGACTAGGATCTTGAAGTTTATGTGTATGCTGTCAGATGGACGTGCTGTGTGGCGGAGCTTACCGAGATGAAAAGGGACTGTTATAATATTCGGTATCTTTTAAGCCGGAATAAGAGGCTTGTTACTTTTCTTACCTTATTTCTTATGAAAGATGTTACTCTACGAGAGAATATACACATCAAAATTGAGATTCTAACTGGGGGACTCATAAGCTTTTTTATATCGCAAGATGGAAGAAGTGTAAGGAAAAGTTGGAGGGTGATAAGTTCGATCTTCTGATGCTGAATAATGTTTTAACTTGGTGAAGTTGCCGGTTAGTCGCCGCTAGCCGACTATCCATAACGGAGCCGATGTGGTAGGTACTAGTAATCAGTAGTACACTATTAGACATTGTGGTGGCGCAATTTTCTACGAGTATAAGGTTGCGATTAGGTGCTCTAGGTCCCAACGGCCGGGACGGATATCTAGGTACATAGGTACCTAGTACGACGTAGATAGATCCATGATATGCCTTAAAACAGTTCATTCACCAATCGCGCTACTTGCCGAGTTTCCTCCTAGTCCGTCTTATGTAAGGTTCCAAGATCGTAAAAAGGTTCCCACTCCTACATGGATGACTCCACTCTCCACTCTCCACTCTCCACTCTCCACACTAACTTATTACACATGACCATAGCCATCAATCTTTTCTTTCCTTCGCACTGCATTGCATTGACAAAATTCCCGTTAACCTATCGTAGAAAATCCTCTAATTAGCTTGTTCCACCTAACGCCGACGGCATCTAGGGAGTACATATAAATTATGCGGCTCTAAGCATTACTCCGACCTACACCTACGTCAGCAACTTGGTCGTTTTTCTTACACTTATGAGCCATGTATGCGGCGACTCGTTACACGTTTGTAGAGAGGGCGTAAGAGACTATGAGAGTGGGGAGGCAGATCGATCCTGATTTGTCACAATTCCATACTCGCTCTACATATGGAAAGATATCTGACCGCTTAATCTAGTAATGCTCTCTATACTATGCGTAATATAGCAGTTGTCACAGCGCTATCGAGCACACAGGATCGCAATCTCTCACCAACGATGACAGGGCCAATTCCAGAACGCCTCAGGAACCGTCGTATCTTCTTCACCAAATCCTACGGCAGAGGAGCCGAAACGGGTATTGGGGTCGGTGGTCTAAGCCAAGCCAGGAACATTATCCCGGCTCTTTTCCCGCATCAGGGGCTGAACCTGAAGCAGCCATTCGGATCCGTCACAAACCTCCTTGGCTCCCCCTTCCGCTAGGGCTCGACATGGGACGAATACGCCCCGTTCCTGTTTCGTCCAATGATGCTGTAGGCTGCCAATGATGTAACCAGCTCTAACATCCTCGACCTCCTCAGCAGCAGCAGTAGCGTAGTAGCGTAGTAGCGTAGCAGCGTAGTAAGTAGATACGGCTTGTCCTCGTTCCCAGGTTTTAGCGATGTGTTCGTGCTCCACCCGCCCGATCAACACGCTAGGAGAGCTTTTCCAACTCCTCGGGGCTTTGCCAAGAGGTCGCTGGGTTGAATCACCTTCATTCATACTCCACCCACCTATCCGGTTGCTTAGCCTTAACTCCCATTCGTTTTAACAAGTGGAAGACTGGCTCTTTTCACTTCTTCTCTGTACTGACCCTAGTCGTTCGATTCGCAAAATAAACAAAATGCTGAGAGGCAGATTCGGTGACAGGAAAGCTTCGGGGAGCTCTCCAAAAACGTGAGTCGTCGAACACATGTAGAGCGAATGTCTTGCGCTGACTCGTCCGTGAAGTTCTCCTAGACTGGCCGGCCCAGCTGCCGTGAAACTACTGGTTGGGCCAGACAGCCAGGAGTTTCTGGTCCCGAGAGATATTCTAGCATCATGCTCGTATTTCCGGCGGCACCTCGACATGGCGCGCATCGAGTTTGATAAAGGCCAGCCTCACCTCGTTATGACCTTGGAGGACCAATGCCCGGATACGTTCGAACTGTTCGCGTACTGGTTGAACGGACGCAGGAACTTTGATAAATTTATCGATGCCGCCGAAGCCAACAATTCCTGCCAAGAACTTCATTGGGATCTAGTCAACCTACACCTGTTCGCCGCCCAGATCGAGATTTCCGCCTTGCAAGATTGTACTATGGACGCCATACAAGATGTATACCTTCGGTGCAACTGGGACATCAACCCGAAACTCATTAATTACGTTTACCAGGCGACCGACCCGCAGGAGAGCTGCCGACTACGAAAATGGATCGTCGCGATGACGGCCTGGACACTTGACGGCGTAGTGACGACCGAGATGGCCAACAACATCCAGCGCCTCTTCGACCAGTTTCCCGATTTCTGGACCGAGTACCACAGCCACATGCGCAAGATGGCTCAGACCGGGCTGGAGGGTCACTTCAAGAACCCCCAACTTAGACTGCCGTCCAATAACCTCCGCAACGAGGAGCGACAGTTCGGCTTCCGACAGTGTTCGTTCCATACCCATCGGTCGACCGTCGGGCAGGGCAGATGTCCACACGCCGCGTTTCTCTCGCCCCTCGCGTCATCACCGTACACGGAAGGCTACGCCGAGTCGGATTCGGAGCGCGGCGAATCGAGGTTTGGGTCACGGATGGTTTCTCCGTGTAGCGATACCATTCCCGAGTCCGACCTAGAGACCTTTTGAGACTTTCTCTTAGCGATATAGCCTGCCTCAACCTCACAGGTCAAGACTTATCCATATCATAATATATGAGAAGGTGGCTTGATAGTTGAGATGAGATGCGATGGTTGTTTGCCACTTGCTAGGCATGCCAGCTCCTAGGTGCTCAAGGAATGCCTACGAGTTTATCGAGAGATCTATCTCAACTGCCCGATGAAAAGGGCAAACCTCAGAGCCATACCCAACGAACTCGATATCACGGCGAGTACTTGGGAAGGGTATAGAAGGATTCTGGTTCTGGCTCCCCTCTAAGCATCATATACCCGACTTAGATACACGTATGCTTATATGGATGGATTCAAATATGCTTTTATCTCTTTATAATGTATAATTATAATAAATTTATCAAATTTAGCAGTTCCTTATTATACAACGACGGAGTTGCCTCTTGCTCCCTGCTGATTTCCAATACAAGCTGGGATGAGCCATGTTGGATGCACGCGATGATGCCTATGACGATGCCCACCAGTTATTTTTCTTCTCTCCTTGTATAATATAAGTACAATATGCTGGAACTAGAGTTCCAAGTACCTGTATAATTTAGGGATTGACGTAAATCATAGATTGTATAACTCATCCTATAGCACAGCACAGCACAGCACAGCACAGCACAGCATAGTACATCGTGTTGTAGGTAATCTCAATATTGTAATAGGTCATGTTGGTTCTCTAACAGTGTTATCAGAGGAATGTCCTCATCTGAAGCTAGAAGTGCAATATGTGATCTCGTCAAAAACTTTTTTTCTCAGTCCGAGCCAAGACGCCGGTTTCTAATCGTAACCATAGCCAATCATCTCACATTGCTCTGGATGGCCAAGATATATGCCAAAGTCGTAACCGTGATCCGAACAAGAAGGCGCTCTTGTTATCTCATCAATCATTCATCTTTCATAGTACTCGTTAAATAAAAAAGAAACAAAAAAAGAAAGTGTCTGTGTCATCGAGGAACCTTTGGCTGGGATGAGTCATCCAGCTACCAATAAAGTGGTCTCCAAACTGCCGCTCTCCGAGAAATTGTAAAGTTTATGGGATGGTGTGATTGGTTGTGTCATGCCTCCCTCTTTCATGTAAGAGGGCGGGTTAAAGCTTCAGCCTAATAGAGGGCAAAAGCTTCAATCGGAATGTGCCCTGAGTATGCATAATGCGGACAGCGTAATATCATTCAAATCGTAAGGAAATCATGACGTGTGGTATAGTTGTGTACAGAAAGGGAGAAGGAAAAAAAATAGAATCTCGTATGATGGTGTTGAAGTAGGTTTTAGGCGACGCGACCGCTGATACCCACTAGAGGGGGGACTGAGAGCGTCTACGATCACTGCCACGGTTTCGAAGTTCTCTTAACCGCTGATCAAGGTAAGCCAGACGAGACGCCAGAGAGGATCTTGGAGGCGATTGTGTTCCTGGACGTTCCTGGTTTGGTTGTTGTACCGTCGCAAAAGGTCGGCGTAAAGCTGTCATATTGAAGTTGATGGGCGCTGATAGTCTGTTAGGGAAGCTGTGACTGGAGCCTGCGCCGGAAAATGGGGAACCTAGGCGACGCGGTTGCGTAGCCAAGTTCTCGGGTGAGGCCGATATAACGAAGGGGTCCTCATCACGTGGGATAGAAAAGGCAGAAAACGATCTGCAATGGCCTTGGTGTTTTTGTTTGAATACACTGTCGTTCTGGTCACGTCTCTCCGAGCCTTGAGCCTGGGTCAAATCATCTGAACCCTCGGATCCCCTCCAAAAAGCAGTCGATATGCTTGGTCGCTTTCGCGGCATTTCCTCCAGACTCTTAACTGACCTACGTTTCTGGGTGCCCGAGCGTGACCTGGTGAGACGAACCGGTGATTTGAGAAGCTTCCGCGAACCTAGCGTATTTGACTGTCGAGGCAAGCTAATACCATCGGCAAGAGACGAAGATGAGCTAGGCCCATAGCTCTTAGCCAGGACTGGAGAGGGCAGATGCGGAATGTCGGCAGATGGCAGTTCTCGTTCGGGCGTTACCATTTCCCGCCTTATATCATCTGCGGTCTCCGGTAGTGGCTCGACTTCGGAACTTGTGAGTTGAGCTAGGGGAGCCTCGGGTCTCATGGTGTCCGATGTGCTCACCGCCAAAGAGAAGGCCATGTCATGGGCAGAAAATACCGATGAGGATGTAGCCGGTACAGATTTTCGGTTGAAACGACGATGGGCCGCCTTGTGGAAGGGCGTAGGACTTGGTGACTTGTATTTTCCTGGACTAGCAGTAGCCTTGATCCTACAAAGCTCACGCAGATGAGCTCGAGTGGCAGCACATGTATGAGGCCATTCCATATATGGCTTCGAGGACTCTGCGGTGGGTGTATTGCTGCCACTTTTCATATCTGCTGTTAAATGTGTCTTGGACCCCTTCCAGCTTCTCTTGGCTTCCCTGGCGACACGTAGGCACACTCCACTAGGAGGAATGCGGCTCCTGCCAAGGCGAATCGGGGTAACTCGTGGATCTTGTAGATAGAGCATATATGTTGACCATAAATGCGAGTCCATGGCCTTAGTCCACGGCGCTTTTCGCGACCTCTCGTGACGCGTCACGTCTGCATCAGGATAGGACTTTGACCCAGAAAACTCTGGGACCTTAAGCTCTGGGTTAACGAAGTCATCCTCAGAAGCACGTGACAATTGACTGAATAACGATGCGCTAGTCTGAGTAGAGAATGCCGTTGATGGCCTACTGGACTCGTATTCTGGACTTGACTCAATATCCGAGCAACTCCATTCCGAACCAACAGACCAGTCGGGATACTTGGCTTCGGAAGATGGTACAAACTCAACAGCAGGCGTTTTAGGAGGTGAAAATGTCCGTAGGTTTAGATGCTCAGGTATCTCCATGCTGTCCGAGTCGTCCACCTGTACCTCGATACTGGGAATTGGCACATCTGCGGCCGCAACCGATGCCAAAAAGTGCTGGGTTGGCGCGTTTAAGTGTTGAGATACGTGACGTCTCTTGAGTCTTAGCCTTGGTCGTGGAGGAGACGGTTGGCGTAACTCATCATTGGGAGCTGAAGGTTCGGGCGTTTTTGGGCCGGCTCCCATATCGCGACTGCTGGAATTGAACGGCAACATTGCGAAATTTGGATGGCGCGTCACTTCCAGTACAGGCTGAGGATTATCATTCCTTCTTAATCCGCCGCAATATGCCAATTTCAATCAAATAGGTACATTCATGACCGGCTTAGAAAATCCACCTTGACGTCAATCTCACTAGAGGCTTTTAGAACTGGTCAAATCATTGGCGCGCGCGATTGTTGATATCCAAAGACGATAGCTTGTCGCGCGATGCAGGATACGAAAACTGGAACAATTATCTCGTAGGATCGTGATTAGTATTTCGATTGATCGATTGGGGTGGCGCTTATTATTAAGTTTGACGATAACGAAATGGGGGAACTCGTGGGCAGCGTTCGTGGTATTCACGTTAAGGAAACGGGGCAAATCGCTGGGTAGTGTGGTGATCGCATGTGTATTGTCGTGTACGTAAATAAAACAGTGGCTACCACGAAGCGACTGGTAGCCACCCTCCAACCGAAGGTGAATAGGGGGAGGAAAAGAACGACAGTTTGGATGGTGAAGAAGGGGAAAAAATAGGAGGCAGGAGATAAAGATGGAATGTAGGGCGGCAGATGCGAAAGTTTAAGGGCCAGTTGTGAACGAGAAGGAGAGAGATGGATGGGTGGTAGAATCACGTTGCGCTGCAGGTGCAACGAGCAGGGGAAGCGAACAAGACGACTACCTGCTAGTACTAGGCATGTACTGCTATGTATGCACGTACATAGTCTCTCAACCCATGACATCCAAGTATCTCGATCGTTCCTAGCGAGACTGCGAGGAGCAACCGGGGGGTACTTACCCTGAATTAGCCCTGAGTTAGCCCTGAGTTAGCGGGAGCATGTGCCACTGGCGCGAACCCTTCTTGCTGATTATGGCAGTTCTGGCAGCACGAAATATAGCGCTAAGCTATTTACAGGTCCCAAGTTAAGGTTACCCCCACTAAGAGTAGTGGAAACTTCAAGCGGTCAGTTTGGGGTTCCTTGTTAAACGTATCTACTAGGTACATGACCTAGGGAAGGTAGGCATTATTGATGTACAAATAGGGAGATTACTGGGGTTGTATGTGCTGTATTCTGTGTACTATGTAAGTAACTTCTACACTACTGGAGCTTCTTCTGGAGTCTTCAATGTTCAAAGAGTTAACGAACAAGGAGGAAGAGATCCATTGGACGTATGCACACATGCACATACTACATAATACATACTGTAGAACACGTCGGGGATATTTTGACTTGGTTGCAAATCGGTGGAGTTGGGAGAGGATATGCCTTTTTGATGGTAAAAAGTGGTGCTGAATACGTTGCGTGCAGTGCGTGGTCGAATACTAACAGCTTAACACGATGCGCTTCTGCTTGCGACTGGACGGGACTGGACGGGGATGGACAAGACTGGGACAGCTGGGAGCAATTGGAAAGACTGCTCATGCACTCCGGACGCAGCTTTGGCCAGCAAAGGGACACGACAGGAGTGCATATGCAGTGATCGCCGAGTGGGAGAATACTGATGATAGGCAGAGGGCACGGGCTGAGCGAGACTTCCTGCACGCGAATCTGGACGGGTCTCCTGTTGGGTACCTGGATTGGGGTGGACACTGGACAGGGTGGATGGATTAGGAGGGGGATATAACGTGCGAATTGAAAGTCTTCTCACACCATACGCGTCTCGATAGGAGCGCGAAATCGAGTGGACGAGAATGCTTGATGCAATACGCGCTACTTCACATTCTCTGCTCCCTTATTCGCCTAATTTGTTTCTTTTATTCGTTGGATTCCTCTTACCTACCCAGTATACTTGCGAACAACTCATGCTGCTTGGGCTTTCGAGTTTAAAGACCCAAACACAATACAATACCTACCTGTATAATAGTGGGAAATTGCCGGTAATGTTTTATTTTTATTTCTATTGTTCTTAAGGGATATTTCCATGGATGAGGCAAGCTTAGTAGCACCTAGCACGCTCAGGTAGTAATTATTCGGTAAGTACTTACCCTCTTATTATGTATTATGTATAAGGTATAGGGAATTAGAACACGAAGACTTCAGGTATTACTTGACATACCTGACATACCTGGGTACCTAATAGACTCGAGACGGGAGGCACATTGAAGTAGGTACGATGTAGTCCATTGTAGGGCGGGTGAATCTAAGCGGGGTCTATTTGAGACAAACCAACCAGGACGTACATGTAGCAACATACATGTGCTTTGAGATATCCAATCGTATACTACCTCAGTATGGGCGTAGATTGGTAGCCTATGTTATTTTAAAAAGATTGGGACCAGTAGCTGAAATGTAGTGTTAGGAATGAGAGGAGGATCTGTGGTACGGGCGAGACCCAGCCTTCCAAAGTGAGACGATGTAAAATGTGACGGAATGTGATGTGACGTGACCGTTTGGTGAAATGAGTATTGCGGCTATGGTAAGAAGAGTGCAACAATTCCACTGGACTGCATGCTAGGCCTTGTTGTGTGTATATAATTGGTAGGCTTGGAAAATGGAGGGGCTAGAGTAGAGTGGTGAAGAGTCTGTAGATGCCTATCTAGTAAGTGAGTAGGTTGTATGTTAACAAAGGAAAGCGTAAGAAGAGCTGTGTCTAATTATATCGACATTTACTGTGGTATGTAGGAGGTAGGTATATAAACTTGTCGAGTTTGAAGGCTATGAAGACTTCCTATCCTAATAGGCATATATACTTTACCTAAGCAATATAATTCTAGTAGCTTAAGATATCCATGTATGTAAATCTATCAGTTGAATAATTCACGTCTTGATCCGTTTACTAGGTACTAAAGCGGGTAGCGAATCAGAACCAGTGTAATGAAACAAGGGATTTCAGAAACGCGAAACCTACGCGGTCTGGCGCGTATTACGTGTACATGCAAAGGCGCCAATCTCGTTAGGATTGTACCCCACGTAGGTATAAGACAATTTGACAACGCCGGTACTTCGATAAGTACCTTACCCACTATACTAAACTCTGAATACTAACGTAAATATCGAGGTGCTATATTTGATGTCTATTAATACCTACCTACATCAATGGTTTTTGGTGCCTGAGATACACATGTTCTAAGAACCTTACTTTAATTCTCAATGCATGATGCTCACTCATCTTCATATCTAACTAAGCACATAGGTAGATACCTATGTACGTGGTTGAGTATTACGCGATGTGTGTCCCGCACTGCATCACCGACAACAGTCAACCACCAATTGGAGATAGGTATATTCAAAGTACACGCCTCACGTCTATTTAACGAGCCTTGAGCGTTTCTCGGTCTTATTTGTATGATTGCGTGCATGTGCTGCTTGTGCTGAAATACTCGGCTATCAGATATCTTATATACTGTACGAAATACATACCACATGTGCTCGGTCCTACCTCCGAGATTAGAATAACCTAATCTTAGGTACCTGAAAAACTTCCATATACCTTCTAAGGAAAATCGGAAAGGAAGCTCATTAGCAAACCGGTGTTACACAGCACATACGCCACTCGGTTTCGTTGTCGTATGTCTATTTTCTCAATACCGCTACACCAGATCTCGTTACGTTACTGAGACCTCGTTATTTGGGGCAATTCCGAATGTCAGGCCATAGGATATGTATTCGTGTGTATAAATCGTAAGTATGACGATGAGAGATCGCTAACTCATCGCGTAGACAAACGTTTATCGAGGGGCTTTTAAACATGAGAACCAATAGACGACCTCGAAATGTTATTATTTCAATTTATGATAGCCCATTAGTAAGTAGAAACATTGTTAAAAATATCATACCTACTGGAAGTCTTTTAGCTCAAGTCGAATGCCGAGTCACGTGTATCGTACCCTCTTTCTTTATGGAGATACACTACGGTAGTGGACAAGTGGGCACGATTCTTTAAAGTTCTCAACCGTCCAATATCGGACAGTGGTCAAAAGTGGACCTCGGGTTAACATCTAATCGATCGAATCGGAAGATAACCTTTGGAAGGAGGAAATCTCATTGTGCCCACGGTACCCCGATACTCCACGTCTACGGCTACCTTACCTTAACCTTGCTTACCTGCCTAGTCAGCCTAGCCGAACCTTACCTCTACGAAACAACGTTCAACCTTCGATTCATAACTCGAAGTTGCATTTCTAAGGTTAACATGACTTCCTTAACCGACATCATTCAACTCGAGAACTTCGCATCTAAGATGCCACAATGGAGTCCCAACCTCCCCAGCCACCTCTACGCCTTAGTTGACATGGGAAGGTTTGTCACATCATTATCTTGCGTATCTTGAAATTGGCAAACCTGCCCAAATCCTAGTCTTTGATATTTTAGTCCCTTCTATTTTCCAGCGCCAGCTCTCCTCTCTGCTTCATAGTAACCTCGTATAGCAATGGGATACGGTTCTCCATCTCCGATTTGTCACCTCCGCAAACTCGCCTCCTGAAATGCGTATATCGCGAACGCGCTGCCATATCCCTGTTTGATGCACTTAACACGTTGTCCTCCGGTGGACCTTTAATATTTCCACAGGATGTCATTAACCAGGTCTCTAAGACAATGGCTCGGTTCAAATCCATTGCCGATGACTTTGGCGTACCAGCAGAACACATCTCCGTCTTCGCCACGGAAGCCATGCGGAAAGCTGAAAATGCAGCTTCAATGTTAGATGCTATCTTAGCAACTTCAGGATTAGGTGTTCATGTGCTCGCTCCAGAAGTTGAAACTTTGTTTGGAGCGATGGGTGCCAGGAGTGGATTCACCGCGGTAAATGGCTTGTTTCTGGATTTAGGAGGCGGCTCGGTTCAGATGACTTATTTGAACTCGTCGGCAGATGGCTACGAGATGGCAGCGGCGCAGACAGGGAAAAGCCTACCTTTCGGAGCAGCTAAGTTAAGCAGAATCCTCGAGGATGATGAGTCGGAGGTTCGGGCCACGGCGTTGAGCACTCTACAAGATGGCATGCGAGGTGCTTTTGCCAATCTCCGGCAGCAATTCCCATCGTTGAGAGATACTCAGATCGATCACGAGAATGGTGGTGTCGATATATACCTCTGCGGTGGAGGCTTCAGGGGTTATGGTAGCATACTGATGCACACTGATCCTATTCAACCTTACCCAATACATGCAATTGGCGCATATACGGTTCGGGGTTCAGTATTCAGTCGGACCACGCACATGCGTAAAGTCAACGACGAATATGATGGCAAGATCTTTGGCATGTCGAAACGACGTCGCCAGCAATTTCCAGCTATCGCCGCGGTTGTAGAAGCCTTGATCGGTGCCGTTCCTCGGATTCGCACTGTCACATTTTGTAGCGGTGGCAACCGGGAGGGTGCTTTATTCATGAAGCTTCCCGGGGCCATGAGGGAGGGAAATCCTTTATCAATTCTCCATCCAATTAGTAGCAAGGTGGAGCTTGAAACCGTACAATCGGTGTTGGATATTGTGCAATCATCTCTACCCGCAGACATTGATTTTTCTGGAATTCCGAACGTGTTTACTCTAGGACTTGGCCCTCTTTTCGCCAATAATATATGGACGCGTGTCGGGGAACCAAGCGATGCCAACGCAGCCTTTGAATTGCACCAAGCCATTCACCGGGACTCGAGTGCGCCTGGCCTTACCCATTTAGCCCGCGCAGTCCTAGGCCTGACTCTTTGTTTTAGGTGGGGAGCTGGCCTCGGTCCTTCCGACAAGCTGCTCCAAAGCAATTTGCAAAAACTTGTTGACCGGTCGAACCCCGAGGCTAATTTTTGGGCGGAATACCTCGGTGCAGTTGCCAACCTGTTCGTCAAACTCTGTCCAGCAAAACCGAATACGGCCGATAAAGCGAAGAATATCGTTAAGTAGGTAATTCACAATAATATACTATTTCCATGCTGACCGCAATGTAGATTCAGCTCGGTTATGGAAAATGGAAAGACGAAAGACAGGTTGCTGTTAACTGTCTCACTATCTTCAAGTATATACCAGGCCCTAGATCATCACGAGCTAGGAAGGTACTTCAAGGACATCAGGAAGCATCGAGGCATCGCAAACAAGACTAAGACGAAAGTCGAGCTCATTTTACATAGAATCGACTCCTAACTCTAGACATACTGAGACCATAACATCATACAAACACGACCGAAACGACGACGCCCGCATTTTTTACTAGGGAATGGAATACCCTTCCGCGATGCTGATACCGGCAGCGAGTGTCGTCAAACAAGCAATATGCCTTTCGTAGTGTTCCCTTCCCCTATCATAATAAGGCATAATGCAGGCTCAAAATGCGGATGGGTATCAGCCTGGTCGCTAAACTCCTTCGCTAAACCGTCGACCTTCATCAGATCATAGACTCATTGAAATTCTGCTTGAAACTCCGGAACCTAACCCAAGATCAAACAACACAACGAGAAACGAGAACGCTAAGAAATTCGTGCTAGGACAGCATTCCTATCGCCTAATTCGCTTAGATGCCCGAGTCCCAGACCGCGTGATGCCTCTTTGTGAACCAATTAGCAGGACACGGATGAGGCGGTCAAACGTAGAAGGATTCGGGTAGTTCTCAACACGGTCTTGGATGACTTGGTCTAAAACGAGAGGTTAGCCTACTGAGCTTTTTCATCTTTCAGGAAGTTTCGGTGCAACATACAGAAGTCATCTCTACACCTCTCCACTCTCTTAAAATCGGCATTCAATTGCCTTTTGACTTGGTTTCCGTCATCTGTCATCGGTTCCGGCTTCTTTTTACCGAAGCAGATCTCGCACATTACGATCAAATTGCTGAAGAGACTTGTCGTTACGCTCTGTATCCGTGACTGGTCTCCGCGGGGATCTGATGAAAGTGTCAGCTAGGTCTTGGTGCACTACGCAAGCATACGGTCCAATCCTTACCTTCCGATCGGTTGAGGACAAATATGTCCCGGTACATCAGAATGAATTGCATCATGCAGGCCCAGAGGGGTAATCGATCTTGCGGTTTTTCCAGGATCTTCCAGAACTGTGTCATGATATCTGATTCGAGTGCCTTCATTCTAAAGAGGATAATTCGCTTCAAGTCTTGACAGATATGGTTGGGAAGCTCTTCTGGGACAGCATTTTGGAATCTTTGGCAAAAGAATTTCTGTCGTCGCCAAATCATATACATGCACCTCATGTTATGGACTTGACGGACAAGTTGATGCTAATCGTCTGTCAGTAAGTATGCGGAGGGGTGGCGGCGGGAGAATGAGAAGACTAAGCGCAATACTGACATGGGGTAGAAAGTAGTGTTCTTCTTGAGCATAATTGCTGACTAGAACGTCCAGTGCTGATTGGAAATTGGCACTGTCGTCGTTGAGCATATGCCACGAGGCCCAGTTGATAAGCACCGCGTCTTCGGGAGCGTAATGCGGGTTCAAAACGTATTGGTGGGCTGTTTGCCACGGCTGGCTGCCATTGAGGTTGTTGCTCTCGTCGCGCGAGACAGAGATTACTAAGGGCGGCTGGGTTGTGGAACATGGATCAAGGAACACGTTCCATGTTTGTGGGTTGCCCCTCTGCGATGGGGCAGGGGTGTGTACCTTGGTCCCTGTCACGAGGGTTAGCTATCTGGAACTTCATCCGAACCTTTACCCGAGCGACGACGACAACGAGGGTGACGTACTCCACATAAACTGAAAGACGAGGTCGCTACTGCCGGAAGGGCGTCGGAAACACATGTGTTCGGCTAATTCGCTATCGTCGCCGTACTTGGCTGCATCAGTCGTGCATTTCGAGCAAGGGCTTTGCTGGTCGCACTTCTAGCTGATTAGGAAGGGAACGAAAAAGAGCAAGAAGAATGGAATAAAAGTAGAGAGGAAAAAGAGTGGGGAGGAACTACTCACTTGGACCTTGCGGGTTTTGCAACGGAAGCAGGCGCCAATTTTACGCATATGGGCGACCTTTTCTGGGTTATCTAGGGGGCGATGTCGTTTGCCACGGCTGAGATGGGAGTCGGCCGAACTGGAACTGTGGTACGCCGACGATGACGCTCCGTTGGAGGAAGCCGGGGAGTGTGGGCTGCTACTACCAAATCCCTGAACATCGGATCCACCCGAGCCGACTGTGTTGTCTATTTCCATCTGCCATGGATAAGACTCGACTCCGTTAGGTCTGATCTCGCGTGCTGGTAGGGTGAAACGATCATCGTGTTGCTTGATCTTCTCAACGGCTTCTTTGAAGTGGAAAGCGTTGTCTTCGGTGGACCTGGGGGAAGGCGCACCGTCTTCCTCCGAAGGACCGGAGGTTAGGCCCGGGATGGACGAGGCGTCAGACCGGCTCCGCGAGTCGGCATCGGCGGCTGGCGTTCCCTCGTTGTAGAAGCGTTTATAATCAAAGTACTGGTCGAATTCATCCGGTGGGGCATGTCCCTTGGGTTGTCTCCTCTTGGATAGCCCGCCAATAAAGTCAGGGATCTCCGAAGTGATCTGGGATAGGTTGCTGTTGCTCATGTTGGCGGTTGCGTGGCTCGTGTAAGTCGCCTGTATATGTAGGTACGTCTCTTTTGTCAGACCGTGCACGAGACAAATCAGCAAGCGCCAGCGGGTCGCCTCGGTACCTGAAGTGGGGGAAAACGACGATAAGTGATGATGAGAACCAAAGGGGCACGAGTGATGAACTGTCCATGAATCTGCTAAGACACCGTCTCATGTCGAGGCCTTGACGACCCCAAGTCCGCATCTGCGAGTACCTTTGAGAGTGCGCATTATGGCCGCTAACTCTCATTGGCTATCCTCCGGAACTGGGCCACCACAGGGTCACCGGATTGACCTATAGATACCCCGGTCCAGACCGAACTGGAAGTCTTACTGCTGCGGATGATTGTGTCGCACCCAAGGCACTGGGTCCTTAGATCATGTGACGAGAGAGCAGCCATGACGGAGTTTCCTATTGATTTAGCACCGATTTGGTTTTATTTTATTTGGGGGCCAGCCAATTATCACGAAGCTACGTAGTGTTGAGAATCGCAACTTGTTGTATAGAATTTGTGGTTTTGGTCAATAGTCCAGTCTTGGATGATTATAGGAATTTCTGCGTCCGAGTACACTTAAGAAAAGACCCAAGCAATGTACTATACTTTTTTTCCCGACAGTTACTAGCAAATACGGAAATTGCTGAGGATCCAATCAAGGGACCGTGCATGATTTGCTAGGTAACCAGGTCACTCTGCAGATTTCGCAAATATTGTTACTTTTTGAATACTCTTGTCATACCATCCGTACCAGACTACTAGGCGTATGTATTGGACGCCGGCCAACTTCATACATGGCTAGGTAGGGTACTTCATGTAGTAGCGGGTATTAAACGATTTTCTAGTTCCGCTCCCTCCTGGTTCATCCAGAGTTGCGAATCCCTGATCCATGATCCTTCCCGATCCTCTATCCAGACTCCAGACTCTCACCGAACTTGGGTAGATGGTTGCATGGTCATATCGCTTTCCTCGGAAAAGCCCCCCACGCAATCACATAATGAGAACCAGGTTTCTAATAAAAAGACAAGTCCTCTGCACTCTTCTGTTCCTCTCTTCTTTCCTTTCATCTTCGATTCCGGCCCCGGACCCTTCCCAGGTAAGCTTCCTCGAGCTCGGGGCCTGTGCAAAAGCGATTCCAAGTGGAGTCACAAAAAGTGAAAGCCTTTTCTCATATGAGAGTCGAGTGCCGTTCGTGAAGTCGACGTGAAAATGTCTGCAACCAGTCCCGCCGTGACTGAAGCTCTTCCCACGCATAGAGTGGCGTAGAGCAGCGCTGGGGGGGCAAGTGTCTAGATGGTAAACCGTCGAAAGATCATTCTCCTTCATGCACCTCCCGCAGCAGCCGGGGGACGAATATTGACATCCTAACACACTCAACTAACCCTAGCTTTCTCAACTGAGCTGCCAGCCAGTCTCTTACGAGGTAAGTAATATCATGTCCCAAACTCACCAAGGCCACAGAAGCTGACTATAAGCTCGATAGGCTCTTATTCCAGCTTCATATACTAATCCAGGTAGAATCTTAGCCATGTCAAACAGACATGAGGGTCAATAGAGCTCTGGAGGCGAGAGCCTCTAAATTACCTCAAATATCACGAAGAAACCGAAGAGATCTAAAACTAGGGCATGTCGGATTTCTCGACTAGGTAAGTTTCTACGAACCCTCAGTTTCAGTTGCAATCTCATCTCTGCTGTCAGACCAGTCTCGCTAACTATGTGTAGAGTTGCAACTTTGTCGAGCTTTATCAACGACTCGATTCTTCGGCGGCGCTGTGAGCTAGGCGTCGTAGCCTAAGTCTATATTCTGCAGTATCTGCTCGCCAAAAGAAGCATTCTCTCGGTATTTCCCAAAGAGGAATGGCAACCCATGGCGGACTTCTTGAAAGGAGTGGCTGGGAGCCCGAACCTTAGAGGGATACTTCTATAGCTCTCTTAGCTGCTTGGTAATTCACGACTTGGAAGCACTTGATTGATAGGGGCTCAACCGTGTAATACGGAAAAGCTTCCTGATGATGTATAGCAATTTGGATGCTGTGAGTTAACTTCCCTTGTTGGGTATTGAAATAAAGCGTACCTAGCTACCTGCCACAGTTTCTTATCCCACAGGAGAGAGTTGGCGGGGGCTGCAAGGACGGTGTTCCTTGGCCATCGATGCTACCTGTAGCATGCGAAACGCAATAAATATCGTGGCTGCATGCCATCAGAACAATCAAGGATCAGGTGGTTAGATCCACGATGTTTTGTTTTTATGGCAACTCAAAAGTTGGTGTCTCGTGTGAGTGCAGTGGATGCTATTTTACACAGGTTGGCCACACATGCATAAGGTATATTTCGTGAGCAGTAGCGTGAAATCCTAACTAACACTTGGACCACCAAGGTAGGCGTACATTTTCTGTCAAATGCATCTATGGATAGTAGCATTCGTGGTTTGACGATGGTAGAATGGTGGTGGAATAGAAACTAGTGAGCCTTTGGTTGTACTAGCTTTTGTGGCAGCTTTTGTGGCTAGTGATAAAATAGGGAGGTGGGTCTTGAGCCACATTCAACGGCTAATCTGTCAAAACGTGGCGTGTGCGAGAATCCACCGATACCCTAGACGATGGGCTGCTGGCTTTTTATGTACATACCTAGGTCCGACGCAAACACTGGATCGTCGTTGGAAATACTTTTCAGCTAGTAACTCGTCGGAATCATGCCAATTGTATGATTGTATTGATTGAATCGACTGTACCGGTTGTACCTGCATTTCTTATTATTTTTCTCGACTCCCCTTTATTTCCGTCGTTATAATATATACATGTCCTCTCCACGGGTCGTCCAGCAGATTTTTTCGCTAAAGAAAAGAAGAGGCCTGTTCCAAGGACTACATGGACGGCTAGTAATCCAGCGAAATTATCAGACCAATCACGTCATCCCAGCGGCGGACCACTGCAGTAACACGATTTTGACCCCTCCCCCTCCTTCCTCACCAACCACTGCTGCTGCTGCTGCTGCTGCTACAATCACCCGCTTGTCCTTAACCAAACCTAATTTTTGCCATCTGCAAGCGCATACGCAACCTTCCCCTAATTCAACCCTAACTCCCTTTAAAACAACATCTTCAACCCAATCCCTCAAAATTGCTTCTCAACGCACTGCCCAGTTGGCTCGACACTTTTCGAGCTCTACTTCGTCTGCTTCGTCTTCCGATCCAACGTCCAAAATGGCCTCACAGTATAGCGTCCGCAAGGTCGCTGCCCCCAACACCTTGGAGCATCGAGTCTACATCGAGAAGGATGGCGTTCCCGTATCGGCTTTCCACGATATTCCCCTCTTTGCTAACGCCGAGCAAACCGTCCTCAACATGATCGTCGAGATCCCTCGATGGACCAATGCCAAGCTTGAGGTAATTTGCTTCATCAATCTGGCTCTAACGGATACGCGTCACTCGTCACACTAACACTTCTGCCTCCCAAAAGATTTCCAAGGACGAACTTCTCAACCCTATCAAGCAAGACATCAAGAAGGGCAAGCTACGATATGTCCGCAACTGCTTTCCCCACAAGGGTTACCTATGGAACTACGGTGCCTTCCCTCAGGTATGACTTTCTTATTGCCGTCGTGCCGTATACCTATCTCATCTTTGTTCTCACCGTACTTACTGAGACTGTTCGTATCCCGTCTAGACCTGGGAAGACCCCAACTCGATTCACCCCGAGACCAAGGCCAAGGGAGACAACGACCCTCTTGATGTCTGCGAGATCGGTGAGCTGGTTGGCTACCCCGGCCAGGTCAAGCAGGTCAAGGTGCTTGGTGTCATGGCTCTGCTCGACGAGGAGGAGACCGATTGGAAGGTCATCGTCGTCGACGTGAACGACCCCCTGGCACCCAAACTCAACGACGTTGAGGATGTCGAGCGACACCTTCCCGGTCTTTTGCGGGCTACTAACGAATGGTTCCGTATCTACAAGATCCCCGATGGAAAGCCCGAGAACCAGTTCGCATTCACTGGTGAATGCAAGAACAAGTCGTGAGTATTGCCACAATCGGTATACTCGATCTGCCACTAATGGTGCACGCAGCTATGCTTTGGACGTCATTCGCGAATGCGGCGAGGCATGGGAGAGATTGATTACTGGCAAGACTCAGCCCGGCGGTATCTCTACGACCAACCTAAGCGTCAACCACTCGCCGAGCCGTGTCAGTTCCGAGCAGTTGCCTCCTCTGCCGCCCAACGAGGAGATCCCCCCTGAGAAGATCGACAGCTCGATTGACAAGTGGTTCTTCATCAGCGGTGCTGCCGCATAAGCTAGATATTACTGGGCCAGGTAGAGAAAAGTTAGGCGGATATATGAGCTTGAACGTTTTACAAGAGCTCTGTTTGATAGCTTATTCTGCATGACGCCCCATACGCGTTGGCTTAGGTCGAATACATGCTTTCATATGACAAATTTTTGCTTTCTCGTGGCTCGTGGCTCGTGATTCCCTTCAGTTTGCAAGCTCATGGATAATTTGAGAGCTTATTTTGCGCCAATAACCCAAGTAAAACGCCGGTCAATGCTTAATGCAATAAATGCTTTAGACACTTAGGTATCTGGCTGTAATGGATTGGCCATACGACTGGATTGCATGATTATTAACCATCTGTTAAATCCGCCTGTTTCTGCAAAGCTCGTGAATGTCTGTCGACCTCTTCAATGATGCCCTTTATACCTAACTGCTCGCCGTCTAGGTTCATTTCTTTCCCATCTTCTTCAACAGGTAGTCAGTACAAGATAAGTAGCGAGTGGGTGAAGGGTTTTTTTTCTTTTCTTTTTTTCTTCTTCTCATTTCTTCCCGGACTATACGTACTGAATTTAATAAGAAGGGTAGGTGGTGAAGTGGACGCTCGTGGCAGGAGGGTGGTATTTATTTGCATGCCACTCTGTCGCGCATTAGGAGGGAGAGAACTGAGGAATAATCGTGTAGCTCTTGAGCGCATAGAGAAGGGGTTGAACTTGGTGTTCACCTCGGTGATGAATCGCGTAATCATTGTGTCGATGTACTATAAACTTTCAAAATGGTTAACATAAATTGCTTAGCCTCGTATTCTTGGCCGGTGCTACTTACCTATACATTAAATCGACTTTGCCTTCTGATTTATGACACTGGATGCTCAATGCGAAAGAGCATTGGAATATTTTCTGGAGACTGTAATTGGAGGGGTGGCTAGTGTAGCTGGTGCAGGCACCTACCTATGTACCTATGTACATGTACGTACATCATACAGATCATACAGGTAGGACGAGGCGCTATTGTGGCTGTGTACAAGCTACACTAGCCACATATACGTTGAAAGCTTACCGGTTCTGTGGAACTGGCAACGTCACTGCTAATAATAAGTTCACCAACAATTTCCGTACCTGCAGCTGTCTCACAAATTTCATCATTCTCCTAATACGCGTAGCAGCATGTCGAGCCAAGAAGGCCCGGCCTAATACTTTGACGAAAATGTCGCCCGAAACCCTAGAGAAGCGATTTACCGATTTACAAGACCGGCTTACTGTCTTGCAAGATGCGACGAATCAGCTTAAGGAGCTGATCGACCGACTGGCCAACTTCGATTTCCAGCCCGGCTCAGTACCTGTTGGCGTGAGCGACGACGACAATGTTTGTTCAGAGCTTAGCTCCGAAATCAACCAAATACTACGAGAACAGGAGGAGGAGCTTGAGTTGTTGCAAGAAGAGATAATAGATATCCGACCGGGCAAGTCTGGTGGCGATCTACAACATGACAAAGACCGGCTGAAGGACGGCGCGGATCGTCTTGGACAGGAGCTACAGAAGTAAACAGATCTGAACATGCCTCTTTATCATAGCAATATCTAACCTCTTCGCAGTTGTCGAAGGGCCTTTAGGAGAGCCCAGATATCAGCGAAGCGTAACCTACAGCTTGCCCAGCGACAGGAACGAGAGCTTCTCTACGCCTCCTTCTCGACCACACGATCCGGCGCGTCCACTCCCGCCGTCGCAGAGGCTGCGGCATCCCTGCCGAGCCGACGAAAGCCGCAAAAGCGCTCCGAAATGAGCAAGGAAGAACAGATGATAAGCGCCAGTAACGATGTAACTGAGTCCATGAGGAGGGCGCACGACCTGATGGCTGCCGAATTATCCAAGAGCGATTTTGCCCATAACACGCTCAAGGAGTCGACTGCTTCTTTATCGCAATTGTCCGAGAACTACTCGAGTCTCGACACCATGCTATCGAACTCCCGGGCTCTCCTAGGCACCTTATTGAAGAGCCAGAAAACCGATACTTGGTATCTACAGTCGGCCTTCTATCTCCTCGTAGTTACCATCGGTTGGTTGATATTCAGACGCCTCCTCTGGGGCCCGACCTGGTGGCTGGTCTGGCTTCCTCTCAAGCTCATCTTCCGGAGCGTGGTCGGCGTCTCAAATACGGTTTCACGACGCGGCGGCTCACAAGGAGTGGGCTCCGGCTCAGATTCGGCTACGATACTGTCTATGTCACAAATAGCGCAAATGAATAATGACGGGGTTCCAACAGCACAAGTCGTCCAACCGTCACAGATTCCGCAAGAGGCATCGGAATCTATCATAGAAGAGGTTAACAAAGTCATCAATGAAACAGGTTCAACTGAAGAGCATCCTAAAGAAAATGAGACCGAAAAGGACGCGCAAGAAGACCAACAGGAAGAAACCGTGCTAAGGGAGCGCAAGGATGACGAGCCTCCCAACCCAAAGAAAAGGATGATGGAAGAGGACGCTAGTAACCGGCAGGGCGATGGTGGTGAAAGAGTCAGAGATGAGCTGTAAGATTAGAAAAAATAAGACCTATCCTTACCGTCCCTGCCGTTCTTTATTTGCGTTCCCTTAATGACGGGCATGGGTATAGCATCCCTATATTCTGTCTGTTTCGACAGATATTAGTCTGACTCCTTAAACTTCCCAGCGAGCAAGGTTTCGCTGGTTTCTCTCTTTCAAGTTCGGCAGCATAAAGCTTGTGTTAGCCGACCATTTCTTTGTCCTTGGGCGGGAAGGTCGCTCGAGCGGGCCTATTTTTTTATGATATGACTTGGGCAACACACAATGACAAAAATAAAAGGGGGGTAAGGGTTGGGCAGTGGACGAAGTCATTTAGAGCCACATAAGTCCTCAACTACTCAAATATCGAACAAGGATAGAGTATCATCAATTTTTTCTCATATCTACTCTGTTCTGCGCCCTTTCTTTACGGTTGAAGCACGAGAGCTTTTTCCGAGCTCTAACCCAACTCATACAAATAACAAGTCAACTCCCAAGTAATATCCATTAACGCCTTATTCCCAAATTGTACACACATAAAAAACAGAAGTCCGATGTTGGTTTGCCCTTGGCTGCTTGAAATCCCCTTCTCCAGTCCGTTTCCTATCAGTCGACGAAACGGGAAGAGGGAAGAAAGAAAAGGGGGGTATCATCACTTTCAACCTCCAGCCAGCCCCAACCCAAACCAAGTCTATGTCCATGAGTAGATGATGCTGAACCCTCCAGACATGATAAATAAAAACAAACCGATGCACGTGCTCAAACAAATCAAGAAGAGCGCAACAGCCCAGATACAAAAAGGGTAGCGCAAGAGAGCGGCGAAAGAAAGAAGCATCATCACAAACTTAAATACAAAAAGGTATGTTGGACCTTAATATTGCCATCCAATTCCCTTAAATCAATATACCGCCCACCCTCTCTTCTATCCTATTCTCCTTATTACTGATTCCTCAAGATCTATCCCCCGGGGCTATCGGTCGTGCCTAGGATCCCGTCGATATCGAAATCCGTGCCCTCTAACGTCGTCTCCCACTCGCCGCTGTCCATCTTCGACGACACGTCGTGCAGCGACGATAAGTGCATGGACGGCTCGTCGTGCCACGAGGTCTCGGCGCCCGCGTCGACGTTCGACTGCTGGTGGAACGCCTGCTCGAACTGCTGCTGACTGTGATGGTTGACGCTGTCGTCGATGACGGCGGAGCTTGAGCCGGCGTGTCCACCTAGCGCCCCGTGGTCGAGCGAGTACTGCACCCCGCCATCGTTATGATCCCCTAGTCCCAAGATCCCTAGGGCATCGTATTGGTGCGCGCCGCCTTGGTGTCCCATGAGCGAAGGGTCTATCTGGTGCTCGTTCACGCGCGAGAGCGCGCGCGGATGCGGCATGGCGACCTGGTGTTGGGCTGGGTGCTGCGGCGGTGGCGGGTACGCGGACCCCATAAACTCGCCGTATTGATCGACCGGTGATGGGTTGTGGTAAGATCCCGCGGGCGAGTTCGCCTTGTTCATGAATACATTCTCGACGAACGAATGCATCTGACCCTGCATCGGGCCGCCGCCATACGCCGCCATGGGATGGCCGTAACTCGGCCTGAACTCGCTCGTCTGCTGGTAGTACTGATTCTGGCCCAGCCCGGCCCCGTAGTCGGATGGCCGCGGCTTGCCCGGGTTCGAGTACTGGAATGAGGATTGGTGTGCTGGGTATTGGAGTCCCCTGTGGTGTGCTACCGGTGATTGGTGATACGTCGGGTACGCCGCTCGCATCCCTGGCGGCCGGTACTCCGCGTCTGGGTCGTACATGGGTCTCGCGGCCCTCGACGCGTTTCGCGACGGCGGCGCACTAATGTCCCACTCATACCCCTCCAGGTCGGAACCGTCGTCATCCGAGTCGCCAGTAGCGCCCCTGGTTGTAGTAACGACGTTTTTCTTGTTCTTCGCCTTAGCGGGCGCGAACTTGTAGTCAGGGAAGGCAAGCTTGTGGTTGGCGCGCTCGATCTTGGCCCAGCCGTCATACTGGTCACGCAATTCCTGCGACTCCATGTTCCAGCTCGTGCCGCAGACTTGAGAGATGACCTGGTGATTGTCGTGTTTCTTCCATTCCTTGGTGCGGTTCTGGTAGGCTTTTCGGTACAACATAAAAGCATTCATCGGTCGCTTTATTTTGCCTTCCTTCGAGTCTCGAACTTCGGCCTGCCGCACCTCCGGTAATCTGTTCACGTACTCCTCGATATTGGTGTCCTGCACCGTGCTAATATCCTTCACCAGCACACTCAGTGGCGCTTCTAGCACCACGGCCGGTTCGTCCCCTACTCCCTTTCCCCTTCTCTTCTTTTTCGCCTTGGCGCCTGCGCCTGATTTTACACTCGCCTCAGATTCTGGCTTTGGCGATCGTTTTACGACTCGCGATGGTCGCGGGCCAAGCACTGGTGTGCTGCCGTGCACACGGCTAATAGCTCTTCCACTTCGAGTCATTATGCCGTCTGATTGCATTGGTGTCGGCGGTGATGTCGCAGGAGTGCTATAGGCATTGTGAGGAGTCTTATATAGCGAAGGTGTTAGCTAAAAGTCAGGGCCTGTTAGAGAGAAAGGGGTCAGGATAAAGAAAACATGTTTATTGTTCGGTTCATTCAAATCGATCACTTTCTTTATCTTAAGAATAAACATACCATTGATGAACCTGTATCAGGTAATTGCGGATACGGGCTTGGCTCCATCTGGTAACTCTGTTGATGGTAACCGCTGCTATATGTAGAGGCCGGAGGGGCGCTTGAGTAGGGAGAGCCGTGGTCATACATTGGCATGACCATCTGCTGCTGCTGCTGCTGCGGTGCCGGACTAGAGTACCGCGAATGCGGATGTGAACTTATATGGCTGTCCACATCGACAGGTGCCGTTGATGCATTATGTTGGATGAGCTGCTGGAATTGGCTCTGGAGCACATCGTCGGCGGTGGCAGAGGGATGTGCATTGCTGTTAGACGGCGCTGGGGATGGCGGGTCGGTCTTCTCCATCTCATCAATTTTTCTTCCTGATCGAATGCCGTGCGATGGCCAAGAGCAGAAGTTCGAGATTCGCCCTTGAGATAAAGCGAAGCGTGGTAAGAGCGGTAGGAGTAGCACAGATTAGAAAGAAGCCGATGGCAGTAAAGATTGATGAGGAACGAGGATGATCTTAATAGGTACTAGAAGTAGTTTCCTTAAGGAGGTTCGTGTCCCTTTCCCTGATGAATGAGTAGAGTGGAGAAAGAGAAGAATATAATTCTTCACAACTAGGGCGCCGCTGCTTTTCCTCCGTCTTGATAGATAACGGTCCACCGTACTCTTTTACAAGCAACTCCTAGATGAACTGACCAACAAGCAATACCTCTCCAAGTCAGTATTCTCCACCAAGACCTTGAATATTCCCAATTCGGATAATACGATGGCAACTTGTCGGTTTTTGTTTTCGGATACGTGCTAGTAGTTAATAACTGTGATAAGGCGAATGATTGGTACGCGAAAAAGTCGGACACACAGTGCATCTGTATATCCGCGTCTCTATGTTGAGTGTGGAATCCGGTGCCTTGACACTATGCGGCCTGAAGGTCCGTCTCTAACTTGTCTATCCGAATGTGTCTTTGATAATTGGTCTCCGGCTTCCTGAATACTGGCCAATGCTCCTGGCCTGGGGCGCTTTACACGTAACGCAACCGCGACTGGATTGAAGTGATATCTGTGGGATCGAGAGCGAGACACCGACGGTAAGGGGGTAAAGGAAGATCTAAAACGAGAACCAGCAATCTGATGGTTCAGAGGTTCTAGAAAATTTTCGAAAAACTTCGAGCAACTGGTTAGGGACACCACTTTTTGAAGGGTTGACAAGGCACAAAAGTACTGGAATTTTTCATCTGAAGATGCTCTGCCTGTGAGTGGGTAAGTGAGTCTTCAATTTCAGCCGCCTACTTCATTTTCTGCCCTCAGCGTAACCGGCTTGCAAGCAGCCCTAGATCTTTCTCTAGCCGGGGAAGCGGTATGCTTGGCCAGACAGAATGTACTGGCTGGCTCAATGCCAGCGTAGCCCGCAGCCGCAAGCATGGATCTATCAGAAACCGGGTTTGTCTCTGCCCATGACGCTGCACGGGATGGGGGGCGTGCAGCAACATTTGGTCATGTGAGGAGAGGAAAGAAGAGAGAGGAAGCATTAAAGCATAGGGGCACGAACCTATCTCAAAAGATCTGCCTGATAGAATGTGAATTGCGTACTTTTTCTCTTATTCTAGCGATGTTTTGCGCAATGTAGACTCTTTACTCCTGCTGCGTATGCGGGCGCATATGTAATAGGGATGCGTTATGTGGGTGCTTCTTCACTTTGTCTAGTGATTAGACGTAGAGATCCGATAGAAGCAGCTGAGCCAGGATCTTGGGATAGATAGTTGTGTAAGGCACTATCCCGAGGGGTGAAATATGTGAGTGATTGATGAGCTCACGCCCCCTTTCTGAGTGGGTATGGGTCGTAGGCACAACGAAGTGCTGGCTGATACAGTCTTCCCTGTCCTACAGCCCGCACGAGCTTTCTTTCTCTTTCTTTGTTCCAACTTCCTCGTTAAAGGAACTTCAGCTACCCATGTGCCATAGAAGCAGCAAGAAGCAATGCTGAGCGCAGGGCTGAATTTTAGTACGATCGGCCTTTCAGGCTGCTTCCTATTTCCTGGGCAGATATGTCGATGGAGTGAGCGTTGTATTATTAGGTTATTATTTGTTGCCGGTGAACTGTGTGCAGGCATCCATCACTGTTCCTAACAAATTGTATAGTATGGATAAAAAATGCCTAGGTATATGGGAGAAAGGGAATAGGTAGAGTGCGAGCGGCCACAGCCGGATGTGTTCTTTGTCGATCCAACGAGAGCAATGAAATAGAATAGTACCACCAGTAGTAGCAGCAACATAAAGAAATTCCCAAAAATTTCCTTTCAGAAAGAACTGTTCTTGGGGCTATAGTTATTTGTATGGTGGCTTTCTTTCCAGAATTCAACCATTTCGCTTTCGCTCTAGGACGCAGAATGTGGCCGCTGGGTTGCACATTACCGCTTTCGGAAAGTAAAGGAGGAGAACGCGGAGTACTGGACAAGGCGTGCCGGCCTAGAAACTGCTCTAGATCACTTACGGAACTATATCTAGCCGTGTTCGGGGGGCGAAAGAGAGAGAGGGTTCAGAGATGGTAATTCTCTACTAGGTGCCGAGCATTCCGACCTACCTCTAGGTAGAGGCCGAGAATATGCTGTTGATGCTGTCGTTTCCATGCTTCTTAAGTGGGAATGCTAGCATATGCCTTGCCTTCATTACCACATACTCTTTCGCTTGCTAGAGCAGATGGGCAGTGGACTTCCATTCAACTATTGCCCGCTAAGGCAAGACATATGTAAAATAAAAATAAAAATCGCATGTTGTACCCACATTATGTCGATAACTGCACATCTTAGCAGATTGCATGCGAGATTGCATTAAGATATGCCACAGAAGGGATCGGTGAGTTGGGTAGACTTGGTCCCCGGCCGATCTAACCTTGGCCACATCTCCTATCCCATCTGGGGTGGTAACTCTTCTTCAAACTACCCACTAGGAGCTTCCCCTCGAAGCCGGTATTATGCGGCTATCTAAAGGCCCGTCGTCTTGGGAAGTTGCCTGTAACTGCTGTTGGTCGGTGGGAAACACTGGAATGCTAGTTCCTGAGTAGGCCCGGAAACAAGTTGCCCACACCTAAGTTCTTCAGTGGCGTTGCCAGGTCACATGCCTCTGGCATTCCTTTGAGACTTTGCTGAAGATATTTCCAATTGCAGACACCTGGCCGCGTTCCTTTCTTTCCATTTTCGCCCCGCCCCATTTTAGGACTAGACTGAGGCTTAAGTCCGGTTTATCGTGATGGTTATGATGATGTGCTGCTAGTCCCCGGACCGATTCGAAGGGGAGCGGTACATGTGCCGGAGGAGCAATCCCCAGATTCCCCTTCTTGTTGCGTCTTTCATAGCTCTAGACTGACACCTTGCCTGGGGGTAGACTAATCTCAGCAATAGCTCAATCCCTGGGAACAACGATGCAATGACTATTGATCAGCCCAGTCCACCTGCAATATAAGTGTCAACTACACTGCTCGCTTTCTGCTCGTGCTGTTCCTCTGGTGGTGAGTAGGGATGACTAGCTGGTCGTCCCTGGGCATCTGTTTGCAGCCGCATCCCTGCACCAACGGCGGATAGTTGCAGTAGCTTCGTTGACTGTTTGAACATCAATCCTGCAAATGCCGAAAAGGGGAAAGTCCAGCTAGTGAAAATTGACGTACGTCGGTATGTGCAGTAGGTAAAATCAGATTTTAGAAACTAATATACTAAAACCGTGAACACAGTTTAGAATTCCAAGAAGTAAAATCCCACCCTCTTCGTACTTGGGATGTGTTAGTGAGTGGTAGGTGGGAAGGAGTACTGATGCGGAGTATTTCATCTGCGCCAATGCATATATACCAGATGTCTTCTTGAAAGACTGGCTTGTGTCCTCGTCTTTTCTTTCGTCCCTTTAGCCTCGAGGGTCGCCTTTGAAATCATCACGCTGGAACCTCCTCCTGGGTCTTTTTAATCTCCCTTGCTATGTGCTGTCTTGCTTACCCCCAACCCGGAAATGTGTAGAGCTGTAACAATGAAATAGCTGAGAATAACTCCGGCGTTGTATTTTCGCGTCCTTAGTCTTCGAGAGGCTCGGCCTAGCATTAGAAGTAGTATGGTATTCAAGCAATTATGACAGCTTTATACCATGATGCTCGTTCGCCTGTTCACTTCATGATAGTATGTAGCAGCATGAGCAACGCAAGAATGCGCCGTTTAATCTGCTTGTATGTTGTTCAGGACGTCCGTCCCCACACACACCAATCTGCATCCGTGCTGTCTCAGCGCTCTGGCCAACAGTTCGTGCGAATAGTCGGGACTTGTGGGACAGCTCAACTTTTTCGGCACCGTCGCTTGTCCAATAGTAGCTGCTCCGGGTCCGGGGCTGACTAGGCTGGGTATAAACAGCTTGAATGGATCCCAGACTAGCTAGCTTATTTGCCTATCCCTAGCTTTGGAACAGGTAGACCCTGTTCAGGAATATGTCTACATCCACCGCAGCTGCGAACTCCTGCGCGTCTCTGTATGCCGTCTGCCGCCTGCCGACGAGAAAACGTGGAGTCGGTGTGCCTAGGTTAACTTTTGACCGGGACATTGCAATGCGATGAGCCCATATTGCTATATTATTATTGGCGAATCGAATAAATCAAAGTTATTTGGGCGTGTAGAGGAAGAACTGAATAAGAACTGTATGGCGTTTAACTTAAAATATCAGAGTAATCCGTTAATCGAACCTTCCGTATTGTTAAGATGCGGAAAAGCAAGCAGACTCGGAAGGTGCCTTACGTAAGAGTGAATTAAGAGAGGTTGGGCGGGGCCACAAGTGCAAGGCATCGCAACCTCCTTAAGCACCACACGTTCGAAAGGTTATTTTTATTTGATAGGTAGTTCATGCCTACCTAGTGTCTACGAGTGAATAGGTAGATACCTGATACCCAACTCAGTTCAAATATGCTGGTTGATTTATAGTCCCCGCTCATTCTCAACAGGCGCAGCACAACAGTATTCATTGGCCCGATTATATGTTTCGTCATCTGCACATACGCAAGTATGTATTATATATCTCTCCCTTAATTTACATATCGAAGTCCACCTGTCTTGTACGCCGGAAGATGCATCATGCAACTGTCTAATGCCATTGGTAGAATCCTGGCCCCTTGTACCTCCATGACTTCAAAAGCCCAATGTACGTCCCATCCACGAGTAAGTCTGATTTGCCCGTCCCATTTAGGGGGAAAGAAAACACATGCCACTGGAGTACTAAAATATGCCCGTCTTGCAACGGCATATCGAAAACTACCTAGTAATTATTGATTAATGATGTGCTCGGAACTTGTGGCCTTGTCGCACTGGCGACGATTATGGCCGTGATGCTAGAGTTGGGTAAAAGGCATGACTTGCCCCCTAGGTTACGTATCGGTCTCGATCACTTCACGGTTTTAAAACCTCTGCTCGACTGTTCAATTGAGTGAGCCACTATGATTGAAATATCTCTGATCATCCGCCCCCGCTGATACCGCTGGAATTATGTGATGTTGATCGCGCGGGATCAGCAGGTTTGACTGGTGGCGTCAGAATTTGCTGCGCAGGTGAAGGTGATAGTGCCGTCACTGGTGGTAGAATTGCAGGTGCCGGCGTTGAAGATGGACCACCACCAGAGCGTTGGTTCGGCGGCGGCGAGCGCTTCAGGGGCGAGAGGCCGTTTTGGGTGGGTGGGAGACTGGGTGTTATGTCAAGCCTTACTCCTTGTTTATTGAGTTGCGGAGTGGTAAGTGCCGCATGCTGAGTACTGGCATCACTGCTAGGCGGCCGTGCTGCGGCAGAAAATGACACTGTCGGTGGGGAAAGAACTGGCAAGCTATGGCTGGCGGCATCAAAGGGCTGCTTCAAGGGTGAATCGGACCTAGCAGCGACTGGAGGTACGTAAGCATCTGCATGGGGCGGGAGGCTACTTGACGGTGTCGGTTGTGCAGAGCCATTGACCTTCGGTGATACGTGGAACACACCCTTCTGTGGCACTTTGATGTCCCCTGAACGGCTTTTTGGTATCGGGGAGGATGATGGGTTGAACATAGTTGAATAGGCCCTAGCTTTATTGGGCGACTGCTCGGGGGGTGATAGATTCGGGTGCGGCGAAGAGAATGGATTAGCCCCGTCGCCATTGGTAAATGGCGAAGATGGTAGAGGGGCGCTTGGTTGGCCGGCTTGTTTTATGGGGATTACTGGCTGAGTAGTTGATTCAGGTTGGGAGTCATTGGCAGGGCGTGACAGTTGTGTGCTGTTATTAGGTAGTTCAACCACAATCCCAGAACGTCGAGCAAGTTGAGCTTGTTCAGGAGCAGGCGAGTCGTCCGACTTCACAGGAGATGATGAAGCATTGGTCTGATTGACCTTGAGTTTAATGACCGGTGACTTTGGTGTTGTCGCACGTAGCAAACTCTTTTGGCGGCAGCTCTTGCATATAAAATGGAAATCATCGCGATCTGCTTCTTCCTCGCTGATACCTACACATTTGCTGTGTTGCCAGATGTTGCATGTCTCGCAAGCGATACTGTGTGTGCCATCATCGACCTGGCCGTAGACGCCGCAGATACAATCGAAGATCCAATCATCCTCTTCCTCAAGCTCTTGCAGGGCTTGCTTGTTCTTCTCGATTTCCGCTTTTAGCCGCCTTTCGGACAATCGACCAGTCCCTGTGCTGAGATTCTTGCTATCCTCGGATAACTGAGCTAGTTCGTCTTCGTGCTGCCGCCGACGAATGTCTCGCTCCTTAAGTCGCTGTGCTCGAGACATCATACGGTTGTCGCGCTCTTTCTCCATCTTCATTCGTTTATGTTCCTCCTTATGAGCCGCGGCCTCTTCGGCGCGGCGTTTCTGCTCGTCTTCCTTCGCTAACTGATCTAGTCGTTGTTGCTCGGCCTTGTTAGCAAGACGGCTAGATCGTTTGGCGTGTGCCATCTTTTCTAGGTTGAGAAGTTCTTTCTCTCTCTGCAGGGCTTTCCTTTTTCGGGATTCCTCCTGCTTTTCTAGAATGGGTAGCAGATGGTTCTCAATAGTACTCCTTAAGATCTTCTCATTCTCATCTCGAGTCTTCCGAATGGTGCCAAGGAATTCTTGCACCTCGGCAAGGTTTGTCGCAATACACTCCCACTTTACATTGCCGAGACCATCGTCCTCTGGTTCGGCAGGTTGGTCGGCGTCTGAGGCAGAGCCGTCATCAGCGTCCGAGCCGTTCTGCGCAGCAGATCTTGAAACGCGACGCCTTTTGGCGGCCCTGGCTGCAGCTTTGGCCTTCTTGGTATTCTTCTTTGGTTTCCATGGCGCGGGAGTGGGCGGAGCTTCTGTCATACGGTATATCCGGTTATCATCTAGAATATAGTAAGTGCGATCATCGCTGTCCCAGCCAGAGGGCTCTATTCTCTGTGGTTTTGTCAGTTTGTCTCACCACTAAGCGCGATAGGAATTGTTCGCACCCATTCAGTTTGGTCACTGGGTTTCTGCTCATCCATTTTCTCTCGGATGCGTTCAGGATGCAACATAACCCATTGGGTTAGCTGTTGTAGTACTTTGAGCTATACCGGGAATGTTTAGTATGCTAATCCTTGGTATAATACCTCGTTGACATCGCTAACGAACCTTTGTGAAGACGTCAAAGTCATCGAACTTGGCAGGCGTCTCGGCGGTGCCGAATGGGTTTCGATCGGGTGCCTTCGCAACATATTGACGGCGTGTGTACTCGTCGAAGAGATCCGCGCTACAGAGAAGTTAACAACATGATCGTTAGAAGTAGCGTTCTTGGATAGGTCATACGTCAAACCACGATGCGACGATACGAATTTGAGAAGGGCAAGACCGATATTGACCAGAACGGCCGAGCGAGGCTTTAGGCACTCGGTTTCCAGATCCTAACGTGATACGGTGTTAGTGCTGCGGACATGTTATCCAAGACCTTAGGATGACAGATATGGACTAATGTACGGTTGGCCTCGGGAAAGGAGCACGTACGTCTATATCGATACTATCGTCGATCTTGACTACCTTGCCGAATAAGTAGATCCACTGGAACAGATTGGCAAATTGCCAGGTGTTCCTGATGCGCTGAAGTAAGGATAACTCTTTAGGGGCCTCCTGTTTAGGAGTCTCGTGCGTGTCGGCATCGGGTTCGACGTCGCGCAAGGCGCGCTTTCTTGACGAGACCATAGTGACAACCGTGCTATTGTTTGCGAGCGGGCGATCGTGTAGATGGGAAATGCGAAAGAAATATAAAAGAATTCGATGATGCCGATGATTAGTTGAAACTAGGTCGAAATGATCGAAACAATTGGAATGGTTGGTGGTCGGTAAGCGACAAAGAGATAAGATTAGGTTTGTTGAAGGTTGAAGGTTGAAGGTTAAGGTGAATTAATCGTAGACTCAAGCTTGATGAGATATTTCATGGCGATCGGGTTAGGTTGAAGGGAACCGGAATTTGATTATGGCCAATACCCAAAATGAGTGTTGGGAAGATATCGAATAGACAAGTCTGCTAGCTGTTGTCGACGAGTGAAAAATGCGCACTGTTTGTTAAACATTCGGCAGTTTATCAAGCGACGTGAGTGCGTGAGGTCGAGTGCAGTTGTCTAAGTACTATGGAGTATTGATTTTTGGAGGATAAATCTCTAGGCGCGATTTGGGCCTTTGGCGCTGACGTTTGGACTTTTTTACGCGACGCAACTTCTCCGTCAAATGGCATGTGGATTCCACTTTACTAAATTCTAACGCGCTTACGCGCCGCAGCCCATTTGAAAAGAGGGGACTTGGTAGATACATATGTAGGTACCAAGGTACCTAGTACATACCTAGCTAGTATGTAGTATTGATGACAGCCCCTGCACTGATATTAGTGAGAGACACGTGATATCTACATATCATGAGAATGATACTAGGTACTTGTTGCGTACCTGGGACGTCTCTATATTGCATCATTCATTTAATACTTAGGTAGGTATTGGATGGAATAGATATGCACATAGGCATACTATGTATTTTATATCTGTAAGTCACATTCGTAAACCGAAGAGAGAAGCCTATCAATGAAAACGATTATCAGTTGCTCGACCCATTTCATACGCAAGAAACGTATAAAGACATCTATTTTGAAAATTATATGTAACCAACCTTGAAGTGATATAAATTTCGGAATTCACCATGGAAGAAGGGTCCTGTGTTGTCTTATCCGGCTTCTGCTGTGGCTTCCCCTTTCATGACCTCAGTGTCGTATTTCGGTGTCGTACTTGGTGTTAGATGTGCATGTGTGAGGAGGTATCTATCGTTAAAGTTGGAAAGCACACCACGTGCATATTGGATGGGCTAACAGCTTATCAGACTAACAAAAGTTACAACTGTATAAGGCTTAGCGTGGATAGAGATCTTCAGTTGGTTGGTTAATTCCTCCTTTCTAGCCCCACCTATCGGGTTCTTCAAGCCAATTACTTTGGAAAGACCTGAGGCTGAGCCTTCTTCAAGTTCTGATGCATTGTTGGAAATCAGCGGCGAAGTCAAAATCGAAATTGCCGGGTTGGGACCTTCCCATCATATAACCGTCTCTCGTTTTTATTCTTTTCTTCTTCTGTAACAACAATTAAATATTGTCACCACCGTCAGCACGGCGAAATTGAACGTGTAGGAGGACAAAAAGCTTTAAGAGTGGGATCATTTACTGTCTATCAATTGCCTGTCTTTTTTTTTCTACTACTTTCCGATCTGCCACATTGCGACGACCCACGCGTCCCGGTTAATGTGTTTCATACTCGCCTTTCCTGGTCTCTCGTTTGAATCTGACTTCATACCTTTTTAACAAATCTTGGCTACCCCCAGGCTCCCCGGGTTGCTCGATTGCGATACAACATTCGAAACGACTTACCTATCCGTATTCTTTAACCTACCTTAACCCTATGTGATGCTATTTGATATCGCCGTAGTAACTCTCGCCAGTGCGCTTGCCTGCGTATTGCGCTAGGCAATTACTTCTGTTTCCTTCCGTTCGTATACATTCGTACATCTAATTAATAAACTGTCATCTGGATGACACCCATTTCACAATGACCCGGTCTGCCGCTTCGCCGAGGCAGTCGCAGCAGAGCCCTACCGCGCCTCCTTCCCAATCAATTCCCTTACAAGATCTCGCGAGGCAGCAACATCGGAATGATGGTGCTCAATCGTCACAATCGCAAGCTGGAGACCAGAGAGCTTCTCATGCGAACAGCAATCCCCTAGGGCTCTCTATGTATTGGGAGGGTTATCAACCTCATAATCACCATGACGAGCCGGAATTGAGTCCTTCCTCGCCCATAGATGCGGCCGCCTTGCAGTTTGCCCTTCCTCCGGGCATCACCCCTCCGCCACCGGCGATGCCTCGAGCCGCATCCTCATCGACGATCCCGAACCCATATGCCGCCCCCGAGACGCCATATTACGACGAGACCGTTCATGTTGATTACTTCGAATCGGATAGCTCGCCATTGACGTCTGCTGCGCAGCCCATATCTGGCGCCCTAGCCACCCCGCAAGGTGAATCGCAACCAAGAGATAGTTTCCAGACCGTGTCGGATTTGGATAATTCTCGTCCGCGTGAACGATCCGCACAGATGCTGGGCTTCGATCTAGAAACCGGGAATGATCTGGGTAAACATCGAAGCTATGGCAATTCTCTCATGCCAAGCGACAACCGGTCCTCACGAATCCCAGGAACAGCTGGGGATGCTCTATACAGAGCTGGGTCAATTGTTAGGGCCATGTCCCAGCGTGTTGTTAATATTAGTGGTGAAGGTGAAACGTTCGAGCAACAACAGCAGAGACGGCAGAGATCGAGATCACCAAGTGCCGATGGTCGAGCGTCAGGTCGAGTGTCTCCAAGCCATAGTTCTGCCCAGTTTGGTATTGACACATCATATCCTTCTCAACTCTATAATTCGCAAAACGAGAAAAACGGCGAGGCCGAATGGAATGTACCGCTATCTCCCTTGTCTCCTCGTCGGGGACCGATGCCAAATCCTTTGAAAGGCCGTTCACTTGGTATATTTGGGCCTGATAATATCATCAGGAGGAAATTGTGCGATTTGCTCGTCAATCCATACATGGAGCCAATTTTGCTCTTGTTGATTGTGCTTCAAGCTATCTTGCTCGCAGTGGAGGCTGCGAACAATGTTTATATTCCCGGAAACGAGCGACCTCCCCTCTGGGACCCTTCCTCGGGAATAAATTGGGCACTCCTCGTCCTCTTCATAATATTTACACTCGAGACTGGCGCTAGGATTATAGTGTCCGGTTTCGTGCTAAATGCTGCAGAATACAGCACCATTGACCGAAAGAAGGGAATTCGAGCTGCCATATCCGACCAATACAACGCCGTCTTTAGGCCCCAGCGCCAAAAATCGGTGAAAGCTTCAAAGGAACAAGCTTACGGTCCTTCTACGTTTGCTCGGTCCTTCACTATGATGCATGGCATCATGCCAGAGACGATTGAGGAGCAGCAAAGGATGCAATTAGCACGTCGAGCCTTTTTGAGGCACGGGTTCAACAGACTAGATTTCATCGCAGTTGTGTCTTTCTGGATCGCGTTTGTTCTGAGCATAACTGGCGTTGAGATGGAGAAGCATCTGTTCATCTTTCGAATGCTCAGTTGCCTTCGGATTGTTCGATTGCTTGCCCTTACGAATGGAACAGCAATCATATTGCGAAGTCTTAAGAAAGCAGCCCCATTGCTTGTTCGAGTATCCTTTCTCATCGGGTTTTTCTGGCTCTTATTTGCCATTATCGGCGTGCAGAGTTTCAAGGCCAGTTTAAGCCGGCAGTGTGTTTGGCTGGATCCCACACAGCCTACCAATCTCTCTGCAGCATACACGAATGATATGACCTTTTGCGGCGGATATCTCGATGAGAATGGAACGGCGAGGCCCTGGCTTAAAATGATGTTTCCCAACTCGGACACCTTAGTAGATCTCGTTACTCCATCGACAAAACCAAAGGGCTACATTTGTCCAAGAAACTCCATTTGCCTTGAGCAATCAAGTCCATATAACCAAACTGTCAATTTTGACAACATCATCAACTCCCTGGAGCTAGTTTTCGTGATCATGAGCGCCAATACGTGGTCCGATCTCATGTATTACACAACCTACTCAGAATTCCTTCCAGCGGCCCTCTTCTTTGCTGCCGGCATCATGATTATGATGTTGTGGCTGACCAATTTGCTAATTGCCGTCATCACTTCCTCTTTCCAGGTTATCCGAGAGGAAAGCCGGGCAAGCGCTTTCACGGCAGATGAGGACTATCAAGTTCCTGGTGGACAAGATCAACGGCTACGGAGAACCTCAACCCTACAAAGAATATACGACAAGACTTGGATTTTCTGGGTGTTACTGATCGCATATGATCTCTTTGCTCAGGCTTGGCGAAGTGCATCAATGTCGGAAGTACGAGCAAGGTTCATTAGTTATAATAGTGTCGTAGTTACGATTCTATTAGACATTGAGATCACCATCCGATTTTCGGCCAACTGGAGGACATTTCATAAGAGTACCCGGAACTTATTCGACCTCTTTCTAGCGGTAGCAAACACGATAATAATTTTCCCACCGATTTTCAATCACGGTCAAACATATGCATGGCTGACGATATTCCAAATTCTACGATCCTATCGTGTGGTCCTGGCCATACCAATCACGAGGAAACTGATCGTGTTAGTTCTCGGAAACGCTACGGGTATTGCAAATCTCATAGTCTTTGTGTTCTTGATCACGTTCATCATGGCTATCTTTGCCGTCCAGCTTTTTCGAGGGGAAATTCCCTTGTACGATGACGGGGGTGATCTTGTTAGAATTTCATTTTACAACATCTTCAACTCCTTCCTCGGCATGTATCAGATCCTTTCGAGTGAGAATTGGACGAGCATCCTCTACGACGTGACATCGTATACCACTGCTCGTCATACCTCCTGGTATGGTGCGATGTTCCTTATCGGCTGGTTCATCCTCGCATTCTTCATTCTTGTCAATATGTTCATTGCCGTCATTCAAGAAAACTTCGATGTATCGGAAGATGAAAAACGATTGGAGCAAGTCAAGGCGTTCTTGCAGCGCAAGGAGCTGGGTAGCAAATCCAACACCAACATCACGCTTTCTGATATATTCTCTTTCGGGAAATCTAAAACGAGAGATCCGCTGGATTACGGGCCGGCGACGATGGAGATGTTGTTGAAGGATGCCGTTGTCCGAGAATTCCTTGACGATACGCTGGACCCCTTACACCAGGAATCTACCAATAGCCCGTCGCCGAGAGAGGGAGCTGTTCGACCTGGATTTTGGTCATCTGTATGGACCAAAATCAGAGGCTTATTCACTAGCCGTGATCCAAATCCTTTCTACTCCAACATACGTTTTAATGGTCCTAATGACGCTCTTGACCCTCGTCAAATGGCTCGCCAGGCCGTGTCTGCTACTGCAGAACGCCGTAAAGCCCAGCGGGAATATCTTGCCCGCCACCCCACGTATAATAACTCGCTTTTCATCTTCACTCCTAGAAATCCCATCCGACGACTTTGCCAACGGCTCGTCGGACCAGGAAGAGGCAATGAACGATTTGATGGCGTGGAGCCGAACAAAATCGCTTGGTATTCCTTTACGGTATTCATCTATGGGGCCATCATCGCCATGGTAATCCTGGCTTGTATTACGACTCCGTTGTATCAAAAAGAATATCTTGAGCAACACCAGAATGAAAACCGATTCAAGAGTTGGTTCGTCTGGGTTGACCTTGGCTTTGCAATCCTCTTCACAGTCGAGGCTGCCATTAAGATCATTGCCGATGGCTGGTTCTTTACACCCAATGCCTACTATAGGAGTTCTTGGGGCATTATAGATGGTGTTGTGCTCGTCACATTATGGATTAATGTCCTAGCCCTTCTTGCCAGCGACGGGGCTGTCTCCAGGGTAATCGGTGCCTTCAAAGCGCTAAGAGCTCTTCGTCTGCTCAACATTAGCAACAGTGCGAGAGATACCTTCCATTCCCTAATAATAGTGGCCGGATGGAAGATCATTAGTGTAAGTCAAATTCATACTGAGCGTCGACATACTTAGATAAGTGCTGACTTAGTATCATAGGCTGCGCTGGTCTCGTTGTCTCTGTTGATCCCATTTGCCATATACGCAGTGACCTTGTTTTCAGGAAAGCTTATGCAATGCAACGACAACAACGTAAATTTATTACGTGACTGTTTTGGCGAATATAGTAGCACGCCGTCCAACCCGGACTGGCCATTACTTGCGCCCCGTGTGGCAGATAACCAATACTTCAAATTCGATGACTTCGCCTCCTCCCTCTTCATTCTCTTCCAGATCGTCTCACAGGAAGGGTGGGTTGACGTATCATTCGCTGCGCAAGCAATTACAGGCTATGGAATTCAACCTCAGCCCATGGCGGCGCAAGGCAACGCTATGTTTTTTGTGGTTTTCAACCTACTAGGCACAGTATTCGTGTTGACTCTCTTCATCTCTGTTTTCATGCGAAACTACACTGAACAAACCGGTGTTGCATTTTTGACGGCGGAGCAGAGATCGTGGCTTGAATTGCGCAAACTTTTACGACAGATCTCCCCGTCCAGAAGTTCTTACAACGACTCCAAGAATAAATGGAAAATATGGTGTCATAAGCGAGCAATCGAAAAACGGGGCAAGTGGTATACGACAATTACCGTTATGCTTGTCTTGCACCTGATTTTATTGATGATAGAATATTACCCCGAGCCGGACAGATGGGCTCTTACGAGGGATGTCATTTTCTTAATGTTCAATTTGACCTACATTGCGAATATCGTCATTCGTATTGTCGGCCTTGGCTGGAAGCGGTTTAGAAAGAGTTCTTGGGACGTTTTCTCCCTGGTATCCGTCTTCGGTGCGTTAGCGACGTCCGTTTTACAGCTTGTTAAGTTGGAAAACCAAACATTCGTCCAACTTCACAAGTATTTCCTCGTCAGCATTGTCCTCCTCCTTATTCCTAGAAACGATGCTCTCGACCAACTCTTCAAGACAGCGGCGGCGAGTCTTACAACAATCGTCAACCTGCTTGCCACTTGGCTGGTGTTCTTCCTCGTGTTTGCGATAGCCTTGACTCAAACGTTCAGCTTGACTCGGTTTGGAGGAAGTGAAGCTGTCAACATCAATTTCAGAACAGTGCCCAACGCCCTAATCCTCCTCTTCCGTATGAGTGTGGGTGAGGGTTGGAACCAAATCATGGAAGATTACGCCACTATCGAGCCGCCGCTCTGTGTCGATGATGAAGACTTCTTTAATAGCGACTGCGGTAGCACGAATTGGGCTAGATGCCTGTTTATCGCCTGGAATCTCATCAGCATGTATATCTTCGTCAATCTCTTCATCTCGCTCATCTACGAGAGTTTCAGTTATGTGTATCAGCGCTCGAGCGGAATGGCGCACATCGATCGAGACGAGATACGGAGGTTCAAAGAAGCTTGGCGCAGCGTTGATCCTGCTGGTTCTGGGTTCATCAGCAAAGAAGCTTTTCCGAGACTGTTGGGAGAACTATCCGGCATCTTCGAAATGCGAATCTATGATTCGGAAGACTCGGTCCGTCAGATTCTAGATGACGTTAGAAGTGATGAAACACCAATGAGGCATTCATCGCTCGCTACCGCAAGCAACCTTGGTGGAGTGGACATCCGGAGATTAAACCAAAGGCTCACTCAGATCGACGTCCGGAAAGTACAAGAGCGCCGCCGCCGGTTCAACATCTTCTATGAGGAGGTGATGGTTTCCGCGGACCCTATTCAAGGTATCTCTTTCACAACAGTGCTCATGATCATGGCGCATTATAAGATCATCAGTGACAGCAAGAGTCTAAGGTAAGTGGATACCCTGTTAAGCCCAACTAAGTTCTGGTTAACATGTTTCTAGGCTCGAGGAATTTTTGCGGCGCCGTGCGCGCCTTCAACGAGTTGAGGAAGAGGTTCGTCGGAGGGTCGTTGTCGGTTTCTTCGACACGGTGTAAGTCTTGCTTCTCAGAACAACATTTATTTTCCCTTGCTAACATAAGGATAGCTATTGGTCCCGGAAATTCAAGAGACATATGGAGAAGAAGCGATCCGCACGGATGACAGCAATTCCTCAATTAGACGTGCCCGACATCTTCGTAGATGACGAGGACGATCGTAGACGAGCAGTGCAACAACGGACAACAATGGCGGCTCCACCTGGTAGTGCGACGCCTTCTGATTTCCTTGCTGTGTCCGACGCCGCACGGCCTCAGCACAAAAGCTGGGCTTCCGGCACCGACATATCGACGTATGACTCGTCCCAGACACATCCTCTAAGCTTACCACGGGCGAGCCCCTCCATGCCTGGGCCTCGCTCACATGCTTCGGCCTTCAGTTTCGAACTGCAAGATTCCAGACCAAATTCCGGCGAGAACAGCAGGCGCGGCAGTTCGGTAAGCCCTGCCCAGGTCAGAGAGCTGCTTGATGACTCTGTCTGGGTTGAAAGCATCCGGCGAAGCGCAACAATACGAAAATCAAAATCAACCGCGCGATCTGACTGGAGTGGTGGTCGGTAAGACCCCAAATAGTCATCACAACGGCTACATTGGCCCCCGTAATGAAATAATACGGACTCAGGAGGGCATGATGATAATTATATGGTACCTCAGTAACCTACATGCCAAAAGATTCAGGGTGGGTTAAGGATGCATCTAAAGGGGGTTCTACACGAAGAGGAACATGACTTGGATGAGGTTAATAGGCGTTTTTGGCATGTAACGGGTTGCATTGGACGGAACTATCGTCTATACCATGAATCAGCGATTTTTGTTTTTATACCATGTATTCCCATCAACTTTAGGGAGGACATTAGTTGGATGCTGATGTTCCGAAGCATTAGACCGGCAGAGATACCAATAGCACATCGCATGTGCTAACCTTTTATATGTATTTATTAGGGGTTCTAAGACTAGAAAGAGAGTAAGAAAGATCAACAAACGACAGAACGTAAACCGACGCTAGGGCTTTGTGTTTGAGTGCTATATGTCAGAAAACGTTGTTCGTTATGTCGAACCGTTTCCTAGCTGTTCGATTCTTGTATTATCAAGATTATCAAGACATGTATTCTATACCGACCTATATACCGACCTATATACAGACTTAATAATCTGTATTTGCCTTGTATCTTACCTAGGACATAAAAAGGGACAAGAGTTGTCTCAACATCACTTACAATGATTTTATTTCCTTTCGTTGGTGTTGGTGTCTCGTCTACTAGTGAAGAGGTTCTCTGAGACGAAGCTAGTTTTCTGGTTGTGGAGTAATCGACTCCAAACATGGCCGGAGATGAGGATCTAAGTCCGGCTAAACTTGCGCTCCTAGATGATCGTGTTTGATGGCCTTCAAGCCGATGATGCGACGGTACCAAGGAGTTCAATGGTAGTAATATGTTACCTGACTACCGGTAATAAGGGAGTTGCTGGAGATTAGTCTTAACTAGAACTCTTCCATAAATTCAAATACTAAGAAAATTGAAGACATTTATATCGATCACCTATTAACTACTATCTAAAATATCCCATTTCTACCTGCCTCCCTACCTAAGTAGTACATAGCGACTATTATCGTCAATTAAAGAATTCAAGCCACAAGCCCCTTGAATTGCTTGAAAATGCCAAGAACGATAAAGCTTAGGTAATATTGGCGTGCCACAATGCAACATACAGTGGGTGAATATGCAGGTCCGAGCTCCTCCTTCAAACGTTATGCAGCTGCGTATCTAGTATGTACCTAGGTACCAAATTGCCTATGATACATCCGGAGTCTTCCATCGAATCCATTCTCCTGCCAATTTCAACTCCCAACAACTTCCAACGTTCAAACACTGTTCTGACACCGCATGCCCCCAAGGCTGATGCTGACCGCATATGTATACCCTTACCTTAACAATGAACAAGAGCATTCACATATTATCCTATTTCGTACATAATTGCGATAAGTTCCAGTCGAACCGCCATCGATAGGTTCAGTGCCGGGTCTCGCAGTCTATCGCATTGGAGATTCCAGAATACTTCTATTTACGGAAACCATTCTTTCGGCATAATTCTCTGCGGCATGCATATCATGTATGCGTGTGCGATGATGAATGATGTCTCTGATAGATCGACTATATCATGCCTGTCATGAAACGTCCTGAATCATGGACTAAGCTATTCACGGTAACCCCTGATCCTAGCCGTCGATCACACACCCGAGAAGAGAAGTCTTCCCGTTTTAAATGTTGGAATCCGGGTGTCCACAGCTACCTTACCTAGTTCAAACAACGAGACCGACGATGGTGCGATATTTCATTGCTGTCGGCAGGGCTACGAGACACCAAGACCACCATCATGCGAAGCGAGCCCAGAGCCAGTGCGGTGGTGAGTGTTTCACTACCAATTGGCGATGAGCGAGATATGTACATATGTATCAACACAGCATTCTCGCCACTCCCGACGCCACAGTGTCACTGTGTCTACTTACATAGGTTTTGCTACTCCCCTTACTACCACTGCCCAGGTACGAGATAGGATAGTATCGACGATGCTGTACTATCATCTCCTACATTCAAGATTTCATGATTTCTGTCCCTGTCAAGTCATGACCGCGCAAGTGCGCAGCCACAGCAGGTCCATGTCGCATAAACACGAGCCTTGGATCTTGAGCCCCTGAGCAGGAGCCCCGGAGATCTGTGTGCTTTAATGGAAGTAACATCAGCTGTCGTGTCTCCCTGTTCGTTCGAACCCCATGACGAAGTGGATCATATGTTTATCAACTCCCTGCATGCCTCTCTATCGTGCACTGTCCCATCCCCATCCTCACAGCCCTCCGCTCAAGGTTAGGAAGATCGCTTAGGGCAATCAGGATCTTATAATACATAAAACTGGCCGGTTCACACACCATTTGTATAGTTTCTTCTCCAGACTCTTCTTGCAGTGTCCGTCTCTTCGACCGCTCCTCACTAGGACCTAGTCGCCTCACAAGTATACCTACTTGTTTCCTGTTCTATTCGTAACCTCACCGGAATAGACCGTCCTATCTTTTAGAATCGAAACCAGCTTCGAGTCAATCTTTCACAGTTTACCTTCTTCACGATTACGGGCTGAGCCTCTTTTGCACGAATTTTTTTTAATCACCAGGCTCTCCCATCCCAGACCTATCGGAATACTCGAGCACAAATAGGACCGCTTCAGTTTGGAATTATCCAACCACAGGCAAGATGCATTCACGATTCCAGACCATCCGATCGCGATTTTCGCCTAGCAGTCTTCGCACATCCTTCCGCCGCTCATCCACGGCCTCCACCACCTCAACTACCTCGTACCACTCATGCAGCTCGAGCTCCTCATCGCCAGTGAGCACGATCAACGCCGTATTATTTAGGCAACCCTCCATTGCCGACCTAGAAGAGGAGAAGAGATGTTCCGGACCCGAGTTGGGCCTACTTGAGCCCAGGCCTATCGTTTACTGGGGCGGAGTCGAAGAGCGAATGGGATCCTTAAATTTCTAAACACAAGCCTGTGGAGATCGTTTCTATTGCCGTCTCAGCAACGGAGGTTGACTTGCTCGGTCAAAACTGGTGCAGACGGAGCGGCTCCAGAGCCTTTCAAATTATTTTCAAGAACCTAGATGGCTATGGCTTTGTGCTTAATTTTATTCGAAATTTGGGGCCCCCTGGAGGAGATCCGCTCATGAATTAGAGGTCACGATATGATACGGGGTTTATTGACTGAAGACATTTTCTTCCCCCGATAATGGGATATGAACAGAACTTAAGACATCACAACGGTTGAGATACAGGGGTTCGGTGGGAACAGGGTTAATGGCGCTCGGTGAAGGTTTGTTCGGAATTACAGCGTGTGCGCTCTGCAAGCGGTTTTCAGTTAGAGGTTTCCCAGATATTTGAGAACGATCAAAATGAGAGAAGGCGTGTTCTTCGGGCAAGCTAGTTTGCTGAATTAAGTACTCGTCCTAAATAACTCGACATTTGTGATGTTTACGCGTAAATCAAGATGTGGAGCCAGTTGTATACTATGTAAGTCTACGGCTAAAACGCCGACGTTTTGCGTTAGGAAGGGCGGACGATAATCGGACCTGAGGGGGTTCGTGCGGAAAGTACCAGTGAGAAAAAAGCTCCGGCGACCGGCTCTTACCCCGGCCAAATTTCCCCAGGACTTCCGGTTGAATCTCCACTAAAGCAGCAACATCACAATATTCGCCAATGATATAACACAATTCAAAATCTCGGCCTGACTCACTTAGAGGCCAATTATTCTGTATAGATGAAAATATGTGTTAGTATCCTTAAGAATATAGATGATGACCGGAAGTAGTTCTGGCTCCATGGACTAATCCAGTCCAATCTTGTCTTTTCGCCTGAGGCATATTTTAATAATGGACAGTGACAGTGAAAATAGCTTCGAGCTCTCCCGTAACACCAGCCATGCGGCGGATAATGATGGTGTCGCCACGACTAACCTTACTCGATCGCAAGCCCTGAACCTTTATGTTAGCCATGCGTTCTCGACATGGAACGCTCGTGGTTACGAGTTTGCCACGGTACGCCTCATGAAAGAAAGCCCAAATATCCGTTAGCTTATCATATAATAAGATTCTCTTCACCGCAGCCGCATACCCGGATACCCTTGTAGCAGCTGCGCTTCGGCAAGCCACGCCCCCTCTGTTGAACCCCCTCGAGGACAACTATTAATCCGAGGTTATATAGCATGATAATAGTATACTTCGCCATGATCTTATTTTCCAATTCGGTCGGACATTGGGTCCAACACTCACCTGACAGGCTTCGCACTCTGCTCTCAACAATCATATGTAATCGGGGCTCCGTTATCATTGGCTCATTCTTCTGGATCTTGATATTGAGTCAGGAGGACCTAGTAGGACGTGAGGCTATCTTTGTATTGCCTAAGAATACCCTGCTCAAGGGCCTTGGCTTCGCTATCGCTGTAACTTTTGGTATTGTCGAGCGCTTGAGCTCTTCCGGTAATCTTATATCGATGGAACGAGACTGGGTCGTCACCGTAGCCGCCCCCGCCGGCAGCCCATACAACCTAACGCATCTAAATGCAGTTATGCGGCGCATCGATCTCGTCTGCAAGTTGATCTCTCCCATCTTGATCGCAGCCGTCATCTCAGCCCTCGGCTCGATCCGCTTGGGCGTTGTATTTACTGGCCTGACAAGCCTAGTATGCATCCCGATCGAAGTCTTCTCCGCTAGAAGGGTCTGGAGCGGTAGCCCCTTACTGCAGGCACCACGTGCTATGCCTCCATCTCAACCAACAACGACACAAACAACCCCGAGTTCATGGATAGCTAGGATCCATGGCTTCGAGTTGTACTTTAACACCACCGTCTGGGTCCCGTCAGTTGCCTTAGCACTCCTACACTTCAACATGTTGACGTGGCGCGCGACTTTCACCACCTATTTGATTAATGCAGGGTACTCTCTGAATATCATCACACTTGCTCGAGCCATAGGCTCCTTGTTTGAGATTACCAGCACGGTCATCACTCCTCGCGGTATCGAGTACATGGGTAAAGCTCACCATCACACGAACTCTTCATCTACCGATGAGGATGACGAAGCAGGAGTTGGCTTGATCGACAGTCATTATGGAGGAAATGGAGATGTCGAAACATTAATTGGACTGCAGCGGGTTGGTCTTTGGGGTATGAGTTGGCAACTTGTAAACACGGTAGAGAACGATTCCTTTTAACAACATATATCTACATCCGAGCACTGACGAAATACAGTTTCCTGTAGTTCTTGCACTATGGGCGATCTCAACACAAAGAGACGAAACAGAAAGCTTACTCACACTTGCTCGAAGAATCATCTCTGAGCAAGCTTCACCCAGTGTGGGTTGGAGCATCGTCTTGTTCTCATTCCTAGCGTTTTCAAGGCTCGGTGTTTGGGTCTTCGACCTTACAACCCAGCAACTGACACAGACACTTGTCCCAGAGCACCAACGATCGAGCTTTGCCGGGACAGAGAATTCAGTGGTGAACATCTTTGAACTGCTCGGTGCCGGTGCTGCCATCGCCTTCCCTCGTACAGAGCAGTACAAGTGGCTTGCACTGGCCAGCATCGTGACGGTGATTGTGAGCTGGATCATGTACGCTTTTTGGGTACGCCAACAAAGAGGACACTTGGTGCATTGGGAGAAGCTGGCTCAGGGATTCTGTCACAGTGGTAGGAACTGGTAATAATCTCTTATAAAGGAGTGAACATATTCTCCTAAGTGAGATAGGGGGGGGGGGGGGGGGGGGATATCAGATGGAACGCGCGTTCCATGAGTGTAGAAGGTTGGTAGACGGTCATAAGAAGGGACGGAAAATTATATGACAGTGCAAATTGTCACGAAGCTATTTCTGGTTGGATATTCGAGATCGAAAGCACATCATGTCGAGTACATCGACGTAGAAAACATCGACGTGTTTTCAATTTCATGACAATGTTCCACCAAAAATCGATTCTTTTCATACTTTATATAAACTAGAGAACCTCCTCCCCTCAGTGAAGTTTTTTCTTCTTCTTCTTTTCCTCAATCACTGCTCAATATTCATTGAAGCCTGATTACATCAAGTTCAAACCCAAGATTTAAAATATTCTCCGCTTGGCGAAAACCAACAAGCTAACGGAATACAATTATCTTTCCGAATCTCTACTTTCAAACTCTCGTTTTTCTTGACGGCGAATTATTTGCAGTCAAATATCTTATATTCGATATGTCGAAATCCCCGGCATTGTCTTCTCCACAGAAGACTCCATCCCCCAAGGTGCAAGACCCATCGAAAGGGTCTTCGCATGACTCCATCTGTTGTAAACAAAGACAGAGGCAAGATAGCGGCCCGAAAATGGGGTCGCGCACAAGTCGGGACCTCTCAGACCATCCCGTGGACTTCCCAGTCGGGCTATCGCCGCTCAACTCCTCACCTCCGAGACCCAGGAGTGCACCAGGAGATTTGTCTGCTGTCAGATACAATCTCTTTAACATCACCGCCATTCCCCTCCATAAATCAGCCTCCCACCGACCTACACGAGGCGCGCCCTCTTGCTGTGTCCATTTGCACAGCGAAGCTCAGCGTGGGCAGTGTCAGGGCCAGGCACAGGTATTGCGGCCGGAAGCAAAGGGTATCGCCGAGGTGGTGAAGGGAGACCCGGACCTCGATAGGGACAAGGTAGACACCGAATGGCTCGAGACTGACGAGGAAGACGAGGGAGACGACGGGTGGTCTATCATAATAGACGAAACCTCAGAGACGGCCGAGATCAATAGGGCTCTAGAGGAGCCGACTATAAGAGACATCAAAAGTAAACCGGTCAACGATGCTGTTGTTGAGCGGCGCAAGCCCCATCTAAGGGTACATCCACTATTCGCAGCCCGTTACGGAAACGACCCGAACTGGGACTCGATGGTCGAGTTGGGGTATGAGTCTTGATGACTGGGCTTATTACTAAGTGCCCAAGTCCCTGACGTAGGTAGGATATTGACATCGATGTTTCATGAGTAAATCTACCGTACTCGTTACTCATTGCGAATGCGACGAAAGCTGACCTCGTCAGATACAGACGCGATATTCATTCGCAAACAACGCGTTTGTCGGCTGTCGATTAACAACTGGTACTATCACTACTCCTCTTGTGACGGGGGATAATTGGAAGATGGAAAAAAGGGGAAAGAGAGTAGATGGGTTGGAGGGTTCAGGGTAGGATTAGATCCTTAGGAAGGCACTTGTTATGAGAACAGAAGAAATACCTGTTTCCCATGTTCTTATATATACTTTATATATTAGAGACAAACGAACTGTAGCCCAAATTGCAGGAGCAAATTCTCGACCATATTCGCTGGTACTCCTAACCAAGCACGTTTCTCCTAATACAAGACCCACGAAGAGCTAACAAACCGAAATGTTCTCTAAAATGCTACCGTGCTCTGGGGCCTTGCAAGCTTGGTGCTGTGTGAAGTGTAGCAGCGTACATTTAGCAAGTGAGGCCAACATTGACAGATGTCCTATTTATGTGTCAGGAGCACGTATTGATATACACCTGTCAGGGGCACGTAATATACATTTGTTTGTGACAACACACCTGTTTGGTGTGTCTGTTATTCTGTAGTAGAATATGGTACTCCCTATTACGTAGCAGTGACATTTTCAACATTTGTGCGAGGCCCTATGCCAACGACTTGTGTTAATTTGCTGGATAACTTCTTACAGACATCTGTCCATCTCATGACTTGGCAAATAATTGCTTATATGCATTGTGAGCTGAAAGAAGTCAATTCTGTGCAAGAAAAAGGAGTGAACATGGGATGTGATGGTAACCCCTGAATAAGTGGCCATATCAATAAAGCTCCATCCCTACTCATTCATGACTATGGATCATAAGGTGGCCATTACTTCAACTTAGCAAACTAAGATTCCCTACCTCCTACCTCATTCCATCCCTACTCTCTTCCCCAACACAAGCAACGCATTTATTGTTGTAAGTCTTGAGTGCTCAGCCAGTTACCCTCCCCCCTGACACTTGCACACACATCGTTATACCATATCATGTCCTTGTACAGCATCTACGTGTAGGAAGATGCCGAAAAGCCATATCTTTGATCCCGGATTCCCGAACTGTGCTTTCTCTCTGCTTTCAACCTGCTACATTTTCCCACCAGCAAACAGTTGCCAGTCAACAACACTGAAACCCAAAGAACATTATTACCGCTCTTCTATAACGACCAAATCCCAATAAATCCCAACCATGCCCCCAGAGGATGAATCCGCCGCTGGTTCCAGCACCAGCGCAGCAGCCGCCGCCGCCGCCGATGCTGCCGCTACCGCCGTAGCCAGCTCAGAGTCAAAGACCAAATCAACTCACTCCCACAGCCATAGCCACGGCTCCGACCCGGAAGCCCGCGTCCCCTTCCTCGCGTGGTTCCTAGTCGGGGGCACGGGGCAGCCGCCCAAGGAGAAGAACTTCCTGCGCATGGCGCACGAGCGCAACGAAGCCGGCCGGAAAAACGAGGAGTACGCCGCGGCGCGGAAGCAGGCCCTGTCCGAGCGGAGCAAGTACCTAGCGGACTGGGAGAAGCAGTGGGGCCCCACGGGCGGCGCGGCCCTGCTGAGCAAGGTGTGCGGGAGCAGTTCTCAGAAAAAGAAGTAATTAAGGTGGGCGGACGGACGGACGTGAAGGAATGAACATGGAGGAGGAACGCGTGTAGGTTGGGTGAGTTGAGCATGTTAATATATAAAAAGCGCGGATGTATCGGTGGGTGGCTGTTGTTGAATTCACCCCCTATTCTGTTTGGTATGGGAAGCCCGAGTGGAGGGACAGGATAGCGCTGATCTGGTGACGGTGTTCCTATAATTATAATATGTAACGAAAACACTAAATTTGTGTTAACACAACAGGTCTTGATGAACACTAGTCCGCGGCTTGTGGCTGATGCTGTGATAGATTGACATTTTGATGCATAGGTAGGTAGGTAGTACCGATACTTACTCTCCCTACGTTTGAACTGTCTTTCATGCTATGAACAGTTAGTACAAGCATCTTGCTGTAATACCAATAAGCAATCCACATCAAACAGACTGGGCATGTTCTACTAGGTAAAGGCTAACGGGGAAGATGAGCGGCGAGTTATCAGCCAGGAAGAATACCTAAGCGAGGATATTCACCGGTAACGTCGACTAGTCCTCTCGCTTGGGCAACATAATAGCACTGAATGGCAACGTCAACAAGAGCAATTAACAACATGTAAATCATAATTAATGCAATGCGAATTTATTGCCCCCCACCCATTGTGCCCGTGTTATGACCGACAGTTTAATATGTACAGGTTTATAAGTCTTCCATGGCCATGCCTCAAGGGCTGGCCCGTAGTCTCTATTCACCGAAGCTTTGCAGGGAAAGCTGAGCAAAGTTAAGGTGGCTAGGGCTCACAATAATTAGGTGACAGAGCGTATTGTGAGCCGAGCAGAGCAAGATTCGGAAAACTATTGTCGGTTTTTGGGAGACTCGTAAAAAGAAAAATAAGAAAAACCACCAGCTCCACCTGCCCTTATCCATATACTATGCCAGCACGTGCCCGGCAAACAGCAACGGAAATGAGAAGGCCAGTGGAGATGCAATCAATGTAGCCGCTGGCTACAAACAGTTCAGTGTCCAGTTTGGTGAAATGTGTACTTGCATCGCCGGCAAGTCGACAATTTTCATGCGCGCCGAAGATCAACCGTCCGAACTGAAACGTTGAACGACGTCTTCGAATATGATCCGGTTGAAGAGATTATGAGAGTCATAGGCTGAGGCGGTCACATGAGTTATCGTAATGCCATCATCCAATGAGACCTTGGGTATCCTAACACCGACCAAGGCCCCCAATGTCGGAATATCATTACGGTGTAAGGGTGGAGAGTAAGATGCATGGCGGGAGGGATTTACTAATAATCCAGTGCCGCCAAATCGTCCACCGATTCCTTAGTATCGGTGATGCCGAAGATGGGGGCATTCTTCTTAGCCCACTGACGAGTGATGAGAGAAGCTATGGGCTAGTCAGTAAAGAAACGTAAACAGGAATATTGACTGGAACTGTATTACCTTTCATGAACTTCTTACTGGCGTACTTCTTGTAAAACGCCTCATGGCAAATGGGGCGCGCCAAGTAATCGACCATGAGCTCAAACACAGGCTCAATCTCTTCCTCGGTGTATCCGGCGTAGAATGCAATGGTCGGGTCCTAGGAGCAGGTTAGATAAGATCGGTGAAAGTCTAGAAGTGGCTGAAGAAGCACTTACCCATTCACCTCGATCAAGGATCATTCGTGCCAGATACATCGCCGCGGCAGCAACATGGCTGGGGCGGTACGCCAAGAACCGGTGATCGACGATACTGATCTCCATCAAGTACTTTCCGATAGTACGAGATTGGATATCGTAGTCATCTGCCTTAGAGATGCGTCGAAGGAAGTTCATAGGGTTAGGATAACTAAGATCGTAGTTCAAAGTCTCCAGAATAAAGCGCTCCGCACTGAGGATCTCGGCATCACTAAAGCCGTCGTCGGATACCATCCTATAGTTACTAACGTGGGGTGATAAGACCTCTTCGTACTTCGCAGCTACAAACATAGCAGTGATGCCAACCAGTTGTACGCGGTCAAGCTGTACAACCTTCTGAGAAAGGAAACGGTCGATGATGTTGGTTGCAAGGAACAGTGTCTCGGGGAGAAGGTGGAACCGCGTATGAACCTCGATCATCCAGTCGACAAGAATACTGCGCGTCTTCCACTCCAACTCGTCCTGGTGTATTATGTATTGAGGGTTCGGGACTGACTTGCACTCCAGGTCGCGAAGGTAATCGAAAATCTCGTGAGCGTATTCGGCAACCATTAAAGGGTCCTCGAGGCCCTCCTCTTCTAGGTCTTTGACACCAGGCGGAAGCACTAGACCAACCTCCTGCTGAGGTACAGGCTCCTTAAGAGATGCCTTTTCAGGCACGGGCTCCAGCTTCTCTACCTGAGGTTCTGCTCGTTCCTGCTTCTCAAGAGTATGAGCCTTCTTGCGGACTGGCTCCTCGGTAAGGATGTCTTGCTTGATCGACGTCGAAGTTACCTTTCGCTTGTGAGCTCCAATAACACCTGAGCCAGATCCTGCTCGCTTCACTTCGGTCTTTTTCGTCTCCTTGGTACCTAGAGCCGATCGCGTCGTGGTAGTGCGAGCTTGGCTCTTCTGAACACCGGTAGGTTGCGCGGCCTTGGAAACCAAGCCGACCTTGCCTCCACCAAGAGGCTTCTTTCCCTCAACTGCTTCGCCTTTTCCAACATTACTGACGTCGCCTAGAGCAGCACGCTTTCGTTGAGCGGCAGGATTCGCATTGACTGCTGACTTCTTGGACTGAAGAGGTTGCTTAGAGGGTTGAGAGGCGACATCGACATCAAGTGCCGCGGCCTTAGCACGCGTCATACGCGTAGAATTCTCGTCATTCTCGTTGGAGGAGACGACGCGTCGTGCGGGGCGTCCCTATAGACTTCGAATCAGACGTTGTTCAAATAATGCAGTAGGACCAGATATGGAAACATGTGTCAAGCAAGCTGTTACCAAGCTACAATTTAAGGTTACATGTTCGGTAGGGCGGATCAAACTTACAGGAGGCATCTTGAAAGATGATTGTATCCCTTGGAAGACGCAATTGAACTTCGAGAAGGGTACTAGAATGGCGAGACAAATTAGCCTTGACTTGGACGTGTTGCGAATATATATACGTATAACAATGGTAACACCGAAGACCTGGCTGCAAAGTCGTGTAATGCTGGTCGCGAATTGGGATGAAGGCAGAAGAAGCAATACATGTTGTGACTAGGATTGAAAGGAAACATACTTTAGAATTGGTTCACTGAACCGTCAACAAAGGCAATTATCAGCAGTCTTCTTTCAACATTAGATGTTGACTCGTCCCAAAGCGAGAGTAATATGCAGCAAGTCTTAATAGCAAGACGTGATGCAACTGCAAATGCAAATGCGAATGTGGAAGATGATGTATGATTGTACGGTGTAAGGAGTATTAATTGGAAGAGTAAGATTAAGCAATGTGTGAGTAAGGGGAAGAAGAGAAGAATTGGGAGTGTGCGAAGTGGTGGAAGAAAGTGAGGTCGGTGATTGTTTATGGTAGAAATGGTAGAAGAATTGTGGTGTTTTTGAAGAGTGCAAGCCAATGTTTTGGCTTTTGGTAATTGGGGTTTGAAAGCAAAAAGCGTGGTGGAGTGGTGCAAGTACCTTTACTTACCTTTGCGTGACCGTAGGGATACCTATGTTTGTATGTACGCCGAAGAAAGCGGTACACGGTTGCTTAGCGCGAATTAGGCTGTGTCAAAGTAACTTGGCCCCTGCTCAAGCTGCTCAATGTTGTTTCCCTCGGCGACTAAGCTTCGTCGATACCTGTAGTGTAGGGTACGAGAGGCAGGTACTGAAGGATCAGAGTACCCACCCTGGTACGCGATTTGGTTCAAGCCCACTAGAGGTCAGTCAAATAGACAGATGGAAAATTGATATTGAAAGGCTATTGTTCTTCAAGTGAGACCCAGTTAATATGACCTGAAGAAAGGGATGAAATAATGGGTATGTAGAGGAGAGTGTCAGAAGATAAGAGTTCCAGTGCCGCCGATATTTGTTCGACAATGGCGAAAAAGAGAGGTTGTAGGTGTAAAGAGTAGGTGAAGGTTTAATGTGGATGTTGTATGTAGAGAAGAGGTTGGTTGGTGTTGGGTATGGGAAGGAACTGCTGGAGCTTTTTAGGTACCTACTTGAACGTGGAAGACGCGATCTGAGGATCCCACACGGTACGACAGTACAATACACTGGGTCCTGCCACGGACGACGGTTGTTACGGTCCCGCACTTGCTCTTTTTTCCTCACAAACGTGACTAGCTCCACAGTCCCGCTAAATCAACAGAAGCAACGGCGGGGCAACGGTTTTCTGATTGGCTCAACGTATAGCTGCCTGGGGAGCTTGCTCTCTTTAACCAATCCGCTGACGTGATTCCGCGTTCGCGCTAGCATGTGGCTGAACTGTCCAATCGTCATCAGGGTGAGTTCTTTTTCATTCAGCCGCATTTCCTGACTAATCGCCTTGCTCCAATGGTAAAAGTTCGGCAAACTATGAGACCGACTTAATATGCCAAGCCTTGACCCTTGTCCCTCGACTTCGGAAGAACTTGAATTCCTGAATAGCTTCAATTTCTTAATTTTGGTCCAAGGCTGGATCAGATTAGCTCTGCTCTTCCCTGCCGACTGTGCGCAATTGTACACATACATGCCGCCCGTTGGTTGCGAAATGATAGGATGATACAGCCGCGGATCTTTTCCCTCTCAGCCCGGAGGGTATTGACGAACTGTCAATGCTCTTCGTCGAGTCTTTCCCTCCGAAGCTACGCAACGGTTCGCGAGGTTGTAACTCGCCCCGACCCCGCCGTCGATCATTTATCTTCGCTCCCCAAGTCTGCCAAGGAGTATGTCCCAGCCCTGTCCAAGTCTGACAGGGAGTCAACAGAAATTATACGCACCTACAAGCCTAGAACACCCGGTGTACGACACTTAAGACGGCCTATCAACGACCACTTATGGAAAGGCAGGCCATTCCTCCCATTGACCTTCCCCAAGAAGGGTATGGCCAAGGGCGGCCGTAACAATAATGGGCGCGTCACAGTTCGGCATCGCGGCGGAGGTGCAAAGCGAAGAATAAGAACGGTGGATTTTCATCGTTGGGTCGCCGGTCCTCACACTGTCGAGCGAATCGAGTACGATCCGAATCGTAGCGCGCATATCGCCTTGCTCAACGAAGATGCCACCGGCAAGAAAACATATATCATAGCCGCTGAGGGTATGAGGGCAGGAGATGTGGTACAAAGTTATCGAGCTGGTATTCCTAAAGACCTTCTCGAGAGCATGGGTGGAGTGATCGATCCAGGTATCCTAGCTGCTAAGACGGCACATCGTGGAAACTGTCTACCGCTGCACCTCATTCCTATAGGAATGCCAGTGTACAATGTTGGCTCTCACCCGAAGGGAGGCGCCGTCTTCTGCAGAAGTGCGGGTACCTTCGGTGTCGTTGAGAGCAAGGATGAAGAGATGAGAGATGATGGTGTAAAGGTCGTGACCGGTAAATTTGTCACTGTTAAGCTGCAGAGCGGAGAAGTTCGGAGAGTCAGCAAAGATGCTTGCGCAACCGTTGGTGTTTCAAGCAATCCTCATCACCATTACCGACAACTCGGTAAGGCCGGTAGGAGTCGATGGTTGAACATCAGACCAACAGTGCGCGGTGTAGCAATGAACAAAGGTATAGTACTGGAGATGTCTGGTAAATAGCAGAGTCGAACGAGCACTAATTGGTAATTTCTAGTGGATCATCCTCACGGTGGTGGCCGTGGTAAATCAAAGGGTAACCGACATCCAACAAGTCCCTGGGGCACACCGGTACGAGAGAATGATCCCCTTGAAGACGGCATAGGCAGTCAGGTACTAATCTACAATCTTAGTCAAAAGGTGGTTACAAGACACGCAGGAAGAACAACCCCAACAAATGGGTTGTGGTTCCCAGAATTCGACACATGGGCAAACGAAGAGACAAGAAGGGCAAGGAATAGTAGAACCAATATTCTTGAAGTTCGCCCTACACACACCGCCCATATGTACCATATAGAGTCCTCGCAAATAGGGCGGGGCTTATATATCGAATGTACCATACTGAACGAAGCTTAAGTCTTATTTTCTTGTCGTAGGTAGTGAGGCATGGTAAGTTTAGATGTTCTATACCCAGGTACGTTGCATATGGCATATCCTAAACAGTATCGTCGTCTCCTACGTCTATTCCATACTAGCACGTGAGCGGTAATTATGTTTTTCGCTAAATCAGGTAATCTGACTTACTAGAACATGTATATAGGCATCTCGCATGATTTAGTGTGAGAGCGATGTAATTACGATGATTCACGCATGTGAGACATAGGAGTAGTTGCATATTCGTATCGGCGATACGGCATGGCATGCAACGACCATTATCGGAACAGAAATCACTGCTACTTATAGACTTCGTTTGATAGTCAACGGAGCTCATATAGTGTATCATATACTTACCTATATTCTAGTCGAATACGTTCAATACTTCTAGGGACTGTAAATACCCCTAGGAGGTCCACGAATTACAAATAACTTCAAAAAGCTAAGTAGCCCCTGGATATGACAGAACACTACATGGACGTAATTTCGCGTTGTCCTTCATAAGGTATTTCGTTTTATTTTTCTAATTAGACAGGTTGATCAACCTAATATATACCCTCATTGTTAACAGATACACGATTGCGTAAATGCAGGTATTCCGGTTTACCTTGGATAGCAAAGAATATGTACCCCTAATTCATCTCAACTTCACTGTAGCTGTAATCTCTCATTAAAGACCCATGGAAATGTTCCAGTGCTTCATATTAGTCTTAAAGAGAAGGCAGAAGATATCATCTTCTACGCAGCCTGTCTATACCAGTTGCTGGCTGGATCACCAAGGCATTCGCCAACAGTAACAGACCTGTAACCGCGGCTCTGGATACCCTTGAGCATGTATTCAGTCAGATTATGGACAGTCTGCTCATGGATATCATGCGAAATAACTAGAGCATCGTCCGTCACCGGCGACTTGTCCTCGAAATATTCATCGAAATTATCCTTAGAGTTCTGAATCAAATCGGGTGAGTCGTTAAGATAGTCAGCGGTGTCTAAGTCGAAGTATACGACATGATACTCCAATGATGCCAAGTCATCTTGACAGCCGCTTGGTTCCGTGCAAGAGCTGTAAGGGGGTCGCATGTATGTCGGGATAAAGCCGAGAATATTACGGAGAGCCATCTCATTCTTGATCATCTCGTCCTTTCTCCGGGATGATGTGATCGCGCTGAGATCAGCATGGGACCAGGTGTGAGAAGCGATCTGGTGCCCATCGGAGTACATGCGTCTAAAGCAGGAAGAGAAAAAAGTTTAGAGACTGATTCCGCTGGCTAGTATTGGGAGTGATACTCACTGGATCACAGAAGGCCATGCAAGACTAGTATTATCGATTTCACCCTTGCCATTGTTGATACCAGTGATAAAGAACGTGGCTTTGGCGTCGTACTTCTCCAAAAGATCTAGGAGCTCGGATGTATACTCGTCAGGACCATCGTCGAAGGTAAGAGCAACCTCACCCTCGTTTTCGCAGTCATAGATACCTGTACCACCTATCACCACGCTTCCTAAGGGTGAACGACTTAATGTCGACGTATTGATACCTGCAGGGGTCTTATTTGCATCACAAGCCGGCCCGAAGTCAAATAAACAGTCCGGTGCGCGGCAGTGGTCTGTAGTGGTGCCACAGTATCTAGCAATATCATATAAGCAATGCCAGAAGTAAGTGTCGAAGTAAGCCTACCCAGAAGCAGAGCAACATTCTGTCTCCTTGCATACTGCATTGTCGAAGTCAGGACCGCAGCGTCCATCGGTAGTACTTCCGGTATTGTTCCCACCGCTGCCATCAGCACATGTTCCAAATGCACTTTGGCATCCAGTCTCGCAATAATCCGTCGAATCGCCGCAGAATCCACTAGGTACCAGTTCAGTTTGAAGCTCAAGAAATCCACTTCCTGGTACACACTATTGAGAGCAGCACATGCCAGTCGGGCAGATGTATCCATGTTCTCCAGCCCCTGTTATTCCGCATGTTAGATCAGGAGAAACCCCTCCGTCACCATCGTCGCCGGGTTCGTCTCCGTCGCCGCCAGATCCACCGCAAATGCCGAATTGAGTTTGGCAACCAGTCGAGCAGTAATCTGTTGTATTGCCGCAATAGCCATACTGAGAGCAGCATAGATTATCGGGGCATGTATAACCCTCGGTTCCGGCTCCCGTGTTCCCACATGTCAAGTCCGGTGAAACGTCGCGCTGGCTAAGCCATGAAGGCAGCGTAAAAGCGAAGCTAATCGTACATTGACTTGCTAAAACTAGAGATTTTAAAGTACTCGAACGCATCTTATAAGAGGCCTTGAGCGAATGTAGTCAATATGAACGAGTGTAGTCAACGAGCGTGTCATCTGATGGATAGAGTAATCAAACAAGGAATTCCAAGCGTAGGAAAACCGGCCGTCCATTACGTATATACACGATCGAGGTTGACCACTCAGGTCTCCGTAGAGATCAGATGGAATCGACTTCCTAACTCGCTTGTTAGCGGCGGCAACGTGCTACCAATGCAATCAGGGCCCGGGGATCAGTATCCGGGTGTATGGAAGACCAACCTGAGGAAATGGAAATCTTAGGAGCTTATGCATGTGCGAAAATCAACGAAAAATGACCTGCAGCCACGATGGCCTACAACGGATCATGTCCTGATGTTACGTCCAATCGCATCTCACTAAACAAGCCATCGAGTCTAGATCATCACCCACATATTTGAATCGACATCTAAAAAGTCAGATACTTGAAAATTTTTCCTTTCTGCTAGATCGGATCTGGCCATGTGGTAATTAATCGATGAAGAAGATCCTCACCAGGCAGATAGCCGACGGGAAACGAGAAATACCCCAAGTGACTCCTAACATAGATGTGTAATCACGATCAAGAGTCCTCATCCGATGCTCGATGGTCGACATGCTTTTCTAACTTTGGACAGCCAAGTGATGCATGCGCAAATAGAGCGATAGAGCTGAGGTATAGATCCAGAACCTTTCGATGGCGTGAATATTTGGTCCAAACCCAACAAATCATAGCCGGCTGGATGCATGGCTGAACTCCGCGGGCGAGTCTTCAGTTGGTCTGCCAAGCCGCACTTGCAGTCGCCAAATACGAGATCGGATGCAGTCCTACAAAACACGGGGCTGAAAGAAAGCCAGCGTTGAAGCTGCTTTCAAATTTTCAACTTGCCGAGAAATTGAACCTATAGACTGAGTATAAGTAAATTTGCGAGTTTTCGAGTCTCGCGGTTTATGTTAAAAAAGCATTTTATAATCATCGTTAAACCAAATCTTGGCGCTTACCTGACAATGCGAAACTGTTGACTCCCAGGTGCCTAAGCAGGTATGTATGATGTATGTAGGTCTCTCTTTGGCCACCTACGTATATGTATAACACTGTATACGGTGACATTGAATTACTTATATGTTGATACGTGATATTGGCTGACTTGACCAATGTGCCTAGCTGAGGACACACGTGGCTAGGCTGGTTTGGGGTTGCCACAAGCTAATATGGAATCAACCACATTCTGGTATTAACGAGTACGAATATTCTTCGATGCCGAGGCCCTGGGATGTGAATATGAAGAATGTGGCAGTGTCGACGTCCACGAGGGGCCGATAAATGCCTCGAAACGTCATTAGATCGGCCGGACGAGCCGTCCAAGTACAGCCGTACCTTGCCGTTCGTTTTCGGCGATGCTTCTATTGGTTGATGAAAAGTTTGTGTGGTTTAATAATATTTTATGTAGAAGCTCATGTGTAGGTAGGTTCAAGCCGCGTAATGATTGAATATCAGCCACAATTCAAGGTTATGTAGGTGTGCACATGTGCTTCCTGCCACATACGATAGATTGATGAGACAATAAGCTATCTAACCCAGAATGGCATAGCGCCGTCCCAGGGTGTTTAAAATAGAACCCAACCTTAATTGAATTCCCAGGAGTCAAAATAACCTTACAACTCGAGCTTATTATTCCGTAATCCTGAGCGGGATTGAATATTACAGTGCTTGGTGTAACCATTGGACACATTAACTTTGAAGGTCAATAAATAAATAAACACCTACTTACAACTATTCATCTAAGGTATGTCATCTTTTCGACGAGAATGCGAATCGCATTACCTGCACCCTTCGTCGCAATGAGAAACTTGCACTATTATGTAGAAGCATAGCCCTCTTAAATGAGATTTTAGTGCGCTAGGGGTTGTCCATGGCCATGAAGTCTGACAGCTCATCACTGGGTCTTATTAATATAGGAAACCAAGGGATCCCAAAACGAGACCGATCTATTTCACTTGGACTAATGGGGCCATTTGGAGTTACACATTTCTTTTCCCCCTTTCCCGTCTCCATATTCTGGATCTGTGAACCAGGATCTGCCTGAGATTTGCCTGAGACTTTGACGCGAGAGAAACAGGTTACTTAGGTACCGCTAACGACAATAGTCCTACAGCAGTCAATACCTAGCTACGCTTTTCACACTGCCACATCGACAGCGGCAACTCGGCAACTCGACCCATTGTTCAGTTGTCCCAGCGTTTAATAAGGCCAACGGCCGCCGAGAACTCCAGAAAAAAAGGTAGCCCTGGTAGCCCTGGCAGCCCTGGAGAGAAAATCCTACCGCGCGGTATTTTGCCGTATCTTGGTACAAAGCGCATCGACAACTCTGAGCCAAGACCCCCGGACCCACGCGACCTGTTACCTCATTAAGTTTGATTCGTCTCAAATTCTTCGCATTCTCATCGTGAGGGCGCGGCATTGGGACGATCTCCATTGGCATTCGTTAGCGGCAAAGACTGGCCAAACTCGCAGACTCGCAAGTTTGGGGCTTTGGGTATTGGCGTACGTAGCTGGCAAGAAAAAGGTGAAGGATCTTCTAGGGAGTACAGAATACATACTGTAGTGATTCACACCAAAAAAAAAGAAGAAGCAAAGCACCAAGGAGAGCCCAACTTTGGCGCGCTCTCCTAGAGCTTCTCGACCTTTTGCCTACCTACTAGCCTACTATACTAGCACACCTAGCTATTCAAGCTATCTTAAAGCCTAAATAAAGGCGACCAACAAGACCTCGTTGAAATGCCCGAGGACGACGACCACAACATCCCGACTCCTCTTCTCTCCCAACCCTACAGCAGAATGTCCGAACATGGTTTTGCGAATATGTCGAGTCGCAAGTCCAATATTAGTACTCTGGTCATCGGGTCCTACGTCTTCGACTGGTTGATACTCATCGCCGTCGGCGTCGTCGGAGTCGTGCTGGGTAACGTCACTCCGAATAAGAGACCCTTTAGCTTACAAGACCCCAATATATCGTACGTATACGATTCACCGTTGTCGCAATATCAATTAAAGCAACATGCTAACTTCTCTTAGTTTCCCTTACACCGTTCACGAGACCGTATCGTCCGCCCTCCTTTTGACCTGCAATGCCGCCATCCCCGTCGCCGTTATCCTGATAGTCGTTATGATATTTGTGCCTGGACCTACTGTTCCCAAAGGCACACCGAAATCCTTAATTTGGAAGCGGAAGCTCTGGGAGCTACATACGGGATGGCTAGGCTTAGCTCTTTCATTAATATCGGCTTGGATCATTACGCAAGGGATGAAGAATCTCTTTGGAAAGCCGCGACCGGATCTCCTATCCCGATGCCAGCCAGATCTCGAGAACTTCCGGAAATATATTGTTGGCTTTAACACGCCCTCGGACGACGGTTCGCCGAACGGCCCCTACAACGGTCAATTAGTTAGCGGAGATATTTGCAAGAATCCGGACAGTTCCTTGCTCGACGATGGTTTCCGCAGCTATCCCTCGGGACACGCTAGTTCATCGGCCGCAGGTTTGATTTATCTTTCGTTCTTCCTGGCAAGCAAGTTCGCTATCACGCTCCCGTTTGTTCCGGAGGGGACGCCATCCGCCGACACGGGTCTTGTAACCGCCTTCCCATCCCGACTACGCAGTGACGGTCTCGACACGTCCTACGAAGCTGTACGACAGGCCGCGCAAAATAACGAAAGCATCGAAAGATCCGTGTCTCCTGCTGGCCGAGCAGAAGCAAAACAGATCGGAGCCCACAATTCAGCCGTCTTATCTGTTCGCAGACAAGCTGCCGCGCCTCCCGTATATCTGCTCCTTTTAACCGTTCTTCCCTTTTTCACCGCCATCTTCATCGCCAGTTCGCGTTGGTTCGACTTCCGACACCACGGATTCGATATTCTCTTCGGGTTCATGATCGGCACCATTACGGCCTGGTTTGCGTTCCGCTATTACCATCTTCCAATCAGGTCGGGCGCAGGGTGGGCCTGGGGCCCACGCAGTCACGATAAGGCGTTTTGGGCGGGCTTGGGGTCGTGGAGTTACGCGACGGATAGGAAGCACTGGGTCCGGCCCGGGGACGAGGCAGAAGGAGTGCCGGGTCACCGCGCGGACGATATCGAGTTAGGTGTGCGGTATAGATCGAAAGCGGACGCTCCATCACATGCGGAAAGCTCGGAGACTGCTGCTATGGAAGCAGAGCGAATTTGAGAAAGGCATAAAAAGTTGAGTTGCTATTTTCAGGCGATTTTGATCGGCGTACAGGCAAGGGTATCTTCGCACTTGTAAACCATAATCAGGGTGCGTATATAGACAGGATATGGGAATGGTTGACTAGTCCTACTATACTAGCACCGGCAGCCACCTTCTTAGATCAACTTTGATAGAGTCTATCACTTTGCATATAACATATCTAGGTAGATATTCGGTGTTCCTCGTGATGATTTATACGACCTGATGTTATGGTCTAAATGTCTATTGCATACTATACCAGATAATCCAATGTTCAAACTTGTTATATTCTATTACTAGAAAGAGAAAGGCAGGGCAATGTTGATTCAACAACCATGTAGTCTAGAATCTTGTAACTTGGGGCCATGCCCACTCTTTCACACAAAGAAGTTTTGATTTGGCAATGCAGTATATATCACACTCTTTCGTTCAAGTGATGGATGAGTAGGTAGTCATCACACGTAGTCCGCACTGTAGTCTGTCAGGCGTCATGCAAATAGGGATGTCCCATAAAGGCCCAATCAACTGGGCAAGTTCTACAAGGAGAGAGAGGAAGAGATATGGCCGTAAAGAGACCAATTCTGTCATTTGGTAATAAAGCACCCCTAGACTGTAACATTCGCCAACTCTTCGACGTGGTCCTCTAAACATATGAAATCAGTACCCTATTAAAGAATACAATTAACTAGAAGTTCTTTAAGTGAGCTAAAATGTCAGAAATGGCTGTCAATTTGAGGTCGGAGTGTCGAGTACTAACCTCCTTGTTCAATTCTAATCGATGTCAAGGCAATACATACTTCGATTGTGACTGAACAAGCCATAGATACAACTTCAAGGATACAGTTTCATCAGTAGGTCTCGGAATTCCAACTCGACCAGCTCTTCAATCACATTGCTTCGATCCTTCTCCCCGACTCCGTCGAGGCATTCCAAGTGTCGCTGCTCCTTTCCAACAGAAACCGTTGGAGGTCTATTCATCGGGGACAGGCATTCTGGCTGGACGACAAAATCCAGCAGTTGAATCGTTCTCAAGACTCATCTTTAGTGATGGTGAAAGGAGCGAGGAAATTGCGGCCTCATCTATGGAATTTCTGTGTCTAGTCCATCGCGGCACTTCGAGAGGCCAAGATTCCCGTCATCTGGGCACTCAAAATTGTGCTTGCGAACGGAGGGACTTCTGAGGACATATCCAGAATTAGACTTCTCAAGTACCTTATGTCCCAGGATGTGCTCCTCAACAAGATTTACAGCGATGGCACTGGGCTCACGTCTTGGAGCTTATCGTGTGGCAGAGACTGGGGAAGAATGGGTTAATATGCTGCCTCCATCCTTGGAGGCATCCCGCTACTCTGCTTCGTCATCCACGTCAAATATTGTGTCAATCTCAGGAAGGCTTTCCCAAATTCTGGCCTTCGGGGTGGCTCAAGATGTTATCAGATCTTTCTGCCCGGAATATGAAGGCCGTTGTCAGCGCAGTAAAAAAACAGGCCTCATTATGTAACGATCGCTGACATAAAACAAGACAACCTTAGTAAATTACGGTACTTCGTTCCTGAATAAAAACGGAAGGTACCAAGATCTCACAGTGTCTGCGAACGGTGGAAGGCAAGCTCGACTCGCGGTGAGGACGCCGCCCTCTGATTCAAACCAGAGTCCCTTCAGATTGAAGTCGTTGGCCAGTGGCAAACGCAGGCGCCCTGGTTTGGGGCGACTAACTTGACGAAAGCAACGGGACTGACTTGATATATGATTTGGAACAGTTTTTGATAGCCTGACCCTTCTCGATTTGAATCAGGATTTTGAACTACGACGGTTGAGCATTAGTAATTATCAGATCGAATTCGCCTACATACCTGGTACACATGTGACGTAGGTAGCTGCTGTCTACGTGGATAGAGTTTATCATGCTCTAACGTAACTGGAAGGCAGCAACCACACAGTAAAGTTTGGTGACTGCTCAGGTGCCACGAATCACTGCCACTCGAAGCAACCGCTACCGTGTAGCAATCAGCCGCGCTTGGACCAACCAACCTAAAGGTATAAATACCTGGCCTCCCCCATTGGATCTTCCTCTCTTTTCTTTCTTTTTTTTCCTCATCCTGGTGCACGGGTTTTAGGCGTCACAGTGAGGAGCAATCCGAGTGCGTCTTTTTGCTAGTTGAAAACTAGAACATGACCGCTCTTGTCTGGCCTCGTGCTGGGCAGGGAATTTTTGGAACCTCAATCTATTTATTCTTTTCATCATGGCTCTATCCCGCGTTGGATGGAGGTGAGGAAGAGGCGAAGATGGTCTCGGACATCTTGGATAAAATTGTTCACCGTCCGGTACTAACGAACGAATATCGCTGCGCCCGACAGCGTCTATTCTCGAGATAACAAATTTATGCTTGATAATCTGCCTGATCGCGATATTTTGATATCGAGACGTTTTGGGTTATCTAGATGTTTCTTGCGACGAAAGAAGGTACTGGCAACGTACACAGATTTGAAGATAGTGTTAATGGCAATCCAACGGAGGTTCGGTCTAGCTAATGTGGCCATTAATGCGCGTATTCCTTTACATGCCTAACTTGAGGCAGCTTCGCAACAGATGGTTCCTATGCATTCTACACGGTTACATTTCTTACAATGATCTTCCACAAATCTCGAAAGCCTAAGCACGGCAAGGATAAGACGTCTACATCACGATAGAACAAGCCATGCATGGGAAGTTGCCTTTACGAAGAGAGAGATTACGGAGAGTCACTTTATTAGTATCCTATGGCTGCGGATTACCAATGCCGGGATACTATCATATGCTTGGGGAATCTTCTGAACGCCGTGGAATGAAACCCATCCTTCTCAAACGCCAACATGATGCCAAACTTGTGTCTTCATTACTAATGCCACCAGCACCGTCCGTTTCAAGTTTATTCCCCCCGTCAAGCCGGTGTTCCATTAAGGGCACAGAGAAGATTCTGTGCTAATACGAAACTGGAAAATGTCGTATGCAGGAAGAGATGCGTGTCGGAAAGCGTAAGGGAGTATGCGATCCTGTAGCATACATCGAATGTGGAGGAACCAGATTTTAACCCACAATCTCTCCTTCCATGGCTTCGAGTTCTACATCTTCTTCCTCCTCGTCCTCCTCCTCGAGATCATCGTCGCCAAGATCATCTTTAAACCCGCTCTCTATTTCCAGCTTTCGTAATCGTCGAAGCATGTCTGCACGCTGGGTATTTTGCCAGCGAATCAGCGCAGCCGTGGCGTGTACCTTAAATCCATAGACGCGGGGGATGTATCGGTCAGAGCTCTTGGGAGGAACCAACGCCGGATAGACCTGGAACATGATGTTGTGGAAGGAAGTTCCAAAGTACGCGCCATCAATGATGGAGTGCCGAGAAGACTTGGGGTTGTAGACGTCCTCACACCGAGCACAGTAGAGCTTGACAGGTTTTTGATGAGGGAGATCTGTTTGGCCCATGGGCAAAAGCGGATGAGAATGGCAGAAGACTCGCGGGCATTTGCCGAAATCAGCTTTCTTGTACTTGTCCAACTGCGAGAAAATCGTTAGCTTGTATGGGTAGGGGTCAAGGCGTAATCGATCAAACCATACCATCTTTGCCAAGCCACGCGTAGTGACAATGTAGCGAGCGTGGATCAAACCATACAGATGGCGAGCTGATTTCTCAATAGTCTCTCTCATCTCATCGTCGCAGTCGAGATCGAAAACATCTGTAATTAGATCAAGAGCATACTGATAATACTGGACCTCTGTGTTGAGTCCAGTTAAGTTGAATCGATCAGTGAGGTAATCCTCGTCAATCTCGCAGAAATACTCGTGTCCGCGTGAGGAGATGAACTAGTATTATGAATCAGCATTGAACAAGAATAATCTTTGGTAAAGTGTCTAGACAGCCCAAGCCCAGCCCAGACATATGTAAGACAGGAAGAAAAATGGCCCTGGTGAATGATATATGTCAAAAATCCCCAGTACTAACGATAGATACCCATTCAGAGGTCCTAGGCAGGACAAGGAAAGGGAAACGAGTCCCCAAGAAGAGAATCTTTTGTGGTGACCCGTTTTGCATATATGGAGACATTTCTGAAGTCGAGTCTTCCATAATCAATAGCTAACGTTGTAATATTGACCATGACATGTAACTATCCACAGAGGGGTGTGTATAGATGATGCTGTCGTTATCTCGAGACATGTCGTATATGATCCGATCCCGGAAACGTGTACTTAAAACAAAGGAAGGCCTCAGACAAGTATGAGAGGGTATGGGCGGTGGGACAATCTAATTATTGCAAATTTCTGCACTTACCCAGTCTCGCCAATAGCTGGTATAGTCGCTATCGGACTCGGAAGCGAACTCGTCCATCATGGCTGCGGTGAGGCAGTCGTGACAGACTGGCTAGCTATCGTTTGACCCGAGAGGAGCGCGACGACGCGACACAACCGTACTGGTTAGACTCCAACGAGACTAAGAAGCAACGTCGAAGAAGATGAACGACAACCCTGGGATGGGGATGGCGTTTGAGAAGAATAGTGGCGGTGGACGGGTTCAGGCGCAAACACGCAGCCAAACCTTGTCCTTAGACGTTGACGGTAGAATATGTATTTGGTGGGCTCCTGGTGGGGGAATTTAAAATCTAGGTGGGTCCTATCTCAGCCTCAAATGCTATCCAGGGATATGGATTGGCGGATCGTGTACTTGGGTACTTCAACTTAGGTAATGTAACTTCTCCATAGTGTAGGTACGTAGTACCGACTACTGTGTATATTCAATCGGCCGATGATTTGCCGGTGATTATCACTTACATAAGCATTAACGGAGGCCCCTGAACAACGAGTAAATAATAACAGGTCTGATAGAATTCCAAAAGGCCTTAGAAGGCCGTTTGCATATTTCAATGTTTAAATTCCATTTCATCTAGTAAACTCCATAAAAAGGCAGAACTGAACAGTGCTATCTCAGATTAGTCTCTGAGTCCGCATTCCTTTCCGCCTTTTAAACGTGTATTAAAGACGACCCAAAAAGTTACAATGCGATCCTTCAGCTCCTAACTACCTAATGGATGAAGAACGTGGATTACTTCCCATCCGAACCCATTTATCCTATGCTGCCTGCTCTATTCCATTTCCATTATATTGGACTTGCTGTGCCAAGGCTGCTTATGTCACTGGTTGATTGTATGTCGGAGCCTGTGTCCGAGTTATGTCGCATTAAGCGGGAAGTACCGTTAGTCTTCAGCTGCGGTACCTCAAGCCTGCTACTTATGTCAGTATCATCCGACTCTTTCTTGATTCGGATGTTGACTAATTCCATTGCCTCCCTTAATGTCTCCCCACTTTCGTCCATTGCTGCTAGGAACCGGGCTAGCTCCTTGCAAAGCTCCCAATCTTCTTCTCGAATGGCCCGAGAGAATAGCCGCACAGACTGTTCCGATGCGGCACCTAGCTCTTCGAATGTGTGTAGTATGAGTAGATAACCACCGGCTGTCTTCAGCGAGCCACGTTGAAGCGACTCCTCGAATAACTCCTGCGGCGGAGGCAAGTACGCGAAGAGTGTTCGCCATGACCTAACCTCTGTTTTTCTTGTACACTGGACTACAATATCTAAGTACTGTTTGAACGAAGACAAGAGTGAAAGAACTCTGGGAAGAATGGCAGCCTCTGGTTTTGGTGCCGAGTCGACCTCTTCATCGAGAACATGATGAAGCAGTACTTCTAAGCCATGTGCGAAGTACTCGAGGTTTTGGTATTGCTGGGCTAGCTTAAGTGCAGCAGCGCCGTTGCTTGCGACTAAGTGAAATCGGAGAATTTCAGGAAGGAAAAGATGAGTCTATACATGATTAATTTAGTAAAGGGGGCGGGGTGATGAAGCGGCTTGCTTACCCTGATGGAGAAACGGAAGAAAGAGAAACTAACGTCTCTCCGTTGGACTAGTTCGGGTTCAACCCCTAGCACGATTCCTTTGCCTAGTAGAATGGAGAGAGGATAGAAGTCGATTGGCATAGAGACTGTCGGGGGTAGTTCCCCGGCTGGTCCTACTGAAGTCGCTCGTAGGACATCTTGAATATCAGGCCAGAGCTTTAGTTCGTGGCCTTCAAATACCCATAGTGAATTTCGAAGACTACTTTCCTCCGCCTCCACGGAATATTGCGCACTGGATTCATTTAATAAGTTGACTGATAAGTGATCTCTCATACTCGCATAGAATTCCACATTATGAGATATGACACGCATGTCATATTTAAGCTGCCCTTCGCTGTTCACTGACGGTTGGAGGAGGACGAGCTTCCCATCTACTAGGAATAGTACCGACGCAAACGCGACGTCTTGTGAGGGATCGCCATCGATCATCTGACTTTCGGGCAATATCCAACTGAGGCCCCTCACCCTCGCGGGCGATCTAACAATACCGTGAAACGCAATTTGTCCAACTTGTATGGGCCGCATGGCACCGGAGACGGGCGCGAAAACGAAGTGGTAGAGGAGATTATCGTAGGTGTAGACGAGTAGGGAGTCCTCTCCTGACGGGGTAATCAATACGATAGGTGCCGGCATCTGCTGAGTGAACATGACCGTGGAGCTCTCCAGGGCTGCTTCTCTTGAGTAGAGCCGGAGCTCATATGATCTATTAGCTTCAACAGCTGCCACTAAGATATGCTGGTACCAACACATCCCGCCCCTGACTTGGAACTCGTTCTCCATGGCTTCGTTCGCAAAGGTCTTCCATCTACCGCTGTTAACACTGTAGTGTGCAAGCCCACGCCTGCCAGCGACTGCAATGTATCTACCGTCAGCAGACACGACAGTACATTTGATAGGCCACTGATTTAAAAGGTAATTGGAGGGTATCCTAGCATTGTGCCAGAGAAATGGCTCAGCAGATATGCTAGTAAGGTCTGGGAGGTCATAGCCGCGGTAAACCATGACCGTAGATGAACTCTGCAGTACCGTGCGGAAGAGGTTAGGCGGGGTGTAGCAACCAGTCACTGCGCTTCGTGCCATCTCGAGAAGCCAAATGGCTTCGCTCTGACGAGCAACCATAAGGATCTCAGAAGCACCGCCAACCCAGCTAGCATCTATTACACCATCCAGCCAACCTTCCTGGTTGGCGGAAGTGATAGAAGGATTGGCGTTGAAGCTGTGACCGGCAGTCTTGCCAAAAACACTCCAGGTCGCCCATCCACTTTCATAACCCGCGAACAGGCAATATCCGTCTGGTGAATAGTTTAGTGATTTTAAGATGCCTGAAGTTTCAGACGAGACTGGGAGTTGGTGTACATGAGAAGGGGGGATATTTCCAGCGTAATCTCTAGCAGAGTATACACGTATACTCCCATCCGTACAACCCACAGCGACGAGCGAAAACCTGGCATTGACGACGGCCTTAACAGCACGATCACTCTCTCCGTGTGGCGAGTGAAAGCAATAACCTTTAAATAACTTCTTTGGATCGAAATCAGGGTTCTCTTTAGCTTTAGTAGCCGAGATACGTTGGACGGCGTACGCTTTCCCGTCGCTTGTAACCCAAGTAGAAAGGTTCATCGGCCGGTCGTGAGTCATTTCCTTGATCGTCACTTTCTTCTCCAACCAACCCATGCGGCTTACGAGCTCGGTGCTCGTTTGGTTGCCGGTACTATCAGGGGTCCAGCGAATGCATTGAACGGCAGCCGGTCTCTTGGTGGCAACAACCAACTCATCGTCAAGGGCTATAGCGCATTCGATGCCGGCGTCGACTTTAATCACCCTACGAAACCGGACGCTTATGTCACGAACTCCGGTTCCTTCTCCTGGCCCCAACAGGATCTGATCAGGTGTGTTGTTCCCAGGACCTCCAAAATGGCTTTGCCTACGCCTTTGTATGTTACTATGATCCGAGAAGCGAGGTTTATAAACGCGGGATTCGGCGTCGGTAGCAAGTGAATACGTAATTAAATATCCCAGGCTTGTTTGAACGACGAATATAACGGAATCGGGCCTTAGCAGAAGTGCGACATTAGTGCCATAGGACCTGATAGATGCTTCGGATCGGACGACAACGGCCTGGATCACAGTAGGCTAGGGGAAGGCATTGTTGAGGTTAGCACGTAATGCAAAAAGAAAACCGGTCGCATAGAGAACAAACCTTGGTTTGCCAAACTGTCATTGTAGTGGCTGTGATATTGGCAAACAGATGGCCGGTCCTGGATACTTTCAAGGCGATAATTGGATCTCCAGCTGGAATATCTCCTCCATCCGGCCCCGTAAGATATTGCTGTGAATTCGAGTTGCTTCCATCATGGTACACATCATGCTCTACCGAGTTTATAGCTGGTGTGGCCGGTGTCTTTAGGCCTGGAGTGACAGGCGGTATATGGGAATCTGGTATGTTCCGGTCTTTCTCATCTAACAGCACGGGAGGCGGTGGTTCGGCACTCGACAAGGATTCAGTATCGGCGGTTGTGATGGAAGCAGTGCCATCGTTGGATACGACGAAGTTGGACTTAGAGGAAGCTTGGCTGGTGGTTGTCGCATAGATTCTAGGAGTTCCGATGGGCCAGTACATGGCTAATGCAGGCGCTTAGAACCGTCATCCGTATACCTTAAGCGTTGGTAGGTCATAGATGAGGTGCAATAAGAATATGAGCAGCCAATTATGCCGTTATGTCAGCGTCCCGTCGGTTTTCAACATCTCGATACGTTAGAATAGACGGGCTTCAACTTTACATATGAACCTTGAATGTTGGCCTCGCAGGCCTCGGATCATGGATCTTGTTTAAAGTATGTACATAGGTACATATGCGCCTCTCAGCTCCGTAGCACTTTCCTGGACAGCTAAGTAGGTACCTAGGTACAGATGGGACCCACATGGATGTTTCTATTCGAGAGGCTAAGCACCGGTTGCATCCCGTTATAAAGATAATGCAGTTAAGAGTTAGAGTTAATACTAAGCCATATGGATCTGAGTTGTATATACGCAGTAGTAAAGCAAGCAGATACCATCTCAAACATTGGGAAACATCAAACAGCAGCAACACTTAACTTTTGCACTTTCTATTTCTTCGATTTTGCATTCAAGAAGATTTTAAAAACTGGCCGACTTTGAGATGCGAGTCTAGACCTGATCCGGCCGTATTCATATTAGAATCCTGTCTAGTCGGTAAGCCTCATCATGGCACGCATAGCACCTAGGACGTCTGTTGCGCCTGAGAGGTTGAAGACTCTACTTCCCTCTCTGAAGCCAACCGTTTACCATGACCCAAGTGCAAGTAAGGCCCAAGCAAAGTAAGTCAATATTCGCTTTCCTCATCTTTTGTTTTCGCTGTTCATAGTGACTTGTGTATGTGCCATGGATTTGCATTTTGGCAACACCAATATAAACCAGGGCTCACAATGCATTCTAGACATAACTGTTCTTCGCATTTTGCTAACCTCTTATAGCATCCGCACGATTGCCTGGAATCCCCTGGGGACCTACATTGCCACTGGTTGCGTGGACAAGACACTGCGAGTTTGTACGCCACCCACTCTCAGCTCATGTCACAAACCACCCCTTAGTAATGCAAACAAGGCTTCGCATTTGCTATGTGGATTTATCAAGTCCCTGTCAGGTCATTATACTATAGCGAACTGGTCCTCGATTACTAACTAGTTTAAGGGAACGCGGACAAACCCAATGTTCGTCAAACAACAGAACTGAAAGGTCATACCGCGTCTATTGAAAAGGTTGCTTTTCACCCTGTAAAGGAGCTCGAGTTGTGCAGCGTGAGTAGCGATGGTGTGGTCAGGTTCTGGGATGTCAAGACCAAGCAAGTCTTAAATGAAGTCAAAGGTTTAGGAGAAACGTATACCTTGGCTTGGGCACCCAAAGGCGAACGTGTTGTAGTCGGAAACAAGGTGAATATGCCGCTTCGACTCACATGCTTGATCCTGACTATTTGTATTAGGAGGACAAACTCTTTGTTATTTCACCCACTCAAAGTACCCCGATTTCATCACATCAACAAACCGTCCAGACGAACAATATCGCGTTTTGCTGGAGCGGACAGAGGATATTTGCTACTACTGGAGAAGGCAAGACGAGAATCCTCTCATTCCCCGACTTCGAGCCTGCTTATAAATTCGACTACAAGGAAGGACCAGAGGCCGAGTTCGTATTAACCGGCCATACGTCGTCCTGTATCACGGTTGAGCTACATCCGTTCAATCGATATCTAGCCACAGGTGGAACTGACTCACTAATTGCGCTTTGGGAAACGACTGAATGGAACTGCCTTAGAACCGCGACTAAGATGAGCGGTCCAGTCCGCAGTCTAAGTATGTTGTTATTGCAACTTATGGGTTGATTTTTATTAACAGCGTGGCCTAGGTTTCTCGTGGGACGGTCTTTACATAGCGGGAGGGAGCGACGAAGGTGAGGCCGGAACTAAATCATACCTGAGTTTGAACGTTTGTTTAAATTAACCGTCATATCTGCAGGTTCCGGCTTAGAAATCTTTAATTCCGAGACAGGGGAACATCTCTGTACTTACAAAACCGCGACACCTTCTCCAGTCGTAGTTTGGGCTCCAAATCGGTATGCGCTCGCCTACGCAGATTCAGGAAGTCTACGAGTAATAGGCGCAAGCACCGGAGGGAAATAGGATGACCAGGACTCCGGGTTATCACTCTCGTTGACGCAATTGAGGTCTCGAAATCGACAATGATTATATGGGGATGTAAGGTCTACGCCACATGCCTCCCCATTCCCTACGATTAGGGAGGTATTATTATGTATGCAATTACTTGGCATACCTACATCGAGCACCGCCTACATTTATTATGAGAGATGATTATTAGTCTACCAGTTGGTTGACCCAAAATGAGGCGGTGCAAAATAAAGATAGTTTCGTCGAAAGATGAGGCCTTTAGGAGAATAGACTCCGCTAATTCGCAGAAGCTTGCTGCACCAGAATACCTAATACAGAGAAGGAAAGCTTATGCACGCCTACCTGCGTCTGCTGCGTGTGCCCGCACAAGTATCATGGATGGAACTTGAACTGCTGGTCACCGCCCCTATGATATATCTCGAACCCCACTTTCAGCCCTAAAACGCATTTATGCGTACTTGATTTACATTACTAGATATGCAATTAGTAATTAGCTTAGATCCCTCCCCTTTGTTCTGCAGTCTAATTGGTGGTCACAGGCGACTAGGATCTCCTCCATGCCCGCTCTTATTTTTACATTCGTAGACCTTCCCCTTCTGACTGCTGCCTACATGGTTACGCAGTACATGGCACGTTGGGATTTCTATTCTTTTGCTGACATGGCTGCGCAGAATTCGAATGAAGCTGAGACTTTTAAAGGAGATTATCATGCTTGAAAATCTTGTCAGATTACGATGACCATTCAGCTTGAAATTTCTTGGCACCGAAATAGTCACAAGACAATTGAGTGTAAAGAAAGAGATTCAAGCAGATGGGATGCTAATAATTCCCCACCTTGCTAGATTCGAGACCCCCAAGGCCACATCCCTTCAGCCTTCCATTCTTCTAGCTTCTCCTTCTCTTACAACTACATACATATTTCCGGGCCATATCTCCGACCGTAAGATCTGAAATCTCACCGACTACAGATATCAAAATCATCGAGGAGAAGTATTAATGAAGAAGAAAAAAGTGAATGGGACAAATTAGTGAAGAGAAGAGCATTCAGCTGCCCCACCACTGAGATCTCTTTGCACTGGTGTCAATCGGTGCGTGGCGAGACTGAGGCGCTCATCCTTGAGCCGCTGTACCTGGTGTCTTGAGACCGACGCGCATCACGAAATACATACGTCCCCGGCTTCGGATTCTTCTACCGATACACGGCGGACCTTCTAATCAAACCCTTAAGGCGCATCACCAATTGTTCTAATGTCGACATCAACTGGAGAGGCCCATGGCGTCGCGGCCAACGATACTGGGTCTCAAGGTACTAGTCCGAACGCCGATGCGAGCCCATCAGCTGCAACTCAAAATCAGAACAATGGCAATGTTCCGAGACCAAAACGATTGGCATGTATGATATGTCGGAAACGCAAGCTCAGATGCGACGGCATTAAGCCTAGTTGTAGCACATGTACGAGATTGGGACATGCCTGCGCATACGATGAAGTGAGACGAAAGAGTGGCCCGAAAAGAGGCTACGTGAAGGCTCTAGAAGAGAGGTTGAGTGAGTATCAACCTAGCCAGATGAACATCATGCCGAGGGAATAGACACTAAGACGTCCCGCTCCCGTATAGAACAAGTCGAGACGCTTTTGAACAAAACCCAAGAGCCGCCGTCGTTCAACGTTAGCCCTGATACGGCCAAGACTCCTAGCAACGTCACCTTCGAGCAGAGCCGCACTCAACAGGCTCCTCCAACCCCTAACTTTAACGTTACAAATCCTTCTATAGGTATCGCAAATGACCGAGATATGGATCGATGGCGCTTTAATGGAGAATCGCCTCAAGCCAGCGGCGGTTTGGATGATTTTAACTTTAATGGGAATATGTCGATGAATATGGGCGGTATGGATAATAGTTTCACGTGGGAGATGATCGGCCTAGGTTTAGAAGAACCTCTCCCACCCCAAGAGACGATCGATGAACTGTAAGCAATCTTGTACCATAGATGCGAGTTGGTCACCAACTAACTGAGCCCTTTAGCCATCAGATATACTTCGATAAAATCCACCCGTCGTTGCCAATGATTCACAAATTCCGATATCTAGCAGCGATGAACCTGTATGCTACGTCTATCCCTTTTCTGTCATCTTATATATCGGTCCTAGTGCATCGCAATCCGTATTTATATTGACCTCCACGCTTACCCGCTCTTTAGGGCGCCAAACCAGAGACCTCCTGTTGCATTACGGTATGCTATCTGGACACAAGCTTGTGCCGTAGCAGACAAATACGCAGATTTAAAAGACCTCTTCTACCAGCGTGCTCGTAAATACGTGGAGGCGGATTACGTCAAAGGCTACGGCGAGCACATGATTTCAGTAGCTCATGCTCAGACTCACGTACTACTTGCCTCATATGAGTTCAGGATGATGTACTTCCCGAGAGCGTGGATGAGCACAGGTGCGGCTGTGCGTCTATGCCAGATGTGAGTTGATTAGACTTCTTTTGCAACATCTACGTGCTCATAACATCCAGGATCGGACTACATAGGTTAGATGGGTCAGGCCTCGACGTAAAGCAGTGCCTTCCGCCACCTCGCGACTGGACCGAGCGGGAAGAGAGGCGGCGGACCTTCTGGATGGCTTTCTGCAAGGATAGATATGCTAGCATTGGGACAGGCTGGCCTATGACCATCGATGAACGAGACGTGATGACCAACTTGCCTTCTTCAGAGGAGGCATTCGAAATGAGTCGCCCGGAACAAACGCAATCGCTTGCGGAGTCCATGTGCCCAGCTGGAGCAGCGAAGCTCTCGTCTTTCGGGGGTATCGTCCTAATGGCCTGTCTATTCGGCCGGAACCTCGTTCATCTCCATCGCCCGGACGCCGACGACCGCGATCATGACCTCAACGGAGAATTCTGGAAGCGTCACAGAAATATGGATAACATTCTCCTAAATACCTCGCTTTGTCTACCGAACCACCTAAAGCTTCCTGCCGGTCTTGCCAATCCTAACATTGTATTTACTAATATGAATATCCACACTTCGACAATCTGTCTTCACCAAGCGGCTATTTTCAAGGCGGACAGGAACAAACTACCACCGTCTGTTAGCGCAGAAAGCAAAGTTCGCTGCATCACGGCGGCGAATGAGATTGCTAGCATCATGAGAATGGTGTCACACTTGGACTTATGTGCTGTAAGTTGTTTCCAAGGAATTCCAACGTGCAGGATCCTATGGTCTAACAACGTTTTAGATGAATCCGTTCATATCATTTTGTCTATATGTTGCTGCACGGGTCTTCGTTCAATACCTAAAAAGTCGGCCAGACGACAGCCAGACGGCCGACTCGCTACGATTCCTCCTCGCTGCCATGAACGCATTGAAGAGGAAGAACCCCTTGACTGAGTCATTCTTGGTACAGTTAGATGTCGACTTAGAGGCATTGGGTACGAGGATACCTAAACTCAAGTCCGCCTTCCCAAGGAGCGCAGATAGTGTAGGCCCCCTATTTGAATAACTTCCTATATTCCCGTCACTAATTGAGCTTTTGCAGCCCGGTTCCGGCATCAGGATGCCAAAGATGGGCAAGCATGACGGTAAACCCTGCGAACCTGAAAGCGGCAGTGCTGGCGGAGGTATTCTTGCATATCGCCACGCGAACATAAGCGACGAAAGCCCAAGCAATCCAAATATTGGCCAGTGTGAGCACCCGAATCCGATTAACAGCAGGCAGAGGTCAGACGATTTTACGGGCCAGAATTGGCTTCCGAGGGACCAACAGATACCCACGCGCGAGCGGAGCTCCTTTCCGGATCATTGCAACCAGGAAACAATCCCGCCAATCTTATTTCCGGGAGGGTTCGTGGACGGTGCGGGGAGCGACTCGAACGATCTGTCGACATCGTCAAACACCAACGGCGCGTCAAACCAACCGACGCCAAACTCGAGCAGTGGCTCGGATAACCGCCAGAGTACAAACGGTGCTGGTCACATGGGGAACTCGAGCGGCAGAGCATCTTTTGATACTAGCCCTGCCGGCTCCCACCATAACCTAGGCTCGCAATCGGACATGGATGCAACAGCTTTCTTTCAGATGGGTGGCAACAGCATGGGTATGACTCCCGAGCAGTCTTTTGGCACGGTAGATCCGTCTGGGAACGGCTTCACGATGCCAAATAACTGGCCTGGGCAGACCGGTACTGGTATGACGCCGGTGGCAGAGGGTGTACTTCAGCACTTAATGGAAATGCGAATGGAGTTGTGGGAGTCTGGTCCATAGTGTTCTCACCACGATTTACGGTTTGTCAGAGGATTTCCCCGTTCATGGTATCTAAAGGGGGGTAAGATGGATATATGGGATTTGCAGGTACTGGGTTGGGTATTTATCTGAGGCTTGGCTTGATAACCATAACCCTTCAGGGGCGTTACATGTTCAACCTCGACGCGGAGGTAACGCTCGTTCCGAGCCGTATAGGACACAATTTATGACATGACGTGGGCGGCGTACTGGTTGTACTATTAGATATGTACTTAGGCGACGAGACGAACCTCACTTACCCTTATACTCCAATCTCACATGAATACCTGAACACAAGATTTATGCAATGCACATACATAATACACCAAGTCTTATGATACCTATGACCTGTAAGTGCCTGGATATATCATGCCGTTTATTTGCCTAACTTATCTCCGACTATTTCTATTAGTCACAATGATATATCACCATTATATCACAGGGGATGTCGCAGGGAAACTAGAGCGATAATTGGATACGTATTAGATAGGTACGGATGGTACAGATGCAGCACGTAAGCTTGCCTCGTATTATAACCCGGACAAGTCAGAAAAAGATGTTATTTTTACATCCTTAATCCAACGTGTTTGATAATAAGAGGTGTCGGGGTTCGGGGCCTTGCAAAAGGAGGGGCAAGAGACTGTTGGTAGTTATATTCAATGGATACACACAGAGTTGATGGATGAGATCTTAGATCGTCAGGGTCCGATTCCTTTATTGGTGGCTTCTGATTCTTCGTGGCTAATAGGATGTTATTATTACTATTCGGTACCATTTATTACCATTACACATTTTATGTTAGGTTGGTTCACTGGTCGGGTAGGATTTGTACCGTTAGTATAGTTGCTAGCGCGGGGAGCTACTTTAGGTTCTGGCCGTTTCTCGGCATGTGGGGCCTCGAACGATAAGGTACAAGTGTTCATTTGCCACTTTAGGACTAGGCCGTAACAATCCAAGGAGCCAGGTCTGGCCGCCCTGGCACAAACGGGCAGGGACAAACGGGAAACAACCAGTGGACTCTTGTCAATACTATTATGCAACCGGGGAATTGGGGGGGAAGGGGTGACGGGGTTGAAGGAGGGACCCATAAGGCGGGGCAATTTACTTGAGCTGCACTTTCAGCTTCTATCGGCGCTTTTTACACTTTCATCTGATCTTTTTTTACATCTTTGTAACGTCCTAGGTAACTTAAGGTAACTTAAACTAGACTCTTTTCCGCTTTGCCGGTATCGTCCGATTCGATCATCCCAATTTGGATTCCCTAGAAAAAGGTATTCCTTAACTAACCTACCAGCCAAATCATGATCTTGACGGCGAAGACACTTCGCCCTCGACACCCGACCTGAGAATGGGGTAAAAACGAAAGCTGGTGAGCTGCGCCGGATATGTTCAGAGGCATCAACCAGCAGCAGCATCACCATCATCGCTCATCACCTGAATAAACAGCAGACGCATCATCGCCGATAGCTTCGATAATAATGGACCCCGCCTCTGTTTCTCCCTTCCCAACGCAACCACCGCCGCCGCCTCAACCGCCTCCTACTTCTATCCCTCCTCCTCCCCCTCCTCCTCCTCCTCCACCGCCGCCGCCGCCGCCGGTAACTGAAGGTCCTTTGTCGCACGATATTCGCCGTCACGATCATCACCCGCCTCAGGCGCATCACTTCCGCGTCCCGTCTCTATCGTCGCACCCGAATATCGGCTTATCCGCTCTCGATCCCGCAGATCCTGCCGTCTTCCAACAACACCTCCAACGCTTACACTCCGTACCGACCGTACCTGTTGTTCAAGGCGACTTTGTTCCGCACGGCCGAGATGGATTTGACCAAGACCCTAATCCAGCTCGCATGCTTCAGAACACACATAACCAATCCACTTCTGACCTTCGTCGAACCCCACACCAACATCATGCTACTCTCCCACCTTCGTCCTCACACTCGGCGCCGCCCGCGCATGGTCAATTTGGTATCCTAACACAAAACCCCATGGCCCGACCCAGTGTAGTGCCTCAGCTTCAAGCAGAGGAGGACTTGTTCCCCCAACCTTCGCAAGTCAACCCCTCGGGCCCCGAAGCTTCCGAACAGAGACCGCATGGCCAATTGGTCAATAGGATAGTTGTCGACCCACCCGACCTCCAAACTTGGCGTGAGAAGCTGTTCAACGTTGACGATACTATCATTCTGAGTAATGACCAGTAGGAAGCAGGTTATCCTCTAGAACAAAGTCTGCAGGCTAATAATAACCCACCAGGTTCGAGACCTACTTTCCTCATATCGACAACGTTTATTCCCATAGATCTACGCAGAAGTACAAGCGCAAGCCATTTATCTCTCATTACTGGGATTGCCGAATGAAGGGGCGGCCACCAGGTACTCCTAAGTCCGATGACCCCTCCAAAAAGAAACGGAAACGAAGCGCGCGTGAGAGGGATCTTTGCGACGTCAAGATCAAGATTACCGAATACTTTCCGGGAGCCACGATTCTTCCCGACGGGGATCCGAGCTTCAATCTGGCGCAGTCGAGTGCTTACCAGTCTCCGCAACAACAAACGTTTGGCGACGGTCTGTCGCGACCTGTAGATGCTCACCTAAATGGGGAAAAGTTCTGGACCATACAACGTGTCAATGGCAATGGGGGGAACGGGAAGGGCGACGGCGTCGCTGGTCCTCACAAACATAGCCTGGAAAAAAGCGATGAGATCAAGAAATCTACCGTTCAGAGGTTTATTGCTGCGCAAGAGAAGGAGGCAAAGAAGATCCAGGTGGGTTACTCCTTGTATCATAGACGTGGTTACCTTTGTACCCGGTTTTATATATGGGAAAAGATCTGTCAAGCTACAATTGATCTATGGGTTGTTATTTTCACTCGACACAGTGGAGGAAAGAAACCTTTAATGGGATACCGGACATCCCCTGTTGCCGACTACGCCCTTTTTCATTTCATTGCTATTTTTTTCTAATACATAACAGAACCTCAACCAAGGATACAGAAATACTAACTCCAAATTATAGAAGCCGCTGCCAAAGAAAATGTCAGGAAACGCGCTCACAACGGCAAAGAAGCACTCGAAGGAGCACGACCTGAAGCTTTACGCTGCTTGCTTTTGGTGAGTACTTATTTTTAGACCGCACGTTGCCACCCACGCTGATGGGCGTTCCCTTGTCAGCCCCTTTTCCCAGAGAGTATGGATCGCCCTCGAGGCGAAGGGTATGCAATATCAGTACTGCGAGACAGATCCATACAGACGCCCGACCCAGTTACTAGAGGCAAATCCTCGAGGATTGGTCCCGGCCATTCGGGAAGGTGAATGGGCTAGCGGCGAGAGCGCCATCATCCTTGAATATGTAAGCTACCTGTCGGGCTCCATGCCACAGGACCCATTGAGGTTACTGACCACAGCTGTTCTTGCTAGCTTGAGGACCGTGACCGAACAGTGCCCCTTTTCCCCACGGACCCGAGACTAAAGGCGAACTGTAGACTATGGATTGACCACGTGGGTTACCGTTAAGACACTCTTACGAGCACGAGAAGCGTTGAAGGCCTAGCTAACCTATTTAGATCAACGCCAAAATAGTCCCGGCTTTCTTTGCTTTGGCGAGGGCGTCCGACTTCGCGAAGCAGGCAGAGTATAGGGAAAAGCTTCAGGGCGAAATAGCGGCTCTTGTCCAAGCTGCCGACGAAAGGGTAGGTGAATTCATTCTGTCCCATACTGTTTTATTGAAGAAAAGAGGTCTTTCTTACCGTTTTCCTATTCGTATAGGGTCCGTATTTCCTTGGAGGAGACTTGTGTCTCGTAGACATCCACTTCGCGCCTTTCGTCTTGCGCATGTCCCGCATCCTCCGAGAGCTACGTAACTGGGGCGACCCGATGCCACGCACGCGGTGGTACCAGTGGGCGGACGCTCTCGAGACGAACCCGCACGTCCAGGCCACGACCAGCCAGAAAGAGCTCTACGCCGAGACGCTGGATCTGTTTCTTAACAGCCGCCAACCCCATGGCGAACATTTCGGATCGTAGAGGCGTCATCTATTGGTGCCGTCTTATTCTTCTAGATATATACTTTTAAGACCTAAGAATACGTAACGCATAACTAGGTAAGGGGGCGGGGATTTCCTTTTTCCAGGAGTACATTTATTTATATATATATATATATATACATACAACGGGGCGGGCGAAATTGGCTCGGGTTGTTAAGGGCGGTCTTCGTTTCTGAATTTCTCTCTTTTCCTTCCTTTTATCCTTCTCACTTCCCGCGTTAGATCGTTACCGTTCGGGGAATGAGTTAAAAAGGGGGTAGGTGATATAGGATCGGAGTTTTAGTTTTATTCCAAATCGCTTTGATTAGGGGGTTTCGGTTGCCGGATTCGAGCTTCGTATATACATATATATATTGGCAAGACGCTCTGTGGAGAGTTGTGATTCACCGTACTTATCTACTGGAGGTTACGGATGTTTAAAATGGCGTGGCACGCGTATGTATAGGAGCTGGCTTGTTGTGATTGTTGCGCTTCGGGGACATACGTATCTAGGCAAATTTGTCGACGGTATATTGGAATAGAGTTGAAGAGCTTGCCGCGGTATCGTCTTTATAGTGGTTGAGTTAAGTTATCGACCACGCTTGTCACTGTGGTATCCTTCATGATATGGCGCTTGCCTATGAGTCTACTGACATCGCACATTCCTGCTAGACATAGTTCTAGTCGACTGAGACCCTAATACTGCCTTGTTAGATCAGACCAATTCGTATATCTTATAAACCTTCTAATGCAAGTTTGCAATTATTGTCTCAGTATCTAGTTAAGCAACAATTACTCCGTCTTACGATATTAATTCGACTATGAATCCGGGCAAAGGCTCAGCTGTCATGATTCTGTATTACGGATACATCCTACGTTAGATACCTAAAGGAGACGGTACAGGAAAGGGTTATACTAGGTACCTTACTATCACTACTCACCAAGTGAAATCTCTCGTATATTGAGGCGTATTACAACATGCCTTATATTACTAACAGAAAGTATATCCAGACTAATTGACAGTTGGGTGGGTAGATTTTGCGTATAGATATAAGGGTAGGATGACAGGCTAAAGATGTATAACTTCCCGGGGTTTCTCTTGGCTACCTACGCATGAAGAACACAAATGGCACTGATAGACTGATGTGTTCCTTATGAGCTTTGAATCGTTATTGGCCCTGCGGGGAGAAATTTTCTGCTCGCCTCGATGAGTTCTAGGCAACACGTCTGCTGATTAGCTAAGAGAAGACGACGGATGATAAGGACTACATAAGTAGGCATGTATAATCATATAAAGATTGAAGCCAGCGATGTGACACCGAAACATAGACGAATGTCAGGCCTGCATGATATTGGGCTGTGTAGTTCTTCTTGCTAATTAACTTATGATATGTACCCAATGTAAAGGAATATTTGTTGAGAACCGGAGTAAGTACTAAGTATTGATATTTTATTCTTGATGTCCCTATTAGGTAGGCAAACTAATTAATGCCATGTTTAGTATTGTAGTTCTAGATTGGTGGCATACTCCGCAACCCGAATTTTGCTTCGGGAATCCGGTGATGTGGATGCTTCTGTGCTGCGTATGTATGCAAATTCAGTTAGCGCAAAGTGGCTTCGCATCACGCATGATACCGCTTTCACCGGGGGGCGCAGTAGGATTTCGAGATCGGAGTCCTCCTACCAACATTTTTCTCATTTTATCCCTTCGACTTATCATATCTGTGTACATACAATTGTACATACATACATAGGTAGGGAGGGAAAAATAAGAGAAGGAACATGGAACCACACTCCGCTGCAAATCTTGGATTTAAGTTCCTTGGCTTCCAAGGTTCTTTTAAGTCTACCTCTGTGACTGGTTCATTTTTGCTCGGTAATTGCAACTTACGTCAATGTGGTGCAAGGTTTGCTTCTAACAGGTACAACTCGCTTATAGGGGTTGACGTCAAGGGCAGCTCGTCAGGTTACACGCATCTTCAAGCTTGTTTTCTATCGACAGACAGACAGATAGCCCCGCTTCCAACTGCTACCAAACTTTAGTTCCAAAGGTTTCCCTAACCGCATCACCCCAGCACCCCAGCACCCATTACTTGCACTGCATCATCTTGCGCCCAAAGCTCGCCTCAACTAGCCCTTGCCCCCGCAGTGGCTTGTCGTTCCATCCCATTCATTGCGCCTATTACTCATAACTCATACTCTCTCATACTCCCTCACACTTTTTCAAATTCCCAAACTTGGTCACTGACTCAGTTTTAACTTTCATCTACTTCATCAACCAAACCCACTAGGCAATAGACTTTCATCCGTCTAAGCGCCAACAATGTCCGCGTACGACCCGTACGATGCTCCCCCGCGCGACTATCCTCGCCGGTACCACCATGATGACAGGCGTGATAGGGCGAGTCCCCGCTACACCGAGACTCAGGAAACCTACTACAGAGTAAACCCAAGTACCAGGACTGCGCTTGTCCCTAGGGTGCGCGAGGATAGCGAGCTGTCAATCGAGGAAGTCCACCGAGATTTCCCTCCTCCTGGTTACTCCCGGGACGTCCGTAGAGCCCGATCGGCTGAACCTGGTTACGATGATTACTACTACGAAGGTCGTCGCTCCTACGATGCTGCGCCTAAGGAACGCCGTCACAAGAAACCCGGTAGTGTCTATTACGAAGAAGAAGAGAGAAGCCGCAAGCGCGTTCTATCTAAGCAGGAAAAGATTATTGCCGCCGTCGCTGGAGGTCTCCTCGCTGCTGGCGCTAAAGAGCTTTTAGATCGTCGCGAAGCTGAGAAGGAGGGTGTCGAAGTTCATCGCAATGTAGCCGCTTCTGCTGCTCTCGGCGCAGCTGGCGCTTTCGCTGGCTACCAGGGAGCCGACTTCTATAACAAGCACGCCGGCAAGGAGGATAAGAAGTCAACCTACCTTGTTCATAAGGGACGGGATGGTCGTGTCGTCGAGTACTACTCCGACGATGACGATGAAGATCCAAGAGATCGCAAAGGCAACAAGTCTTTTCTTGAGAATGCACTGGCTGCCGCTGGTCTCGGGGGGGCTATTAAAGCTCTAACTGGCGGTGCTGGCTCCGATAGGGACTCAAGAAGTCGCCATGGAAGTCGACGTGGTAGCCCAGACTCATACCGTTCGCGCGATACGAGAAAAAGTTCACGAGATACCCCTGCGGCTAGAATGCAAAAGGCTGCCAAGGCATCCCTCGTCGCCGGTGCCGCAGAAGCTTTCCGAGTTGCCAAGGAACCAGGTGGTTGGAAGGGAGAGAAGATGAAGCGAGTTCTCACCGCGGCTGCCGGCGCTGCGACCATTGACGCTGCCCACGATCCTTCCAAGGACAGCAAGCGCCATCTTGTAGAAGCCGTCGTCGGTGGTCTCCTTGGCAACCGCATGTTGCATGGTTCTAGAAAAGATATCGAGGAAGACCGAAGGACAGGCCGGAGCAGATCGCGATCCCGTGCCCGATCTGAGGGCGGCTCAAAGGCGAGCGGTCTCGCAGCACTAGCCACGGCGGGTTTGGGTGCCTTGGGTGCCAAGAAACTCGTCGAGGGCCGAAGCCGATCCCGATCTCGCCGGGGAGACAGCGTTGACTCGTATGACAGTCGCAGCCCCTCGCCACGCAGGCGCCGCAGTAGCCGCAGTCGCAGCCGTAGCGTTGTTGACAAAGCGCGGCGTAGCCTTGCTAAGATCGGCATCGGTAGCGACCCCGAACCTCGCGATGATGACAGTTACGATGACGACCGTCCGCCTCGCAAGAGTCGTCACAGGAGCCCATCAGACGACCGATATGATGATGATGATGATTACAACTCCCGGGCCTATATGAGAGGCGGACGAGGTCCCCCGGCTCGTGATGCTTATGATGATTACGATGAAGAGGAGCGGTCTATCGGCGGTGGAAGATCGCGTAGCGGATCACGTTCAAGAAAAGGTAGGTCTAGTTCTGCTTCTAGTAGCGATCTTGGAGATTCAGATGAAGATAAGAAGATGACGTCGAAGATGCGACGTAAACAAATGATTACGACGGGGTTGGCAGCTGTCGCTACTATCCACGCTGCCCACAATGTGTATGGCAGCATGGGACAACGCGACGCTAGACATAGGGCAGTTAAGGAAGGCAAATTAAGCCCAGAGGAGGCCAGAAAACTGAGGACTAAGGCACTTCTGCAAGATGCGGCTTCGGTTGGCATCGCGGCACTGGGCGTCAAGGGCGCCATCTCGGAACTCAAGGAAGCTCGAGAACAGGCCAAAGCAGTCAATGAGTGGAAAGAGGAAAGACAACGACGTCATGAAAAACGACTTGAGCGACTGAAGCGGGCAAATTCCACCAGTGGTCGCAGGTCCAGGGCTGACAATTGGGATAATTCAGCTCCATCGCAAGATAGTCGGTACGACGAGGGTCCTCGTTACGCTGATGGGAACCCTTACTCTGCTGCTTTACCCGCTCCTCCGGTGGGCTACGACAGAAGATGATAGGCGAGGGTGACAAATCACTCTCCGTCACTTACACACGGGCCTTAATTCGCTGTGCGCCCAATCACATACACGTGTGGTCTGCAGTGGTCTGCCTCATGCCCCGTTACGATTTACGACATATCATGAATGATGGTTTTGGATAATACAAAATTTATAACGAGGGCGTTTGGAATAGGTTGAAATTTGTCTGCCTCGAACTGTTACTATGGAACTAACCCCGGTCGTTCTGAGATAGAAACAAAGTCTCATTGGTCGCGTTGCATCTCTTCTGAATCTCCTAACGCTACGCACAATTCTATGATTACCTACTTGTATAACTTGAGCTTTTCACTGATACCAATTGGTTTTGTGACAGATGGGCGTCATCACCGCCACCGCCACGACAAATAATGTGCACACGTTCGGCTTTAATGCAATAAGGGATATATGTGTGTTACCTAGGCCTCAGCTCGTGTTACCGGATACGGGTTTTGGCATCTGGAAGCATCGGCCCTTATGCAGGACAAGCGCGGGACAGCCATACAGCCACCGGCGACAATGGTTGGGTGTATGTTCTGCCGAATACCGCGGGCTTGGGCTCGTGCCTCCCGCTCCCACGAACCGATTTGAGCATTCGGAGCTCATGCCCCGCTATCTAGGAAGACTGGGTGTCTCTACAGTTCCGACGTTATGGTCAAGCGGCCGTGATTGGGATTGTGATGGAGACGGGAACGAGACTTGCAGGGTCCTTTATAGGATTGGGTAGGATCTGGGCTCGTACTAAGCTAACGCACGCGTGGCACGTATCGATGGGTCGAGACTTGAGGGAGGATCTACCAACAGGATCTAATTAATACTCGATATACGTATCTTGGGCGGTGTGTTGTATATGTGGGAGGGGGGGGGGAGGGGAAGAGGGGAGGGCGGTAGGTTTGAATTGCTTGGGTATATTTCCGGGGGCTGTTCCCAGTCTTTGACGATGACGATTATGACCTTAGGATGACCTCTGATTGGATGAAATCACGAAGTCTTTTCCTTGCTCTTATTGGTCTTATTTCTTGTGTTATCTATCTCTTATAGTCAAATTATATATTTCACGCGTGCAAACTTATGATGCTTACTCATCGCCCTAAGTGATCAGATACACCCAACGATCTCAAGGAGGCGTCGTTGGGCGAGTACAGTGTAACTGCCCTGTCACAGGACAGGTCTGCCTCTACCCGACTGGAGGCCATGCTTCCACAAGTACGCATACACATGAGAGTAAGTAGATATCCGTAAAATCAACCACGGCGGGGAAGTAGGGAAGGGAGTTACATTCGGCCTGGCGACCTTACGTGTCTCTAATATACAGCTGATCGCCATTGCATCCGCCCGTTTTAACGTCTTGCAAGGGGGGCTATGGTGTAGAGGGGGAAAGAACATAATTCCGCGCACATTGGAGAAGGTACCCTACCCGTTACAACCCAGATCGGACCCCAAGGTACGAATCGGGGGCATAAGGTGTAAAGAAACCCCATTTTCTCTATAAAAAAATGGACACAATGTCCAGATACCATAATCGTTATTCTGTCGCAGCTTTTTCCGTAGCACAGGTAAGAGCGGGCTAATATACAATGTATGATGTCATCGTGCTGACCGCCTCTCCCCCTTTCGGGGCCGCGGCGTGGGAAAGGAAGACCAGAATATCCCGCGCAAAAAAATAATCATACCACTCCCCTGGATCGTCCGGCGGAGGTTTTGTCACCTTTGGGAGAGGGTTCGGGGCGGGGGTTTGCGAGAGTCAAGGATAACCATGTTTTATTCTTATCCAGTTCATTGCGATATTGTACTTTGTATGTGCATTTGGTATTTCTGTATCTACGTCGCGTTCCTGCTTTCCCCCTGGTGGAGTATTCATAATTTCCCGAGGACGGTGGAAACGATCATCCAATTCCTTTACTCTACCGGTACCTAGGTAGTCTAGGAGATCCCAATAAGAGTAGTACGTATGTAGGTATCGAGAGCTTTAGGGTGTAGTTCTTTCAAGCTCTGTCGATGTCTTGGCATTCGAACAAGTCGAGCCGCATGGTCACCTTCCCCCACAGCTTGGCACTCGTCCGAATAAGTATGGAACCCAGGAATGGAATGTCCCTCTCGGCCGTCTCCACGAGGATTGGTTATACTACCCGGGGAACGGGGCTTAACGAGTACGCAAATGGTGTGAGGGCATTCTGAGACGATACACTCTCGGCTGAACAATTTGATAACCGACCTGTCCTCGATCATTTTATTACACTGGCTTCCTCGCTTATGTGAAATAGCCTATTATGTACAATGTCGGACCATACACTCGCATCTATGGCATCTTGATTGAGCATATCGAGTGCAAAAGGTAAAAAGCCCGATTAGCTGACAGCTCCTCCACCTTGTTTCCAGGCTTGAGCCATAGCCAACAATTTCGACAGGTCTTGCTTCTGCTCGTCATCCGCGGGGAAAACGTAGTCGATGTACTCCTCATACGTGTCGTCTTCAAGTTTGCGCCTACGCTTGGTTCTCCGTGGCATTTGCTTCTGGACCTTCTCGATATCTTCTGCCGAGCCGTGGGTGCGCTCGAAGGCCAGCCAGGCATTAAGCAGGGAAACTCTCTCTTCCTTGAGCTCTTTCTCCTTCATGCGTTTATGAGCGCGCTCAAATACACTGCGAGCCCTAGTTTTCGCCTCCTCGCTGACAGGTCGCTCCTCTTCCTCACCTGTTTCTTCCTCCTCTTCTTCTGGGATGTTGATCTCGAAATGCGCGTAGCTAATCCAGACCTTGACATGATCCGTCTTCTCTAGCAATCTCTCGTATAGATCACGTGTCTTCTCATACTCACCCTCCTCTTCCTCGAAATCAATATATGCCTTCCATAGTAGCTCTGGCATATCTAGAACTTGTTGATTAATGGCAAGTTCGAAAATGGCTCTCGTCCTGTCAAGATCATCTAATCCTCTTTCGAGCTCGGCGAATTTGATCCATGTTTGACAGTTGGCTGGGTTCCACTCTATATGCTTTTCGTAGAGTGTTCGGCATCGCACGAATTCGAACAATTTCAGTTCAAGCTCGATATAGCCCTTGAACAATTTGTCTTTCGGGCACATACCAATCGCTTGTCCGAGAGTCTTTCGCGCAGTCGTTAATTCGCCCTGTCTTATCTCAAACTGTGCTCTTAGTAGCCAGACCTTAGCAAAGGTGAATTTCTTGTGGGGGATTAGGTCGAGGCATAGTTTGTAAATTTGGCGTGCTCTGTCAATGTCCTTGGCCTCCATCTCCTCCCAGATTGCGTAGAAGATCCACAAGTAGATGTATCGGCGCCAATGCCTTTTCTCCTGTGTCGGCGGGATTTGAGCCACAGCTCGCTCGTACACATCCCTCACTCGATCTAGGCTGCCCGAAGTCTCCTCTAATCGTGCGTAATCGAACCATATATCATAATTCTTCGGGTTCTCTTTGATCTGATCTTCGTAAAGCCGCCTCCGTTTTGATAGGATAACGTCCTCGACGCCGTCTCGGTCGCCATATTGTTTCTCGAAAGTGGTGTAAGCCTTATGCAACCCCATAGATTTTGATCGAGGAAGGCGATCTAGGGCATACTTGTAAATAGCCCTGGCCCGCTCATACTCTTTGAGTTTGGCCTCAAATCTAGCGTAGGCGATGAAGAGTCTCTCGTCGACGAATTCATCTCCTAAGGCTTCGACCGCGGAACCAAAAACCTCCCTGACCAAATCGCTAGTCCCATATTCCTCTTCGAATTTAGCCCATTTAATCCAATTGCGTGGCTCCGGGTGTACGATTGTGAAGCGTTCGAAGATATCACGAGCCCGCTGAAATTCACCATACCGCTTCTCCATTTTGATGTAGGCACTCCATGCTGCCTCGTCCGGTTCCCATGACATCCACCTCTCGAAGACTTGTCGCGTTCCGGGGATATTACCCAGCATCTCCTCCATGTAGACATATTTATACCATAATTTGTCGACTCTGGGCAGGATGGTGACGGCACGGTCAAGGAGATTTCTCGCATGATTAATATTCCTATTCTTCATCTCGGCCTCGATATATCGAATCCATAGCACAACAGATGTCGAATCGACGTCCAAAGCTCGTTCGAAAATGGATCGCGCCCGCTTAAACTCTTTCTGCTCAAGCTCCCATGCAGCATAGCGCATCCAATTGTTCATGTTAATCCTATTTCGGCGGACATAGTCTTCGAACTCCCTCCGTTTCCGGCCTTGAAATTCATGAAGCTCTTCTAGGTCGCCAAAGCGCTGGGTCGGCGCTTGTAGGGACGTCTCCTGTCTGTCGACTGCTTCTCGAAGCAGCTGTTCGGCGGAGATTTGAATAGGCGCGGCGGCCTTATTCTTGACCCTCGGAGGGCCCCGTGAGGACTCCATGACGAGCTAGAAACAAATTACGCGCGTGTGTGTGTGTGGAGAGATCTGTATTTGTGACGAGGAGCTGGAGAAAATGTTGGTCAGAGGAAAAGGGAAATATGAAGGTGGTTGTGATGAGCATGTATGATCTGCCTGGATCAAAACAGAAAAAGTTAACAAGGCTGAAAAGTAGCAGCAAAATAATTAAACATGGCCCCGGCCAATATACGGATAAATAAGTTTTGCCGATAAAGCAAGCACGGATTCCGAGAAATGATTGGAGAAGGAGCTTTACCTTACCCACATTAAATTGCAATCGCGACTCGAGGCTGCGACCAACTTTTGAACCTTAAACTTTCTCTTTCTAATTTTGCCGTCGCATCTGGAAATTACCCAACAACATAAAATAACGGCTTTATTGTCATCCGCGTTGAAACGACATTAACTCGAAGAATTGCGTTAATTTGACACCAAGCCAAAGAAAGTTCGCGTTTTCGGTATAACCTCTTCCGCGACCGGTCGACGATAGATTACCTTTCGACGCCATGTCGACCCTCGCAGACGAGCTGCTGCAGGACTTTGAGGATTCCGGTTCCGAGAATGGAGAGGAGCAAAATGATATTGGACTTGACCTCGAAGGCCCAGCTGTCGGTCCTCCGGCGAGCCACGAGGACGGCGACATGATGCTTGATGGTGATGAAGAAGCAGAACCTGATGAGGATGAAGAAATGAGTGGCATGAATGGTGGTGTTACCGAGCCCATGGAGGATGAAGAAGCAACTAAGGCTAAGGTAGAGAAGATGCAGTTGGGCGGAGTCAAGGACATTCGCAAAGTTACCACCGTTATGGATAGGTTGGAACCTCTCCTAAAGGTTAGTCTATCGCCCACCCCCCTTTTATATCCTACGAGTGGCGATGAAGTGTTTACATCTCCTGCTTTGAGCTACAGATCTGACCGACTGGTTACGACCTTATAGGATATCGCACATTACCAATCAAAACCTCTTGCGCCGCACACGACCAATATAGGTAACATTGAGGATAACCCTGAGTACAAGATCCTCACTGAATCCAACACTCTCTCCACCCAGATCGATGGCGAGATTATGAAGGTCCACAAGTTTATCAGAGACCACTACTCCGCTCGGTTCCCCGAACTTGAAACTCTCGTACAAAATGCTATCGAGTACGCCAAGGTCGTCGCCATTCTTGGAAATGGGCCTATGGATTCGGACAGCATAAAAGCTCTTCAAGGCTCTACTGATAACCCTCTGGGCGAGTCTCTCAAGTCAGTTTTGGACGGCCCATCATTGATGATTGTCACTGTCGAAGCCACAACGACCAAAGGCCACGAAATAAGCCAGGAGGAGCTTGAGCGCATTCTTAGGGCCTGTCATATGATGATCAAGATGGATAAAGCTAAGAAGACACTTACAGACTACGTGCAGTCTCGAATGAACATATTTGCGCCCAACCTAACGACACTGGTTGGATCCTTGACTGCTGCGCAACTGATCAACAACGCCGGAGGTCTAACGAATCTATCTCGAACACCCGCATGCAACCTGGCCGCTTGGGGGTCCAAAAGGTCAGGGAACACAGCATTCGCTACTAACGTAGGTGTTAAACAGCAAGGCTACCTGTATCATTCACCAATCATTCGTGGTATTCCAAACGATCTGAAAAAGAAGGCTATGAAGGCAGTAGCAGCGAAGCTTGTCTTGGCTGCACGCGCAGACACGGGCCACACAAACCCCGATGGCTCATACGGTGAAGAGTTAAGAAGCCAATGCTTGGAGAGATTGGATAAGTTAACGGAACCACCTCCAAACAAAGGTCAGCGAGCTCTACCGGCCCCTGACGACAAGCCCTCGAGGAAGCGAGGTGGTCGACGAGCGCGCAAGGCGAAGGAGGCAACGGCGATGACCGAGCTGCGCAAGGCACAGAACCGCATGGTATTCGGTAAAGAGGAGAAAGAAACCGACTACGGTATAGGAGATTCTACTGCGGGCATGGGAATGATTGGCCAAACGAACGATGGGAGAATCCGGGGAATGCAGATTGATAATCGGACCCGAGCCAAGCTTAGCCAAAAGCACAAGGGCTGGGGAGGAGCTACGCCTATCGGTGGTTCAGCTTCATCGTTACGTGGCTTCGGCCAATCAGGCAATAACATCGACCTTCGCGGTAAGGGTCTACGAACTTCCGGGGTAGGATCCACCATCGGCGGCGGTGCGGGGACAGCCTCTTCTCTAGCATTCACGCCGGTTCAGGGACTAGAGCTTGTGGATCCCAAGGTTCAAGCTGAGCTTAATCGCAAGAGAAAGGCGGAAGAGGATCGTTGGTTCAAGGGCGGCACCTTCACCCAGGTTGCCGGAGGCGGGACTGCTAGTAGTGCCAATGGCGGCTTCAAGGTTCCTGGACAACCGCCTAGCAAGAAAGTCGATACCGGCGCTGGAAAGATGGGACCGCCATCGGTTCCCGCTAGGAAATAAACCGAAGAAAAAACCGGGCCACAAGTAGCCGAGGGTCCCGTGAGACGGGTTTTTCTTCTTCTTCTGCAATGTACGAGGGCGGCAAACGTTAAGGTATGGTGTCCCAACGGACGGCGGGGGTTTAGCTTGCTATTTTCTTACAGCATGAATAGTTTAGGGTCGGTCGCATGGTCAACGGCGTTCTCGGATGGGAGTCCAACAAGTCTTAGACTACGCGAGATCACCAAAACGGTTAGGCTTATGTAGTTAACTCTGTCATGTAACTACCAACGATACCTTGTGAACATCCGTCTTCGTAAACTTAATTCGTGAAGGCCACGCCATCCGAACATACTGACTCAACTTTATTATCTAATTGCTTTGCTCGTGCTTTTGACTATAGCTAAAGTGTTCTACTGCGGCGTCACGAGAAATTCATGATAAGGTGGGAAAGGGGGAGACATGGAATTATAGGATCGTCCCAGAATTCTGTTTTTCGGCTGACGCAGACGCACGTAACGGCCACGAAGGCACGACATTGTGCCGCAAGGTATGTACGTTGGGGGTGGCCCCTTGGGTCTAAGCTGGGACCCGGTGCCGAAGCCGGGACCCTGGGAGACTCACACAGATCTCGATCCGGGGAGGAAAAGTTCCCTCCCTGTGCTCATGTCGTGAGACCAAGGGGAGAGAGCGGCGCGTGGGTTACACGGGCGAGGTTCCGGAATTTCGTGGCTATGGGAAAATCAAAAGAAGAAAAAATGTATATTCCCTAGCTCGAATACCCTGATAAAAAAAAATTGGACAAGTAAAAAAACTGGGTGCAGGGTTGCAACTGGACCCGGACCCCCCTTATTTTATTTTTTCGGTATTATTAATCTTGACGCTACTGGCTGGAAATGGATGGGCTTTTTTACACGCTGTCATTTAGAGGCGTAGTCGCGTATCACACGTGAAGGAGGAGGCGATGGGACGTGGTGGGAGGCGAAAGAGGGGAAATGGGGATAGGCGAGGGAAGGGAAAAGAAAAAGGGGGAAAAAAAAGGGGAAAGTTGGGAAAAGGATGGGAATCTGGTGAAACTCGCACGCTCCGAGGATGGGATTTTGGGATTTGTGTCTGGTGAGGCCGAGAATTCCCATCCGACCCTGTTTTGCGTGCGACGTGGACGAACCTTGCAACACCACTTATACCGAGGATCCATTCCATACATGGACCGGTACTCTTTTTTCTTCTTCTCGTCCCTTATTTGCTGCGTGGTTATTGCGCTGGCGAAATTCGGGAGGGCGGTAGGGATTTGTGATCTCATTGCTGGGAATTTCTCTTCTTTTTTTTCTTTGCATTTTCTTTTGTTTGGTTAGTCCTGCAGGGACTCGGCCGACGATAGTCCCTAACTATGACACGTTTTTGCTGTGTGTACCTACGTATGTAGTAGTGTATGTGCAGATGGGTAATTTTCCCCTCGGCAGCACGGTCACCCGCGCCCGCAGGACGGCTCATGCTTTCGAACGCTGATCCTCGCGAAGATCAAGTCGTCAGGTTATGAGGGAAAAACAGGATTTCGTCATCTATGATCACGGTTCCGCAGCGCGGGGTAGAAAATTGGCAGCAGATGTGCACTAATCCATGTCTTCTCCGTATAAGCATACATAGTAGGTAGCTATCCATTTGTCGATTGTACTATGTATAGGTGTCAAGTATCTACGACTTGTCTCCCAAGTAACGAGTCAGGTCTCTACCGCTAGCTATGTATAAATGGTTATCAGATAATGAAAACATCCATGGGTCCGTTTATGTTGGGGGTAACCCATCTTTTAGATAGTTAATTATGCGGAGACTGTAAAAAGGTAAGCAGGTAAGGTAGACTGATAGACAAATTCTGGAGTGCTTGTGATGACTTACATACAGTACTAGTGCACTTAGTACGCAGAACTTCGAGCTTTGCGACGGACGTTTCGACAACTAAGGTATAAGTGATCACCGACGGCCTACGGTAGGGCTGGGCCGTCTTGGCCGTCCACATTTTCGAGAACGCCTGAACACGAACAATCCCTACTATATATGTAGAATTTTTAGTTCGTGGGCTAGACCGGGAACTTAGTAATGAAGGACTGGAAGAACGGGGACCCACGATCGTGCGCGAAGCTTGGGGTTACCCTTAATACCTATGTATGTAGCTTGCCTGCATGTGCGTGCCGGGCGGCCGGCGCAGGTTCCAGTCTCTTACACTGGACGGGTTGTTCGCGACCGCGGAGCTCCGGACAGGAAAGCACGGCTTCCACGATATCGTCCCGGAAATGCATACCGCTTTGGAACGACGGCTGGGACGATGTCAAGACGAGCATCGGGCCATTTTGATTTAAGAGAGTCGTGTTTCCGTGTTTCCTGCCGCATGTGTGGACATTTCTAATCGACATCTGTCTTATCGCACAATGCTGCGATCTTATGGGATACTACAATAGGTGCCGGTGTGTTCGTGGCAGACCTACCTTACAAGGTTCTATTCCTATTGGCTTCGAACTGCTGTTGTATTCTCGTTGTGAATCCTACTGCATCTTATGTACTTACCTAAGTATATACATCTAATAGTTCTCGTACATGGCTCTGTGTGCTATACGGGGCTAGGGGCTAGATAGAACAACAGATCAAAGCTACGTGCGTATCTTGCAGAATTCTTCGAAACGCGAGTCAGTCTTTCACATAGGCTCATAGTATACCCTCGGCGCAGGGAAACACGGACCTTGTCATGTTAGCTCGGTTCCAGTCTCTGCTCTGCAAAGGGGTTAGTGGGGTGACAGCGAGGACGAGGATAGAGGGTCTAGACTTGACGAAACAACATGTACATCTCAGTTTGTGAGTAGAAAATACCCATGAGGTGTGCATCATGATTTCGTTTTTTCCCATCCTATTGCCAGATTTGCCGTGCTGCATGTGATTTTTGTTATCTAGGAACCCTTCACGAGCCGGTGAATCGATCTGTCAACATGCAAGCAAGCGAGGTGAACGATACATACCATGCCGCCGTGGCAATCGAAAGGCCATCATACCGTGACGATGCGGAGATAGACTATTAAAGCTTAGCAGTAACAAATTTTCTGCGACGACTCTTTGACTGTTTATCGACTGATACTCGAACGAGTTGCGTCCTTCGATGTGGATCCTTACTTGCATATCGTCTGGACTATAACAGGGGTTAAGCTCCTAGCTGAGTTGCTGGGTACGGGGTACCATCCGGCACCCAATGGGTTCGCTGGGTTTGTCTTCCTAAAACGGACGCCATATGTATTAGGCAAGGTCCAGGCCTTTTGTCAGTTATGTATGTATTGTCAGTTATGTATCAGAACCGACGGGAATCGGCTTCCCAAGAGGCCTTAGTCCAAGAAGCGACCAAGGTGCCGAGCCGGAATCAAGGCAACCACGGACGTGGAAGGATGTGATGGGCAGTCACGACTTGGTCTTCGGGAAGCTCGGCCGGTTCGAGGTAGGTGGACCTAACGCTCCGAAACTCACCCATCCCCGTGATAGCCCCGCGAAAGCCAATTCGCGAAAGAGAAGTTACATTTGCGTCATCGTGATATTATATTGCCGTATTCACGAAGTACGAAGAATGCATATCAAGGTGACTTATACGAGTGGACGCGTAAGTGTTGGGACGGCAGAGGAAAGCCGGTATGTAGAAATGAGTGCCTACCTAGGTTTCAATGAACGAGAGAGTATAGAGCTGTTGTATTGAACGTGTCAATGTTTACTCGCTGTCAATATAAAGACTCTTGGGCCAATGATAGAGTAAGCTTATTCGTCCATACGAAGATGGGATCGCTAAATGGCTCACATAGTCGTGTTGCCGTCTGGAGTTGATGATCTATCACTCGATACCTAACTCAGGTTTAAAGATAATCTGTAACATACCGCTTTTAGAGATTGTCGCTCTGATGTCTCGGCGGCATTTCAAGAGCGCGCACACACACACATATATCCATATCCGTCCGCTATTAGTTATAAAACTCGTCTAATGAGGTACCTACCTACTTCAAAGGTCTACCCAGACCGTTCGTTTCCGGGAACGGGAGGCCGCAAAGGTTGGCGCGCATAGAAGAAAAAGAATTCCAGAATGCCAGGGACCACCAAACTGCACCATCTCGTCTATTGGGCTAATGCAAAATGTAGTATTATTAGACCGCCAGAAGCCTTTAGAATTTTTGATGGGACGAGCCCGGACGAGATGGTCGATTTACAGATTCAGGGGAGCATGACGGCGTATGCAAAGCCAGGGCCCCTGGCTGCTCAGCGATAAGTTGGCCCTACGGAAAGATACGAAGTATTCCAAGCTGTCCAAGCTGTCCAAGCAGTCCAAGGTCGCTGCCAAGAAGTACCCAGAGGGGTGTTCCTGTAATGTGGGCTGAGTGGGCTGGGTGGACCACCATGCTCGCGATCGTCTCTGGCAATCGACGATTGCCCAACATTGTCGAGATCTTTGTGTTGCTGATGTGCGGAGCGTTCTCCTCAACCCTAGAAAATTTGCTGCGCTTGCAGGTGCCAGGTGGGATATTAGCGGGCGGACCGAGGGAGACAGGGCAGAAATGTTGGCCATTTACCGCTCCGTTTAATCCATTCCGGTAGGTAGTACTCTCTTTTATTTATTATCCGCATCATCATCGTCGCTGTCTAATCGCTCCGAAGCGGGAATTGTCCTGCGAGAATTTGTAAAGGGAGTAAGACGCCTGGGGAGCCCCGGGAGGCTTCAAGGGCCTTAACATCAGATTCTTAGCGCAGGATCGAAAGACCCTGAATTTAGTCGGTTTAATTGAAGGCCTGACTGCCTGAGTATGTACATACCTGTATTAAATATCACCGGTTCTGCGAAGCTACCTACATGTGCAGCATGTAAGTAGGGCTTACATCGTATACCGTTTCTATACTGTACTTAAACTGTATGTAGGGCCAGGGCTATGGTCGTGTAGGTACCAGATGTAGGTAAGCATCCTAGCAAGCCACATCAAGCCTCCTTTGTGTGAGTGTGTGAATGTGTGAAGAGTGGTTAAGAAATCCCAGGTTGGAAGTCCCTTAACGCTGCAGTGTTCATTATTCGGATATTATGTCTAGGGACTTTTTGACGGAGAGACCCTTCTTTTCGCAGACGTCTGTAGCTATGGATGTCCTGCGAAGAGTTTGCTGTAGAAAAGAAATACCCGTACCTCCGTGCCTTGTTAAGGTACCTAGTGGTTTTTTTGGTTTTTTTTTCTCTTTCGGCCCCTTGCCTCTAGCCAATACAGACCCACAACGACCGATGTTTAAGGCAGATCTCTCTCCAAAAATCCGATCGCTGATAATCGAGACAACACCCTGATTCCGGGGCTTCATTCCTTTCTACTTCGTGACATCATTCCGGCTTCTTCCCAATTCTCCCGCTTTCCTTTCCCTCTTCGCGCCAACATTATCCTGCGACATCCAGGGTACCCAACTGAGAACGCAGGACAGGTATCTTTCGCTTCAAACTCTCTACTAGCGTTCTAGGACATATCTCTCCGACCTGGTGCTCCCCACGGCACGCTCTGAAGGAGGGTTGTTCTCGTCCTCTCATGGACCCTTAATAATAAATCAATAACTAGCGACACACGTTGCATAGATAGACTTGCCGAGTTGGCGCTTTGTGAGACCCAAACGTAAATGTGGCTTAATATGTACTATCTGGTGTGCGTACCCACAGGTCTGCACGAAGGGGAAAGTGATGGCCGGGGATCGAGATGAAGGGTGTGGGTGGTGGGTGGTGAGTGGTGAGTGGTGAGTGGTGACTAGGAAGAATCGAATTCTGAAAAAGCGGCATTCTAAAATGCCATTCAGGGTCCGGGTATCGCCCATGTACCTTCGCCAATTGCTCCATGTACCTCAATCCGGTACCGTTTTGACGCAATGTCTCTTGGCGCCACCGACGAATCATCGCCCTCCATTTTTAAACTGGAGCTTGAGGCGTCGAGGGCGCAGACCGAAGGACCACGCTTACTTACCTAACCGCTGCACCAAGGGTATCTTTGTGAACCCTTGGGCCAATGCCGCCTTGTAGCTGACTTAACGGTAAAGGGTCTTTATCTGTAGGTATTATTCGACGGAAGGTTGTGACAAGAGCTGTCTAGTAATTGGAGTATGCAGCACACATACTTGATCCTGCATAATCAGAGGATGAAGTAAACGAAATACCAGGCTAAGAAGTTTCTCCCTTATAAGAGACGAGATAATAAACGTATGACTATTCGATAATGTTTTTGAACGTATGGTTAGTAAAAAGAAGTATAGCTATATAAATCCTCCATCCATTGGATCTATAGTTGCCCAATGGTATGATGGAAACAACTATCACTAATCACCTAATTCTTATGAACCACGTCCGGGTTTATTTTCTAAAAAGTGGCTTGATGTAAATCCTTTAGGTCACCTTCTGAAGCCCAAGCTTATATAAAACAAGCTCAGAAAATGAAAGTATTGGTTAGTCAGGTAAGACGGATTAGACAGCTTGGCCAGCCTCCTACGTCACAGCTAATATCCTGCCCAGTCACCGAGACATGAGCTGGCTTATGTACATAGACGGTAGCCATATATCTAGCTCGTGAGGTTTTGTTTCTCCTTATAAGTGGGCTTTGGACGGGAGTGAAGCACGACAGCTGGAATGCGAATCAGGGACCCAAGCAACAGATCCGGTGGTGCTGGCATCCTGAAATAGATATCAGGAACGCCGCACCCAGGAGAAAGCAAGCCAGATATGCTAGGAAGATCCGGACAGTGCAACATCTAAACGTGCCTGCTGATCATTAGTACGTACCGCGAGCTGCGCGAGTCAAGGTGAGCCGCTACGTACCTGTCTCATGGAGATGATTCTCAGGGCTGAGGTATGTAATTCGTCGAATACCTTGCTCCCAACCTGACCTTGCATGCAGAGGTACCTATATGATGTACATATTCACGAGCTTAGCTGGGTAGTTCCGAGAAAGGATCTATGAAGCCTGACCCTCATAGAGCGGGATCAATGAGAAATCCCCTCGTACTGCATGGAGAAGCTAGAAAGACTTGTGTCTGCGTACCGAATTAGCGGCTGTTTTCGTCAGGGACAAACAATCAAGCCAAATTTGGTAACGAGGAAAAGCATCCCCTCATTAACTGATGTCGAGTCAATGTTGCATGCATCTTGGTTAAGTTCGAAGCTCCGGTCCGCGTCAGCCCACCTTATAAGTCGTATGTATGTATCATTGACGTTTATGTAGCTGTAGATGCAGATGTGAGGTTAGTTTATACGAGAAATTGCTCTTTAGGATTGCATACGGCCTGCATGGATAATATTGAGTGTTGATGTTCTAGAATAACGAATAACGGTCTGTTGGTCTGCTGGCCTGATTGTCACCATTGATATCATCATAGATTCGTAGATGAGGATAAACACCGAAAATCTCGATAGCAGAGCCTTACGATTTGACCGGGTGCGTAGCGTATAAGAATAGGCGGTGACCGGCGATCTCTCTTTCTTTTCTTGTTCAAGGTTGACCAGGGTTGACTTAGGTGTACTTGGGCGCTTGGCTCCATATGACTGAGGGGTACATCCCGAATACTTTGTCAGGTCCAAGTCAGTTATGGGATGGATCGAGTCCCATCCCCATGTGTCTCTCCAACCGCTCCCCGCTTTCACTGCTTTTTTGGAAACCAGTTGCTAAGAGTTGCAGGGCCAGGGGGCCCTGTGGGACTTGTGGGACTTGTGGAGCTGAATGGGACATGTGGGACTTGTATACTTTGTAGCCCTTGTACATCTCTACTTCCATATATACATTATACAAATATACATACCTGGATATACTGGGATACTGCGTAGACGTACCACTTGCACGCACACATAAGGGAAAGGGAAAGGGAAACTGGAACTGGATCGGATTCCTCTTTCCCATCCATGAATGCTCTCACTTCTTTTTAACCAACAAACTTCCCGTCGTATCTCACATGGGAAAGCTCCTCCGATCTGCCTCACTTCTTCTCAACCTTTGTTCGAGAACATCCTTAGAACCCTCCCAAATCCCCCTCCGCTACCTCTTCATCCCATTTCCCGTCGCTATATACATAGACCCTGGATGTGTTTAACTAGGCCCAATCTAGCTTGAGCTTACCTGTGCGCGCATACACAAACGCACATAATTATACTTTGCCGAATAATACAACCATCCCACCTTCACCCGTCTCGTCGCGTCCTTCGAACTCGTCCCAATCTTAGCTACCGCCCGCCAAAGCCTTGTCTATCTTCGGGGCATGCTTGATTAAGCACGAATCCGCATCAACCACATAGTTAGCGGCATAGTTCGCGGCATAGTTCGCCCACACTTTGAAAGGTCCATTCCACTGCTGCTTGCCCTTGCTACAGCGGTGTGAGCTTCACATTTTCATAAGAATTGATCAGCGTACGAAAGACGCTTGGATACCACAACAGCTTTGGCAGTTTAAATAGAAATTGAACTTTCATTCCTCATCTTCCGCGCCCTCCCACACACGTCAAAAGACAAAATGCACGCTCGAGACGCCACCGGCCGTCAGGTCTCGCTTCTAAACGATGATCCATACGCCAGTCACCAGTCATACCAAACTGCTCCCCACTATCAATCCGCCGGCGACCAATCGCCGCCACCCCACACTCCAGAGCTTCTTCGTTCAGATTCTTACGATTCTAACGCCAGCTACGACGCTTTCTCCCCATTGACGCCTGGTCTATATGACTACACCTCGAGGCAGCTTTATGATGATTATCTTCCTGATCAGCAGGCTGGCATGAAGCGACCTGTCTACGTCGCAACGAGCCGCTCAAACTCGTACGAGGATGATAGCTCCGCTAGCTCGGCGGCGCCTGAGAAGGCTGGCAAGCGCTACCCCTGCCGGTACCGCGACAGCCATGGTTGTGAGAAGACGTTCACAACTTCGGGTCATGCTTCTCGTCACTCTAAAATTCACACTGCCGAGAAGGCTGTTCAATGCACATACCCTGGATGCCACAAGAAATTCACTCGCGCAGACAACATGAAACAACACCTCGAAACTCACTTCAAGGACAAGTCAAGGTCTTCGACCTCGTCCAAATCTAAGAGCTCGTCACTGTCTTCATCTTCTAAGAGGGGCTCAGTATCCTCCAAATCATCATCCCATGGCAACGGACCTTCCCACGAGGTGCAGATGTGGGAATCCGAACAATATGGTTCCGACGCTCAGCCACCACTTGCATCCCCTGGCGGCGCCTGGGATATGCGCGGCCTTAACATCCCTTTGATGAGCCGGCCAAGCGCGGTGAGAACCAGCAGCGGATTAGACGCCCTTGCAGCGATTGCATGCCAGGAAGGTGCCTAGGATTTCCTTCGTTACATGTTCTCCTACTTTCTGACGCCGGCACGGAACCGAGCGGTACCCGATTGAGTAATGACGGGGTAATGGATGGGTACGGCTCTCCCTGTATGTTTACAGGGATAGATACGACTTGGATTTGTTTTGAACACGGCGTTTGGGTATATTCAGGATCATACTCACGGACTATACTATTGATACCAGGGTGGCAAGCATACGATGGCGCACCTCATTATTTTTGCATATTCCATTCCAAAGAACGGCCGGGAAAAGCACTTAAGGAGCATAAGTGCTTCTCTCGCTTCTCTGCGCCTGTGGCGCGATTGCCAGGGCTGGCCTGCTCGTCGCCCTCGATTCTTACTTTGGAAGAAAAAAAGGTTGTAGCAGATGTACAGGCGTCAGTCATGGCGAGTGCATGTTTGTGCTTGCATATACGAGCTGATTATCAGGCGCACGGGATTCGCGCCGCGGACCTCGTCAGCAAAGGTCCTATTGCCGAAAGGGGTGGCATTTTTTATCTGCTTGAACACCTATATATACATGACGCTGGGTTAGGCTTTAGATACCAACGTCCGCCCAGACAGAAAAGGGGGCGGATGGCATACGAAAATGAGAAGCAATGTTTAATGATAAAACTCCAATATTCTCCCATCTACAATTTACCTAAACTTGCATAGTACATTTTGAACATATGAAGTGCCGTTTAGGATAGCGGACTCCCCCGACTGACTAAGCATAGGATTGAGCCTTCTAGAAAAAAGGGGCTCCGGAGATGATGGGGATGCCGGCATGTTACGAACGAATCTATCTGACTAGATGAGCGATTCCCGACGGTTGAGGATTTTGTTTCAATGACGACTGTAACACCATTCACGACCAAGTCCCTGATCTTGGCATGGACCCTGATAATACATCAACTGCCTCTCTTCTCCCCGGGCGATGCATATGTGCGTATGCCATACCTGGTAGTGTGTGCGACCGCATGGCTGCCAGCCTGCCGCTGGTTTCCGGGTAGCACAACGTCTTTCGGTACCATTTTGATGGGGCCATTTCCTCGGGCGAATCAATTTTGGTCGACGCTTGTGGGAAGGTGATGAAATTTTTTGGAGTCCTGTCTAACACTATTATACAGTAGCGCGAGTATGTACGACACCTGGCTTTAGCTAATTTGGTAAGTTTGGTACCTACATAAGTATACTAATGCGTATGTATATGGCGACCGGCAAAGCTATAGTTGGGCGCATTTGACCCTACTACGTATAATGCAATGCCTTAGCTAAACAAACATACATACAACGTTCTCTAGGGGCGGAGTGGTCTCCTTTAGGAAATGGGGCGCCGGGGGACGGCGCACGCGGAGTTTTGGTGCGAAAAATGATTCTATCGTGGGATCGGAAGCGCCGACTATTGTGCTCGCGATCGCGTATACGCTTTCCTCATCGAGCTTTTGAGCCCGTGATGTCATCTTGCATCGGCGCATCATCACGATCGTGACCCGTTCCCCCCTGATCCTGGCTCGGTCCCTGCCTCGCACACGCGCCCCCAACCGGTCGAAATCCTCCGCGAACCAACAGGACTACCTCGTTTGAGGAAATCTCCATCGTCTTTTTTACTATTGTAACAAGTCATATATGCTGGGGAGCTGACAGGTATGTATGTAACGATGCTGGGTCGGCGGGTCTGCCCTCGTGCCTGTCGATCATCTCGATCATCTACAGTACCTACCTCACTCATTCAGGCGGGGGATTCAGCATTACCCTACCCCAGAGGTAGGTATTCGTAATGGTGCGACGAGCACCTTGTTCGGCTTCAATTCCTTTTTTTTCTCTTCATACAAGCCTGAAGAGGCACAAGGTATATAGGTACAGTTCGAACATTGATGAGAACTTATTTGATAACTTCTAAATGCAGCTGGATATAACCCAAATACCCAGGTCCAAACCCCTTAAAAATCAACATGATATTACATAATTCCCGAATTCCAAACGCCCTGCCGTATGCCCGTCGACCCGTCTACCTGTATTACTTAGGGACCCCAGGTAAGTTGTGCGCCACCCCATTTCCCTCATCCCTTATTACCACAGCTCCTCGTTCTCGGCGCAGCCCCGCGCCATCTCGAACTGCTCGTCCGTGCGACAGACGAGCGTCCGGTGCCTGGCGTACTGCTTGCCGACGTCCTGGACGACGTTGGTGATGGCGGCGGCGTTGAGTTTGGGATCGAGGCGGAAGCCGAGGCACTCGGTCTGGGCGACGACGGCGGCCCTCAGCTTGTCGCTCTTCTCGCCGATGCCGCCGGCGAAGACGAGCGCGTCGACGCGCCCGCCCAGCGAGACGTAGTACGACCCTACAAAAGCGCAGATGCGGTCGACGAGCAGGTCGAAGGCGAGCTTGCACTTGGGGTCGTCCTCGCTGTTCGCGATGACGCCGAAGTTGGTCGTCCCCGTCAGCGCCTTCCACCCGCTCTGCTTGTTGAGGATCTCCTCGGCCACCGAGATGTGCAGCTCCTTCGTCGACGAGGGCGACAGCTTCCCGACGTCGCTGGCGTAGTGGAATACCAGCGACGGGTCCACGCTGCCGCTGCGCGTGGCGCCCGGCAGGCCCGCGAGGGGCGTCAGCCCCATACTAGTGTCCCAGCTCTGGCCGTCCTTGATGGCGCAGGCGCTGGCGCCGGAGCCGAGGTGCAGGGCGATGATGCTGAGCTCGCTCGGGTCGCGGCCGAGGTAGTCGGCGACGGAGCGGGTGATGAAGGAGTAGGAGATGCCGTGGAAGCCGTACTTGCGCAGCTGGTTGTTGCGGGCGATGTCCTGGTCGATGGGGTAGGTGCTGATGTGGGGCGGGATGGTGGCGTGGAACTGGGAGTCGAAGTAGGCGACGTTGAGGGCGCTCGGCAGCTCGTCCATGCACGACCTGATGATGTGCAGGGCGTTGGCGTTGTGCAGCGGCGCCAGGTCCGTCAGCCGCTCGAGGTGGTGGTAGGTGTCCGGGGTGATGAGCTTGGCGGTCCGGTAGTCGCCGCCGTGGACGACGCGGTGGCAGGCGACGGAGATGTCGCTCTTGGCCGAGATCTCGGGCAGCTCCGGGTCGCCGGTAAGCGTGGTGAGGATCATCTTGAAGGCGTCGTCCTGGTCGGCGACGCCGTCGGCGCCGGTAAGCTCCTCGTGGCTCTTGACCCGGACGTCGCCCCGCAGGTAGCTGATCTGGGCGGGCGGGGCGGTGAGCCCGCTTATCTCGGCCTCGGCGAGCTGCTTCGGCGGCTCCCTGAACCGTGCGGCGTAGGCGGAGATCTTGACGGAGCTGGACCCCGCGTTGATCGAAAGGATGATCTTGGTCATGGCTTTTTGGTTTATGTGGTTCTTGTGTTCTGCTACTATATGCGGTGTAGTATTGCGGTAGTGCGTTTGGCCGGGTTTCGGTAGCGAATGATATTTCAAGACTGCTCTTGGTATGGCTCTGATTGGCGGGGTGATGTTCAAAAACAGTTGCCCGGGTGGGTATAATCGAGTGCAACTGTGCAACTGTGGGTGAGTAAGGCTGGTAAGGTAAGGTAATATGAAGTAAGGTACGATGTAAGTAACGGTTACGGTTGCAACCTTAATTTGTGACAGATGCGATGTTAGCTGGATGGTAATTGCTTGATGCCGAGTCTCCCTTTTCCCGATCTCATGTGGTTGCGCTTCCGGCAGTTTATAGGGTTTGGGAAAGCGCCCTCTCTCGCTCCTCTCTGTGGTCTTTTTTAGTTGAAGCGTATACATACTTCGGTCGGTTTGCCCCGCCCCTGCCCGCCGCAACCCAATTCCCCCTCCCAAATTCGTGTCTAAACTAACGTTGCCCAGCTCCTGCCCTGCCTACCAGATCAGCCAGATCATCCAAGTGTACGCGCGCTTCCTGCATGGCATGATCGGCCCATGACGTCTAGATTTTTGTGGCCTGACCCGGCGCAGGCCTCTAGCCACGTACGGTACCAGCCTCAGCTCGGACGACCACACGCAAACGCCGCAATCCGAAGGGGGTACGTATCCGTAATCCCATAATGTGACTCACGAACTATTTTTTTCCTGGTTTCTATTGAGTGCGTTTTTTGTTTTCCTTTGGGAAAGGTAAGACGCCAAATATGCATTATCCCACTCCTCGGACCGAGGCCTGGAAGCTACCGATATCACTGTAGGATTGCTTAAATCGTATCATTCATTGGACAATTGAACAGCCTGTTCTTCTGGACCTTTGGCAATTCTTTATTTTCGGACTCGCACTCGCTAAATATGATAGATATCTCTCACCACATTTACAATTACACGTTCAGGATGGGAATGGGTAATTCCTCCACAACATCTTATCTGTCCTCTAACACGTACGAAAAGTAAGCAACTTTCGATCAATCGATGAGATGTGGCCTCTTCTCAGACACTATGCGGCCATAGGAACACGCCAAGTATTGATGTCGTCGATGAGTCTTTCGAACTGATCAGCCCACGTGGTGAACGATAACAAATGCGCTCAATTTTACAACAGGTATCGATGATTCACAGTTCGCAACCTTGCTAACCGCAGGGCTCGATATTGAGGCGCGACGCGTCAGTCTTTTGAAATGATAGTCTGAGGCATTTACATTCGCATACTTGGGGCGCAGGCCAAGATCTACAAGTCGCTCTTGGCAGATGTATTCCTATTTCGTCAAGGAGTCGCAATTGAAGCCTAAAACGATCAGCATCTTGCGTCGTGGGTTGAATCGTTGAGGTGATAGTCGATGGTCTGGATCGCTGAGAGTTTGTTGAGAAAACCTGGGCATGACGAGTCGCTACTCACATGCTCAGAGCCAACATCGTTCTTTGCCAGGTTGGATACCGAAATGTCGTGTCCTCGAAGGCTTCCTTGAAGGTAGGTAATCATCTCCGGATTTGATACTTGGCAAGATCCAAGGTGAACGAGCGTTCTATAGGCCTTACCAAACATTGAGCTTGCTTCCAAGACAAGCCCTCCGGCAAGGCTTCATACGACGGGATCATTTCTTTATTCGAATCAAGGTGCATTCTAGGGGTGTCGAACGAAGGTCACGGTAAACGAGGGGGAAATTCGCGAAGATGGCGAAGTTAGCACCGCCATAACGGAAGGGCCATATAAGACATCGAACGGACAATGACCGAAATGAATATATTCGATTCCAAACGATTGAATTGTCGACTCTCGACGAATAGCACAACTGGATGTGTGAAGGTGTGCGTTCAAGACCTGCCAAGTTAGCAAGGGGCAGAAAGATACGAGACTTTCCAATGTGATGGCCTCAAAATCGGCTCATCCTGTCAAATCTGTTATTGCAATAAGTTTCGTGGTATCTATCATTCTTGACAGATGTATAAATATACATTGTCGAGGGATAGACAGAGGAAAGCATCTCTTGCTTGAGCCTTCCCGCTCCAAGCCCCCTATCCGTATGCCAGGGAGGTTTTAAACCAGCTATCCCCATACAACCAACGTCACCCAGCCTCGTCACTTTGAATTATTGTTAGAAAAAAGTCCGGAAAAACTGTATGTGATAAATTATTGAAAGCTGAAAATAGGAACATTTTGCGGTTGTCAATGGACAGCCCCTATCGAGCGTCATCGACAGCAGTACGGCATGGCAAAATAGTCCCTCGCTGCGAAGCGTGAGTAGAAATGTGTATTTATTAACTTGGAACTTACCTCAATCAACGCTTAAGAATAGAGACCATTCTCATACATTGTTCCAATCTTCCCAAAAGTCTTACAGAGACCTTCACGCCTAAACACCTCTCCTGAAACTCAAAAGTAAACACAATGGTCAAATTCAGCCACCGACTAATCATCGCCGCCGTTGCCGCGCTTATCACCTCCGTGTGTGCAACTCCCGCGCCCAGCTATTCCAGATCCTCGGTAAACCCAATCGAAGTGTTTAGTAATTTTACGGAAGAGCAAGGGGCCTTCGATCTCACGGCTCAGCAGCTCATGATGATGAACAGGACGATCAACGACGACATGCAGTCGGCAGGAGTCGGTGTTCTCTTCATTGGGCAAGAAGAATGTAGTCTGGCCGAAATGGCAGTCGCGCTCAATGGCCTGGGCCTAGAGTCCGAAAACGCGACCTTTAGCGACATCCACAGGGCCAAAGACAAGATGTTCGACTTCTACTGGACCGTATCCAGCACGCCGAGCTTGGCCGTTGCGAAGGAGTGCGGTAAGGCGATCGCTTGCCAGAGGTGCGTTTCCTATATATATACTCTCCCCGCTCCATTACCTACCTAGTTAGAAGTTTTTTGGGGGGGATGAGTGAATATGGTATAGCTAGAACTCACCCCGGCTAACCGATGGCAGAAATTCCGTCATCGACCAGCTAAATAAGATTGCCAATGATTACGACCAATTTATCTGCGCAGGCAGTTGCGGGACGGCTGGCTTTGTGCCCACGCCGATCACGATCTCAGGCACATGCGAAGACCCGTTGCTTTTTTGCAATTAGTGGTAACAAAAAGGGGGGGGGCCTCGTGGTCTTATCTCGCGCCTAGTCCCAGTCGACGACCCGGGAGGAAAAGGGGCCTGATATTCCGGTGGTTTTTCGTACTTTTATAGAAGGAAAGATTTTTTTTTTAGATTGTCGTTGATACTTAGTTAGGATGATGGCGATGGTTGCGTCTCTTCATTTGAGTGCGTCGGTACCTCATCTATATTCGAACTACTCACCTCAACGACGTACGTTTGTATATCTATCCGCAAATAAGGGGATGGCTATCTTTTAGTTTTTAAACTAGCTGTATGTTAAAAGAGACTTGGGTTTCTGCCATCCAACTGCCTTCACTCTCCAGCGAGCTTTCTTTAGTAAAATGACTTGATGAGCATTCCTTAAAAACGGCTACCCCTGACTCGGACAAAAGCCGCGTAAGAGGGCATGTTGTATGAGACATTCTAATCACGGTCACACGCTGGATCGAAAACCATGCAATTATTGTAATAGGAGGAATCATTCATCGCTCTCATACAGATGGCAATATCCATATATTGTATGAAGTAATGTGCTAAGGAAGCATTATATATGTTTTAAGTAGCTAGTAGTCGTCATAAATATATCCGAGGGGTCATACTTCCCTCTCCCAGCGATCTCAACATCCGCCGATCGATTTAGTTTCCATTTAGTTTCATTTTCATAGCTATGATACAAATTCTTGGACTATATATTACCCTAAACGTCTGGCTTCATATTCAACTCCATCTCCCATCGCCACCAACATTTTAGCCAGTTGTCTGTAATAGATGTGGGGGCATATGACTTCGCAGCCAAGTTGATTTAACGCCCTCGTGCTTGTTATCACTGTAATCGCGGCGTCCATCATGGTTATTTGACATAGGTGTTCTAGTTACAATATAACAGAACCACCCTCTGTAGTTATCCGTGGCTTAAGGTCACGGGTATAGCCTACCAGGCATATCTGTCAGAAAGGCATCAAGGGGGATGTCTAGTATGTATATTCGTGATAGCCACGAGAATGGGATAGCGTAACATCTAAAAACCCGCTTTTGTATATCGATAGTCGCTGGGTACCAATATGACTGGAAGATCCCTTTTCACATGCAAAATATACCACTCTTTAACAGTGCATGAGCTGGAAGTTAACTAGCTAGCTCAGCCCTACTCCTTTCGTCTCCCTTATCTTCCCAAAAACTGACCAGCTTAATAGAATAAACGCCTCGTCAATGTGTTATTATCAACGTAGTACCCATTCAAAACTCCTATTTTTGCCTGTCCCGATGGCTCTATCTTGAAGGTAATGGAGATTGGGGTAAGGTGTAACTCGGATGGAACTGTCTGTAGTAGAATTGGCTGAAAGCGCCATGAACCACTTGGATCCAAGTCAACATTTGTTCGCATTCAGTTTTTTTGTCTTTTTCTTCTTTTTTCATTGCATGTCCTACTCATACACAGTATAACCCCTGCGACAAGAGGTTTTTTGCCCCTTGTTTCTCCTTTTATGACATCGAAGTCTATCTGAAAACATTCCCTTTCCGTGAGCCTCCCCATGCGAATAATCCACGCCGCAAATGCAAGTGTGAGAAGGAAAGAAATCCAATGTCCAATACTTTTGTCTAGCAATGACAAGACAACCTCCATGAGCTCGTGGGTTTTGGAACTCCGATGAATTCATAGAGACAAACAACTGGGCGGAAAACCTATGCGAAATTGACTGGAAAGGGATTGGATTAAGCGCAAGGTACCGAACAGGGTTGGTGCTCAGTAGATCCTGCCTTTGGCCGTCGCGAGAAGGGGGCCGTGACCATTATCTCATTATGTCGTGAAAACCACTAGTATGTGTGGTAGGTGACGCCCAAACGAACAATCGCGGGAAAGAAAATCACAGGAGTGATGAATATATGGCGATTAGGCCAACGGATTGGAAGATTACCAATGAATAAACATTGGCGTGTTCCTCCATCAGTGCAAGATAGCCGTATCAATAGACCATAATGCTGCAACTTTGTTGCTATTTCAGATCGAAAAGTGTTGTGTATTGTCCTATTAGCCGGCCCTCACTGCTTTGTTCTGCGTCATGGTTCTTCGTGTTTTCCAACGTGGTAAGTCCATCGGCCACAAGCCCACGATTTGGTAGGACTCACAACATATTTTACTGTCGTATCCAGGAGATTCATTTTGATAATGAGTGGCCTCGAGGGGTGAATGGGTATTTGTCCAGCGACCACACCAAGAAATTTCTTAAAACCGTAGGCTGTTGAGTATCACCACTTTGAGTTTTGAATCGGAATTGGAGTTTAGAAGGGGTAATGAAAGCTTAGTAGTCCAGGACAACGACTCCCTCATTCCTTGCCCTTTCAATTCATCGCGTTGCGCGAGACTTGTAAGAGTCGTGTAAAGCTGCAATTTGAGTTGTTGTTTCAACCTATCCATCAATGGGCCAAAACCAACCCGTGAATATGAAATGGCTCTTCAGACTTGGCGAACCATTCATGTAATCGCAAGAATGGGATTAGTATCCCTGGACCACCCCGTGGTCACCATTGACTCCATTCGTAGATAATTTATCAGTTTGGCCAATCTGCTCCACGCTATTGGGAGACTGTGAGTCGTTCGAGAGAGAACCCTTCTTATCAAGACCATCCACCTTGAAATCATTGGTTGGAGTATCCGACGTGCCCATGGCATGTTGACTTGCAACCTCTATTCCAGGGTTGCCAGTAGGGGAAAACTCCGGGACCGTCGCGGAGAGTTGGGAATCCGCGGGGCGGAACTGGCCGTTAGCTCCATTGCTCGTTGGAGAGGCCACGCCATTTCCATTGACGTAATGTGGGAAATGGTTCTCCGTTCCTGTTGGCGAAAACATGGGAGCCATTCCGTATGCAAACATCTGAGGCCAAAATGCCATCTGGGATTCGAACGGGCGATAGCTCATAGGTCCATTGTTCTGGGCCGTAGGATGTCTCTCATGCATCGCTAGGACCCAGGGTTGCCACTGCTCCCGACGTCGCACCTTGTCTTGTCCATCATCCGTGATGATATATTCAATATGAGGGGAGCTGTCGCAAGCTACACGGATCAGCTGCCAATCCGCTGCTATTTCTTGCATCCGCTTGAACCCGGCAATGACGGTGAGCGGAACGAAGCCCTGCGAATCCATGAATTTCCGAAGATACCAATCTTTGCAAAGATTGTCGATGGAGAAATAATATTCCACTTGTGCTAATACCCCGCTCAATAAGTGATTAGGATCACCGTACGGGTTGTATTGGCCGTTGCCGTGGGAATACGCAGCGGGATCGTACGGCATGCCAGCTACTGGATATGCTGCTCGTGGTTGGTGTCTTGCGCTGGCCTGTGAGCGATTGTTTCCCGAGCTTGGTCGGCTGCGGTGTTGGCTTCCGGCCGACTGAACTGGGAATGGGTTGCCATACTGCATTGGCGCGTAGCCCGCAACGAAAGGATGGGATGTCTGTCTGGGATTCGCATTGACATTTGCCTGATAGTTGTATGCAGGAGATCCCTGGCTGAACTGGGACGACGCATGGCCAACGCCGTTCGCGACTGAGTGGCCTCCACGACCCCGTGCACCTCCCCTAGGGCGCTCGTTGCGGTTTACGTTGCCCTGGCCCTGGAAGCTGGAGTCTTTGGTGCTATGGAAACCGTTGTCTCTCGCTGGCTGGGATGATTTCGTCTCATCAATTCGCTGGTTGAAGCCCGTGGACCGGGCAGTAGCGTGCTGTGTCGAAATTCCATTAGCAGAATCTGCCAGATTCTGTTTCGACACATCGGCCTTAGTGTTTGCCTAGAGCCACAATTAATATTTATTTAAAACGATGGTTCATTCACCTAGCCGTGAACTTACCGAAGGTATCTCTCCCATTTTCCCAGCCCCTTGAGTTTGTGGTTTCCGTGATGCGGATATGTCGACAGATCCGCGCTTAGATGCCGGCAATGCAACTGTGGCAGCTCCGGAAGCCGTACCGTTCTCTTGTGTACGATCTTCGTAGAAGTTAGTAAATGTTATAGCTGTAGAGAGGTGTGATAAATTACCGGTCGAGGCATTATTGCTATGGCTGCCTCTTGCTGCAGCGTCTCGCCCGCCTCTAGAACCGCCGGCACGGCCACCTCGGGGGCCTCTAGTCGGGATGGGTGTCTCAAAGCTCACGGTTGGCACAAAATCCATCGGAGTCCACTCTTTCTTCTGTCGAGGCTTGGTCGGACCAGATTCCTCCTTCTGCTCCTTCTCGGGCTTGCCAGTACTAGTCTGGGTCTTCAGGTCAGTTGCCGCCGTTTCAGGCGTCGGCCATGATGAAGTGTTATTTGCAATAGGCCCTAAAGCCTCAGACGATGATCTGTCCTCGCCATTGTTTGCCCTAGCGCCTCTCGGGGCCGCTCTACGAGAGCCTTGGTTGCTGTTGCTACGCGACTGCTCGAAATCTTTCTTCGAAGGTCTGCCACTCCCTGATAACGGCCTGTTCTGTACTAAGGTTGCATCGGCCCCGTCGCTATGGGGGGCTTTCGGTTTGTGGTCCTGAGAAGCTAGGTTGGGTACCCCATTCGTTTGACTACTAGCTGTAGTGTTCGAGCCATGCGATTGCGTAGTCGCCGGAGGCGCCGCCTTATACTTCGCAGCCCGCTCTTCTTGCCGTTGAGTCCATATGTTAACTGCTGGCATTGGTGCCTCGGCCAATTCAACCTTCAGAGGCACATTCTCTTTCTTGTCTTGGTCCTGATCCTGCTCGGACTCCTTCTCGGCTGTCTTGCCCTTCTTGCCTTTTCTAGGCTTCTTGCTTTCACCAGCATCCGCGGTCTGAGAATTTAGGGTTTGACCCCGTCCACGTCTCTCGGCGCTTTGAGGGACGACATCACCAAGTACCTTCTCGGTAATCTGGTTCGGTAGACTGGATGGTTCAGCCACCTTGTCGCTGGTAGAAACACAATCCGAATCATTGCTATTCAGGCTATACGATTCCGGCTTAACGGAAGAGCTGCTAGTGTTTTGTGAGCCGTCGTTTGACGTCGTCGAAATGGCGACGGATGGGGCCCGCGTGCTAGGCGTAGCAGCAACATCTCGGCTCTGAGTGCTCGTCGTTGACGGTGCTTGGCTCGGTGCAGAATTTGGTTGAGATCCGATGGACTGAGTCGTGGAATGGCCTTTAGCGGCCTGGGCATATGAAAACGTCGACATTTTGTCTGAGCGCGACTTTGCGACGTCGGTAAGTAGATTCTGCAGTTGATCTGGTGTAGGCAACAGAGCAACCAAATTCGGCGATCTGTTGCGTACCACTAATGGACGAGGGGATGGGTTTCCCACGTCCACCAACACGCCAGGTGCTCAACCAGCCCTGAAAGCGCCTCACCAGCCAAAAGCGGCCCTCCGCAAGTATTAAAACAACTCGGTCGAGCTTCCAGGTATAAACGGAACTCGAGTCGAAATTCGAGTGAACGAATTGGTATGGTATCTAGATGGTCGCGTCGGGAATACGAGAAAAGTTGTCAGACCAATGATAGAAATTCGTGTTGTCGTGTAAGCAGGGAGAAGTCGTGATTGAGATGTGTTAAGATGGGATGACCGGCAAGGAATAACTTTTGTGTTTTCCTTATTTTGGTAAAAGGTGACCCAATCGCAAGCGATTTTTATCAAATTCTCGAAAAGTTGATGCGGGGTGCGATCAATAAACCTCTCACGACAGTAGCTTGACTAAAAAGAGCTGGTAGAGGAGGAGGAGATCGCCGACGTGAGTCCGCGTTGCGGAAGAAGGAAAATTGCAGTTACTAGAAAATGATCGTTGGCTGGCAGAATAGGTGACCGGGACGACGGTAGGTAGTCGTTTAGGTTTAAGAGGATTGGAGAGGGGGAAAAATTTAATGAGGGAGAAAATTAAAAAACGTGACAGCGTTCTCCGAAAGATGACTGTGCTTTGGTTTTTGGGGCTGCACCGGATTTTAGTTTGGGAACCGAACCCGATGTGGCCTGACCAAATTCGACCTGTAAAGTTAAAAAGTTAGATATTCCCTAAAACTGTAGAATTTCGTTCCTGGCTCGTATCAGTGACTGGATTCTGACCTGGCTGATGCTGATGGTGGTGAGCGGTCCGGACCGCAAAGGTTGCCCGCAGTTTGTGTACGTGAATGTAGACAATACCTAGCTTCAGTACCTAGGTAGGCGCGAAAATAAATTCGTAACCGTGCTGTGCTGTACTGTATGTAGAATAGCGGTTGCAGTCGTGGTGGTGGTAGCCGTACTCAGTTCGCCTTGGTGATGGAGGGGAAATGGAGGGGGTTTGAATGTTAGAGGGGAAATGTTTGATATGAGGGACGACAAAGAGCACCCTGCACTGACAGTAGCAGGAAAACACCAGGTTCGCAGGAGAAGAAAAAAATAGACCTATACGCCTATGGCGTCTTAGATACGTCTTGTTTTCTCTCTCCTCTCGTCCCAAGAATAAGAGTACACGAGAAGGTGAGAAGTAGGATTTAACGATTTGCAAAGAAATATATGAGGAAGTGTGTTTGCAAATGTTAAATGTCAGAGGAGTACGTTGTTGTGTGTAAATGCAAATGGGATTTTTTTGTGTGCATTAGAAAAATTAATTTTTTTGCTCTCCTCCTCCTTCCTAGTCCCTTGCTAAATGGACCTAAAAATTTCTAGTTTAGGTCGGGTAGCCGGTTGTATGGTTTGATTTCCATTTGTCCCATACAAAAAAGGTACGCCACGGCTAGAAACTGCAGGTGCCTACTGCTACTCTTGCTACTCTTCGTGCAACCGGGTACGGATCGTGCTTGCTTTAGTTGCTTAGAAACCTCCACTTAGGTACAAGCTTTTCACACTCACACGCGAGGTATATAACTGGCAGCACCTAATATACCTACTATACATAAATAAGGCCTGGCGCACCTATCAAATCTCACTAGAATTTCGAAAGAAACGATAATGAGGCAACATCTTTTGAGCGCCCCTTTAGCATTAATATTGGGGGGGGGGGGGGGGGGGGGGGGCGGGCGGGCGCCCGCGCGGGGCGCGCCGGCGACCCGCGGACGCGGAGGC